TGAAAAATGCCATTGCTAAGGTATAAATGAGATTGTTCTCTTATATCATTTCGCATTTATATATAAATCGTAAGAAAAGCAATACGATAGTCGTTCGCGATTAATCTTCCAATTATTTATCGTTATTGGCAAAGATTAATTAACCGGCTGTTACATCGTTGTTTATTACGCGGAATACGTCGTTACATTTTATTTTTAATGCTAGAGTTATTAATAGTGTTATTTATATTTTTCTTTTATTTAACACAGAGCAAATCACGAAGTTCAGAAGCATCTGATTTACCACCAACACCTCCAACTTCTGTTTCTGGACCACCGACACCACCAGCCGCAACGTCAGGCATGTCCGAATTGTCTGTACCTAGTTCCGTGGATCTGATGCATCCTCTGCCACCTTCGACGCCGGCGGATACGAGCGGAGACGAGACCAGTTCAAGAGGGACTCTCGATTCGTTTATTCCACCACCCAAAGATTTTGAGGGAAAAAATAATCCGTTCAGTGATTTGGTGGGTACGCCCTGTAGCCTTAATCAAGGAAATTCGAGTACGCCGTTACCTTACAACCAGTGTCCCATCACCTTGCCTCTACCGCTGACACCTGTGATCTCGCAACCGCCAGTGGTACGTCCAGCTAAGAGGCAGCTATCTGAAAAGGATATTATCGTCGATAGAAACGGACAAGTGAAACGTAGAAGGCAACATCGACGAGGACGACCGCCCCAGCAGCAGTTACAGCAACAATTTCAACATACCGCCAGCAAAACGGCGGCTATTCTGCCGGCTCGTAATAACGAAGTTAAAAGTGAATTTGCCAGGAATTTAAGAAGTTCATATAATGGTGCCTCGAGCAGTGCGAGTAGTCAAATTGGGAATTGTGTGGATTATGCCTTAAATGGTAGGAGGTTGAGACAGCGGCAGAGTAATGATAAATTACCTCCTCCCGATTCGCAACCGCAAAGAAAGAGCAGCATGCCTTCATCTCCAAAGTGTTCGCCTGTGAAGCAAAGTGCGCCTGACATATCTCTGGATGATCTGAAATCATCGGTGAATATTTACTTCGGTGCAGCTAATAGAATAGCTGCTGGTGAAAAGTTTGTCATCAAAGCGAAGAGGATAGGGCCAAACGGTCAGACACAATACCTCATCGAATGGGAGGGACTCAATACTTAACGGTAAATAATAATCCGCTTACTACGAATATATTGCATTGGTATACAAATTTTAAGTTGACATCAAGTGTGTAACATGGCGATCAGCTGCCGGTAATCTTGTAATCAATTCCCGGTGTTTTACAGCAAAATGATTGTGATGAATTGTTTTGCGTCACATGCACTGCCACTTATTACGTACATTTCATAAAAATGTATGTATTTATCGGCGTAGAATATATGAATGTTCTTGTAAATGTATGTCGCGCGTTTTATTGAGTTATTTAAATCTTTTTATTACAACTGACAGATTTTACTGCTGGATACATCTATTTTTATGCATTTGATCTATTTTTATTTATTCATCTATTTTTAGCTATAAAAAAAGCATACGTTCCATATTGATTATAGGTGCACATATACCTCATCATTCGCACATCTATTTTAACAAAACGAGTACTATTTTTTAATGAAATTAGTGGGCAAAATAATGCTCTATTTAAAGATATTTACAAGAACAATCAAACGTATTGCTTATCAATTGTAAATAGTGTAGCATAGTAGACTTGCGGGGAGGGATCGATGGCGTAAATCGCGCGAAAATCAAGTTGCGTGTGCTTTACGTCCATTTAAAAGATTGGCCAATCGTCCCTGGATATATCAGGGATAAGACCATGAGTTATGACACAAGAAAAAGTGAAATGTAACAGACAGTTGTTCCTCTCACTTGAATTAACGTACTAGCGAGAATATTAGTGGCTAGTGGTAAAAGAGTAAAACAAAGCAGACGTATACTGTGCAAAGGTTATTTTTCAATACACTTGTGTAGAGATAGTCTCTGTGGCTTCTGTAACTTCATTGTCTTGGATTACATTTTACCTTCTAAATAGATGACAATACGACGCAAATCAAAAGTTTTCAAAAAATACATTTAATCTATCATTGATTGTTGTATACGTTTATTCGGTTTACGTATGCAAAAAATGAATTGAATAACGCATTGAAAAGAGCAAAATAGAATTGTGCCAATCACCACTAGTTTTTTCGTACAGATTCTCAGAAACAATGTACTTGAGACGATGAAGGTGCAGATTTAGCATTGCTCACTATTATACAAGACTAAAGAAGGAAAAACGGCACATCTTTTTCGTATCATTTAAAATTAATTACGAACGACGCACTCGGTGAATATGTAAGTAAATTGGCCAAGTTATCTGTGCAAGGCTAATGCCGTAAATTTCGACTACTCAAACTGTGTTAATAGGTACACAATTACTGTGAGCTCGTTATATCGTGTAGTCATGCACTGTAAGAAATTAATCTTTGTGCATTAAATCATTAGATGCTAAATTGCAAGTGTACATAAATAGGTTTATATATCTAAACGATCGTGTAGCACACACAGTTTAGACACGATAATCACAGTAAAATGTAACGGTGTCACAAATTCTCTTACGATAATTTTTGATACAGATTATTTTATACAACTCTGGATAGTCCTGCTGGGATTATTATATAAGAAGCATTTTTGTACCTCAGACTATGCACAGAATCTATGGTCATGACTTACTAATCAGAAACTATCTATGAAACAAACTCTCTAAGCGATATAATGTAGACATTGCGGTTGTATAGCCATTATTAGAATTTCAAATCAAAAGAGCTTATTAGAAGAACTTTAACTAAGCATTTGATTCCCGTTTATATATGATAAATTTATTATCGAGATCCGCTCTCATGATCGAATTTCGTTTAATAATTTTGCAAATATGTATGTTTATTTGGCACAACATTAACGGGAAACTAGCGTGATATGGACTCTTTTGTATCTTTTATATAAAGAATCTGTCCGATATAAAGTTTTATTCGCGAGCGGATTTTTATACATGATCGTAATTATATTTTAAATATGCATTTCTACGTTTTAATACAATTAGATAATTCTCATCGAACTTTTTAAATTTACTGGATAGATATAATTATTCTGGAATAGATATTTCTCTCACACATGCGTGTTTCCCGACATCTTAGTGACAAGTCGACATAAATAACTCGCGTGCTTGAATCAACATTTTAAAATACAAATATATACACTTTCCTTTCTAATATTTATTGAAAAATTTTAAACACAATGCAGTGGTACTTTTGCATTTTCTTTGCGGTTTCTTGGAAGAGGCTTAAACAATCCGAGGCCACTGTGGTATGAAAAGAGAGATTTTTTACGCACGAAGCCTTTTGATCATATAGTTGTAAGATACTAAACAAGCATCAAAAAAAAACTCCGAAAATCTTCCTTTCGCCAATTTCTTAGACAAATAATTTTTGTAAAACTTATACAATAGCAAAAGAGTCAATTTTCGGCTACGACGAATCATGTTTCATGTAAAAGTTCTCGCATCGTTCGTAACATATATATTGCTTTGATATTAATTTTAGACACTCCTATTTAGGAACTCCTATTTTACGCAAGTCGTATATTCTTTACATAGCCGAAGTGATTTTAGGAACGTCTTTTTCGATTCATACCACAGCACACTCTATAGAGTGATATGTAGGTAATATGGGGGTGAAGACAAAAAAGAAATGGACACTGCCAAACGTCTAAGTTATATTTAATAAATGTCATCGAACAACGTTGCGCGTTACGATATAATTAAAATACATTTTCATTCGCGTTTACATGTATCGTCGCTCACATTATTTCATAGACGAATGCGAGTAAATGGCGGGATTTAGCAGGGACACGTTGTTCGATGAAGATTCGACGAACCATGCATGTATGCGCGTTTGATAAGTCTTACGAAAGTATGAAATAATGTAATATGAATCTGCGTTTTCCGCGTTTGAGATGTAAGAGATGCCGTGGGAGAGACATAAGGGTCAAATATTTTGTTTATCAAATTGTGGAAAGTTGGGAAAACGTATATTTAATATTATTAATTTTTTTCGCATGATTCTTTCTCCTAATTTTATAACGATATTGTAGAGGATGACACTGCAACGTTCACGAGAAAAAAAATGCAAGACATTATGCAAAGGCATGATCTGTATTCAATACTCTATTTAAATAATAAATTGCAGTGAACCTACGCTGCTGCATTTTATGACCATGGCCTGGTATTGGCTAATACACGTTTCTCGTACACCTATCAATGAAAGTGATTATATCTCTACGTTCCACTGATATGGGTATGAAGCGATAAAATGACAATCTGACAAAGTATGATGACCAAATGCTAAACTTCATTAGCAGAAGAAAAATAACTGAATTATTAATACTCTCATTGATGTTGCCAATTAATATTAGTATTACATTATAGTTAATATCTATTAATACTTTTTCTTGTTTTGTGCTGCAGATTCACTCCCTGCAATATCGTTGTGTGTGATTATTTTATATTCGGGATAACTTTTGTTTTTAAGACCGATCTACAGCCGTATTGAAATATGACGTCAAGAGTGAAAACTCGTGCAACTTGTTTTCTTGTATCAAAAGTCAAAGCTTCGTAACTATATCATACGTCTTGATAACATAGATTGATAAAATTGAAAATTTCAGAATTTTCAATAAATTAGTAGATAATTTTAAATTCTAATAAATTATTCATCTCTTGATACAAATTCTTGACGAAAAAATATACACGTGGACTTAATTATAATATAATTATTCGTGCATTTATTAATAAACAAAAAAAGTGACTAATCGATGATATTTTATCAATATGTACATAGTCGCAATATAACTGGGTTAAGAAATCAGGAATTTCAATGTACGCGAAAATTACTTCAATTTTGCATCTATGATTATAATTAAAAGTACACGAGTCTTAAATTCTCCCACGTCATCTCCCTTTATGGTTTATAATGTCGAAGCGATGTGTGAGGCACAGTTCCGTCGACGATCCCGTTTATTTCCTCGTATCGTATGCTTAAGTAGAATAAAGGAAGCAACATCCGGCGAACGATGCGCGTTGCGCTAGAAAATGATGCGTTTTCAAAGGCGATTCATGTTGCGAGCACCTTCGCGATATCGCAGTATTTTGTACGAGAGTCCATATGATTTCTACAAGTCCAAGGATGACGATCTTTTATGTCGTCGAGACCCAGTCGTTCGGGTCTCCATCGTCGGGACGAAATTATTGTAACGCCGCCAGGATAAAACGGTGCGCAAATTTTAATCGCCTGCGAATAAAAAGAGAGAGAGAATGAAAGATGTTGTCTAGGTAATTATCGCAACATAAAGTTTACATTCGACTGTGCGTGTCGGATTTAGAGGAAACGCGTGCGCGGCGAGAGAGATCGTAAGAAGAAGAGAGAGAAGACGAAAGTTAATACTGCCAGTATCATGTGTATATATATACATATACATATTCTCGACTCCCCCGCATCCTCCTCTCGCCCACCACTTTTTTAACATATAGATACCCTACAAATACATCTCCAGAGTAACGCGGTAGAGTTATATACCGTTTGTATGATGCGATTACAGAGTGTGCGAGCTCGAATGGAGGCTCGGCATCTTGCTTCCAGAGCGGATCGTCCGCCGATTCTCGCGAGCGAGACGCGCTCAGTGTTCTTCTGTATGAGATTTTAACGAAACGTAGAAATTCCGATCTCTTGACATATGCACACGCAAAACGTACACACACAGTGTGTTCTCCGCCGCGGCATCGATTGCCAAGAGACCTGTAGTCGCGAGCGTTTTAGGAGAATTACTCTTCGATTCATTATATTATATTATGGCACAAAAGAGATGTTTATGTGATAATCAACCCCTCTGATTTGGTCCTCTAGTGTAAGGAGGCGGAGGTCTTGCGCTAAAATGAAAATTTTCGAGATGCTCCTCTCGCGAGAGAAGACGCTTTAGTCAATACACGAAATTAACAAACTGTTATTTGTAAATTTTTAGAATATTCGCTCGTTGTTGATATAAAATATTTTCTGCGATCAGTCGGGGGTTATTTAACAAGACCAGGTTTTTCCAAGCGAGTCGACCGTGTTCGAAATTAATTTCGGTTACAATTATGAGATGTGTATTTTACTAAGTCGAAAAGAGAGAGGGAAACGAATTGGATTTAAGTTATCGAAAATGTGCGACGCAAAGATTGTTACTTTATGAAATGACACGAGTGCCGAGTCAATATATACGCATAAAACGATCGATTGGTTCTTGATTTTCACCAATATTTTGTATGATTCGAGTGCTGGTTGCCCGAATATTGTCGTCATTCGTTTACTTATTAAACAAAACCGCTCATTTTTTTTTGCCACGAGATGAAAAGTATTGTATTTACGAAATTTACTTTCGTTTGTCTCGAGAGGATTACGTTTTGGAAAAAAAAGAATATTGCTTGTAACTGCGAGGAGAAAGATAAAACAAAAATTATTAGTAAGTAGCGTACAACACGTTACAAGTTTTCGTGCCAGCAACGTGTTCGTAATGAATTTTATCCTAAGTATATAAATATACTTTCGACAATATTCTATAATAATGTAAGAGTCATTTTCGTGTGTGGAGGTGTTCATAATTTTTGCGTACGACGCGTTACGATTATAATTGACAACGTCTTCGTGCTAACGCGCAATGTTGGCGAGGTCTCTCCTCCCACGTATTATTTGACAACCCATCGCGGTCGAAATTTTTATAGGAATTATCCTTAGTAACGATTAAGACTCGACACGCGATTGCAGCTAGTAGTAGACTTGACGAGTGAGCCGTGATGGGCGAGATGGATCGCCGAGCCGAGATCGATTCTGTAATCCTCGTGCGCGGAGAGGGATGATTGTAACAAACGCGAAAATGTAGGCAAGAGTGTTGTGTGCGTGCGTTGTGCGAGTGCGTTTAATATGTTTCATGCGTGCCCGCGGGTATGTGTATATTTGTGTACGCGAACGATAATTAAGCGAGATTAATAATTTGTCATCACAGAGGCGAGAGAGAGAAGAAAAGAGTGGGAAGCAGATAACATCTGTCCCCCTGATCCTCGGAATTTGATTAGATGAAAAACTTGGCCGGAATATTATATTCGCGCGATTTCGTTGTTTTATCTCCTTTTTTTCTCCATCCATTTTTGCGTCAGACGACGACGCTCTCTCTCCGAGATCGCGCGCGAAAGAATAATCGTTTCGCCAAAATTGATGTGTGATAGAAAACTCCACTTATATATATGTATGTCTCCGAATACAGATCTCTGAATTTTTACGTTTCTCTGCGTACATTTCCATTTTTAACGTTAATTCACAAATAATAGACTCTGTATATAATACACCGCCTACGCTTGTACGAATATTTGCGTTCGTCGCTCTTGCCGATACCCTTTCGATTCTTCCCTTCCAGTCCTTCGAGGAATAGATGCCAACCGACATATCATATCGCTACTTCCGAATCGCATTGTACATACTATCTCATACATCTCTGCGAAGAGGAATCTCCTCCAAATTAAACTGCCAGCCTGTTTGAAGAGTCATTTTCATACGGGAATCACCGCGCTGCTATTGTTGTATCGCGCAAATCGTGGAACCAAATGAAATGAATTTTTTTCAGTGAGTATAAAAGACATACTTATGTGTCAAGCTTGAAAGTGATCCTTTTTGTTCCTGGTAAAGCATGCGTTGCCATTTGTCTTGTATAATTATCTCGATACGCGAGCGTTTGCGACAAGGAGGTTGAAGGAAACGGAAAGGGAACGGCCGGAGCGTTTTTATGTTCGTAATATATGTGTATATGTGTATATGTATACACAATGTTCTAGATCATCGCCACTCGTTTATTCTTTTAAATAATTCAGGACCAATTTTAATTCTCCTCTAAAAATTTTGCGGACGCGATTTTTTAGCTTCCAATTTATATATTTATATATAATTATATGTATATTATTTTTATATAATTAAAATGTACAATATTTACATATATAATTTATATATCTACATATATAAATTACATATATAATTTATAAAGTAACATATATAATTTAGATAATTTATATATAAATTTATATATAAATTATTTATATTAATTATTCATATAATTAATTATTTACATATAAATTATATAAATATAAATTATATAAACAAATATAACATATAAATTATATATATAATTTATATATAAATAATTGAGATATAATTTATATATCTCAATTATCTCTCTAAAAATCCAATTTAGTTACAGGGTAAAATCCAAGTAACAATGTGTCCAAATGAGAGATAAAAAATATCAAACTTGCAACGAAATCTAATCTTGATCTCTATCAGTTGTTTATTTCAAAATTGATGAAAAAAAAATTTATAAGACGACGATGATCTTGGGACATATATGCATATATGTATGTATATATATATATAAGTAATTTTACTTAATATTATTATCTTACAACGATACAATCCCCTATCTTTTCTTTCGAGCTCTCAGCTCGATAGCTGTTCGTCGGTGCTGCATTTAAAGCCACGGAGCTCGCATGTCGATTCGATAACGTTGTCACGCGACACGACGGCGTTTGTCTGTCGGAAAATCATTCGTTCATTGTTGTTTTACTCGATGCTTGCGTAAAGAGACTGAATCCATATAAATTTCTTCGCATTTTTTTTCTTCATCCTTTTTTTTTACTTCATTCGTTTTCGTCGACCCGAGTGATCGCGCATGCGGAGATTCACGTACAAAAAGAAAAATTGAAAAAAAAAGTGAAAAAGAAAAAAAGTTAAGAAAGCGAGAAGAAAGAATGGTTGTCGATCTCTCGATGACCGATGACGACGGAAATTGCTGTAAAGAGAGAATAATAAATGATACGTGTAGACTTAATGAAGTGGGCAATATATTTCGCTGTCCCGACAAAATCCCGTCTCTTATGAATAATATTGAGGCAAATCCCAAGAATATGAAAATTATTAATAGATGATAAATTTTATTTTTTTTTCTTTTTTTTATGAAATGCGAAAGTTGAACGACCCATTTTCTATTATTTACGATATAATACGAGCGGAAGATGTGAAATATGCAATTTATCTTTGTATAACATGTGACATTTAGACAAAAATTAATCGAGCCGCCAGAAAAATTTACATTCCTAGCATATTCATTTCTTTGAGATTTACATTATGTGTTAGAAGTTATATTAATTATTCATGAGAGTGAGTCAGGTCAGGGAGAGACTCAAAGATTAGTGACGCATGAAGTATTACTGATTCCGGATGTATTTGGACGTGTGTATACACGTACAATGTTCTGATGTAGCCAAAATGGTTCTCAAACCTTCTTTTATGGTAAAAGTGCTTTTTTGCCACGGAAATAATTATGACAAAATTAATTAATTTATTCCAAGGTAACTAATATAATAGTCTATATAAATAATTATTATGTCAATTGTTATTTTATTATTTCAACTAGTTTCATTAAATTAGAATCTACATATATGGCATTGTGAGCTGGGATGTGTGGTAAATATATGATAAAGAAAAATAAATATTCAACAAAAAAATATCTTTGATCAACCAATGCAAATTTTTTTCAATCTTGATTATATATATTTTTATCAAATATACACAATAACCGCACAGGAAACAATGTAACAATTAGAGAAGAATGTAACAAGAAGAAGACTTGTTTACAACTAAAAGTTGATAAGTTATCTTAATAATGTTTCCAACATTTTTATGATATAGATATTGATATTAATTTCATAACTTATAATTTTAATTACATATGTGATATAAAACTAAATATTTTAAATATGTAATGAAGAGAAATGAGATAACATAACTTTAATCCGATTGATATTGACATGTTACTTGTCATTAGAATACTTTTTTATTTACGGCGTACCTTGAATAAAAAAATATGATTATTTTACATTATACATTACATATTAAAAAATTTAATGCAAAAAAGACAAACCGAGTAAAATTTTCAAACGAACAATTTTCTGACGTATCAATTCACAAAAACTTTCGTAAAAAATAAATGTTATTAATTAAATTCACATAGTAATACACAATATATCTTACAGTATATAATTTACAATAGTGAGCACAAATAATATCGTTATATCGCATGTATAGATTACACTGTACAAACTGATAGAAAACTTTACAAAATAGCTAAATGTATCTACTAGGATGTAACAGACTTGTTAAACCATTCAACCCTTAAGGATTACTATAAATAATTTTACATATATATATTTATTTTAACAAATGCGTCTTCATTATGAAGATAGCAAAAAGAATTTTTTTGTGAGCACATCTTAAAATTATTATTCATTACTCGTTTTAAATAGATATAGATTGTCAATTTAAAAGTGTACAGTCCTAAATATCTTAATAGATACATTTATATTAATACATATTGACAATCTAGTTATTTATACTATCATAACTAATTTATTTCAAGTTAGAGTCTAGAACAAATCTTTTATTTTAAATTATACCTGAAGAAGAAGAAGATTTGATTTTGTTGCCAATATCACCGCTATATAGATATATATATATAATTATTGTTTATGTCAGGGTGTCATTACTGATGCTAGAGAAGGAAATATCTCAGCTTGTAACGGCCCATAATCAACTTCTTCGCCGTCTACGGTTATGTGTCCATTTGTTCCTTCTATAGGTTCTATCCGGAATGCTTTCACTGGTATCATATCGACGCCAGGACAAGTCACATGAGTTCCGCTACTCAGACCTAATAAAAACTGGTGATCGAACACAGATAGTAAACATTATATGGATTTTTTTCTCTATTCTTTTACGTTTTCTTACTGTTTTTGAATACAATTACTTACTTGCACCAAATTAGACCGTGTAATGCCGGCTTTAACTATCAAAAGCCAAATAACTCCGTCTGCCAACCTAGCACGTGGTGCAAAAAAATAATCCTGTCCTAAATGAGTTTGATAGGCCGCGTGTACCATTATAAATTCCCCTGAAATTTTTGAAACATGAAATTCCATTTAATCAAATCTATTATAATCCTATATTCTTAACATGCACGTGTTGATCTTCATGAATCAATAATACAAATAACATAATAATTTTATAAATTTGTGTTTTTTAACGCGTCATGGAAGAATGCATCGTATCAACTGAGATGTGTGTGCCACGTTATATGAAAAATATTTTTTCAATTATGATTCATTGCATTCGGCATCTTATTGAGCGTTACATGTGACTATGAATTTAACTGGAGTTAAAGGGTTAATAAGTGATGCATTAGCGCGGCAACCTTTGCACCATTATTATATGACAATTACAACAATATACGTTATTGAACTCATCCATCTTTCGCGCGCAAAGTTTATAAATTACAAATATTAAAATGTTTTTTCTCCGGCTATATATATATCTTTCAAATGCTTTGATAAATATCAAGTTAAATATATGTTTAAAGTAAATTTATCTAAAATTTTATAGAGAGAGAAAGATTGCAAAATGATTGATTGATATTTTTAAATTTAAATCCGCATGTACTCTATCAAAATCAATATGGTATATTTCCATTTATATTCACGCTGATATAATAATTCAAGTAATTATCTCAAAAAAAGTCATGTATACCAATTATATATCAATCCATAAATAAAATATGTCCTGTTACCTTGCATCGTCGTCCAGGAATCCGAGAGTTGCGATGTTAATGCTGGAAGCGTAGACGGCGGCCCATACATAACTTGGTTCTTGGAAATGTTTTCTGTATCTAATGCCATAAATTGATCATTTAGTACAAATAAATCTTAGAAATTGGACAGATATGCTTGTTCGATTAATAACGTACCAATCTCCGCGCTATCATTCTCGCCGATGCTGTGATAACTCGAATTAGCCGAGCCTGTGCTAAAATAGGTCGACTTTGCCGATATTGCGGAATAAAAGCTGCCTAATCTGTTTCTTCTATCGATTTGTGTCTCGAGAGCCAAATTCTCAGTTATCACATCGTTATCACCGTTTAACTCATTGGATGATTCACCGAAGGCATCGTAAAAACTCTTTGATTCTGGTGTGGTACAGTACCTTCATACACACAAATACATACATATATACATGCATGCATATCTTATATATGTCGGAAGTAAATTGACTAAAAGGTGAATGACATAGATAATATGTATACCGGGTGTTTCATAAGTGGTGGACAAAATTTCAGGAATGGATTCCTCATGCTTAGAGAAGAAAAAAAAGTTAATCAACATAGGTCCGGAAATGATTAGTTTTTGAGTTATTAAGATTTTTGCAATACAAAATTTTGTCTCATTTCTCCTCTTAGAAGTCCTTTTACAGGTATCGACAATGTTTTTCAGGCCACCGAACTTGTATATCATTTTTTTCGTTGTATCTAATGCAATATTTGTAAAGTCGTTAGCGATATTTTTAGAATCAAATAGAGGGAGAAGAGAGAGAGAAAGAAAATGTGTCAAATAAAAAATCATTGAAATGAATATCCGAAATAATTAAAACATGAGACACATTGTTATTATACATACTATGGAACTATTTATTGTACTTGTTATAATGGACGAAAGAATATTAAAAATCATTGCATTGCGCTTAAGTACGTAAGATTGTAATGAAAAAGGAAATGAAAATATATGTGCGAAATTTTTGATAAATATTGATTCAATTTTTACATTTTCCTAAATATGAAACATGCAAAGTTTCAACAATTCGATGATGGAATTTCCGTGTATTAGATGTATTCCTCGAGATCATCTTTTAAACATCCGATGCATGCCACATCATTTATAAAAAAATCGCGTTGTATTGACATATGCATCATCTATGACATCACACACATTAACATAACTATTATTACATTATGATAAAAAGCCATTATTAAATATTGTATATGTCTATTACCTGTCCAATTCGTCGCCGTAACTTCTCGAATGCGATAATATATTCTCCGCAGGATAGTCCTTGCAGTACATCTTGCCATTTTCCAACGGAGGAACCTTGTTGCAAGGTAAATATGATACCTTGCCCTTATACGTTCTTAGTCCTATTAGGCGCGCTACGCTCCATACGGTGAATCTTTGTCCTCCGATGGCGCGCAACCGTTCGCTCTCGATGTCAATATCGGCCAGCAAACCCCAGCCGACCGATAGAAACGAAAAAAGGATCTGATTTCTGGTTTCTACACGCACGAGGTCCATGGGCGTTTTTTTACATTTGACTGCCGATAACGCGCTGATAAGCAACGGATTACGATCGTAAGGTTCTCTGAAACATCATCATTTTATCTTTAATGTGAAAGGAATTTATCGATATCAATACGAGTAAACATAAAGACGGAAGTTAAGAAAGAAAGTAAATAGGTATAGGATTAGCATAATATTATTGTACGAGACAACATAATTCAACTAAATATATACACAAAAAAAGGAATAATAATTTTCTGCAGTTTTTTTGATGCCAAATATAATTTACATCATAAAATTATTTCATCATTTCACAATTTTGAGAAATTTGTGATTAAAGTAAAAAAATTTATTATTTTATTTATTTATTAAAATTTAGAATTTATTTATCCTATTTTAATGTTTTTTTAATGGTTTTAGCTTTTTAATTACTTTAATGTTATTTTAAATATATTTAATTTTAATTTATCAAAAAATAGTAACACGATAGAATAATTTATAAAAATTTAATGTCACACATATCAAATATTCAAAAAACTACGCAGAAATGACAAAAATTTACCCTCTTATATCATGTTCAAAGAAAAGTAATTTTTCTCTATTAAACTTTGTAATTATCTGTATTTTTGTAATCTTTCATTGCAAAGCCTTTCTCAAAGTTTTACCAACATCATAATTGTAGTAATTATGTGATTATTACTTTAACTACAAATTTCTCAAAAAATTGTAACGTGATAGAATAGTTTGCGAACAAAAATTCAGCGTCATATCAAATATTCCAAAAAGAACGAAAACTTATTTTCTTTTGTTCATGTGCAAAGAAAAACATTTTCGTGTTAAACTATGTAATTATCCTTTTACAATTTTTTATCACAAAATTTCAAGATTTTTTTACCGATATTATGTGATATAGTTGTTTTATATAACGACATCTAATAGGGAAAAAATTCTTTACAACCGTGTCGCATAATGCAACTCCAAGAACAATCCAACTGGAAACATTTATTCCTTTGCATAGCATTTTATAATAAAAAAACGACGAGATGTAAGACGCTATGAGACTCGAGAAGAAGTGAGAGTAGACTAGTGAACTTACTCCCTAGCATAAGCGATGGACTTCGCTAACCCGTTGCCGGAACCGCATGGTATCACTCCGAGCGGCAACTCGCGCAAAGCCTTCTCCCAATCGGGTCTCTGGAAGATTCCGTTCACCACTTCGAAGACGATCCCGTCACCGCCGACCATCAGCAAACCGCACCATTGATAAATGTCCCTCGTGCGTACAAACTCGCGGGCGTAATTGGGACACTTGGTGATGTGAATCTCGTAAGGTCTCTCCGCCTCCGACAGGATCGGATGGATCCTCTTCTGGAAAGTTTCCCTGCCCCTGCCGGGTCCTGACTTCGGATTCAACAGGACCAACAGTTTCCGATTCTCCCCCGGACATGCTGAAACATTAATAAGAACGAGAATAACTCGTGATAACTCGAGAATAACTCGTGATAACTCGAGATAAACTCGCAAAGTTATTAATGTTTATTTTGACGAGATGTTCGAATAATGATCTTAATAAATTATGAATGACACAACTGTCATTTGTGGTTTTAATTAGTCAATGTAAAGAATCGCACGTAATTTTTATTTTTTGAAGTATCTTGAGACAAATATATCCGCTTTTCACTGGACATGTGACTTTCAACACACACTTAATCTAAAGATGCATGAAACAAATAATAATTTAATCACGATTACATAATGCGGAGCAGACATTTTTCATTTCAAAACATAAACGTTTATCATATGTCTGGGCGACAAGCGATATATAGCAAAAAAAGACTAATCTAAAAAAATATGAATCAATCTCGTATTCAAGATTCTGGCATCCCCTCGCAATTGTGAGGTATGACGTCAAAGCGAGAAGTCGTATGTGAATTTTTTTTCTTATTCAATACATAAAATTTTTTTCCGAAATAAATAAGTTTCTTTTACATTTCATGTTCGATAATGTAATAAGTAAAATATTGAAAAATCCTTCTTTTGTTATCCCACATACATGTTAGGTATAATTCGTCTTCATACGCCAAAAATAGATAAACTGATCAAAATTTATTAATTTTTTCACGAATTGAAAAAAGAATCTTCGGTATATTTTACCAATCTATACTATTAAACGCGAATGATAATGAAAAAATGATATGAGAAATATACTTATCTTGATACGTTATTTCGAAAAAAAATACAAATTTACACAATTTCTCTGACATCATATTGTAATATAAGCCTTAACGATGTGTTAAACATTGTATACAGCACCATAAAATTTAATGTATTTAATTACATTTATTTGGTTGTCGCTTGTATTTAATAATATTTAATAATAATTTTTATAAATAATGGACATGCACGTACATATAACGCATGTATACGCATAAAAAAATACGCGTATAAAAGATACTAATGTCTAGATATGTGCAATCGTCGATTAATATTGCATGAGTTTGCAGTTTATTTTATCTGTTTTATAACTTGAAAATAAAATAGAGTAAAAATAAAGTAGAAAATATTGGAATTTGAAAAAATTATTTCGAAACACGTTTTATATTTATTAGAATAATAAATAATAGAAAATCTTTGTTTCTTTATTTTGCGTGTGCTTTTTTATTCAATATATGTTTATGTATTTATTCTATCTTTAATATTTATATTTATATTTGTATTTATGTATTTAATATATTTTATTATATATTATATTTAACTTTATTATTATTATTATATTTAATTTAAGAATTACAAAAAAATCCATTTTCGAACGAGAAAATATATTTTACAATTATATAATTCGTGCAAACATCCGAGATTTTTATTTCCGAAGGTCATCTGCATTAACTCATCGATATCGAAATCGGAGGATGTATTCTCAGATGTAATACTATTGATTTCACGTACGTACATTTTAAAAAGCCTGGGTAAACAGTTCTTAGCTTACGAAATAAAGACTTATTCGATCTTATTTTTATTGAAAGAATTGCATTAAAGTGCACAGCTTTATACATAATATAATTCCTAATTAAAAACGTAATCTTAACGCTTACATAACTCGAGTTTGTCATACGACGTCATGCATTAAAACGTTTTTATTAGAGTATATAAACATAAAGCAAGCGTTAATAAGTTATAAAAGAAACCACAAAGTTAAAAAAAGAACAAATGTATTACAGACTATTAATTCTCTCTCCTTTTATTATTAATTTTCTGTTCAACTCATTTTTTTATTTCGTAATAAAAAATAAGTGTGTAAGCTAATATTAGTAATCGGAAATATTGAATGATTGACGCTGAGTGAATTGCTCGAAGATTAACAATCTGATAATGCAGACGATGTATCCAATATTTTCTCTAAACTTATCAGGAAATTTATGCTATTATATCGAAAACTATTACACTGATAATAACAAATAACAAAGTTTCCACAAGATTTCTACAAAATAAAAAGTGTTTCGTTCAAAAAGTTTAATACAAGCATTTCCTTATTCTTATTTGTCTAATTTAAATGATGAATGATTTAATAACAAAATTACATAATAATTTAATGTTAATTTGATGTTAATTTTTTCGAAAAGCTTAAATGACACTTGAAATTAATTGAACAGAGAAAATCACGTGTTTGTGTGCGTATTTTATTTAATTTTGTTTTAACAGAAATTTGCAAATAGACGAGTTGTACGAGGAAAAAAACTCAACTATCGTTAACGCATATCTTTCTTAAGTCACCGTATAATTTGTTGAACTTTGCGTGTTCAACTTGGTATGATATTTTTGCGGAACGCGTTTGTCTAATGAGCCTTTCTACTTTCAAACACCTGGGACTACTTAAATCGGTACAAGTTACGTTGTTGGATGAGAAATCCATTACGGGAATTTATTGCATTCTGAAAAAACGTAATACAAGCGTACACAGAGCTAAGACAAAGAAATCCTTTGTGTTTGAAAACCTTCAGTGCTAAATCGCTTGAAGCAATAATTTCGTGTTGTTAATCTATTATTTTCAATCTTTATGTTGGTTTTTTACCGGAAAAAAAATGCTTACGTAAATACGAATTGCGACTCATGCTCAGCTCAGGCTCGTTGCAATTATTTCCGCTTTCGTGTCACTCAATAATGCGGATACAAACTAATATTTCGCGTTTGATTATGCCGACGACAATGCATAATTAAGATAAATAAAGCATCAATTAAACGCACAATAAAAGCATCAATCAAGAACAGAGCGAAGCGCAATATGAATTTATTTTAACGAAAAATTTGTTTCCCAAAATAAAATAAAATTATCGTTTTTAAAGAAAGAGAGAGAGCTCCTGCTCCTATTACCTACACAGAAAAAAAATAAGGGTTAAATCAAAACTTGTATACTTAAATTAACGCGTTCATTGTTTCGTATATACGCAGCAATCTATAATCTTCTTAGAAGAATTTAATAATTTTAAATTTCAACAATATTATTTCAATCTTATTTCAATATTGTAATTGTCATCTCAAGATATATAATTATCAATATATAATTATTTAATTCTACTTTAAGAAAATTATAATCTTTAATTTAAAAATGTTACTTTCTTTTAATTTAAAATTGTTTCCTTCCCACTCAAGATAATTAAATCTCAAATCATAAGAATATATTTTTCTTGACTGACATATATAAAATGACTTAGTCAAGCAAGCAATTTTATTTTTCTTTAATTAATCTCATTTCAAGATTTCCATATTGAAACTAAAGATATTTTCAAAACAAGAATCCTTTTTTTCTATATAATTAGAAGATGATCTATCAATACGTAAGTGTTTGCAAAATATATAATCGCGGTTTGCGTCTAATGATAAAAACATGGGTCTAATGTATGCAAAAACAGTTTCCACAACCGCATTATGCAATATGTTTTGTTTTTATTTCTCTAATTATTACAAAGTTTACTTTTAACGATTGCGCTTATTACTGCTAAAGCAATGAATATCAAGCAATCCCCGAGATAAACATCTACCTGATTGATGAGTTTTCCTGCATTCCGCGAACAGACAAATTGACCATTGACCATTTTAATGGTCGTATTATGTATTCAAAGCTTATTAGAAAGACACCGGACTTTGCGACCGATTGTCGTAGGACAAGTGTTATTCTCGCGACGGACGTGTATTGTCGTTTCAATTCGCGACGTTATTGAATTCTCGGTTCTTGCACGTGCGAGAGATGATGGAGTAACGGGGGGATAAAAGTGACGAGGAGAGATTGAGTCGTATGCCGTGCGCCAGAAAGTGCGACGACTCGAAACGAACGTTGAAATTCTACAATGCCACGAATAAAATGAAAAGAGAGGGAATTAAAAAGCCGGAAATTATCGCGTTGTGGAAAAATTGTTTCGTAATCGACGTAATTGTTTCGAAACGAAACATACTTTGCACAACGCACGTATATTATCAACGATAATGTTATTGTAACAAGCTCACGAACGAGCCTCAAACCGACTCGACTGTAAAATTCAAAGTCACTTTAGTTACGACTTATGTAAACGGTATTGTTGCACGCAGCTAACGTACACGTATGATCGCTGTAGAAATCAACTAGATATTGCAATCGCGAAAATAAAACCAAGGCATATCCAACAAGTCGCTTTAATAAAGTCAGATGTACTTTGCGTTATCGCACATCAATTATTAATTATTAATTATTAATTATTAATTATTATTACTGATAATTATAACGCAGTGGGGGATCTTGATCCTTATAATTAAATTAATTCACTTACGCAATCCTTCTTGTGTATAGTTAAGACAATTATATACATAATACAATTATATAAATAATAAAATAATCATTTTATAGCACGCAAGTTATAAATCAAAATAAAATTGAAGCTAAAAATGACGTAAAATTATCTAAATGAATCTTGTTAGTCGTTGATTCAATTTGGCAAAATTCCAACTTTCGATATTAATTAACCTTGTGGCCGAGACTAACCAAAATCAATGATAAGCCCGTTCATTGAACTTTCCAATCGTTTTATAAATTTTTCGTGATTTTACATAAATTCTTGTCGTGATTTGATTCTTAAAATTTTGCCATTATTAACACATTGCAAATAGAGAAAGTATTAATTTGTAAATAATAATTACTGTGGTTTGTCTTGCTTACAAAGAATAAAAAAATATATAAATATTCTTTCTCAAGATTCAAATATATTTTACCGAGGTATATTTTGCAAACAATATGAGTTATTATTGTTTTCAAGACCTCAATATCTCTCTACGGAGTTTCTGAACAAGTGAAATATATTATTCGCGTGTGTAGACTGGACAGTTTTTATTTATAATATGAAAAATAAGTAAAATCAAGCGCACACGTGTGTGTATTCTTATGTTTCATTGTTAAAATTTATGAAATCGTTGATTATGTGACACACGCATCATATCAAGCAAATTACGAAATTACATAAGTAGGGAAAATGGAAGCGATTTAAATTCTAATCATTTGAATATATTTATAATTCCTAAAAACATAATAGTCCCACGATAAAATCTCCATTTGCATACAAAAGAATACACGCGTGAAAAACGTATAAATAATCATACTCGATAATTATCATGCATCATATCAATCTTATAAAGCAAGATTAAAGCTCCAAGGAAGGTTAAATTTTATCTCCAATATATCTTTGTGAAAAAGAGAGAGAAAGAAATTTCTCAATATTCTGTTTTGTTCAGAATAAGAAAAAACGTATATTATTCGAGATTTCAGTATCCAATAATTAGAATATTGTATTTTTATCCATTTTTATTTTTTTGATAGCTGTTTGTCGCGAAAATCATTAATCTATCATTTTTAATTGCAAGTTTGGAGAAGAATATTATTAATTTTCTAAATTTCTTTTAAGAAATTCGTACAACAAATTTTTTAATATACACATATAATGTGAGTTACTGTTTCCTCAATTATAAAATGTGGAAATCAATAAAGACCCTGCGTTTAGAAATATTTCATTGCGAAAAATGTATAAGTGAGGAAGCATTATAATTTCTCAATATTTGCACAGTATAATGCGACAGAAATAATATGGTATACCTGGTAATCCATTATTTTCCGACATGGCAAATACGAAAAAAAATATCAATAATATTTCCCGAGATATAAAAGCATACAAAATTTTGCACGCTAATTTTGTAACATATTAATGTTCTCTCTCTTGATTTTAATTTGATATACTAATAAATAATATTAATTTTAATATAATAATAATTAAATAATTTTAATTTAATATACTAGAGTAAATTATAAACACAATTCGTGATAATACAGATATAGTAATAATATGACTATTCTATATATAAAAAAAAAAGTTATTCGCAATGATTTGTAAAATTAGAATGTTTGACGAGTAAACGGTTGATAAGAAGATTAGCGGGCATTACTCAATATACACTAATGAAATAATACTCTCTATTTATATACATACAACATTAGCTAATTGTGTTATTAATATATTTCGACCTCGCAAACCGAGTTTGCTCATCCAACAGATTCGAAAGACAGTGTTCCGCACGTGTTTACATTTCTGAGACCTTTGTTTACCCACGAATATTGTTTTTATATATCGAGAAAGAGACATTTTGAAGAAGTCGACTACGAAGAAATTGGCAATCGAAGGACAAAGAGATATCGATTGGGAAAACATTCCGTGGCTATCCTTTGACTAATTGTAAGAAATGAAAAGCAACATAGAACTCGATCGTTAATCGCGATTTGATAAAAAGAAGACTCACCACCTATCAGTGTTTCCAGATTCCCGTGGCTGGGACTCATCAGGTTCTTGGGCACCGGCACGTTGGCGACCAGGCACTTGATCGCCAGCCGCCACCTACTCGCCTCGCGAAGATTGTCCTCGTACTTGTCGAAGCTGCGGAAGCGCAGGGTGATGGTCATCCGTTCGCGTCTCATCGCGCCCTTCATGCGCGTCTTCTTGAGCGTGTAGGCGTATATGTACAGGTAGGCCGAGGTGTCGTGCTCGTCGTACTGTGACTGATGAATCTCGGCGGACTCGACGAGCTTGAGCTGGGACCTGGACGCACCCGGTCGACAGGCGCAGCTTCCGGCGTTCCTGCGCTTCGAGCGCATGCATCTGCAGCCGATTATGTCGCCCAGGGCGATAGTCTCCGTCTTGGCGGTGCCGTTGTGCTCCTTGTGCAGGCTCAGGCCCTTCTCCGTAAGCCGCACCTTGTAGTACGTGTTCCTCCTAGACGTCACGTAGAAGATCTCCTCGAGGACGGCGCTCGAGTTCCCCGAAACGTTGTCGTCCATCGTTCGCCGGTGATGCTTGCTCTCGACCATTTGACAGGACTAGAAGGGCCGGGAGGAACGAGGAAGGAAACGGAGGAGGGCTACGATCTATATACGCACCAGTTTCTCTCTGTCTCTCTCTCTCTCTCTCTCTTTCTTTATCTCTCGTGTTATCGGTCCGCCGTTATTTTGGTCGGACGCGAAATTTCGGCGCTCTATAATCTTCTCTTCCCGCCAATCTTCTCGTGTGCGTAGCGTGCTCGATCAGGCGACGAGAAATTCCGACGAAAACGAGGTTCACGATAACCCTCGACGGCGCGCGTTATCCACGCGTATGTTTATCTCGTCGTGACAGCGTGCGTACCTCGCCGCGTTCTCTCGGTCTCGCTCGACAATATTAGCGATAAGCGAGTGTTTTGGCGGCCCGGCGTCCAGTATCGATTCCTCGAAGGTAGCACGTGTCGGAGCGAGAGAGCGAGCGAGCGAGCGAACCGGACGCGAGTTGCTTCTCCGACGATTATCATCGGTCTAACGGAGACGATCGAACCGCTCCGAGTCCTCACCGTGCAACTTGGGAAGCCGTGGTCACGAAAGAAGAGAAGAAAAAAAATACACAGAGGCGCGTTATCGACGATCTCGCGCGAACAATGTGTTGACGTGTATTCGCTCCGGAAGATCGGTCGCCCTCTCTCTCTCTCTCTCTCTCTCTCTCTCTCTATCTCTATCTCTATCTCTGTCTCTCGAGGCAGTCCGGCTCGCAGCTGATCGAGCGATGCAACGAGGTGACCGACGTCCCCACACTCGACTCGCGACGCCAAAGAGAGAGGATACACGGACGCGCGAAGCGGGACGACGCGGACGCCAAGACCGAGAGACCGGGTCTCTCGGTGCCGTTTCAGGCCCGTATTTATCGGGGCTGCTAACCCTGCGAGCCAGCAGCAGCGTCGTCTTTCCCACCACCGAGTTACCCTCTCCACATGGTGCTACGTACGTGCGTTACATACGTTCAACACCATCTCGCGCTGCATTTCCCCTTCTCCACCTGCCCCCTTCCCATTCTCCACCCTTCCTCCCCCTCGTAGACGGCTATTATATTGGCTGAGAGCTTTAAGACCGAGTCACACTGGCCTAAAAGTGACGGAGCGAAGACTATCGGTGCGAGGTTTTTTTTTACGAGTTTTGTTGTATTTTTTTATGTGTGCTGGATTATTTTTTTTTACAGGAAAAGTTTAGCGTTGAATGAAATAATCCTTCTTGGGAAAGAGATGAATATTTTTTTTAAAGACACGTTCTTCTTTTATGTATTAAATAATTATTCATATAATCGCGAGAATGATTCACAATGAAACTTGAGATAACGTTCAAAGAATGAAAAAATTACTCGGCAAATAATCCAAGGTAAAACCTTGTGTTCAATATATTAACATTTATTTCCGCGTCTTATTTCTAGAATCTGAGTTTAAGAAATGATAAGAAAAACGATGGTCGATTTATTAAAGATAGATCGTGACGCATTAATGTATTTGCCTCATTTTGTATTTGCGTCATTTTATATTCTAATACTATTACTTTTTTTACTAATACTTTTTTTGTTATAATGTTATGCAGCAAAATAAAGTATATATATCTTCAGGAAAAAAATTTAAAATTTCTTAGAACGAGAAACAACATGATTTTTAATCAAAACAGTAACGAGTTGCATTAAGGTACTGATACTGTTATATGTATTCCACAGACTTTAATTGAAATCCATCAAAAAGAGGAAAAAACAATTTTGTTCGATAAAACTTTTGTACTTTTTACCATAAAAACTAAAAGAAGAAAAATGCAAGATTAAATTCGCAAAACATTACATCTCAAAGTGATTAGATACTTTTTTGCTTTACATTTGCGCGATTTAAGTTTCACGTATATCTCTTTGCAAATAATCTCTTTTCTATTATTTTATCAATTTAACGCAAACTTGATAAAAAATGTATAAAATTATAATACTCGATGCGTTTCGATGGCGTGAACGAGCTTTAGTCCTTGGCGCGAAAAGGAAACGGCATATAATTGCACGAAGTCTGTGAGTGCACGATAAAGTGACGGACAATGAGTTAGTACGAACCCATACCTATAAACAATTTTGCTGTAAACAATGATAGAATTCAAGGAAACTCAATAGTCAAATTTGAGAAGACGCTAAAGAAGAAGAAAAAATTCAGAGAATATAAAAAAAAGTTCAATACTCTTATTCCCTTTTTACCTCCTTTTATTCTCTTTTTATAATCCAAAAAATATTTATTATGTATTCCACTATAAAACAATTATTTATAATTTAGATTATTCTCTTTTTATCACATATATATGATAAGAAAAGAATAATGTAAGTTTTTTTTTAATAATTGTTTTATAATAAAAAATAGTTTTATAAATATCATAATTTATTATAATTATAATATATTTATAATATATTTCTATAAATTTACAATTTTTATTATATAAATTTATTTACCATAAATTAAAGTATGTTATATGCTTGAATATAATTTCGACGATATATAATTTCATAAATTGCATTTTCTATAAATAATCTTTTATAACACATTGATCTTTCTTAACAGAAATTATTTATAATTAAATTACTTATAAATGACGATAATAAAAATTTTGTCCTTTTTACAATTTTTTTATTATTTATGAAAGAGAATATCTCTTTCTTATAGAGAAATTATTTCATATAATTTTACACTGCGCAAAAAAACATTATATTCTTTTTCCGTTATAATTATATCATTAATACTTCTATTCTGTAGCTTAAAAATATATACGCCTAATTGATACGTTTAAAAAAAAATACGCACATTACCGATTAGATAAAGTAACTGTAATTATCGTGTCTCGCACAGTGAACTTTGTTTCATTATACTTTAGCAACGATTAAATTGCTAAAGAAGAAAGGTCAGTGTACTTTTTAAATATAATGTATGTTTAAAATTCGCCATATTTCCTAATAAAATACATTACGATTTAAATTATAATTTTTATTACAATTTTTCCATTAGAATGTCATTATTCTTTATTTATAACTATAAAATTTCCAGATAAATATCGGCAATAATAATTTGATAAAGATTGCCATATTCACATGTTTATATGTATACTTAATTATATATCGAAAGCAGTCAGATGTGTGCATAACAATTAATAAAATATCTTTGATTTTATTATATACATATATATATATATATATATATATATATATATATATATATAATATGTATAAAACTATAAAAATATACTTATTTTGTCAACTGTTAACTGTTGACACAGATTAAGATTAAAAGCTGTTCTAATAAATATCATGTAAATTATCACTATCAAATAATTTCTACGATACTTGTAGAGTACAATTATATATTATTAGTTGCTTCTAATCATCTTACAAATATGCACATTTAATCTACAAATTTGTGCGTATTATATAAAAATATTGTAAATCAATTAAAAGATACTCACGAAAATTAATCTTCGTAGGCAAGCGATAAATTGAAAACTGACACTTACAGCGTTCACACACATTTGTTTATATTTATAGATTTCTCGCGATTGTATTCCAAAATAATTGGAATCTGCAATATATATTTGATTTACAATAATCGGAATAAGTTGTAATTAATTTTTGAATATCCGACGTTGTTACAGATCTTCTCGAATCGAGTCGAGTATTTGATTCAAGTCCAAATAATCGATGTATTTCAACTCGATTGTTGTTGATTGCTTCAAATTTTTTTCTAGTATTCCACATATTCGATATGTCCATTAAACTACCAGTATACTAGAGTTCTTTCCTATACTATCCTATAGGAAATCGAGACCACAGAATTAGAAAGGGACATATATTTTTGGATGGATTTCTGTCTCTTGTTACATTATTTATCGAAATTAAAAACATTTCTCATTAGATATTTAGCGATAAGAAAACGAAGCAGCGATAAAAAACACAGTTTCCAAAAGATGTTTTCATATTTATTTACGAATTTAAACAGTGAAATTATTGAAAATAGTCGCGAATTAATTTTTCTTTCAATTCGTAAAATACATAAAATACATAAAGTCGATATTTTTGATTATGATACTAATAAATATCAACCAATCAGCGAGTCCCTGACAAAGACAGAGATCCAACCAATATCTATGCATCCTTTTCTATGAATTGAATTATTGGATGGATTCATGGATATGCGACCGTAAAGCATGACAGTCGAGCAAAAATTAGAGTAACCATAGTAATCAAGAACAATAGAGTTATTCGAATTCTTCGATATATTCGCATACGTATTCGCTTTGAAAGGTGATTATTTTCTCGTAAGCTTTCGGAAAAGAATCACATTTGTCTTCTCGCAATTTTTTCAACCTTATGAATAATATTCTTGCACGGTTAACCTATAAATTTCATCAGTGCCTTTTTTTCAATCAGTTAAGACAACTTTGAAACTCAATTTCGAGAATAAAGAGAAAACATTATTCCTCTTTCCTTTTTTCTATTTATTTCTATTATAATTTATTATTTTAATTTATTTCTTTAATTTATTCTTAATTTAATTTATCTTTAATTTATCTTTAATTTATTATTTTAATTTATTTATTTTAATTTATTTCTATTATAATTTATTATAATACATAATTTATGATATATTTGACACAATTCGCGTATTTTATCGTTTTTGTATTCATTTTTAAAATATTCAGAAACGTTACAATTTCAAACGTCTAATCGAGAATAAAAATACACATTTGTTTCGTTTCATCACGATTAATCGCAGTATCGATATAGAGTTACTTGGTGTAAACAAACGTCATATGTGCTCCCGCATTCGTGTCCAATTGTAAGCGGTGTGGGCGTTATCGTATCATGGCGATCGCGCACTCTTAACAACTGGTGAACAGCTGATTCGGCGAATGTTTTCCCGCGTGATATAACATAACATACGGTTCGCGAAGAGCGCGACAGATCCAAATCTATATCGACAGATCCGTCCCTCTGTCTCTCATCTCTCTCTCTCGCTTTTTTTCGCGGCTGTCTTGTTTTTGTTGACACGAGCGGAAAGATGTGTATTGACGTGTCCTAATGACGTAATTGGTCGAAGAGGCGAGACGGTCCCACGAATGTCCACGTACATACACGTATGTGCGATCAATCGCGCGCTTTGTATATCGCGTGCCTGTCATGAGCACGCTAAGGTCACCGGCATTCGGTGCTTTGTAATGTGAGGAGTCGTGTCGTGGGGAAAAAAACGGAATCCCGCCGAGCTATGATGTCCAACGGGGGCGCCGCGTTCCTGCTGTTCCTAACGTTGTCGCTCGCGTTGTGCGCGGAACTGGAGAGTGGCTCGAAGAAGCGCGGCGATATCACGCAAAAGTCAAATTCCAACGAGGAGACGGACGAGGAGGTCGCCGAGGACCTGGAGACCGCCTTCGAACAAATACGCGAGCTGACTGCTCTGCGCGATACGATCATGAAGATGGTACCGACGTCCGATCCGCTTTACGAGAAGATTAACAAGCAAGTGGGCAGGAAAGAGGCGGAGAGCAAGACGGAGAGTCAGGCCAGCAAGGAGACCTTGGAAAGTCCGGGGCCTAGAAGTGTATGGATGAAGACTATGATAGCCGAGACGAAAGACACGGATCCTCTGGTTATCGGGAGACAGCTCGATAATGAGGATATAGAGTCCTGGGACAATCGAGAATTGCTCGAGAGATTGCTCAACGAAGAGGAGATCCAAGAACCGTTGTCGCCGGAACAACAGACAGGTAGGTCAAAAGTCAAGTGGGTTGCTTGCTTTTGTTGACAGAGATAGCCTGCAGTTCTTGTGTATCTTTTCTTTATCGTTACAAAGTAACAATCTTCCAGCTGAACAGTTATTCAAGAATGCACAGAATATTTTAAATGCGATGCGTGCCAACAAGTCCGAGGGTTACGAATTGCTCATCGAAGCAGCAAAGTTGGGTCATCGAGAAGCCAGATCTATATTAGCATGGGCAAGATTACTTGGATCTCGTTTGGGTCCTGCATCTTTGCGAGTGTCTATTGATGATATGCCTAGTATATTTGAAATATTCAAAGAGCTTGCAGACACTGGCCTCCCATCTGCTCATATGGTATGTACATAGTATGGTAAATAATATTAAGCTCAACAAATTTAAAACAATAATTATATATTTATATATAGGGAATGGGATTTTTATATGCGACTGGTATTGGCGGTGTTAATGCATCTCAAGGAAAAGCTTTACTCCATTATACTGTTGCTGCCCTTGGTGGAGATACTAGGGCTCAAATGGTTATGGGATATCGCCATTGGGCAGGAGTGACAACACCAGCGTCTTGCGAGCGAGCTCTGGATTTCTATCGAAAAGTAGCGAAGAAAGTCGCGGAGGAAGTATCGTTAAGCGGTGGTCCGGTAGTCCAACGTGTTCGATTATTGGATGAAAACGAAAACCCGGGATACAGCTCCGGAATCTTTGATCAGGATTTGATAGAATATTATCAGTTGTTAGCCAAAAAGGGCGACACTCAGGCGCAAGTTGGATTAGGTCAGCTTCATTATCAAGGAGGTAGAGGAGTTCCGTTAGATCATGAAAGAGCTGTACAATATTTTCAACATGCTGCTGACGCTGGTAATCCAGTCGCTATGGCTTTTCTTGGAAAGGTATAGAATCCCAAGTAATAATGCTTAGATATATCTGATGATTAAGATTATCTGTTGCATATATAAAATTATACATATTAATACTACTCTATGTAATTACTCTATGTAATTACTTTATTATGGATGTATTGCTCTGAAATAATTATAATAGTATTAATTTTTTTTAACTCATATGTTTACAGATATACTTAGAAGGAAGTGAAATCGTCAAGCAAGACAATGAAACAGCATACAAATATTTCAAGAAAGCTGCAGAATTAGGCAATCCAGTAGGCCAAAGTGGATTGGGTCTCATGTACTTATATGGGATGGGAGTAGAGAGAAATACTGCAAAAGCGTTGCAATATTTTAGTCAAGCTGCAGAGCAAGGCTGGGTCGATGGACAATTGCAATTGGGCAATATGTATTTTAGTAAATATCACTACTTATATTTGTGTGATCATTTTGTCATCTATATAAGATAATTATTTATTGTTGATCCATATAAATAATATTTGAATTGAAATATTTCAGGTGGTACAGGTGTTAGACGAGATTATAAACTGGCAAATAAATATTTCACCTTAGCCAGTCAATCTGGTCATGTGCTGGCATATTACAATCTTGCTCAGATGCACGCCACTGGTACTGGATTAATGAGGAGTTGTCCGACAGCTGTAGAATTAATGAAAAATGTTGCCGAAAGAGGAAAATGGAGCGATCAACTGATGGTAGCGCATAACGATTACAGAGACGGCAGAGTGAACGAAGCCTTTCTGAATTATGCTCTATTTTCCGAAATGGGTTACGAGGTCGCGCAAAGTAATGCGGCATTTATTTTGGACAGAGGAGAGACGGATGTTCTATCAGAAGAGGAAGGTTTAGTCAGAGCTTTAGCGTTGTGGGCGCGAGCTGCCGCGCAAGGATATTCTGCGGCACAAGTATAGATCAATTTTATTAATAAAGATGTGCACGTGAAATTTGCACATTTTCAACGTTTTGTTTTGCTTCAGGTAAAACTTGGCGATGCGCATTACTACGGCAGAGGAACGAAAATTGATTACGAGATTGCGGCGGGTCACTATCGTTCGGCATCCGAGCAACAGCACAACGCTCAGGCCATGTTCAATTTGGGATATATGCACGAACGTGGTTTAGGTTTGGCAAAAGATCGCCATTTGGCTAAGCGATGTTACGATTTAGCCGCGGATGCTAGTCCCGACGCGCGAATACCTGTAGCGCTAGCTTTGATTAAACTCTCCTTCCTATTTGGAATCGATTACCTGCAGGAATTCAGTTTGGTCGATCAATTGGATAAGTGGGATCAATTGCTCGGACAGAACTGGGATTTATATCTTATCGGATTTCTCACAGGAATGCTCAGTCTTATTATATACTTCCGCAGACCGCAGCCACCTCCCCCACCGAGACCTCCTGTTAACTAAATTTTGTACTTTCATTCATTATATCTCATATACATATATAAATATATATAAATATACATAGATTTTTCTAGGATAAGCTGGGAAGGAATTTTATAAAAGATTCATATTCGCGGGAAATCATTTTTGATAATGTGATTTGTCTTTCCGATGTTGCAGAAAGAATAATCTCATGTTCACATTTGAATGTTTTAAATGTGTGTATCATAGTAATTTATTTCTAACACTTAGACTATTGGAAATAATTTACTTTTAAATTCGTCAAAGATCATATAACGCTGCCCTTGGCATAATTTTTTCGTAATTTCTATTTTGTTTAGCTCTACTTTCTCATACTTGATTAATTGATACGCAGACTCTGAGCTAGTTCCTAGTTTATCAAGTTCCATTACTACGCTCAATGTATGTCGTGTGAATAGGAATATTATCTATAAATGAACAAGTTTGTAAAAAACAAATTTCTTCTTTCTATAAAATAATATAATAATTATCAAATTCACAAATTCAAATTCGCTCCATACATCATATTACTTTCATACAATATTGGTGGTGTCTTTGCAGCAATATATAATTTTGTCGTGATTTTGTATTATTAAATCAATTATTAGCTTTCTTTAGTGACACACATTTGTAACTGTCTTAGTTTACGTACAGAATAGACATACTAAGATATTATAAAACATTGCTGTAATATAAAATACGAATTAAAAAATTGTTGATTATTTATCTAATAAAATTGTTTTATTGCCAAAGAATATTATAATCTTGATATATATGGTTACGATATTATTACACAAATGATTGCGTAGATAGGCAAATTGATTTATATGTAAAGCCAAATGAAAGCAAAACTTAAAGATATGTATGTTAAATATACAGTGATATTTTGATTTCATATATTCTTGTTTTGCAACTTGCATATTATTCTATTGTATTGTATAGGATATATCAAAATTTGTGATGACTTTATGATCAAAAGATCCTAGATGAGCAAAATCAAAATATAAATTTACTTCTATTTTTTCATTGCTGCATATAAGTAAAAAGAAAATTTTATTTAAAAAAGTATCACAATTTGAAATATCCTGTGTATAAAAATTATTATTTATATATATTAGTTAATATTTTTTTTATTTTTTGTAATAATCTATAAGTATTGTATTATTTGTGAATTATTGTATTATTTGAGAATTGTGTTATTTTAGTTGATTTATTATTAATCACATTATATTTGTTCGTGTATACTTTACATATATTCTTGTGTACTTTTATATATTCTTTCCTGTAGAAGATATATTTGGGTCATTATCTTTACTATGGCAACGCACAAACGCAGACATCAAATCTGAAGTCGACGTTTGATGTCGCCGAATCTGATGTTCAGTACAGTTGATATCGAATTTAAAATCTCTTTCGACTTGACAATATGTTTTTGACGTAGTTTAAAGCACAAAGTTACAATAAAAAAGATTTGACAAGCACTTCGTAGACGAACAATGATATGACATAATTAACGAATAATGCTGTCAAGATGCTTAGAAAAAAGAAGAAAGAGAAAGAGAAGAAAGTGCGGAAAAAATGTTTGAACGAACGAGAAACTTTGTCCTACGAACAGCAAATTCTAGACAACAATAAGCAATTGTCGCGGTTCGTTCAAGAATGAAAATGAGACTCATCTTAGCTATAGTTGTCTTGTATTAATTAAGATATAGTTGTCTTGATTTACTTATATCATTTTTTGCGTTTTAAGATTGCGGAGTAGAAATGAGGAACTCGAGCACGAGGTAAAAGTTATAACTAAGAAGTTGGAGCAATTGAAGGAGGATCGATCTGACGTCGTGGCGCACTTGAAACGAAACTTGGAGGGAAAGATAGAGGAGGCCCGAGAGCTGAGCGAACGTTTATTGGCTTTGGAAGAGCTAAGGAAGCAGGAACAGGCCGACTACAAGAAGAAAGAGAGCGCGATGGAGCTCGAATATCGTACTATGGAGAGTAATTTAAGCGCGGAAGTGAAACTCGCAGGTAAAATACTTGAGTAGAATAGTATGGAAAAATTCTCTACGCGTTTTACTTTTAGCCGGGAAGCTGAACGCTTTAGAAGACTGGAGATTAGCCCGTTTGGATTTGATGCACAAATTCGAGGTACAGGAGGAGCAAATCGCGAAACAAGAGGAGTCCCACAAGACGACGCTCTACGAAACGGAGAAATCAGTTATTATTGCAAAGGCTAAGTTAATAATAATTTGTTGATCAAACATTCATCATTGTACCTAAGTAACGTTTGATTAACTCTGCGAAAAATTATTAATATTGTTGAAAATTCTCACCAAGCGATCTTGTAACAAACAAAGAGAAAAATCAATGTTCTTTTTAGTTCTTCTTAGTTTAGCTATTTTTTTTAAATTCGTTACAAGTTTGTGATTTCTGGAATATTGAAGACCCTTATTGCGTCATTGCAGAATGCAAAAGGAGATGGAGGAACGATTAAAGCAACTCGCTCAGGAATTTAAAGAGGCGACGAACATCCGTATTGCGGATATGATGCATAACACAGTCAGGAGAAATATTGCACTAAATCATGAGTTAAACACGATGCTGAAGGTCTGCGAGGATCTGGAAACGAAGAGCGCGGAGTGCAAAGAAAACGATCGCCTCCTCAGATTACAGTGCGAATTATTCGAAAACGAGGCGAAAATTGCGCTGAAAGATGCGATGAGACAGCAGCGTGTTATACACAATCTTGCCCAGGAACACATAAATATGGTCCTCGAGTATGGACGAATTCAACGAGAAAATGTTCGGTTCAACAATTACGAACGACTGATGAACGAGTACAGGGCGATCTGTGCAGCATCGGAACAGAAGACGAAGATGCTCGAACGACAATTGCAAGAAACGAAAAAAGCCAGGGAAGAAATCCTGACAGAAGTGCGGAATAAATGCGAGGAGTTCGATAAATTGAACGAGACTTTGAAGGAAGCCAAACGATGCGTCCTAGAAGCCTTACAGGTACATACATCTTCATTAGGCAAATTAATTATGTTTATTATATATTAATTTATTAATATATTATATGTTAATTTTTCAAAAATTTATTATTTATGAATTAATTATTAATTTTTTCTTATATCTACACATGCGTGGTTATGTAAAATATATACATAATAAAGGATCCATAATTAATTTTTTTTTTAGTTACAAGAGGATACTTGCACGAGCGATATTTGTACTTCATGTGGTGCCGATCAGAAGCAGAAGATTATTTATTCGCTTCAAAATATCCTGGAAAAACATAATATTTCCGATATAATCAAAGACAAGTCACAGGTGAAATGCAATACAATTATATATAGATAGATAAAATATAGATTTTAATATATTTAATTCTCTGCAAATATTTTAAAAATAACTAAGTAATGTTCAATAGAATATTTTCAATATATTTTACATCACATTCTTAAAACTTATTTAGAAAATAAATTAATGGTATGAAATGTGTTAAATTATAATATATAATATAATTTCAGATATAAAATCGAATCTGAAACTTTAGAATAATGGAAATCTTTCACTTTATATTTCTTATCTTCACTTAGAAGAATGCAAGAGAAAAAGCACTTTTAATCGACATTCGCGGGATGCAATGCTATTTTTTAAATATCTGAAATTGTGTACGTTATCCGTAAATCGGTTATGTGAGAAAATTCTGCGTATGCGCATTTGTTTAGAAAATTATAATTTTACACTGATGATTATTCGAAGAATTTTCGTTGTCAATGTATCTTGTAACATTTTCTTGCAGTCTCGATGTTGCTCGATATCGAGATTTAGTAAAAAATTTTTTTATATAATTAGACAAAACTGATTACGTCTAGTTATGCAAACTTGAATATCAATTTTATCCATATAAGAACATTAGTAATTAGAAATATAATATGCCAACAAATTCAAGTTATCATTGATTAAATGATTTAATTTTTTACAACAGATCCACGTGCGTGTTTTATTATTCCTAATTGTTTTTGATGGACTCTCTACTCTCCATTCGGAAGCTGATAACATGTTTCCAATGATAAATTGGTCATGTGTCCACATCACGTTTCTAATTGCTAATGTTCTCTGCCGAAATTAATGCATCGACTTATGAAATACCTTCTATTATAGTCATATGCATACATGATATATATATATATATATATATATATATATATATATATATATTATTCAGATATAAAATAAAAAACAAATCCAGGCAAATCTTGGCAATTCTACCTTATGTTTAAGTAAAAGTATTCAGTCTTTCAAATTCACTGAATATAAAAGATATTGGATTCTGTAGATATCTTAGTAAATGTAAACATCTTCGAGCCAAAATTAAAGATCAGATGTATATCTCTTTGCTTTATAAAAATATAAATACAATAAGTTATTGTGTACGATGTGGAATTGCTTGAAAACTTTTATCGTTTTCGGATAAATACAATTTTTTTTACGTTCTATCATTTGAACACGGCATTGTCTTTGTATTTGAATCATTTGAAATAGATCAGTTAAAATTATATTTCATTAGTAAAAGTACACCATATTTTGCTAATTAAAGAAAAAGAGCCTTCTGTATTGTTGCAGGCAACTAATATATTATAATAGTAATGAAAGTATTAATAACAATTATTACATATGTGTGTTGTTTTTAAAACTATTAAAACATATTCACTATAACATTATTTTAATGCTAAAATATAACATGTTCTATTATATATATATATGCTATATTGTGTGTGTGTGTGTGTGTGTGTGTGTGTGTGTGTGTGTGTGTGTGTGTGTGTGTGTGTATTATAACGTGTGTGTGTGTGATATTACATGTATGCTTTGCATACCTAAAAGAAACAGTGAAACAACAGTAATGGCATAATATTAAAAGAAAATTTATTTTGCAATTATTTATATCAAGGGACATAATGAGGCATAATTTTGTTTATTTATTTATTAGCATTTTATCTAGATTTTTTGCAATATGTAATATAAGTATATCCCAATCAAAGTTAATAAGTTAAAAACAAAATTTTCATCTATCCTGATAGGAAAATTATGAAAACATTTTACAACAATGACATCATGATTTGATAAAAAATTTCTCCATAATTGCACTAATGATTCGCCATATCATTATTATTTTGTTAAAATACTATTTAGAAATTAATTATTAAAAAAGAGTTATTAATATTTTATAAAAGATCAATATTTTTACATCTAATTTACATCTATTTTTTAAAATATATCCATATAATTGCAATCACAAATTTCACATAAAATTTTGTTATATAATTTTATATATTTTATATAATTTTAATATGTTGTTTGTTGGTATTGTGTGAATTCGTTGAAAGATTAAAATTTCTCATTTATAGAATAATCTACAATTAAATATGATTGTATTTGAACTATATTTGTTACTTATATTTATACATAATACAAAGCATATATATAGGCTGGTGTCCCTGAGCATGAGCTCACGCACTTGTGAGAAGGTAGAGCGCAGTAAGTTAAATAAAGAAATCGTATTTCATGTAATGATTTTTGTAATAATAATCGAAATATTAATTCTTGAAATCGAACGAATGATAGAAGCGCTCGATTACCCGAGCTATAGCGCGCCGACAGGCAATGTCTGACACGGGCCGTGTTCCGAAACACGCCAGTTTACTGCCAGCACTGAAAATATATAATATACGTAACGCGCACTATAGAATTTGCATTACTGGCAGTAATTTCATAACACGGCCATGGTGGGCCATGCTATAGCTCGAGCGGTCGAGCGCTTCTCTAATTCGTTCGATTTCAATAATTAATATTTCGATATTATTATTACAAAAATCGTTACATGGAATAGGATTTTTTTATTCAATTTACTGCGCTCTACCTCCTCACAAGTGCGTGAGCTCATGCTCAGGGACACCTTGTATAATTATATATTATTAGATTATAATAGATTAGATTAGATCATGTTTTTACGAGTCTAGAAAATATAAGAGAAAAAACGCGAAGTGCATGCAACACTATCTTTTAAATTGTTTACGCCATACATCCGTAAATCGGTCATGTGATAGAGTTCTGCGTATGCGCAGATTTTCGTTCAGAAAATAACAATCTCATTCGAGGGATTTTACTGCCAATACATTTTGTAAAAGGGACATTCTCTGTAGTCTTCTCCGATGTTTGATATCGAGATACGTTTAGAGGATACGTACAGAGGAAAGCTACGCCTAATCAGCTGATCAGGCATAGCGCGGTCTCGTGTCATCGAGAGGTCATTGGATGAGAAGGTATATTACATAAATATACGCTGACTCGCAAGCTAACGTTATATGCGACCGACACCTGTGAAATCCAGTGTTATTCGGAGAGTCACGAATACATCAGACATGTCTGTATACATCTAGATAGATGCGACGTAATTGCTATTATGGAAAGTGAAAGTATCATCAAAAGTCAAGCCGGTGAGGCGGATGCAATTTTAAATGACGATCTGGAGTTTTGGATGACACGACTTCCGGCGCCCTTGAAGGATATATCTATAATACATCTGGCGATACCCGGTATGTTCAAATCGTTACGCTTGAAAAAGTCAACTAATACGCAATTTTTTATATTGCCAAACAATAAGATGTATATATTTCTGAGAAAGCAAAAGGACACAGATATTGATTTACAGTCGAAATATATAATTTTTTTAAATCCTATTATATTTAAAGTACAAATACTGAAATTATTTAATTACTTATTTCGTTTCTTATTTAGAATAATCAGTTTTTTAAAGATTTAGAAACTAAATTATTTGATTTCATAACTTTATATAAAATGAGATCTTTTAAATTTATAAATATATACTTTGTACACAACAGATCAATATTTTTGGTGCTAAAGGAAAAAGTTCGAAAAATACAAAAAAAAACTTCATTAATTATGCAAACATCATGTATAATCTTTTTAATTATTTCTCACCTTTATAATTAATTTTCTTTATCAAAAGCTAATATGAACAAGTAATCGAATGACGATATTTAGCATCCACAGTATATACACATATATGAACGTATATATGAACAATTGATATTATCTTCAACAGGTTCTCATAATACCATGACTTATACGATTCAGAAGCATAACGATGTGGGACCGGACGAACCGGCCTTCATCCGTACGCTCGGCCGTTACTGCTCCTTCATTGCTAAGCCCATTATTCTAAATTGGTCTATTACACAATGCGATGATATCAAGCAACAGCTCAATGGCGGAATCCGATATCTGGATTTGCGCGTTGCCACGAAATCAAGAGACAAAGCCGTGTACTTTCTTCATGGTTTGTACGGCTCGGAGATTAGTAAGCCGCTTCTGGATATTGCCGATTGGCTTACCTCACACGCAAACGAGATAATCATTCTTGACTTCCAACACTTCTACGCCTTTACGGACAACGATCATTATCGTTTCATAGAGAAGATACAGCGGATCTTTTCCGGGAAAATGTGCCCGGTCTCCGCCAAATTCGATCATTTGACGCTGCAATGGCTCGTCGCGAAACGATATCAAATGTTTGTGATTTACAGGAACGTTTACGCACAGAATTACTCGAATCTATGGCCGTCCGCTCTCTGGCGCACTGTATGGCCCAACACTGTCAGCGTGAACGAACTGATCAATTTCTTGAACCGCGAATTGCAGAGAAGACCCTTTGACATCGCATTCGTATCGCAATGCCTGTTGACACCGAATACGCCCTACGTAATGAAACATCCGTGCGCTACCTTGAAAAAGAATCTGATGCCGCTCTGTCAAAAGCAGATTCTATATTGGATAGGTGAGAAAGAACCTGGCCGCGGTAGACTGAATATAGTTATAGCAGACTTCGTGTCAAACGGCAACTTTTTGTTTTCCAAAACTGTTATTCAGAGTAATATGAAACTCTTGCGCAAGTCTACAGAAATTTCCTGAACTAATCTCGCGTCTAAAGGTACAAAATATACAATACGGTAGTCTTTAGATATTAATGCGTTTGGTCTCATATATATAAATATATATAAATATATATACATATATTTATTTATATTTTCTCATATTTATATTTTCTCATATTTATATTCATATATTCAATTCATGATGAGTAAATATAATTTAAAAACTGTCGATTGTTTAACATATGATTAATGGTAAAATGATAAAATTAACATGAACAAAGCTATTAATATATATTATTAATATATTTAAATTTTTAAAATGTATATGTCTTATATCCACCTATTAATCGTAATTATACATATTTAAATTAGACACTGTGGCACGTTGTTTGGAAAAACAGATTTTTAATTACCATTGTTATATACAATAAATAATACGTATATTTCCACTTTATGTACTCTAGGATAAGCTCAAATCCGATTTTTATACAATAATTATACTCTTTTTCTTTATATATTTGATGGATTTATAATAATATAAAAAGATATTAGATACATTTGAGTCAATACATAGTTTTATAGAGATAATGTCAATTATTAAATTAATAACATGTTTATCTTAGATAAGAAGATTCTTAAAATGTTAATTTCTTTGGATACTGGAAATATTAAATGTTAACATTTAAAGGAAAACAATTTCACTATCTCATCATAACAATTTGTTGGTGTGTAGCATCAAAATAAATATAGTATCATTTCTAATACATGTATATAGTAGATGCTAAATTTTTTATTATAATTTTTAATTCAACATGGAGAAATATTATATGTCTCTATGATATTTAAGTATACAAGCTGGCAGTAGAGCAAATAAAGTATACGTCACACAACAAACTTACCATTCGCAGGATATTCGCGTTCACAGTCGTTTGTACTTTCTTTAATAAGTTCAATACTTTGTGTGTAAGGACGCTGAATGAATACGTGGATCGATGAAGATTTAAATTTAGCATAATTTGGACGAAGTACATTTTTCAACAAATTCTTCTCTTTGCGAATATTTCAGCGGTAGTAAATGGTTCTCTAGAATCTGCGACCAGCTCGTTAGTTTTGATCGTAACTGGTCATAAAGCTTTCACCTTGAGTTGCTTCATTCTAGGAGCACGTTTTTTCGCCAGTCTTCGTTGTTCTTTCTCTTCCCATTTTCTTTGTTTATCAGGATCCTCCTCTTGGAGAATTCTCTCCTTCTCGGCTCTTCGACGCTCTTCCCGTCTTTGCGCCGCGGCTTCAGCTCTTGCGGCGTGCGTCGTCTTCAAAAAAGCCTCCTCTACTTTGAGTCTATTTTTATCCGCTTTATTTTTACTCTATATACAATAAAATTTTACTTACTAATTATAATATTTTTCAAGAATATTCTCCACTATAAAGTAAAGAAATACAAACCTCTTTAGATAACTTGAAACGTCGTAGTTTATCGATTAAATAAAAAGTAAGTTGAAGTAGAAGTTTGAGTCTCTCCTGAGTTTCCGCGTTACATGTGCGACCTTTAAGACTTATATTCAGGCCCATCAACAATACCCTTTTTACTTCAGGCATTGTTAATTGAGTAGTATCTCTGGAATAAGATTATTATTACTATCATTAATATTATCTGTCCTGATTTAATATCAAAGATCAGCAATGTGCAAACAGTTCTATGCATTTGCTACATAGAATCCATTTAAATTGTCATAGATCATATAGTCATATTAGTTAACGTATTTAGTAGTTGATATATATTTACTTACTCTTGTTGTTTGCGTCCACTGAATTGATCGCTAATGTGAATGTAATCTATATAAGGCGTAAATTTTGAGAAGGTTTGCAGAACTTTGGTGTCCAAGATAGCCGACGTTGTTTCTGCGATCTCGGACATTACATAGAAACCTGATGGAAGACCGAATTTTTCCCCAGGTCGTTTCTCCGGGCAATACACACTGATGTCAGCCATATCGCGCACCAAGTGCATTGCTGTTCGTTTTGTAGCAACTGCTAAAACGAAGTTGTCTATCTCATCCTTTGAGAGCTCTACATGTATGTGAGCTTGATCATTTTGAGGACGCACTAATTGAGCTAAGACAGCGACTAAATCTTGTCTCTTTATTAATTTCAATTCGATGAGCATCGAGTCGCAGCCGACCCGTCCTGAACAGTACAAACTATATTGCGATTCGCTCTCTTTCATTAAATCATTGTCGTTGACGTTATCACCTGATTTATTTGAATGACCAACGAGAGAGAAATTATCCAACAGGAGTTGCTTATGATCTATTAACCATTGCTCGGCTATACGAGCATTCCTCGAACGTCCTACTATGTAATTTATAAAGTATACCAACAATCCAATGATCATTAGTATTTCTAAATAAAAGCTATCCCATCTATCCCGCAGATGTAACGGAACTTTCGTAATGGTCAATGTCGAAGGTTCATCGGTTTTTGGACCAGCATTACCTCCTGCAAGGTCCAAGCCTTCAAATTCTTCCTCATCTTGGAAGTGATCAAATTCACTGTCTCCATCTGCCACATCTGAGACGTCTACCTCGTCCTCCTCAAAATCTTGATCTTCTTTCTGTATCGATTCTGATACACGTTCAACATGTAGACTTGGCTTTTCTTCCTCAAAATCTTCAAATTCAGCAAATTCATTATCTTCGGGTACTTCTTCCTGGAAATGCGCCGTAACCCATAGATTAGTAGCTACTAATACGATGTGCGCTATTACAATCCACAATTTCATGTTACCTGAAACAGAAAATAATAAAAAGATGTAGGTTTACATTTCACTTTATAATTGAAATTTAAAAAAGTTTATTATTTAATGTTTTTTCTATTAATATTTTTATTATCTATCTTGTTGAAATATTTAACTTATATTATAATTCCTATACAAAATATACAGGTGCCAATTTTGGGAATAGTTGAAATAATAAAAATATAATGAACATATTGCAAATTTATAGAAAATATAATTAGAAATTTTCTTTAAAAAAAAACTAGATACATCAATGTTCAAGATTACTTATTCAATAATTTTAATCTATAGAATTTCTTGACATATATAATTTAATATTAAGTTATATATTTAAAAAATGTTTTTCTCTGACGGATAAAATTTTTGTTCTACATCTTGTCAAAATATACGTGTGCACACTGTCTTTTTAATTGCGTAAAAAATACGATTTTGTAGAATTAACCTATCATGTAAAACTGATGCTTGTCATCGCGATGGGATATCTTACCGGTTAATGTAAACTATTTTACGTATAAAAACGATTCCTTGTCATCGATCTCAGTTATGAGACGTAAACGAAAGTAAATTATAACAAATACCGCGATATACCGACACTGACTGCCCCTCGAAGAAACGACAGATGACTCGCATGACTTGTCGCATGTGACGAAAGTGCATGTAAATGTATATACAAAAACCTATTATGAGTGTGCAACATCACTTCCTCAATACGAAATTAGCTACTTTTTATATAAAATAAATTATATTGTAATTTATATTTATACTTAATTTACATATTTAAAATACATTAATTTATATTTATATTTTTTATAAAGTAATTTATATATATTTACATTTATATTGGCTACTTTATTTTTATATAAAGTAAACGTAGTAAAAACAATGGGTCTGTTCTTTTCGGCTGTACTGCTACACTCGTACAATTAGAGTTAGAGTGAAAGAAAGTATGTTTGTCTCTTTCTAATTTATTGCACTAGTGCAGCAGTGCAACTGAAAAGAACAGATCCAGTATAACAACGATATATTTATACTATAGAAAATATATATAAAGAATATAATATATAGTAAATAAATTTCAAAGACGTAGACAAAATAATTTTATTCGTTAAAAGCTTTTATACATTTGACATATTTTTACACAAATGTTAGGTGTCACATGCTCGCCTTTCATGAAATATTGCTGAATTTTGATAATTTGTTTACACTTGCAAAATCTTCCCCCCTCTTTCCCATCCCATAATCGGAAGAATTCCGCCGGTCGGTAAAACAGAATTCCATTGGGCGCGCTGAAAATTATCGCGATTTTCCCGACTTTGTTTCTTGGATACTCGATGACGTAACGCGATATTGATTCGGCGTCCCCGGCGTCGCAGCGACAGACATGGTGCTCGCGCGCACGCTTGACGTTTGACGTCGCGCGTTCCTCTTCCTTCCCTGTCAAAACAATCGTGCGATCGCGTTCGCGTAGCGAACGATTAGCGTATCGAGTGTCGTGGCGAGTAATAATTCGCGTGCTAGCTAAACGCGATTCGCGTTCGCGACGGTCGCGACGGGTTCCGCCCGCGAGAATCAATATGCGTGAGCGACACAACGGCGGTACCGTTGACAGCAAATCCTTGGGCTAAACAATGGATCAATACCAATACCTTGCGGCGGAGAGCGACTCGTAGAAACGGTAATGAATCGCCGCTCCTTGCTCCCCTCGTCTCCCGCGAGCGAGACTCTTTAGTTTGTGCGTTACACGTGTCGTTTCTCGATCGGCGAAACGCTGAAACGTTAATCTCTTAGAGAGAACTGTTGTGTTCTCTCTCCTTGCGTCCACGCACGTACGTACGTATATTTAACCCTTAACCGCATACGCGAATCCGAATTTGACAGGTGTCTTGTGCCTTGATGTAACGCGAAAAAGATAAGCTGATAATTCATATCTAGGAGGCAATCTTGTTTAGTTTCCGATTAAATTAATCTCTTTGATAGGTATAACGTAACATTGAAAAAATGCAGATATGTGAATAAAAATGCAGATATGTGAATAAATAATATTAAATATGATTAAATATGAAATTATATATTGCTCTTATTTTCTGTTGCAAATATTCTATGGGATTGTATTTGGAGTTCAAGGAGGATAACGATCGTGTACACCTATAATTTTATAACGAAACATTCTGTAAAATTAATAAATGATGACTCAGATAGAAGATAAAATGAATATTTACTTTTTCTGAAAATATCATCGAACTTTCTTTTTAACTATGATATGACCATGCATCTTAAATTTTATTTACAATATATACTTGCTATTTTTAAAATATATTAAACGTATTTAAAATGAAAAATATCTTCGGCAGGCAATTTTCTCCCTTTCGAGACTATAGTATTTTATTTTCAGTTGCTAAAGTGTAATAATTTTACACTTTTGTATTTTTTTTTACATATTCATATCATGTATGGGACAGTCTCGTAATATATTTTTGCATGCTAAATTTTATCGATTCGAGTCGTGCGAGCATAGCAACGCTAAGCTTCACAAAAATAATATAAAAATATTGTAGCGATGTGAGGCATAAAATGTTATTTAATTATTAATATATAAGTAAAAATCTTTCAATTTTTTCGTAATTATTTATTGCTTGCAATTTCAGTGATACGGTTTTAATTTCTTTCTTTATTTCATTTTGATTTCTGTCGCGTTTAAAAGCAGAAATGCTATTATTACAGAAAATATCCAATTTTTCATTTACTTTACTTGTACTACTTTCAACACGAATTTTTCCTCGATTTTATGTAAACAGAGATTAAATTCGTTCAGAAAACTGATTTTATGTAAACAGAGATTAAATTCGTTCAGAAAACTGATTGTCATGTGTGGAAGATAAACACTTATATAATTATAAAATATAGAAATCTAAAAAATTGTGAAAAATATTTAAAAGATGTAGTGACGTAATATTTTTTGTTAAAAACAATCATCTTAAAAAGATAAATTGCGAGATCTGTAAAATTTATAAAGGAAATAGGATACGTAAATTTGTTGTAAATTGAATAAAATATTTTATATGTAAACTTTTTTATTTGTATTTTTATAGTGAGACTATATAAGATTGTTTTAACATATAAATACATCATTTGCAAAAGTTAAGTTTTTTCGTTCATTCGAATTTCATATATATTAAAGAAATAAGTTTGTAAAATATACTAAAAATAAAATTGAGACAAATATTTATCTTAAAACTTAATCTTCTTTACAATTTGTGTTTTAAGAAATATTTAATTAGTAATTATCACGAGCTTCATAATAAAACGTTATCAACATATTACATGTAGTTGTTTTTACATTTTTTTTTTATTTATGTACAAGATATTTTAAAATAGTATAACACCAAGATCTTATGGGGTAATCTCACTATGCGTTCCACTTTTATACATGGAAAATAATCTATTAAGGAAAATTTAAATTTAAATTTAAAATTCTAAAAAAGTCGATTAAAGTAAGCAACTTGCGTTTGAAGGACGAAGAGTAAAATGAAATCCCTTGTTGCAGTCAAGAGCCGCAATATTCTTCACCGCCGACGATGGAGAAATCTGACAACCAACAGAGGACCTGGAAGAAGAAAAGCGTGATGAAATCGAGCACGAACACCGAAGCGATAGCGACGCAATGCGTAAAGGTGGTCGTACGATGCCGGCCGATGGACGAGCGGGAGATCGCGCGCAGTTACAGCCGTGTCGTCGACGTGATCCCGTCCAGGGGTGTCGTCGAGGTGCGGCATCCGCGCGACGATCCGTCCAGCGAGACCGTCAAGGTGTTCACCTTCGACGCGGTGTACGACTGGAACTCCACCCAGCAGGAATTGTACGAGGAGACGGTCAGGCCACTGGTATCCTCGGTACTCGACGGTTTCAACGGCACTATCTTCGCCTACGGGCAAACTGGCACCGGCAAGACGTATACGATGGAGGGCTCGAAGATGGATCACGAGAGACGGGGTATCATCCCGCGCTCCTTCGAGCATATATTCAATCACATCGGTCGATCCGAGAACATGCAGTACCTGGTGAGGGCCAGTTACCTGGAGATTTATCAGGAGGAGATACGCGATCTGCTGCACCCGGATCAGAGTTTGCGTTTCGAGCTGAAGGAGAAACCGGATGTCGGGGTGTATGTCAAGGATCTGTCGACCGCCGTTTGTAAGAGCGCGACGGAGATACAGCACCTGATGAACGTGGGTAATCAGAACAGAACGATCGGCGCGACGAATATGAATGAGCACAGTTCGCGATCGCACGCGATTTTCCTCATCACGATCGAGATGGGCAGCATCGGCGATTGCGGCATCAGGGTTGGACGTTTGAATCTAGTCGATCTCGCGGGTAGCGAAAGACAGAGCAAAACCGGTTCCTCGGGGGAGAGATTGAAGGAGGCGAGTAAGATCAATCTGAGCTTGTCGGCTTTGGGTAACGTGATCTCGGCTTTGGTGGACGGTAAAACGACACACGTGCCGTATCGAGACTCTAAACTGACAAGATTGCTGCAAGACTCTTTAGGCGGTAACTCAAAGACAATTATGGTCGCGAATATTGGTCCAGCCAGCTACAACTATGATGAGACTTTGACGACTCTACGGTACGCTAGTCGTGCTAAGAATATTAAGAATAAGCCTAGGATAAACGAAGATCCAAAGGACGCTTTATTGAGGCAATATCAGGAGGAGATAGGTCGATTGAAGGAGAAACTCGCACAAAAGGGTGTAACGCAACGAAAGAAGAAAAAGCCCAAGAGAAAAAAGGATGATGATGCGATAGATTCAGACTCCGAGGTGGACGATAATAGTCGCGGTGAAGACAATAAGGTAGCCGAAACTGACAAGAAACTCATAGCGGAGCAGTTGAAGGCGGAGAAACAGGAGACCGAGAATCTTGTCCAAAGAATAAAGGACCTAGAGAGCAAGATGCTCTGCGGCGGGAAGAACATAATCGATCACACAAACGAGCAGCAAAGAGCACTGGAGCAAAAGGCGGCCGAGATCGCGGAACGCAAGAGGCGAGAGGTCGAGATGCAGCAGAAGTTGGAGGATGAGGAACTGACGATGGTTGGCGTGAGAGAAACGTACACCACGTTGCAGCAGGAGGTGGATGTCAAGTCTAGAAAGTTGCGAAAGTGCTTTACCAAATTACAGGCTCTGAAACAAGAACTGGAGGACGTGACCAGCGACTACAATCGAGACAGACGGGACCTGGAGCAGGAACAACACGAACTGATGAAGGAACTCAAGCTCAAGTACCTCATAATCGAGAATTTTATCCCCGAGGAGGAGAAGACAAAGATTCTATCCAGAATCCACTTGGATGAGGAGGAGGACTGCTGGGTGATGAATGATCCCGAACCATCGAGCGTAGACATCATCAAGCGACCTACTTCCGTGCCGGGTGCGCGCAGACCCGTCTCGGAATACGCACGAATCGCTCTCGCGATGGGACGCGGATGTCGTTACGCGGGCGAGAACATTCTCAACTTGGACCTCGACATGCCGGCGCGCACGACGTTAGATTATCAAGGACCCGCGATCGCGCCGACGATTCAAGCCGTTCTCGAGGAGGCTCTGCGCGATGAGGGCGACATAGACGTCGACGCGTCGAGCACAAGATTGAGAAGCAAGACACGCTTGCAGTCCGCGGCGCGGGTCAGACCCAAGAGCGTCACCAAGATGCAACAGATCCCGGCGCCGGTTTACCCCAAAACGAGAGGCCTCGTACCGAAGTAAATGGGAAGACCCCGTGCGCGCGCGCGCTTCTTTTCTTATTTTCGTTCGTAAAGAGCAACGTATGTACATATTGTATGAATCGCATCTCTTGTGTGCTTAATTTAATTTCTTCGCGATGATGGTGACTTCGAAGTACGATGGACAAAGGAACGAAATGTGTCTTTACAATTCTCTAGTCATTGTGCAATGCGTAAACATACGATATCGAGCATATAACTGTTACAATAATACAATACAAGATAGACGTTCAGTTGAAATTTCTCTTTCCTTGGGGCCCTATTCTTGAAATCGTGCGAAAAAAAATTATCGTATGCGAAAGTGACGCCGCGCGATCTTTGATCGGTGTATACTCTTAGATCGAAAAATATACACCAATCAAAGATCGCGCAGCGTCACTTTCGCATACGATAATTTTTTTTTCGCACGATTTCAAGAATAGGACCCCTGATCTCTCTGCGTTGTGTAAGAATTATATCGAAACGAAGGATATAGATATTCGGCGATGTAAGATCCTTCATTTTCATTTGCTTAATTTATTTTATTATTTTATTATTTTATGATGCGATTATGCGATATTATTTTTACAAAAACAGGAATATATATTTTCGAGGAGAGAAAGTATATTACAATGTGATATCTTGTGTTATATTTATTAAAGAATTACATTTTTTCCGTAAACGTCAAATATCATTGCGACGTATTTTCTTCCTTCTTTTTTTTTAAAAGACCTAAAACGACTTTTACACAATTATCGTGAACAAAGTTTTGTCAAACATCGTCGTGGGTATAATATAACGTTTTTATATAATACACACAAAAGCGGGACGATAATTATTTATCTCATTAAATATATTACAAACGGATATTGATTTTATAATAAAAACTAAACGCGATATACACATACTGTATAGCACGCGGATAGATTGCTTATTTATTTTACTTACTCTTGTTTTTCTGCTCGAAGTCGCGTACATATCAACAGCACACGTTCACTTCGTGCATATAATTAAAACTCACTCGAAGGCAACGTAACATTGGAGACTTTCACTGTGCACACACCCGCGCACATACATGAAGAATACATAAAGGCTCGCATATGGAAGCGAACTTTGATCTCGATATATGAACGTACAAAAAGATCTCGTAACATTGCATATTTAACGACTATATTTAGCGCGCGCTCTCCCACATATACTTGTCATACGTTGAAACGGGACTGTCCCATTCACAAGCACACAACATTATAACAATTTTTCGATTTGATCGATTTTGACTTTGAAAATATACGCGAATATATTTTATCAAAATAAAGCGCGGACGAGAAACACTTGGATACGCATAAAATCTTTTCAAGTACAATCTCATAAATGGTATATAAATAATATGTGAAATCGCTCGCGTAGAAAGAAATACAAATGTTGTCGCTGCTAATCTCGAAATAGAATCTAATATAAATTTCATTGAAGATACAAATCGCAAATAAATTTGTACAGACATTCGTACCACTATGTATAAAAAGAGAGAGCGAGATCTGGAACGTCTGGAGTTCGCCATAACGCGAATGTTCGGTAAAAGATGTGACGCGTCATCAACCAAGCGGACGATGTATATTTGATTCAATAAAATCGCGGTTGCTGCATATAAGCATCATATTGCTGCGACTGCGGTTGTTGAACGTAGCTAGACGGATGCGCGGTTTGCGGTGGCGCGACGTAAGAGCCATAAGTCTGTTGAGGATATTGATTCGACGATATCGACGGTCCACTGTATTGACCTTGATTACCCATATTACTATAACCCTGATAATTATAACCGTTGTCTATGTAACCTGAATTATTGGGAAACATTTGTTGCGGTTGCTGATAGTTCGTGAACTGCTGATTGGGCACGTTGGGATAGGTCGTCAACGGTTGTCCCTGCGGCCGTGGCTGATTATTCGGAAGGAAGTTTTGATTGTAGAAGCTTCCGGTTGATGGTATCTGCTCGACGGGATTCGCTATCGGCTCGATTGTATCACTACTCAGACTCGTATGTGATTTGGAAACATATTTGTTGGGCAAGTCGCACATAATATTCGCGATTAGACGTTTCGTCTCGTTCAATATCGCGTTCGGATCGTTCGTCTTCGTGGTTTCCTTCTGTCTCGGCGCCGGCGATCGCGATCTCGATCTCGACCTCGAGCGCGAACGCGACCACGATTTCGGCGATTTGGAAAAAGCGCGGGACTTCTTGGCTTTTTCGTTCTCGCTCACATTCTTACTCGCCGCTTTGTAGATATCTTCGTACGTATAATCGTCATCGTCATCGGATAAATCTAACTTTGTCTTCATTTTGTCTTGATCGTTATCCTTTTTAGATTGTTGCTCCTCGTCCTCGTCGTTCGCGAACATATCCACTTTAGGTTTCCATTTGTCATCGTCCTCGGTTGGATTTTGATTTCCTTTACGAGTGGAAAATGGAGAGATGCTCTTCCTACCTTTGCCAATCGTGGCTTCGATTTCCGGAGTCGGTGATTTCGTGCTACTCGATATTGTCGACGTCGTTGATATTACGCCAAGATTGACAAAGTTTCGTAATTTTTCCACCCTAATCGGATCACTCGCTTCGAGCTTTTTCAGGAAATTGATGAGACTATGTTGATCTTGCGTGTTCAAATCCTTAAAGCTTTGCAATTTTACTTTCAGATCCGTATCCGACAGGTCTTCCATTTTCGAGGCTTGCCGTTCTGTAGGATCGTTTGACGCAATCGTGACCGTTTTCGTGGGTTCCACTATTTGAGGCGCAATCCCGACATTGCCAGAATTGCTCGTCAGACCTCTAACAAAATCAGCAGTGGTGACGGGTTTATCGGAATGTTTCGACGCCTCAGCCATACCGACTACGGCATTAATGAGAGTCTCCAATTCTTCCTGCGAAACATTCGTTCTACCTTGCGCGACGAGAGCCGCGGCGATCTGTCGGGCGATAGCGACTTTGTCGATCGTACCGATACCCGGTACACTCACCGGCTCGGACTTAATGGACGGTGTAAGAATTTCTACCGGTCTCGTGTAAGTGGTTCTATTGACGTAACTTGGCGCGGGTTTAGATGCCTCCAGAAGTTCTCGTTCTTTATTTTTCTTCTTTTCCTCTTCAAGTTTCTTCTTGCCCTCGGAAGCTCTATGGAGTAGCTTGGCGATGTTCTGTATAGCAGTTTTAGTGGCCGTAATCGCCATCTTCTCCACCATGCCCGCAAATAGCTGGCCCTTGAGCTTCTCTTTAACAGTCTCGAACAGAACACTTACTTCTTCATCATACAGTAATTCCTCGGCGGAATTCGGCTTTGCTTTCTCGGCTGCTAAGGCTCTCGACAAGAGCGACACTATCTTAGGACCGAGAGAACCCAACTGTCCCTCGAGCGCTGTGAGTAATCGTAAAAGACTGACTACTTCGAAATCCTCTGTCAAGCTTTCGTCCGCGACAGGCGGAGTAGGTGATTTCTCCTTCACGGGATACGGTGACGCGTAATACATTGGCCTGGAACGAGATGCTGTTCGCGGATAACTATGACTGTATACACTTCCCCTTCCGCGCGTGTATGAGGAATATACGTAGTCTCGCTCCCTGAGCTCATGGCGATCATAATATTCAGGCTTGATCATTTTCGTACCAACGTATTCCACTTCATCGTCGCTCTCTATGCGATGTCTGCTGCGCTTTGCGGGGGAACGCTCTCGTTCTCGCCTCGGTGATATCCATTTTTCCGGCGGTTTATCTTCAGGCAATTCCAATCTCTTTCTAATTTCCTCTTTTCGTTGCTGAAGCTGCTCGTTATGAATCTCGCGCATTCTTTTATTCCAAAACTCGATCCATTCTGGTTTGAAGTCGTGTTTACTCGGATCGTTACCCTCGGCCTGGAGTTCCTTATATCGTCTGTTCCAGAATTTCTTCCACTCATCCGGATAAGACGGATGTTTTTCGGGATTCTTTTCGTGGAATTTTAGAGCACGATCTAGCGTTTCCTCGGCGCGTCTAATTTGTTCGCGATATTTGTCCCATTTATCACGTTCCCTGAGAGGTTGTAACGAACGCGATCGTGATCGTGATCGCGAACGACGAGTACGTTCACGCGAGTATCGTGAGCCACTACGATACCTTCCGGCGCTTCTGTCGATGGAATTCCTTTTTCTACCTCGACTCGGTGAACGGGATCTTGAACGAGACGGAGATGGACTGCTAGATATACTCGAAAGCGACGAGAGCGATTTAGTATCATCTGAGGGACGTTTAGGCGACTTTTTTACAATCTCTTCGGGTTTCGGTGAAGATTTACGAAGACTCATTTTGTCCTTGTTAAATATACGCATTTTGAAACCCCTAAAATAAAGATATATAATTTAAATTTAGAATCATATCGAGAAAAGCATAATTATAGCAAAGGAAAACGACAAAGTTAAAAATATATTATCATTTTCTTGAGTGTTATATAAATACTACAAAAAAACAATCAAAATTTCTCTGATTGATACAAACTCAATCTGTTTTTTAAATGGAAAAAATTTTATTCTGTTAAATTAATTCTGTTAATTAATTCTCTAATTCTGTTTGTTGTATTCTGTTAAATTAATATGTTAAAATATCACATTTTAAAATTTGCAGATATTATGTTTATTTTTTAATAGTAAATCGTATTTTTGATTTTATTGTCACGTTTACTTACGATTTTGAAGTTTCTCCTTTTATGTCTAATTTTTTAGGAGATTTTTCCTTTTTCTTGTCTTCTTTTTTACATTTGTCATCAATCTTCTCATCGGCAATATTGGAATCTTGATAGAAATTGGTGATTTAAAAATACAATTATAATAGTTTTATCCACGCTTTAATTCACGCTTATTTTATATATAGTGTAAGTATATAAAATATATATATATGCATTTGTACTCACCTTTCTTTCTAACATTATTACCATTTATTTCTGCCATTTTTTCATCAAAATTTGTCACCCATCGCACATCATAAACTTCCATAAATGTACACTCTGGCGTTTCCCTGCATACAGGAAACAGCTACATTGATTTTTATAATAATGTCAAGTATAAAATAATCAAAGAGTCATTATTTAAAGGAAATCTCTCTTGGAAACGTTATGTTCATAACTTTGAAGTCGAATTGAACATAAGTTAAAAATCGAGAAAGTAGATCTTAATCAGCATTATTAATAGTATCGATTTAATGCTCGGACTTACCTAAAATGAACGTCCTGATAAACCCTCTTGATATATACCATCTTATTCTTTTCGAACTGAACCTTGTCGACCAATTGCGGCTTCATTCTTCCAAACTTCTCTTCGATTTTCTTCGCCACTAACACCGATATTTCATTGGCCCCGCGCTTATAATTAGGAGTACGCGGTAACTCCGTAATCGCTCGCGATATGGTCGGGAAGTGTCTATTGAGGTATGTGATTCGGTGATTGTAGCTGGTAATATGAGCCATTACTGTGCGCGGATCGCCGCGTTTATCGCACAAAACACACGTGTAACTCGGCTCGCACGAATCATTGTCCACGAGCTCCAGCAGATACTCGAGACCGACAAGCGGCGAGCTCTGATGCCGGTCTAAGCTCATTTGTATCGACGTAATCCGCGTGATTTGATCTTCCATGCCGGGTGGCACCGGCTCGCCAGGTGCCAGAGTGTCGCCGATAGTCGTAGATTGCACCGGCGCGACCGTCTTGGCCGCGTCCTGTGGTCGCTTGGACCATAGCATAACCGGATACGGCCACTCATCCAGCTTCATCTTGTGACGATTACACAGATTATGACTTATCAACTTATGTGCTCCAAACAGGGCAACGTTACAGATATGACACCATATATCACCATCTTCGGTCTCGGAATAGACTGGTCTCAGTGCACCATCTTCGGCGGTAACGCTGCATCGCATTATACGCTTGCGATCATACTCTTCCTATAGAACATAAATAATTCGTAAGGATCTTCCGTTGCTGGAGGTAGTCTCAAAGATGTCCATAATAATAATATTCGGTTGTGTCGTTTTTTTGGGTAAAACGTTAAACCCGTATATATCACAGAGACACGTTAAATGATCCTTTTTGATTATTCGGATGATCAAATTCATTGCACATTACATCTAAGAAGCTAGGTTTGTCCACAATTAACAATGCATGCACAATTTATAAAAATTTGCGACACTTGCTCATTTCTATAGCTCCTTATACATCCTTTTTTACCTTTTCCTTATCCTCTTCCGATAAGTGAGAAGGATTACGTCCCTCTATATCAAGATCATCAAAGTTCTGCATGATACGGCCGTAATTAGTGGGCGGAGAGTCTCCACAATGCTTTCTGAAAAATTGAAATCCTATAAAACCCAGGAAAATGATGACAATGATATATATGTACATATATACATATATACATATATATGAAATATGTATATACATATATATATGACAAGGTTTGGCACAACATAGCAATTGCATTTCACTTACAATGGAAGTTCTAAAATTTGTGGAAGTAATTTTAGATTGCTTTGAAAGTGCGTTAGAAGAAAGCATTACGTGATGTAATAAATGCAAGCAAATTACATTCACAGATAATTTATATATAATCCTGCGAATATAATCCCATTTATTATCATCAGGCAACACTGTAGCAGCAATTCCTCGTAATTCCTAGTATAGCAATTAATTTTAATTTTATTATTATAATATTTGAAAAATTTGAATTAGCCGTACTTACTTACCATGTCATTTTGCTGTATATGCTAATATTTAATTTGATCAAACATTTATAATATATCGCATGTCCAATATATAACACGATTATTTAATTATTATTATTATTAATTAAATAATAGAGAGACATTTGTCATACTTAACTTTATATTCTAAAAAGTATAAACTATGAGTTTGTATTCAATATGCACATATGAGACACACATATGGCACAAAATATGACATAACGTGAAACTTAATATTTTCAATAAACTTTGTAAATTTGCTCCTCGAGAGATTTTACAAGAGATATTCTACCGCATATATAAATAAGCTGTACGTAAAAAAATGATCATACTATAGCACATGTATTGTGCGCTAACAGTCACAGTTAAGATATAAAATTTTTCCAAAGTGTACACGTGCACGCATAATAAAACTTACAGCATTTTTATACGCAGGATAGGATAAAGCATTTATCTTTACCATCTAGATGCGATCGCTAATAGTATGGCTATCTCTATTACCTTGCTGGAGGATACGTAAATAATTCTCCAGCTACTTACCAATCGCAAGGGAATCTCAGAACTCCTCTCTCAGAAGAGAGAACAACCAGTTCCACTACCAGAAGCCACAAGAAACCACAGAAACTGAACTGATTCTCGTAACGAAAAAAAAAAAAAACACAAGTGGAGCAAAGTTAAGACCTCTTTAACTTTGCCAAATTGATCGATAGGGAGGGACCGATCGCTCGCGCGGTTCGCGAGCACGCGAAATGTAACATTTCTAACTGTCAGTCTCACTGACAGGACTGACGTTCACGACCCCGCGAAATGTGCGATAGTCAAATATGGGACGAAAGGTTAAGGCAAAGCAACAGCGACCTTTCACGCGGCCTCGCGTCTTCGCGTTCGCGAAGCATTCACGAAGGAGAAAAACGAGAATTGTCCTTCCTGAAAACATCGAGTGGACACACACGCTCGATTAAATCATCATCATCATCATCACCATCTCGACACCGATGCTGTTGATCCCGTTGTATCCCGCAATATCGCAAACAAACAGAGTCGACTTACCTAATTGCCGGATCGATTCGCTGGATGAGATTCCTTAGAGTAGCGCGTTCGCTCCTCAATCTCGTCTACGAGTCAATCTCTTCGCGGCCATGTCGTGTGGCTCAACATTACGATCACGTAACGGCGAAGAAAATCACAGGGACAGCCAATAGCAACAGCTGCCATTCCGATACAAATTTCTCGTGGATACTCATCAACACGGGTGGCACCCGATTGACCACGTCGCCAATTGGCCAATTCAAAATAGGAGTCTCTGATTGGTTAATCGTTGCTGGTTACCCTAGGCACAAGTCGATATAATTGGCTCAATCGCAACGTGGTCAAACGGGACGCTCCCATCAACTCTCGCCAAATATCCGCCACCTATATTTATTTTAAGAGATTGGAATTACGTAATCAAATCTATTTTTTGACTGCCGATAAAATCATATAATTATAAATTGTAATCTGAGAACGTGTCCCGCGCGTATGAATTTATTTGTATTTAATTATTCCACTAACATTGTATTTAATTATTTTTATTCTAGTATGAATTAAACACTAATATTATAATTATAATTTTAAACAATTAAAAAATATAAATTTTAATTTCCGTAGCGACAGAGAGACCTTCCCTGTTGCTGATTAGTGCTTTGGACTTTTGCGCATGCGCAGATTTTGTCCCCAATCTTTCGACGCATGGTCTTCTTCGAAATGCCTACTTCGTGCCCGTCACATATACACTGTTTACGGAGTTGTATGCGGAAACGATCGCTAACGGTTTTCGCCAAAAATTTCGAACACGTATGTATATGCACCTTCATTTCACCTGTATATGTGTATATATGCACGCGCACATTTCACCTGCAGGAAATGCTCGAGTTTGATCGCGAAATCGCAACGTGAGGATGCTTGGAACGATCGCTCCTGTCAAACTAGGCGCATCGCTGTGATCTAGTTTTCGAGGGACATGTGCTTGTCGCGCTTGGTAAAGTGATCAATATTCGTCGATAACGCTCGTCATCCGTTTGTACAGCGGATATTTCTTCGCGGTGGAAGATGGCCAGCCGGGATCCGTCCATCTCGTCCAAAACCATGGATGATCATAGCGTCGAGGTTAGCGATAAACCATCTCAGGATGTCACCTACATTCCCCTTCCTAACTGCGCTCTTATTCAGTTTTGCGAAAAGCGTGCAACTCAAAACAGACAGATCTAATGTCAGTTTCTGAGACAGTCGCAACGCTTTATAATTATAATATTTTATTTACATGTTTCAAATTTACAACAGTATTTTTATTCTTGGATCTTGCATTGACAAGTTGTCATTTTAGATTTCTCTTGTAGCTTTACACATTAATATATTTCTTATGAAATTTTGTTATTAGATTTATTACTATTTTATGGTAAGATGTCATTTATACATATATAAATCAATATATAATCAATATATAATATATAATTGAATCAAGTGTTTCAATTGTTATTTTAGAATTATAATTTGTTTACATGAGATTAATACTATAAAAAGTTGCAATTTTTTGATTAATCAATTGGAATAAAAGAGACAAAGATTTCCTTATTTTGATCAATCAAACTTTTTAATGTTTTTTAACATGAAATATATGATTGATAAGAGAAAATTATATACATTTACATTATATATTTTTTGTTATAGACATTAGCAGAAGTATTTCGATGTTTTATTTGTATGGAAAAGTTGAGAGATGCGCATCTCTGTCCTCACTGTAGTAAATTGTGCTGCTATACCTGTATCAGAAAATGGCTCACTGAGCAACGTTCTCAATGTCCTCACTGCCGAGCTTCTCTTCATTTGCATGAATTAGTAAATTGTCGCTGGGTTGAAGAAGTGACCCAACAACTTGATACATTGCAAGCTGTTTGCATATCCAACTTTCGACATGATGATTCTACCAGAGACAGGTGAATACAGTATTCTATTCAGCTTTGAAATTCATTTTATATAATTTTTATTTTACATTTTAAATATTTATTTAAGGCACATAATATAATATATAAAATACTTCTACTTATATATGAACTTTTATATGAAAAATAATTTATTATTACTATAGATGTACAGTTCATCAAGAGAAATTGTCTGTGTATTGTTGGACCTGCCGCAAATGTATCTGTCATCAATGCGCCCTATGGGGTGGCACTCATTCAGGACATACCTTCAAACCTTTAGAAGACGTTTACGAGCAACATGTTACTCAGATCAAAGCTGAAATAGGCCAATTAAATAGACGACTTATGGAACTAATTAGTCTTGTTCAAGAAGTGGTACGTAGAATAGAGTAGATAAATTTTAACTGTAGAAAAATATGAAAAGGCAGATTTAAAGTATAATACAAGAGTATAGAAGTATATTTTTTGTCTAATCCATGCCTTTCGGCTTTGGATAGGGTATTTGATTTACAAAAATCTCTAATCCTCATTTATTCTCTCATTCACACTCCCGGTTTATCCTAATCATTTTAACTTAATTTATCCTATATTATCCTATTCTACTTTCCTATTCCTCGATTCTTCTTTGCTCTTTTTTCTTCATTCCTCCTTTTCTTCTATTTACCAGTATTTCCTCTGTATATTTTCCTTCTCCGCTTTTTTCCATTTCTTCTACTTTCTTTACAATCCTAGTCCATCTGTGCTCCCTGTTTCTGTACTTCCTCTCTCTTCTCTATTCAATATTCGCGCCTCCTCGCCTCATTCTCTTCTTATTCTGTACCGATCCTCATTTTCTCTTCTATTCTCTTCTATTCCAGTTACTTCTAGTTTTTTTGTTCCTCTGTTCTCCTTCTTGTATTTCTTTTTTCGCTTTTCTTTTACTTTTGTATTTCTTTTTCCGCTTCTCTTTCACTTTGACTACATCCCTTTTTTTCTATCTAAATCTCATTCTAACATTATTCCAGTCTCCTAAATTGTGTGAGTCCTATACTACAAATACCAATTCTCAGTTCCTCATTAAAATTATCCCCTACCTAAATTCTGTGTGAGTTGCGATACCACTTTATTCTGCTATCCTACTCTTTCTAATTTTCTTTCTCTTTCTTTTACCTATTCTATTCTATCCTATCTCTTTCTTTTAAACCACGTTAACTCCTATTCTAATCTATTATCCATCTATTATCCAATATCTTTTCTGTGCCCGGATCTTTTCTTATCTTCTATATTTATACCCTTTCCTACCTACCTCTAATAATTTGCCTCTTTGTTACTTATGCTTATCTTATTGATTCCTTCCTTATGAATCTCTCTTTGTCTCTTTGTCCTTTAATCTATTGTTCCCTTTCTCTAAACATCAATCTGTATATTCCTTTCGTATCTTTTCCTTTCTATTTCTTTTCTAATAAAAAGATCTTTTTATTCTTTTTTATTTTTATACTTCATCTATTTTAAGCAACACTTACCCTATCTACATCAGGCTTACTAACCCTAACTTTAATCTTTTGACCGATTTTATTCTCTTTTAATTCCTTTTCTATCATATCCCTCTTTCTCCCTTTACTTCCTCGACTTCTTTTCTCTTTACTTTCTTATTATAACGTAATCCTACCTTTATCTTTAATGTGGTTTTCCTAATTATTTTTTAATTTATTGTGCTCACAGATCTTCCACTTCTCATCATGGCACCTAATGAAGCCCAAGTATATCTATATCTATTTATTTTGCAATTCTCAATTATATTCATTTGTTATTAGGAGAGAAATGTCGAATCAGTAAGGGCGGCAAAAGATGAAAGAGTCAGAGAAATCAGAAACGCGATCGAATTAATGATAGCTCGCTTGGACTCTCAGCTAAAAGCCAAGCTGCTGACTTTAATGGGTCAGAAGAATTCGTTGACTTTGGAAACCGAACAACTAGAAGCATTACTGCAAGAGGTTGAATATCAATTACATACGTGCACACGCTCCGAGCTAATCGTTAAGAGTGCCGAGCTTTCGCGCAAGATATATCAAGTCCGTAAGAAGCCAATGACAAGTTTTGTTACCGCGCCTGTACCTGCTGATTTTCATAGGTAGGACTGGGAAGAGTCATGCAATGTTTATTTATAATTATTTTTATTATACATAATTATGTGTATGATTATTAAAAATAATTTTTTAATTTTCTATGAACTTATTTTATTTTAGCGAAATTGTGCCAGGTTACGATAGTGCGACATTTGCGATGCAAAATTTTACTCAACTTCAACTAAAAGCTGATCCGGTGTATTCCGCGCCATTACATGTGAACGGATTGTGCTGGCGATTAAAGGTGTATCCGGATGGTAACGGAGTTGTACGCGGAAATTATTTGTCAGTATTCTTGGAGCTCAGCGCTGGATTACCAGAAACATCAAAGTAAGTGAATTCATGAGTGACAAATTGTATAAATGTAATATAAATTGTACAGAAAATTGTACACAAAGTCTGTTATTTTCAAATGTGAAATACTGATGAAATGTCCGATTTTTAAAATACATATCTCTTTGTATAGATACGAGTACAGAGTTGAAATGATACATCAAGGGTCTCGTGATACGAGTAAAAATATCGTTCGCGAATTTGCATCTGATTTTGAGATTGGTGAATGTTGGGGATACAACAGATTTTTCAGATTAGACTTACTTGCAACAGAAGGCTACTTAAATACAGAGCTAGATACACTTATATTAAGGTATTTTTTTATTATTTAGAATAGTACTTTCCAATCACATATAATAAATATTAAGTTTCTTTTCTCTCCTTTTAAGATTCAAAATAAATTATATCAAATTTTATATTAATATGAAAAACATTCGACTTATTTTTATATAAATATCTTTTCTTGGCTTTTAATAGATTTCAAGTGCGACCACCGACATTTTATCAACGCTGTAGAGACCAGCAATGGTACATTAGTCAACTATTAACACTTCAAAATCAATATACTACTCAAATCAATGAATTAAAGGAGGTAAATTATACATTTACTATAGAATCAATATTATGATAAATCTCTTTCAAGTTATCAAAAAATGTATAATGAAAAAGAGATATATTAATTTTACATATGTTACATATAATTTTAATATATGTTACATATGTTACGTATAAATATATAAAACAATTGAGACCATTCACTTTTTTTAATACTTATATATAATATATAAAGTAATTAATTATTCAGTTATTTTAGAATATTTTCTTTGTTTCTTAAATTAATATTTTAATATTAATATTTATTTTAAATTAATATTTTATATTTACAGAGACTAGCAATAGAAATATCTCGCAACGCCATAACAGCTACTAGAGCTAATGGAACTACAATAATTAGTTCAACTGCAAATACATCATCTTTATCTGTGCAACAGCAGCAGCAGCAACAACAGGATGTAGGCGATTCAACAAACAATTCGAATGTTATACGAACAATTGACACATATCCTACTACAAATGGAACACCAATAAGGTATAATATTGCAATCTATTTTACCAGATTAATCGAATTCTATTTCTCGGACAATGTTTCAAATTTTCCACAAAGATAAGACTTTTAGTTCGACTTTTTAAATAAGTTAAGTTACAATATAAGTTCATGTATATAATTTGTGTCATGATTTAAAAAATCATACGAAAATTAAAAAGGATAGGAGATTGAAATAGTGAAATTTGATAGATTAAATGATAATTTTTCAATTATTTGAAGGTATATAATAAGTTCTTAATCTGTTGCCAAATAAGAATATTTTCAATAACGAAGTATATTTTTTGTTTTCATAGATCCATACCAAACACGCTTCCCAGTAACAATAGCAACACAATAATACCGAGTGATCAGTTATTGCCGATGTGCGAATTGAACGAGCTCTCGGGTATGCATCTCCTAGATTCTACTACGTCGACGTTATCGAAAACATTGTTGAAGACACACCGTGCCAGCAATAATCTAAATATCATCGAGACCGAGAGCAATCCATCGTCGCGTCGCGTCAACGACACATCGCTTGGAGAATGTCAAACCGCGAAGATTCATTTGAACTTCTCGTCATCGCCCTATTCCTCGCCTGGTGATATACTCACCGGTCAGCAGCCATTAAATCTATCGTTCAATAACAGCGATCCTTTATTATCCGCGTCAACGTTATCGTCGGTGACAGACAATCAACGGATTAATGGCTGCGTGACGGAAGGCGAAGCTGCGCAGCGTTGCACGAACGATGCGTCGCCAGGTGAATGCCGAGAGGTTGCAGCTGGTATCCAGTCCCCGTCATTTTATTTATCATCGACATTGAATCTCTCATCCAGTAGCAGCAGCAGTAGCGACAGTGGCGTGAGTATATATTCTTTTTTATTTTTTTCTATTTTAGTATTTATGTCTAACCACGCGATTTTCATCGAGAATAATTCATTCCCTGTTGTCCTACATTTGTAGGAATTGAGCGAACATGACATTTATATGGACGAATGTGAGCACAATGAACCCAACGTCACGCTTTTGGACCTGACAAATGACGAAAACGACGTGGACGACGAAACCATGTCAGGTATGTGAGTTACACACATACAAAATATGTATATTAATATCGTATATTAATAAAAAATAATATTGTGAAAAAGAAAAGAGTTAAATAATGAGAAATCTTCGATTAATCGATTGTCAATTAAGATAATTACTGATTGTCAATCCTAACAATTAATTAAAATTGCAAAGGTGTGCAGATTCAGAAAGTTATGTATTGCAAAATTAGGTGCTAGTTCGAATAGAGATTTGTCCAGAAATGAGCGAAGACGCGTGATCGATAGGGATGTCGAAAACGAAAAATTCACGAATCAAAAACAAGATGAAGAGAGTGTGAAAGAAGATCTCAAGTCCACTATTCTCAATAATTTTTATGCTATTTTGTAGAATGAATTTATTCTAATCTCAATATATTAAAATTCGTATATTTTAAATACTATCTTGAATTATTGTGATTAATAATTATTCTGATATTATGTACAATTTTCCATAGTCTATAATCTTTTCTTTAAATTATTTAATTATTGAAATATAATTATATCACATATATATTTATCACAAATATAATATTAAATTATGATTATATATATATATATATATATATATATATATATATATATTCATCATTATATATTTTTAATAAAATTTAATAATCTACAAATAATTTTTGGTTAATATAATAATATAAAACATATATATTATAAAAATCTGTATGACAAATGAGATGTTTCTAAGACAAATATGTAATTTAAAGTAAATTTATTTGCATTTTAATAAACATTACTAATATATTTTTAGGGGAAAACGACATTGAAGTTGCGGAATGGGTTCAGAACAAACAGCGAAAGCAACAAAACAACAGGGATATTGTTACAGATACATGCAGGTATACTTAATACAATTATTAGAATAATGTAATATTAGAATAATATTAGAATGATGAAAGAAAAGAACATAATTATAGATTTGTCATTTAAAAATTAAAATGGAATAATTAATCTTATACAAATTTATGCAATTTTTAAACCAATAAATAATAATACAGATTTAATCTAACATATCAGCATAATAAAACTAAATAAAAAATGTCAAATATTAAAAAAGACTATTAAAAGAATACTAAATAGACTAAAAAGACTGAAAAAAGAAATACTAAAAAGAGAATTATTTGATAAATAATCATTTTTTTATTTAATTATGAAAAAAATGCTCTAGAGAAATTATAAAATTTGAATAGAATGTGCTATACCAACAATGATTTCTCAAATCTTATCTGTGATTATATATAATTGATTATATGTATACATATAGGTTGAGAGAAATAATGCTGCTGCATTTGTTCGAGATACAAGACAGAAACTCCGCGTGGACTTCTCTATGTCTTGGCCAGCAAACAGACGAAAATTGTGAGTCCAGGAGCTCGCTCGCGAGTTTGCGACGTCGTAGTTCTAGTCCGTTGTATAACGCTGTGATGCAACCCACCTCGACCACAGCTTATTCACACAAACATCCTGAACTCGATACCGCGGCCTGTATCGATCTAAATTTGAATAGTGACAAGAAGCATCCCATCATTGCAAACACTTTACATCACTCCCAGCCGCAGACAACTTACAGTGCTAAGACCAAATATGATCAACTGCCGAGCTTTTGTCGATCGGAACTAGTGGCTGTGACAATGCCTTCCGGTAGTCAAATAACCAGATCTGAGCCGGCGACACGTTCCAATTCAATAGACTGTGAAAGAGATATCTCGAAACTGCCAGTAGTTAATAAAATCAATCACGATATAGAGTCGCCTAATTTACGTCTGGATCTAATAGTGCCAAATGGTAAGTGAAAAAATATTGAATACGAGGAAATGATATAGATCAATAGTGAATGAAAGAACTTTGTGAAAACAAAGCAAATAAAAAAAATACCAATAAATTTACTTGTTTTTAAGTAAAAATTTCTGAAAAAAGAAATTAAATTTAAATCTAATAACTTCTGCAAAATAAATTATTTACATAATTTTGAAAATATAAAAGTTTCATTACATTTTTTTTATATTATTAGAAATATATATTTTTAGTAAATAAAAAAATGGTTTATTTTATATAATATTGCAACACTATTTTTAAATTTATAATTAAGAAATGATAAAAAGAGACAAAAATTATTCGTTTCAGTACTTCTAGACAGTAACAAAATCATGTCAAAGCATTTATTGTCACGACGCCAATCCTCTCCAAGCTCATCTACTAACATGAATTTGAAAAATGACAACAGCAAAATATTCGAAATTGACCAATTACTCGAAGCTATACATTTGTCATCGGAATCGCAGAAAGATACGGCGGCGAGCAGCGCAAATCTGAGGTAAAAGCGGAGATGTAGTTAGCTGCAGGAAGATTAGAACGAAAACGAAACATCCTTATACATAAGTAAAAAAATATCTTCTCATTTATATTTAATTATTATAAATATAAAGAATATCTTATTGTTTTATATTTATTTATTATATTTAGTATATTATTGTATTTATATTTTATTATATTTATTTATTTTACATTTGTTTATATTTATCACTTTTTATTTATGTGATAGTTTAATGCATGATGATATATTATCTTTAATACATAGGCAAAACACTTCGTCCGACGTAAAGAGTAACGCTTGTACTGCTAGTGGAAGTTCCGCTGCACTCTCGTTGACACAGGAGAGTACATTGTTGTCACCTGTAAACACTGCAATGACAGCGAACGCTATTCTTACTCCCAGCACTTTCAGCTGGTCGCCAGCATTGTATCAGCACGCGCATGGTGAATATTATTGCGTTATTTTCCTTCTTTTAAAATATTAATTTTATTGTGTTAATTCCACATTAAAAGGAACACTTGTTTCATCTTGTAGGACAAAAACCTGTTCTAGATATTGCTGTACAAGGTTCCTCGAATGAAACTCCTAGCAAGACTATTGATAAGTAAGTTGTTTACTTAATGTATCATCAATTTTGAAAAAATATACATATCTCATTATATATGTGTATGAATTATAAATTAACTTATAATTCTATCATTATTATGTGTGTTGCACAGATCTGTGGAAGAAGCTGCCAGTTCGCTGTAATAATGTATAAGTTAACATTAGCACACATTCTGTGATTTCTATTTCGGGTATTAATTATAATCGCAAGATTGACGAAAAAAATTATTTAATCTTAAATTATTACGTTAAATAAGATAGTTTTGAAATTTAGACATATATTTATGTTGCACATCTGATTTTTCTTATTTCTCTACAACAGGATTGAAGAAAGATCTCGGAATTATAATGTCATATCTTTCTCTTCTCAGTACAAAGCTTATTATAGCTATTATTATTATTATATTTCTTTCTCTCAGTACAAAGTATTATAATAATATAATTGCTCTATATTTCCAGCTCCTGCTTATAATTACATATTTACATATAAGAGTTTATTATTTCCAATATTTCATTCCAAGAATAGATATAGGATACATTTGTTTATTATTTGATGTTATTATTTATTTCCCCCATGTGAATTATATACGTCCAGAGAATTACAATAATTAATAGAAATTGATAATAAATTGTAGCCAAACTTATTACTATAATTAATTCCCTGTTACTTATGCGTGCATTTAACTATAGGTAATTTTGTTTTCAAAGTGGATTTCATTATAATTTTTTTTATTTATTTTATTTTTATTTATGTTTTTTTGTAATAAATTATATAAAATGTTGTACATTATTGTTCATTTTATTACATTATATAATCTTTTATTCTTTCTCATTCAATATTTATATTAATATATTTATATTAATAATTTACTAAAAAATTTCATTTGTAAAGAGAGTAAAGATTAAACATTTCTTTATATATAATTAAAAATAAATATGTTTTATCTTTTAATGCATAAAAGAAAACAGATATACAGTAATTAGATTATTAATATATATTTTTTGATTTTAATTTTTTTAGTTGTTTTTACAAAAAAAAATGTATTTATATAGAAAAAGTACGGATTTTACTCTTCTAAGAACAGAATCAAAATGGCGGCTCGCTGTAGCAGCAGTAATTAACACATCGACTGCTAGTTGTAAACAATTTGAGTTAAGCGCAGTATTAACTAATTAAACGAGAAGATACCCGCACCTAATTAAGGATAGCAAGAATACGAGTAAGGTACATCGTTCTGCTTTTTTTTATTCACGTGTGTAAAATTCCAAAGTGCAGAAGACACATCTGTCAATAGTAGAGTAATATTGTTATGATTATATGCGACTACCAGTAGTTTATAATCATTTTCAAGAAAATTTACAATTCAAAAATTATCTAAAGATGTTAAAATCTTTATATTTATTAAAATTGAACATTTTTTAAATATGAATCTCAAAGGTTAAGGTGGTCATCGTTGATTGCTTTTGATCATATTTTTAACATTTGTTATGCATATATAGCATAAGATTCTATTGAGAAAAAAGTATTGGCAATTCATAAGAAAACCTGTTCATTTTTCCAAAAAAACTATTTTCAAATTACTATTATTATTATTATTATTATTATTACCATTAACAAATAAAACAAGTATATAACAAACATTTTATATATTGACAGAATATATTTGTATACAGTAATTAAAAACTTATCGGTTATTTTAAAAGCGTATATATATATTGTGTACATAAATGTGTACATATATTATGTTTACTATAATTATTATGTGTATTCAGGTAACAATCTGTGTAATCAACTGCACAAAAATACGGCGACAATTCATAATTAAAAATTGATTTGCGATTAAATGGGCACAATGGACAATCTGTCGGACTCATTTCGAGGAGAATTGGATTCTGTAACTTCGACGGACTCTCTTCAATTAACCACTGATGAATTTCATTTACGACACCTGTCTACACCCGATGTTTCAAACATCGAATTGTCTAAGCGAGTGGCTCTGTTGGAACTCGAGAACGAACGGCTACGCGTCGACCTGGAAAATGCGCGGATCGATCTCAATGCTCGGGTCGCCGCGAATCAAGGTCTCAAAAACAAGATAACCGAGCTGTTTGTCGAGATGCAAACGGTACTGCGGGACAAGCAAAAGCTGCAGAACACGTTAACCGACACCAACAGTCGTCTTTCCGCGGCGGAGGCTTCCGCAAAGTGGTACCAATCGCAAGTACATATTCTGATGGCCAGTAAGAAGAGTCTACAGGTGGAAATAGATACGTATCAGGGTATATTGAAACGACGACAGCGAGCAATAGCGGATATAAACGCCAGCTATAAGAAACTGAACCTTGAATACACTGAACTCGTGCAACAGTATCAAAAGGAGAAGCAGCAGATGCAGAATGCAATAAAAGATCTCCAATTACGCATTCAGTCTATTGACACGATACAGGACACATCAGAAGGAAATTCGACGGGAGGTAGTCCAACAGACATATCTATGGTATTGGAAACGACCGAGGACGAGTTGCGAAATACCAGAACCGAGCTGAAGACACTGGAGCAATGTCTGCTAAGCAACGAAATGGCCAGAATGTCCATGGAAAACACGTTAAGCAAGCAACGTGTCCTTATCGCGTCTATGGAAGAGAGCATACAGAAATGCGAGACGGAGAAGAATGAGACCGCCGATCTGTTGCGGAAGACGCAGTTCGAGATACAAAAGCTAAGGTCCGAGAACGAGACATTGCAAACATCCTTATTGATGTCTAAACGTGAACAGAGTCAGGTGGAGAATGCGATATCTCATTTAAGAATACAACTGACCAAGATGATAGCGCAATACAAACTATTGAAATCTAAGAATGCGGAATCCGAAGAAAAATTGACTAATATGCAAGATCTTACAAATGAAAATAAACGTTTGAAGACCTTAGCGCATAAAGCAAACAGTACCTTGCTTAAAAAACTCAGAGAAGAAAAGAGTAAGATAAAAACTTTAGAGCAAAGACTCCACTGCAAACAGATGAATAATCAATTTAATGATATGGTATTCAAATTTTATATTTTTAATAAAATCAATCTTTTTTTCACAATTTATAATATGACACAATATCCAATTTATAACATAAAGATATATATATATATATATATATATATATATATATATATATATTAAGAGACAAAATTATATATATATATATAATTCTCAAAATTATATATATATATATATATATATATATATAATTATCTTATATTATTTATTAAGAGACAAAATTATATATATATATATATATATATATATATATATATATAATTTTGTCTCTTAATAAATAATATAAGATTGTGTTCTATAAATATATATTTGATATATCTTATTATTTCAGAGAAACAAAACGGAACATTCTTTGCGAGAATGTCTGAAACAAGCTCTGTTACGAAACAAGGTAATTTATCCCAATCAAATTACATATTTTAAATATACATGCAATATAAATACAACAGTAAATAATTATTATTTACTTCATTTATTTCATTAAAACATGTATTATCAAGGATAAGAAAAGCAAAATATCTTGATGTTATGTATTTTATAGGATTTACAGGAGCAATTGAAATCTATGACTAGAATAACCGACGAAAGTATCGATGAAGGATACGGTGATAGTAACAGTATTAATGCCTCCTCGATTTCACTAAACATTCCGTCGTCGTCTCTCATGAACTCAGTATTGTTAAAAAACGCTGTCGACGTTCTCGCACGAAGTAAAGATTTTGCGATGCCGATGCAAGAAGAATTGAACGCGCTTCGATTGAAGATGGAGAGATTCCGGGATCAATGTGACATGTTAAACCAACAAAACGATTTTCATTCCAATATCGACAATGTGATTCTTCCAAGAGATTCCATATAGTTCAAGATCTATTTTTTGTTCGCGAATATGCGAATAAAATATAGCCTTAGAAAGAGAGAGAGAGAGAGGGAGAAAGAAAGAGAGAGAGCGAGAGAATAAGTAATTAAATATTCATTTAACACGATATATATTTACGTATATCGTATTAAATTGAGAGAATTTAATTCTAGAATCTAGAATTACATAATTATATATATAGTAAAATATATAAAATATATATAAAACGCGTTTAAGTATGATTGTATATATTGTGTATATTGTGTATTGTATATTGTATTGCTAAAGAGAAATATTTAATAATAATATACCATATTTGAATTATTAGTTGAAATGTAAAAAAGAAGGTCGTAAAATGACAGCAGCAATATTTATGTTATATTTTTGAATGTATTATATAAATGTTATATTTGTTAAATGTAATATATTTATTCCTACTTATCGTGCGCGCGAAATATTTGGTTTATTTGCTATGGGAATTTATTAAAGAACTAGATAACGAAAACAATCATGTAGTAAATAAATATAAAAATACGTATAGTAACAATATTCATAATTATATAAAACTTGCATAAAGTACGATAATTGCATCGAATAATATAAATGTTATTATTCTAATATGTAATATGTTATTATTCTAATATCTAATATGTATATACAAATGTTAGTATTACCGCATGATGAGTATTTATATATTGTTGTCAAAGAATTTTTATAAAGACACATGTGTTAGATAAATTTTACAAAAATGGCTGTGTGAATATGTTTTATTAAAAATAAAATGGGACATATACACACAAGAGATAATGAATTAGCGAGTGTGACAATATGTATCGTCATATTTGTGTAGTTACAGCTATCATGGAACAAATGTAGAGATAGTATATAAATCTTTCCTAAGTCTTGCGTATCTTATAACACAACAGTATTTGAACAGTATAGAAGCGCAATAAAGTTACTGATCTTCCAGACATTTGTAAGCTTAAAGATTTATTTCGACACTTAAGTTTATTATGAAAAGAAATAGAAATATGAATCACACCAATTCTGTTTTTTTTTCTTTCTTTTTTTTACAATAGAGATACATGATTACTTATATAATATGTATATGTTTTTACTCTTTAATGATCTCGCTTCTAATTTTTGTATACTTGAACATTTAATTTCCTCTAACTCTTGTTCTTCTTACAGCGCTAAGTCACGTAAGAAGGGCGGTTCACAATTCGATGTTAATTAATATATGGACACTAACGTGAATCTTATATATAAATAATATCACAATTAAGTGATTTTATCGATAAATGAATTCTTCACAATTAAGAATTTGCTGGAATGGGCTTCCCTAATAAAAAATGAATAATATTCATATATATCTATGTTTTTACTCTTCAATGATTTCGTAATTATTTGAATATTTAATATTTCTTCTATATTCTTTTTATAGTGCTAAGCCACATAAGTAAATGGACATTTATCGAGCTATCAAAGCTGTGAAAAACTACAGATCCAAGATACAAAATCTTGATAGAACATCAAAGGACAGGTGAAAATTCAAGTTAACAGCTACATCATCCATAAGATGATAGGGATAAAAAGCTTCATATTAAACGTGCCTAGAAGCTAAAGTTTATGAAAGCTTTGACGTGTAATAAATATGTAGAGAGCTTATAATAGAAAGCAGTTTAGTTTCATATATCGATTCTCTGGATAATGGTAGATGTACAAAAATAAACAAGATTTTTAAATGAGAATTTAATTGCATATGTGTTATACATATTTTTCTTTTCTTTAGTCAAAGAAAATATGCAATATAACGTATCGCATTATACAGAAGCTACGTATATGCGGCAAATTCTCGAATATTGTTTGCACGCATATGTGGTATATGTATATATATATACACGCATAAGAAATGGATGTAATAAAAAATTAAATAAAAATCATCGCTCTCTTAAAATATCACAGACATGCGTAAAAACGTAAAAGAGAGGAGTAAATAGGTACTCCCTATATATAAAGTCAATCCCTGTGTTTTTTTTTCTTTCTTTTCTGCCTTTTTTTCTTTTTTTGCCTTTTAATAATCCAACATTCTTTGGTACTTACAAATAGAGATATAGATCGCAGGAGTAACTTAATTATCTGGCATTATAAAGAGACAGCGCGACTTTTCCACTATATGATAGTGTAACGTATAAAAATCTTTGAAACTAAATCGGTTCAAATTATTTTTATGTGTACTTATTATATTTCCGCAAGAGTATCGATTTTAAAATAAGATATATCGTCATGTTTTGAAATGAATACTAAAATATTGCTTAAAATATTATTTTAAGCAATATTTAGAAAGAAATATGAACAAAATTATAAAAGAGTTCTACATAACATAATAGATTTTATCGATTACATTGTCAATTATCTACTACATGTTTCACATTTTTATGATTTTTATAGCAATACTTATATTTATAAGATACATCTTAAATCAAAGAATTTTAAGAGATGAAACTTTCAAAAATAATTTAATAAATGTTTAACATTTAAGAGAAAAATTTATCTTGATTGATTATGCGCTACAATGCAAAATATACAAAATATACAAAAAAACATAATGTATATATAAAATATACCAAAACAATCAATTGAAAGATATTAACATAATTCTCGAAATAATACGATCTTTGTTTCCAAGTGTCTTTTTATAATAGTAATTATTAAAGTATAAATTTATATACTGGCCAAAGATTTCTCCATATAATCATGACTCTTTCCTTTACTTATTTACAGAACAATAAGAGATGCTAAAATTTACTATTTTTTTATAATGTAATAATAACATTTCTAAAAAATGTTTTTAAAGCAATTCGCATATATCACGAGGTTTTCTTTTCAAATAATGCTTACGCTTTTTTTTCTTTTTTTTTGTAATTTTAATTGTTGCAAAAGCGCCATAAATTATACTTTACTAATTATGTACGTAAATATCGCGTAACATTTAATTCAAATATGTCTTATATTCTTCATTCAGAATGTTTCCTATTACGGATATATAAACGATTAAAATTTGAGCACATGCTCTACTCATTATCAATATAGATAAAAAGGACTTTATGAACATGAGTTTGTAGATAATTATTATTAAAAAATTTTGTCGTGTGAATAAAAAGTAATTATAGGAAGATAATGTGTATTTCCAGAATTATATATTTGTCATGATTCTTTTTCATATATCCTTAAATAAGAATAATTCCTAAAGTAAAAATACATTTCTAAAGTTTGGCCATTTATTTTTGAAACACCATCTGTATATCAGAATGTGTTAGATTCAGCTATAGTCATTTTCTTGTGTATTTCATGTATCGATTTCTTGTATATTTAGCAAAAATTCGATGGAAAATTTAATTGTACAATAAAACTGATATAGATTTTAAGCTATATCAAGAAAATAGAACGATTAATTTGCGAGTTGGGGAAATTTTTAATTGCAATTCAAAAGCGAAATTATTCGAATTCTCATGCGTTTAAACTTTTCTTACATTTAGCCTATTACCCTTTTGTAAGTATCACATTCATGTGGAAAAGTTTATACACGAGATTGCTAACAATTTTTTTCGCCAATATTATATGTATATGTATACATATATATATGTATATATATTATATATACATATATATTTTTCATATATACATATACATATAATATATATTTTTTATATATATGTATGTATGTATATGTATATATTTATATATGGGAAATATCTACAATAGACGATGCCATCGTCTCCTTAAAATTAGTCCTGTTTACGCGAAAATATGTAAATCGTACTATATATGATACGGAGTGCAAATACACTTTACGGAAAGAGGAACTTTACGAAACAGGAGTAACTTAAAGTAGCAAAATTAGTTCTTAGTTGTGTATGTAATACGAGATGCTTGCTCTATTTGCTTCGAATTCAACATGATGTGAGTAGCTTTACTCTTTTTTTTTTCTTTTTTTATCACAATTGTCTATACTTGTCGATCGCAGGCACTTCGACTAAAAATTCAAAGTGCGGGCATCGGTGAAGAGAAATCTTCTCTAAAAAAGTTTTACTTTAAAGCATATCTCAATTTGCAAAATGTGTATTCGACAAGACTTTCAGATATGCCATATACTTTCTTCGTGAGCGGAACGTGAGCATTAAATATATATATGGCACAGTTTATATATATAGTCTGTTCTAAAGATCGCAAATATTGTTCGAAATTACTTTTCACTTTTTCTAGAAATTGTTTAAATTTGCTATATTCCTTTCCAGTTAAAACTTTCGCATACAAATAATAAATTGTTGCATTCAGTTGCATCGGACTCTAATATAAAAATCAATATTGAGTTGAATATGACAATGTGATTGCATGACAAAAAACATTTATCTCCACGACGATGAGCTTTTAATAAAAAGAATAAAAGAATCGATTGTATCGGTAGATAAATCATACAAATTATAATTATTATAATATATAATTATTATAACTGTTTGGATTCAAAATTAATGTTTTTAATAAAGTGTTCCTTTATTGTAGTGCGCGAAAATAAGTGTCGAGTGATAAAAACATTGGAAAAAATCAATTGACGTTAACAGATAGGTTTGATATATTCCTAATATACCTAATGAAAAAACAAAGACGAAATATTTGAACTTAAGTTATTTCAATAAGAGATCTCAAAAAAGACAATTTCGATATTCTGTTTTAATATTCCAGTGATTTACTCGCGGAAATAAAACAATACAGACGATAGATCTCAAAAAAGCTATTTTGCTATAAGAAGACTGTTCATAAAGGAGACAAAGTGAAGAAAGTTAGATAATGAAGGTAGCAGTTATATAATTTGCTGAGAAAAGAATCAATTATTATCAAACAAAAGTGAATCTTTCTAAAAGCAATGTTAAATAGAGATGAACACTGCTAACAAAGCGACTTTTAGAACATTCTATATATACTTTCGACAATTGTAATTGCAAACAGGAATTGAAATTGATACAATTTCATCGAGTTCTACATTTTAACGTAGACTCGTCAAAGTTGTAGCAATTACAATTTACAATGTATCACGCAATATATCGTACATTAAGCGTAATAAATGGTATCCGTTAATTTTGATTATGTTAGATTCATACTAATGTATAAAATATTTTTATTTTCATGCAATTTTTGATTGCTTAATTTTTCTTGTAACACACTGTCATACGAGGCGGAGTGAAATACATGATGAGGCAATAACTTTGTACTCTTTAATTTTTTCTTAAAAATTATTACGTGTTTTTCTTATATTAATCGATGCCTTTCATTATTTTGAGCATAAAATTATTGAGACAAAATAATAAAAAATTAATATTTTACGATATTTCTCTCTCTTCCTCTCTCATAGTTTATATAAAATTATATTAAATTAAAATATAAACTATTCAATTTTTGGCTATATTATCTTTCTAATTTCGCTGAATATTACGAGGATTTATATAAAAAAATTTGGATGGCTTCATTTACGAAAATGAAGATAATCTTGAGGTACCTCCACCTATGGTGAAAAAAATATGACTAGTTCTCTTGATATCATGTAACTTTCCTAACTAATAATTCCGTATAATTCCGTATAACTTTCCTAACAAATAATTTTTTTATATCTCTAAAAATAGCGGAAATATTTCAGATGGATAAAGTTATTGCCTCACCCTGTATGTTTCTCGTATTGTTATTTTTTTTAATATTGTCGTCTGATTATGTCCATTTAAAAGAAATGGAAAAGTTGGGTATAAATAACATTTATACAGATTGTCTTAGATTAAAAATATATAAATATTTTATGCGCAGATTGTTTGATAAATTTAAAGACGTTTTAATAAGATTTTTGACAGAAAAGAATATAAGAAAATGTAAAAAAAGAACATAGAAAAATAAAGTTTCACCAATAATTTGTTTTGTTATTAAGTTTCTGAAATTCTATTTGCAAAAACATATATTTTTATTTTTTATATCAATATTTTAATAATCAAGAAAAATTAATAATTTATTTAAAAAGAGAGAATTTGCACTTGAAATATTTTGTGCTAAATCTCGAACGCCATATTTTTAAAAGTAATCAATCATCATCTCCCTTAAATTCTTCTAACAAATTTAATCAAATGGAATTATCTGGCTTTAAACTTTGTTTCTTTAACACGAAGAATGTCTTTTTCATTAACAGGAAAATAAGATAATCATATAATGCTAAAAATGCAAAAGGAGATAATATTAAGCGTTCGTTTGTAGACGTAATCGGAGAGACGACAAAATCAAAAAAAGTTAATCATCGCGGATGAAATTGAGAATAATCTTTTTGTATTCGCGGCAGTGAATATAAAAAGTTAACGTGTGACATTTCGACCATCAGTTCTTCTCATTCTGCAAAGTTATCACTTTAAGATTTATTTTTATCTCCTATGTTGCTGACAAGTTAAATTGCTTCAAAAAAATCTGTTCTGTATTTTCTTAGACATTCGTAATTTGATACAATTAGAACACAATAGCTTTAATGTATACATAAATGTCGATTCTCTCTTACAGGATGTTTAAAAATTCGCGATACAAAGTTTATGTAATACTTATTAAAATAAACAGATTTTAAAAAGTGTCCAAAAAGCAATTATTTTCAAATTATAAAAAAAATATTTTTTATTAATTCACATTAATTCATATTTCAGATGATACTTAAATATCTAATATAATATTATACAATATATGTAAATAAAATGTAATGTAAATACTCTGTAGACGCGAGCTTTTTAAATGTCGAAGAAAAGGCTGTTCGTATCGTTTGTGATATTTAACATTCAAAATCTTGCTTCATTTAACATCGTTTTGCGAGAAACGAGAAGAGGACCGATGGTTTCTCGAATGTCACGAAATTCCGCATAAACTAAAAAATAAAGAAATAAAAGTAAGAGGAACTAAGGCGAAACGATATCAACTACTTTGTACGGTCGCGAATCGTTCGCGGAAGAAAGAGCACCACGGCCTCGATCTACGTAGACAGTCCAGACGGAAAGTCGCGACGCATCTCGTCGCCGCCGCGACGTTGGCGGCGACGACGGTGGGGATGCTGCCGTCAAACAACGACACCTATAAGTTTATTATCGCGGTGAGACTATTCGAGAATAGACTATCACCGTATATTACACTGACGTATATTATGCTACTAATGCTAATCAGAATATTGTATACACTTAGCGAAAGATCGAAGAAGGGATCAGACCAGACTTGAGTGGCGACCTTGTCACGAGCCCATTGTCATCTGGGAGTAGATTCCGCTTGTCTAACTCTGTCAAAGTGGCGCCGGTAATGGGCCCGACCGCGACCTCGATGACGGTGACCGTGATTATGATTGTTGTGGCCGTGATTATGTTGCATCTGACGCGGTTGATATTGCGAGTTATGATTGTTCTGGGTCTGGTGCGTCGACTGCTTTGAGTGCTGCAAACGACAAAAGAAAACGCTCGTTTGATAAAAGTCGATAGAAAATCAAGAGATTGGACGACAAAATATAATGGAAAAAAAATCTACTAATAAATGAGAAAATTATTGATAATTAGTCAAATCTTAAAATGAGGTTCTTACTCGCAAAATGAGGTTTATACTTACTGTTTCCAGTTGCTTTGAAAATAATATTACTAAGTTTCCAGGTTTACATAGTTTTGGACAAAACCTTATTTTTCCAGATTTCTTTGATCGAGAATTTCACATTACATTGCGTTTAAAATTAAGCGGATGATTATGTGTGCAAATTCATATAACAAAACTATCTATTTTTATGTCCCATTTCCTTAACAGTGGATTCAAATATCCAAATAATTTTTTTTCGTTTTCATTGTTTCCATCATCGAAGCATGGTTGACTACTCACCACCTGAGTAACAGATTGCACAGAGGTGGTATTTGAATATGCGGTCAAACTCGTGCCAGGAGGACTGACTTCTTCCGTAGTAGCTGCGGGATCGTCCTCCGTTCTTACCAGCATCTTGACACCCTCGGCTTCAAGATCGATTATACCACCGCGTTGCTGCTGCCGTAGATACAAAGCGGCCATCTGTTTCTGGAGTTCCCTCAACTCGGCGGTAACGGAGAAATCGGTAGCTGCTTCAACATCGATTGGCGGCGGAGCCGACCATAAGCTCTCGACATCACAATTGATCGATTCCCGGCAAACTGGGCATATAGCCTAAAAAATAAACGAAGTATAAATGAATAAATATTAGTATAAATATAATAAATCTCGAACAAAAAGAGAAACGGAAAAATACTTTGCAAGCATCACAAGATTGACGGATGAAATGAAATCATTACTTAGCGTAAAATGTTTCATTTATATAACATAAACATACTTGAAATTTATTTGTGGTATCTTGCTGCCACTGTGGTAACTTTTCCTGTTCTTCTCTATAATATCTCTCGGCGGCAGCAACGTGCGCTGCCAGACAGTGCGAATGAAAGTAATGATAGCATTCCGTTTTTGTAAATTCATCTCCCTCCCGGAAGCCATACAAGCAAACAGCGCACTGATCGGTGGGAAGATTGCTCCTTGTTAAGTGTTCTCGTATTAACTGAATTATTATTCCATTATCATTATATATATTAACATTATTTATAATTAATAATTTGTTTATTATTTTTCTTATTTACTATGAATTTAGAATTAATAATTTATTTATCAAAATCATTATTATTCTTAATTATTTATATTATTTATTACAAAAAGATCATAAATTACTAATAAACTTATAAATATTATCTTAATATTATTCTTGATAATACATAAGAGATTATAGAGAGAGAGTTCATATATAATTTTTTGTGTAATTAAAGAATTATAAAAAATTTAATTAAAGAAGTTTATGATCTTTTTACATGTTCTTTTAAACAATAAATTTTGTCCAGATAATAATATTCAAATACATATGTGTGTGTGAGGAAAAAATATTTTTAATATTTCAATATATGCCCAAATTATGTGAGAACATAAAATAAATATAATTTATAAATTATATAGCAAATTCTTCTTATTAAAAAAGTGTAAACTCTTTAAAAGAATAATTTCATAAGAATTTGTATATATAAATTTTCTCACGACTTCTCTTTTATAGAGATATAAATGGAAGAAAAATATATTTCTTTTTTTTCTGTTTTTACTATTTTGAAAATGTTTTGAAGATGTTACATAAGTTACTTAATAAAACAATTGAAAATAATAAAGAAAAGAACGTCCAGCAAATTTGCAATACAGATTTTATTGTTTATATACATAAAAAGGTATGCATAAAGATATGCTATTTTAAAATCCAAGTTTTTAAATGTTTCAAACAAAATTTCTTGAAAAACAGATACTTCAGATATTTAGAGTAAATAGACTTATTATCGCTATTTTTTTGTGCAGCAGAATTCAAACGATAAAAGATAAATTGTCGATAAAAAAAAAATAAGAAACTGATAGAAGAATTCTTTACCTCAATTAACTCGAACATGACTGGCTGACCTATGAAGTCTTTGCACTTGGCCTCCGCGTCGGATTGCATCAGCTTCACTGTGTCCTCGTCCAATCCTCTGGGATTTCTCAGATTGATAACTGGCGAGATATCCGGGTAGCCCGAGGGTAATCGAACGATCAAAGTAACACAAACATATTGAGATTGCGAATCCTCACCGGTGGATGGAAACAGTATCGTTTCAATACACTCTGGTTCTCCTCTGTACAAACATGAATTACTGTTAGAAACAGTAAAAAGAATTAATTAATATTATAAATCACCTAACACCAGAAACACCATATATTTCCAGCAATCTGTATACATATTATAAACAAATCACAATTAAATATTAATGAAAATTATACCCCAAAGAGATTAGTTTTGTGACTGTATGTATATGTTAAAAGCTATACATATAAAAATCTATAGGAATATAAAAAAATATATTTTTAAGAAAAATTAATCTAATAATATCTACAAATCTCTGCTGACAATAACTGTTTTTAAAAAATAAGAACATTTTAAAAGTTGTAGTTTCACTTTGATGGAAATTTATTATAATTTTATAAAAAGTCTGAACAAAATATGTGTGATAATCATTCAAATATCTTCATTTTAATATTAATATTTTTTTATATAAAATTAACAAGAATTGCAAAAATTTTTTAAATATATACCTATCATTTTCCTTAATGTTGAGTTCATTGTCCAGTAGGATTGCTTTCAATGCCTCAATCTCATCAGTAACTCTAAAAATCACAAACATGAAAACATAATTATGTTTGAATTTTCATTTAAAGTGATTAAATCAGCTGATCAAATATATTGTTAGAGAAGATAAGATAAAAGTTAAAACATCACACAACCTTAGATTTATAAAAGCATACATATTTACTTATGCATGCTTTTACTTAACTAACTAAAAATTGTTTGATAGGTGTTTGGCTTCCTACTTTTCCACTTTTCATATGCAATATTTAAATGTACCTTTGCGTAACATTATTTGAATAAATTTATATTAACAAAAAAAGTGATTAGAAAACATGGCAACAGAATAATTATACTAATAATGAGTCTGCACAAACATATGTTGCAGACTGATATGTGGACAGGAGGAGATTGAAAAAAGGAGTCGATAGAATACGATTTAAAAGGCGTCCAAGAAATATTTTTCGGAAAGGCCGAAACGAGAAAGACTCGGTTGTAGAGCAACAGCGTCGCGAATTCCAGAGTCAATCGTCGAAATCAATCACTTGATCGCCAGTTATCAGCAATTATCACCGACGATATTTACCGTTCGTCCACCATCGCGTCCGACATGGTTCCTCGTCGGATGGATCTCGCTGAATAAGCCGCGTTTCTCTCCAAAGGTCGATTCTCCGTCGCGGTAACGCCACTCGCTTCGCGAGAGCGTCAAATAAATGCACGTCAATATTGAAATCCTTCTGCTAGAACAGCCGACCGCGAGCGGATCCGATTGGCAAATTCGTCGATCGCCCGTTCGCCAATCGTCGCTCGTCCCGTGACAGCCAATGACGTAGCGCGGTTCGACGCGCACCCTACATCTGTCAAACAGCGAGTTTGTGAGACGCACCCATTGGCTGTTGGATAGGTAATTTCTAGGATCCCGTCGTCGCGACCAATCGGCGCGTTCGATGAAGCTTATCGCATGACAAATGTAACATGGCCCTAAAGTAAAGCGAGTGTCACGTGACCGCGTAGTGAGAGAGCAGGGCAAAAGGAGAATTCCAGTTTACGGCGGCGTAAATCCATCCTAGAATTCACGGTAATCGTCAAAATATAGTAAGAGATACTCTAATAACTTTAAGTATTTCGATAAAAATCTTTTTAAATTTACATATATACTCTTCTACGAGGTATAATTACTGGAAAGTTTCTATTCACTCTGCGAGGCACACGAGACTTGAATTTGAATTTAATGTACCTCGCTTGGAAGATAGATTAGACAGTCTGCATTAGTCTATTTTATATAAGACGATGCATCACGTAAAACATTGTATTGATTATTATCTTTTGTTCAGCTATAACAATTTTATTATTATTTGTCCAGACATGTGTCAGATCCACAAAAGCCGATTCCAAAAGTAAAGGTACAACTCGATCGTTCAGGCAATGATATTTCATTCGAACGAATGATTTATTATAAATACTACGTGAATATTTTTGATTCATCATTAAAATGACCTACGAGTATTTTACCACTTGTTCATTATTTTATTTTTTTCCATGTTTGTGACCCATGTGCCACCGACCGAGATACATACGATTATTTTCTCTGTCCACCAAGAGACCTTTACCGTGTCGAAAACCATCCATGAATTCGCCTTCGTACCAACAATTGTTGTTCCACTCCAGGAAACCTCTCCCTTGGATCTTATTACGCTCAAACTGACCCTGCATTATTTTGAATCTTATTACGCTCAAATTGATCCTTCATTTATTCCTGCTGATTCTCAAATCTTGACACTAATTAACGCGAATAAATATTATATTTTTCAGAATAACACGCCAGGATGCCTCGATTCAATTTAAAAAAATGTCAACTCAAGTAAATGAAACGGAAACTTTGAAATATGTTAAACTTATATTAAACATATATTAATTACATAAAATTATAGAATTTTCAAAATTTTATACCCACCGGGATTTTTATTGAATGCGATAGATACATATTTTCTCGATACCTTGTAGTGGACACCATTATGCCATCTGTATGTCCCTTCGCCCTCCATCATCTTCCTGCTGATGCGGCCGTGATAAGAATTTTTATTGTAGAATTTTATATCGGCAAATTCATCCGGTGATGAAAGTTTCCAGGACGGAATGGATATTTTATCTTTCTCTTCCTTTTCTTCCTTAATAAATGAACCGTCACTTATGTCATTTTCCTCTTCATTTTTCTTGATAGCTTCAGCATCATCCTCGTCCAGTTTCCTCACAAGCGGTTTCCTTAGGAAATAACCATCCCATCTGTGTGCATATCGATCGAATTAAATCAATAACACATGCAATGGTAATTTTTTATTTCGTTAAATCAGTATAATTACTCAAGGACGAGAACCGGAAGTATGTCATTGTACATTAAATAAATAAACTCTTCTTTAGTTGTATATTTGCGACGTTTTTCAGCCAATACATCCTCAAAGGGTAATTCCTCCGCAATTTTATCGATTTCCATCGAGAGTATATCTTCCTCCTCATGCAAATCTTCTGCTTCGTGTTTTTCATCTTCCGATCTTTCATCACGAGGACCTAAAAATTCCGGTTTCTTTCTACATTTACGTAAAATTTCTTCTTGCAGCGCTTTCAAATCTAATTCCTTTATCTCATGTTCCATGTTAGCCTTCAATTAATGTGTAATATTTAATATTTATTACTATTAATATTTATTTATTATTATATATGTATGCAAATTTCTATTTGATAACAATATGAATTTGCTCTTATTGTAAAATTACATGAAATAAAAGAAAAAGACATGAAAAATATTTGTATAAATTGTATAATTGACATGTAACACTATGTTCACATAATAGTCAGAAAAATGATATAATAGGAAACGAGTTGTTAAGTTTTTATGTCTTCATAGATATTTAATGCAAAAGTTATTTAGTGGTTATTGATTAATAATCTGTTTTTATATTTGATACGAAAAAAATATATAAATATATACGATATAAAATGCTGAAAAAGAAAGTAAATGTAACACTATTGATAATTTTTAAATAAATATTTTGGAAATATTAATTTTATCCTTCAAAACATATTAAAATTTTAAATATCTTATAACTTTCATATATTTAAAATAAATTTTATGTTTTTCTATTATTACGAGTATAATACTAGAAAATTTTTTTGAGTTATATAAACTATTACAATCTTATTAGAAATTTTGCTAATTTCTATTTTTCTTTAAAGTTTTCATACTAATAATTCTTTTTTATTTTACAGTTTATGCCATTTTGCGATGAAGACGAAAACATTGAACCCATCATTTTCCATGTTCCAGCGGTGTATAGCGATAAAATCAAGATACACGATTGGTAAATATTATACATCTTTTTAAATTTTTATTAAAAATAAAACCATAAGACTCACTAATAAGAAAAATAATAAAAAAGACGGTTCAATAAAAAAATTTATATATTACATAATTTATAATAATATTATATATTATAATTTATAATAATGCAAAAGAGTTGCATAAATATAAACACGGAAGATGGAATTAAAATCATTTAATTTTGTTTTATGATATTTTTTTCTATTTCTATCTCTTTTAATACAGATTCTTGTAATATAAATTTTCTTAACTCTCTATCTCTTCTCATTCTTTTGTAAACACAAGAAAAATCTTTTAGAAGAGCTTTTTTTAATCGAAACTTTTCTACTATAAATTAACTTTAGAAAGATAATGTGTATGTCGCTTACATAAACATAAATCGCGACGGAAATCACATACATGTAAAGCGTATCACACTTTTAATGGAAATGAGGGGGAGTAGTTACGCGATAATACAGACGAAACCGTGCGATTGTTATACGTAGCAACGCGCTTTACTTCACGAATCTGACGAGAACACCCACGTTTGTATTGCGTATCATTATTTGATACAGTGCCAGCAATCGTAAAATTTTAATTTATAATAAGTCTTTATCTTTATCAGAAGAAATGGAGTAAGTTTATTTATTTATTACTACTTTATTTATGCTACATTAAATTATGTTATAATATTTGAATTTTTTAGGATATTTAATGAGTAGAAATTTATTGTATAATACATGTATAAATTTTAGCCAAAATAATCATAAAATTTCTTTCTCAATAATTTTACTGAAATTATTAATAGGCAAATGAAAATTTTGTCTGAGCCTAGAGACAATACAGATATATTTCCACCGAAGGGAAACCTTCACAAATCCTCATATCAAAGACTCGGTCCAGAGGATGAAGGCACTGGAATTTCGGAGACACGTGCCATGTTGTCACAAATTGGGATGAAAGACGAGTACAAGCCGATTACTTATCCGCGACGCAGTTTACTTACAATGCAATCGTTAGCTTTGGCGGAGTATGTATTTTATGCTTAATAAATATCAGGCAAACTGAAAAGAATTTTTTTCGAAATTTATAAAAATAAATTATTTTATAATTATAAGGAGAGATAATTATTACCAGAAATTGCTATTTATTTCTAATTGCAAGATAAGAGTCTCCGGATATCACCTTCTCGTTTAATATTATTAAATAATAAAAATTTAAGATTTTAACTATAAAAATTTGTTATTTTATTATTATACAGTTATGTAAAGATATTATATGTGTCTTAAAAAATTTATGAATAGATTATAGATGATCCACAACATTTCTTTTATACACATAATTATTAAAGAGATCATAAGCTGCAGTTTATTAATAATTTTTTAATAATGAATTAATTTTTAATTATATATATATATAAAATTAAAAATTAATTTATTATTAAATAGTTAAATAACATTAATAATTAAAACGATAGTAGAACATGTAACATTTTTTTAGAAAGGATTACGAGGAAAAAGAATTAAAATTAACCGATATTCTGCTGGATCCCATGGCGATTTGTCAGATGGACTATCGAACCAGTATGAGCAGAGATTATCGTTCGCCTTATCCTCTGAAACCGAAGCCACCACCATCACCACCGCCACCGGAACCGTGGTTGTTAAATCGGCGTACCATCGGTTACAGTCCTCAAGATTTAGAGAATCGTTGCGGATACCACACATTTCTAGACGACGACATGGATCTTCATCAGAGAATAGCACAATTAAAAATGAGCAGAGGCAAATTGTACGAAATTCGATGATAAACAACAACAAAATTCTATTGATGACTGATAAATTAAACACATTGTGTAAATATATATAACTTTTGCTTATCATTTTATCAAATAGATTTGCATCACAAATAGTTTTAAACTAAACTAAAATTTTCTAATAAATAGTTTTAAACTAAACTATTCATTAGAAAAGTATCTAACGTATTTCAATAGATATAAAAATATTTTAATAAATATTAGAATATTTTAAATAAATTTGGAACACATATATGAATGTGCAAAATGAACAAAATGAACAAAACTTCTTCTTTATTCAGAAAAATAAAATGTTTAAGAATTAATAAAATATTTTTCTGACGAGCTGATTTTTATCCTTGCTCGTCATCATGTCTTACTCCCAATATTTTAACACAACAAAGGAAGATAGAGTTGAATGATTTATAATTAATCTTTTTAATAATCTTTCTATAATATCTTTCTTTTCACAGATTATTAACGCCAGATTAGCCTTTTGTAACAAATTGAAGCATTCTTGATGTAATGTTTTTTCTAAGGATTATAGGACAATACGATTGCAAAATCATATTCAAAATAATCATAATAATGTCACAAATTAAATTGCATTAAAAATAAGATTAACTTGCGGTATAAAGCATCGAGCACAAAAAAACTGAAGAGAAGGTAAAATAACGAGGCACGATCATGTAATAGCTGCAATGTAAAATATATTCTATCTACATCTTAGCACGAGAATATGTGCACGATCTACGATCTAGGGGGAATCCGATGTGATAGCGTTTTATTTTTCGATGTTTTTGCCAAATCGCAGATGTCCATATTCTTCGTCTTCATTGTTGGATCGTTTGCCGAATCTCATGTGACCGTAATCGTCCAGCTGCTGGCGTTTGCTGAGTCGCAAATTGTCCTCGTCCTCGCCGACGAGGTCCTCTACGAGGTCTTTCACGAGACCTTCCACGGCATATCTACGGCAAAATGCAAACGAAATAATTAAAATACATGCTGTTGACTTTTTTTTAAATCCTCAAAAGTTTCATGTCGACGAGATTGTCTTATTTTCGCATCCGTTTTTAATTTTATTCACATATATCTTTTCATTGTATGTTCATTATGTAATAATTACCCGTAAATATGTGGATGATTTCCTAAGTTGCGATGGATACTGGGAATCAATCTCGGAGCTGCTTTGCATTTTCCGCAGAACAGCCATACGACTGCGATCATGCAAGATAGTGCGAAAGTCAGATTCATGTCTGCAATCATTTAAAAATTTTCCGTTTCATTGCAAGGATATATCGTTAAATTACAGATCAAATATATATCTTTTTTTCATAATAGATACAATTAATGTTATCACATAAAATTTTTAAATCGAACTATTGCTTTCTATTTTCTATAATTGCTTTCAATTAGTATACTTGATAAATTAAACAGTTCAAAAGTATTAAAAAAACAGTAAAATTTTGTAAATGTATTTCATATATCATTTTCGTTAAATGACTATATGTGTGCATATGTATTATGTACATATATACACATGTAGAAAAATATTAAAATATCTAAATATATACAAATACAATTATGCTCAATGAAAGGTACTTGTAACTTGTGCTCAGATACAAATATTATACTCGTAAATATCAAAGAAACTTTATTCTCAAACTTCTAATATCGAGTTTTACTGACAATCTTTTTTTTCTTTTTCAGGAAAATTGTTCAAAGAACCCAAGTTTTAGTTTAAATGTGTGGGCATTTGAGAAAAAAATATGTAATTTAGAAAAAAAATTCACTGAGAAAGAAAATTATTTTCAATTTAACGGAAGAAGCTGTGCACCATTCAACGGATTAAAATTAATAAGGAAAAGCAGCAAAGCAACAGGTGAGACAAATAACAAATTTACAAGCTGTTTAATTTAAAAAACACACATATAATACACATATGAATAATAAAATGCGCTCGAAAGATTAAAATCACGGAAACCGCACGTAACGAAGTCTTTCGCGAATTGATCAAAGAAACCGCAGTCGATGGGATCTTCCGGAATATCCTTATGTTCTCTTACCTGCGTGTACCGGACGTCGAGAAAATCGGCAATGGAGTGTACGATGTGCGCGGTGGTGGCTTTTTATATCGCGGCCAACTTTACGTTCATCCCCCCGGTTGGAAAATTGACGCGATGATGAAAAAAGTACGACGGCGCTGAATTTTAATTCACGCAACGCCGCGCGCACTGATAAACAATTTTCTTTTCTCAGACGAACATCACGCCTCCACCGTTCAATATTCCGCAATGTTCTTCGCGTCGATGATTGGCAGGGCACCGGATAAACCGATTACCGATGTCATGTCGCGACTCTTCTGTTTCCTTTCTGGCGGAGAAAATCGGACATTAAAATCCATTTTCTCTCCCTCTTTCTTCTCTCTTTTCTTTTCTCTATCTGCCTCTCTTCAGCGAAAAGCAGTGTGGGTAGCAATTGATAAATAATAATGCAAACAATCATCTGTCAATTTCGTGCAGTTATTTTTCTATTGTTCGATTGAGAAATTAAAACGTTGACGAGAAACAAACAATACTTCGCGTACAATTCATGTTAATGTTAAATATTAATTAGAAATAAAATACTTTACGAAAGTTTTACTTTACAGGTATGTACTTTAATAATAATTTTAATTATCGTTCCGGTATTCATTAAGTAGTCCAACTAAAAGTTTGATTTAAATAGACATAGACATGTAATTACATAGACATGTAATTATCTACAGATTAAATTTTGCTTAATTGCATTATCTCTTTATTTATTGAGATTTAATCTATTTTTGAAATTGATTTTTTCTCAACAAAAATATTGGAGTGATAATTTTATATTGAATTCTGTTTGTGTATTATTTTAATAACTTGCAATTATAATCCTACGAAAAAGATATTCTTGAAAAAAATTAAGAAATGCCAATTTTTATTTTATTTCTGTTTGCTTCTCTCTGAAATTTTATCAAAAATCATTGTAGAATCAATTTTTTTTTAACCAGATTTACTAATTGTAGAGAGCAAATAAATAAAAATAATAAACTTTCACAGCAAAATAACTTTTTAAATGGACAAAAAAACTTTTATCTCTTTTTTCCATTTCATTTGCAACTGACATTAATTCTCACATATTTTCAATGGATTTTCAAATCTTATTTCTAAACTTTTAATTTTCTAAACTTTTAATTTTCAAACCTTATTTCTAAACTTGTAATAAGATATGGAGCTAATACATTATTTTATCATTGATATCGAGAATAATTTTAACATGAATGTTGATGTGAAATTAATAATTAACGCATGATGTGATTATACCTACACAAGGTTACGGCCATGATGATCAATGGCTTCCGCGTTTGCGGTGCTTCCTCTATTAATTCTATAAATCGCTTTATTCTCCGAGTCAAATTATTTTTTCAGTCATAGAATTGTTGTTCAACCATCATCAACTTGTGAAATGAGTCTGTGAAATTTTTCAAATTCTCGTTTTTGTTTGACATCAAAATGACAGAGAGCAAAGAGATAATGATTCAGAAAGGTCTGTCGGAGTGGTGGAGCGAGGAGACGGAATACGTACTCCAGAGGATTGAGAAATGGACAACTTTTATAAGTGGTTACAATCTTCTTCGATCGCAGAGGTGAGATAAAGAGAAAAAAAGAATATAAATTAGTATATATGAAATATAAATAAAAAAGATCGTACAAAGAAACAAATATTGAAATGCACCAGGTGATCCAAGAAAATGTTGCAAGACACCTGGAACGCTTCTTCTGATAAAGACACGCTATGATTTTACAGCCTCAAATGGTCCAAATGGAAATCCTGTCCGGAAGAGACCAAGATTAATTGCTGCAGCACGTTCAACTACCAGTCGAATAGCAAACTTGAAAGCAATTGTCTGGAAACTTATCGGTACGATCACAGTATCTACTTCAAGACTATCGGTGACATCAGGAGCAACAAGAGAGACGTCAACAGAGATCTAGAACAAGATAGAATGTCTACTATCAGCGAGGAATTGGTAGAGTGGGATGCCAGCTCGGTCGTTGATTTGACTGCTAAACCGATCTCTGAAGAGATTTGTAACAACAATCGTCCGGACGAGCTGAATATTTCGGATACCATTGCTGAACAAGAAAAGAATGGAACGATGCAAAACACCTGGCCGATTGTAGATCTGTCGAAACTCGATCTGGATTTGATGGACAATCGAAAAAAAAAACGAACAGCTTCCTTGTCTGGTTGATCGAGATAATTTTGAAATAAACCAAAAACAATTGGAGAATAACAACGTGAACAGTCTGGAGGATAAAGTGAATTAGGAGGATCAGGAGAATAAGACGAAAAATTACGAGAGGATAGAAAAATTTCCATTATTTCGAAAAAGACGATCATCCATGCGAAAATCACCAATCATCAGTGAAAACAATGTTATTTTCCGGAAATTCTAAATTACAATAAAATTTTGAATTATAACAACAATTTCGATGTTGCCGACATCTTTGCAAGATTAAAGTAAAAATTGAAGTAAAACATTGAGTATAGAAAAATTTATACGTAAGTGCATAAACGATTGAATTGTACGAAATAATATGACGATTTAATTATTTTATGTATTTTATCAATAGAAATGCTTATGTGCTTTCTTTCTGTATTTGCGTGCGATTCGCGCGCGTAAAATTCTGCGAATGCCTTCATTCTGAAAGTTCCCTTTTTTTTTCCTACTCTTCCAATATTGTTACGTGCTTTCATTTATCTTTTCATTTTAATGTGATGAAACAATCACATGACAAATACAAATAATGAGAGAACAATGTAAAAAAAGGCAAAGAAAATAGTATTTTAAAATATTTAATAGTTTGACAAAATGAATAAAATTTTTTTATAAACATTACTGCCCTTTTTGTAGTAAATATTAAACTGAACTACAATGAGTAGAAAAGGAAAGGGATATTTTTCATCTGTATTTTGTGCAAAAATTTATTTTTTATAAGCAGATTTTATCATAATTATATTTTTTCTTCTTTTACAAGAATATCAATATTACAAGTTACTAAAAGATGTGGAAATATATAATAGCATTAAAAGCAAATACATATCTTGAGAAAAAGTTTTTTCACAGAAAATTAAATATGAATATATTATATCTATTTTGTGAAATATGTGTGTACACTTTTAGTATTTTGAAATTAAATATATTTTGCGCATGTGACACTTCCCAGGTAGAACATGAAATTCATAATGACATCATTATGACGTTATCATGATTTTATTTATCACTTAAAAATCACCTAGGTGCCTTATTCATAATATAATATGCTTATTCTCGCGTATGTTGTCAGCTTTTCTCATAATGAAATTACTAGCTTATAAACATGCAATCAATACTTCGTGTTGAAATAAGAATATCTTACATACGTATTTGATAATATAGCAAACTTGTTTACTACAATCTTGTTTAATATAATCTGATCTTAATTAAGTGAAAAATATTAAAAATAAATTACGAATGAGAAAAGACTTGCATCAGAGCAACTCTTTTAAAAATACTATAATACTTTTATGTGTTTTTTTTCTTTTATCATATATTACTGTTATATTAGATATTTACATCATCTGTGTGAAAAGCGTCGATACATCGAAAGTTATTTTGATAACATATTTAATATGCTTATATAAAAAAATTTTATAATATATTCCTTTAAATTATGTAAAATCCTTTAAAATATGTAAAATTTTAAAAACCGTCAAAAGAATACCTAAAAAAAAAATTTTTGATCTCTTTTACAGATATTGGCTACCAGATATTTATATGATCTGCGATATTATTGGAGAAATTATTTCCATGAAGAGAATTGTCAACGTAATATTCAATCCTTCAACGCAACTGACGTATGAGAAACATGTCTCTTTCTCTCCTGATGCTTTCACGATGATATGACTGATGTTTCTCCGACTACCTGCGATACATTCGTTTTCATTATATATGAAGAATTCAGTCCGATAAAGGGAGTTCCCACCATGGCTATAACATATTCTTGGGGTAGCGCGCATGCACCAGCTGAGAGAGGGGCGGAAGCCACGCACGCAACGCGTAAGTGTGCTCACGAATCCTGTCGTGAATCGATCGTGTGCGAGCTTCACTCTCGCGGCCCAAGTGAAGCATTTTACAATAGTGCGTAATAACTTGGATAAAAAGAAGGTTTTATCGACGAGAGCGGAGAAACGAATATCAAGATGAGCAAGCGATTAGAGACTGTGGCCACGATGACCTGCATGAAGACTTTGTTGATGCTTTTTAATTTCATTTTCTGGGTAAGTCAAGATCATCTCCCCCTTCCATTGACGATCTTAAAATATCACCTTCACAAACAACCCCTTGCCTTGCAACTGATCCAACTGTTGCGCAATTGATCGCAATCCTGCGGTTGTATATCGGTCGAATTTGATCACTCGCTGCATGAAATGTAATAATGACGTGACAATTAAATCCTGTCCTAAGCTTCTTAATTGAAATAAGGTCAGATAACTAACAAATGAGTATGAGATATATAATAAATAGTTAATATGACCTTGAATGTTTACTTATATTATTAATATTTAGTATATAATATCTTAAATTTTTAAAATACATTTAAAAATTATAACGTACTTTTTCCTGAATTTTTTTAAATTATTGAAAGTTTTGATGGCTGTTATATATTTTCCATACAGTCCATACTTATCCTTGAATCCTTAAATCAGTTGAGAAATTTCAAGCGCGCTAATTAAACGACTTATCTGGAAACGCATGATGTATGTATGTGACTGTTATCACTTTTAATACTAGCAACCATAACTTTTTTCAATATAAAGATAGAAGTCTTGTTATTGAACGGATTATTAAATAATCTCCATTTTTTCACAATACTATTTCTATTTTAATCTGTAAACATTGCTGACATTTTGCTAAGTTATTATCACAACATGTTTATCTGTATAATATTATCCTCCAATAGAAGAGATGTTGAAGTTCCTTTTTCTTTAACTTTTAACTTTCTTATATGTATTACTACAAAATTTATATATTTATTAAAGATGTGAATTTTTAAAGTAGATAAAGGTAAAAATAAAGTAAAAATTTTTAAAGATAACTTTTGAAAGCAGCATCATTCAGGAGACGGATAATTTGACTAATTATTTTAATATCGCTTATATTTGTATTGTACAGGCTTCCGGAGTGTTGATGCTATGTATCGGCATATGGATGCGCATCCAGCTGCGGGATTACATGAACATGAGCGTGCAGGGCAGTGGAACGGCCCTATTAGCGCTCGCGAGCTTAGGTGCGGTGTTAGCGGTAGCGGCGGTTCTCGCCTGTTGCTGTACCGCACGAGGTCATCCCGCTCTTCTATACTTGGTAAACATGATGTACAGTCTATATAATTCGCGACGAAACTTTTGCAATTTTATAATTTTGATACGCGCTGGAAAAAGAATCAGGATACACGTATACGTGTATAGAACACTATCGCGAATTATAGATCGTATAAAGTGACCGCTTGGTTCCCTTGGGAATAGATAAAATTACGAATCGATACTCGACACTCGATATAATTTTTTCATCACATGAGCAATATAATTCCCTGATGCACATAGGTGCACTAATAGTAAAAATAAGAAATTTACACAGGAGCTGATCAATTTGTCTTTTGCAAACCTTGCATAAGAATAGCTTTATTATTTATTAATACTCATTATAGTAAAATAAATGATATACCATGGAATTATTATTGTAAAGAGAAAAGAGAGAGAGAGAGAGAAAGGATATTAAATTATATTTCTATGATATTTGAATTTTTGAGATTTTTATGTTAAAATTGAATATTTCTAAAAAAATTCTTTCGGCAAAACATGAATAGAATTTTATAAAAGATGTTTATAAAAACAATTTTTTGTTTATATAATTTATAAGTAATTGAAAAATAAATATGTTAAAAACTCTCTTTCTCTTTCTTTCTCTCTCTCTCTTACTTTCTTTTTCTTATAGAGAAGTAGAGATTTCCCTTGATATTATTATTAAAATAATTATTTTTCTCTATCTCTTAGTATGGCGCGTTCCTAGCTGTTGTCGCATTATTGGAACTTGGCGCGGGTGCATCGATTTATGCTTATCGTACAAACTTGAATGAAGTATTCGATCAAAGCTTAAACCAGAGTATGGAAGCCTATGGACGGGATGATTCCATGACCAATCGCATTGATAGCATGCAATCGACCGTAAGTATTTTTTTCTACAATATTTCATTTATGCTTGCACAATTTCAATTATTTTAATAATAATAGAACTTTGATTAAATTTTTATTGAAATTCAAATAATAATTCAATAAAGAAACTGAAATGAAAAATCATTTTTAATAGTATTTTTAATGTTCGATATTATTAGGACTATAAATATCATGCCATATCCATGTCACAATATTGAAGAAAATTGAGATTAAAATTGTAAAAAGGAAATATATTGTTTAACGTGCTATATAACTAAATATTTGATGTGATTTTATTCCGTTCAAAATTGTGCTAGAACTTCCATTTCTTATAAAGAATTCGTTGTAAAGATTAAAATCAATAATATTTTTATAATCAGACACTGGATTTATTAAATCATATATAGGAAAGTATATTATAATTAATTTTAATAACTGTTTCATTACAAACTTTAATATATCAGATTTTTTGTGAAATGAAATATATGTTTATTGTTTCCTTTCTTCTGTTTTATTGTTTATTATTTTACTATTTATTAATTTTTAATTAGAGACCTGAATTTTCAATATAAAACTACGAGGGAATGATTGCTCTTTTTCTTGAGTTTAAAAAAAAAGTTATTTTTTATTAAACTGTCGAAATTTTTATTATGTATGCATCGCATATTTTGAAAATTTAATTATCTGATTATAGTTGCATTGCTGCGGTAATCGTGGATACGCCGATTGGTACAACATAAATCCACCGAAGGAAATTCCCCTATCCTGCTGCAAGGTGCCCGAGGATAAGTGCGAACCGAACTCCGTAGAACAAATTTATACTGATGTACGTAGGCGCGATAAGTTTTCAGTTTCTTAATTGTCCAAGTTCTTATGAAACTTGCAGCTCTTTACTGTAAATAGGGCGGAACAATTAAAATAGTGAACGATATTAAACTAAATTTTCGAAGTTTGATTAATTTCAGCAATTATGATAATTACGATAGGAGTTATGACACTAAGAGTTGGAAGAAAAAAGAATATAAAAATAAATACGCAAGTTAAATCAGTTTTTTTCGACTTGCAATTTTTTTCAATTTTTGGTATTTTTTAAATCTAATTTTCAATTCCTTCTGTTTTCAGGGATGCTACAGTCGCGTATTGGATTTCATAAACAGTAACATCGGTTTGGTAGCTGGTACCGCGATCGGTGTAGCCTTCTTCCCGTTGGTGGGCATCTTCCTGGCGTGCTGTTTAGCCAGCAACATCAACAAGGCAGAATACGAGCAGGTCGCTTAGGCACGGCATTTGCGCAAGCAGCAACGATGGTTCTATCAGGAAACGAAAAAACTCGCATCGCTAGCAACAACAGCGAACGTACACGATTTCAATACGAGAGCATGAAAATGATTTTAATTGAGTTTTTCTCACTTCGAGATTTTAATCGAAGACTTTGCTGCAAAACTTAAATAAAGGTCTACAGTGTAAGGTACGCATTTTTAAATATGAAATCGTGTCTGAAAAAAATTGATTTTACATAATAAATGATAAAGTTTCATTATTTCTCAATAAATCCTTTAATTTTTATTTATTTATTAATCGATTTGATTAATATTGAAATTTTAACAGATCAAAATCTGAAAATATTGATTAATAATTAATCAATATATTATTATATTAAGATATATAACTCTTTTTTGGATCTCGTATGAAAATATCTTCAAATATACTTCCTTAATAGTTAAAAATTATATATCTACATATATGTATATGTATATGTATATATATATATATATATATATATATATATATATACACACACACACACATATACACATACATATATAATATATCTTGGTATGCATGGAATGATTGCTTAAAATCTTTTAAACAAAGTTTCTATAAAGTTTCGACAAGCAGGTAGAGGAACAAGGAAGCAGAAAGTATTAGATTAGGACAAAAGTTGTGTGTTAAAACTTTGTTTCAAAATCGTAAGCTATATAATAATGAAAAATGTGTATTGTTCGTCAAATATTGGACTATCTGTAGTCGATATCCCCTCTTGTTTCCTTGTGTAACTCTTGTCGAAGATTTGAAATTTACACTCACTGTTACACTCTGTCACTCTATATTACATATATATTATAAGAGAGTTTCATATGTAAAATATAAGAAGAGAATATGTGGGATATACAATCTATTTATTATAGAAATATAAATATATTCATGTGTAGAGAACGAGACACTTGACTCGACGATTTCTGTCAACTTTTTTATTTGACACATTAAAATCAGAACTCGCGCAGAAACTTTTTCATTTTCAAAGAAGCTTTTTTGTGTGTTACACGTGTTTTATATAATTACATATTATTGTTTGATTATCTTACAATAGTATTTTGTATAATATTAAGAAAAATGCCAAATAAAAAAGTTCAAAATGAATGCAAGCGTTAAGTGTCTCCAACTCTTTACGTTAGAAATATATTAATAAAAAATATATAAAAAATAAATATATAAAATATATTATAAAAATATATAAAATGAGAATACATTATATGCTCCCACTTGTTCTATAAAATTAACGTAGAAAGAAAAAAAAAGAAAAAACTGCAGACTTCTAATGGAAGCTTTATTTATAAATATTCTCAAACTATTTAAATATCTCCATACGATATCGAGGAAGCAGCACAATTTTGTCGCCGAATCGATATTCAATTGTTTACGTCAATCGCTATAGCTTTTATGTACGTTTACTGTATATCGCAGAATGCGTACATTTTGTACTAGTTCTGACGAGCCTTAAAAATAAAGGTCAATGAAATATCGTTCTTCTATTTGTCTAATAGAAATCAGTCTTTGAATGTAAATAACTAATATATATAAAGTGTAAAAATCTTTTGCGAGCAGAGGAAAATGGAATTGTTTTACGGATTTTAATCCTAGATCCTCCAGTGGTCATACAACCACTTTAATAGTTGAGTTGTCTCCTAGATTATTCCTCTTTGATTCCTCTTTATAACTCGTGAACTCTTGCATATCTTTTTTCTTAGAATATTCTCTACATACTTTATGCGTTTTTTTCCATTTTTATACTTTTTTGCATATTACTATTGATATTTCATTAATTTACAGAATTATTATACAGAATTAATTTTATCGTGTAAAATATCTCTCTCGTGAATTTATATTATATATATATATATATATATATATATATATATATATCTTTTATATACAAAATAATTTTTTTAACGGACATTTATATCTCAAAATTTTATTTTTATATCACAAAAAGAACTATTCAAATATATTAACAATTTTTTGTTCTTTAATTTATATCTTAATATATATGTATAATATGTATATATATCCTTAGGAATATTTCTTGTTGCATTTATAATTATTCCTTTCATCAAATAAGTGATCCACCAATTTTTTTTCATCAGAAGTATAAAAGCAACTAAATCAAATTATTTTCATGGAGTTATCTATTTCCTTTCAATTGTTTTAATATATAATTAACACGCTTATATGTGTGCATACAAACACACATTTATATAAATTATAAAACCTATTATATAATTTACACAGAAATTTTATTTGTCGAGAAATTGAAACAATTTTTTCATACAATACATAAGTTTCATACAAAATTTATTGAAATTATCAAACCACAGTATTTAGATAACAAGAAATCAGTATTGTTTCCATTGTTATATGCAATATTACGAATATAAAACATTTTTAAACATATAAGAGATTCAGTAAACTTAATTTTTTCTCTTATATTTCTATATTATTTCATAGGGCGTTTTTCAGCAAGCAACATAAATGACACAGCCATAACACAGAATCATTTCATCCTTGCTTACATTTGGCAAGGATGAAGTAATACATTGTGTCAATTGTCCCTTGCTGAAAAACGTCCATATTTAACTCATACATGAAGTAAAAATGCCATTGTGCATAATCTATTTAGATGAGTGAAGATATGCATATAAGTTCATGAGGCAAAATTGATGAATAGATGAAATGGATGATTATAAAATTATTATAACATAAAATTATTATAACATTAAATAAAAAAATATACATATATAAACATACACATATATATGCGTACATATCTTAACTTTTCATTTGTTATTTATCTTTTTATCAAAACGGATTTTGTTTGATACACGTTTTTGAAATTTTCGTAAATATTGCCGATCTTGAAATGTGCACAGAGTTTGAGCTTGATACCAGGACGTGAATACATTGATTGCATCCAAAACATTCTTTGCAATAAGATCATTTGAATGTTCATTATTTTCTTCCTCTTTATTTTTTTCATCATCGATATTATTTTGGTACTTTTGAAGAGCCAATTCTAGATCGTCTAATACTTGCCATCCTTGTTCATTGTCATCATTATGCAACCATGAATTAATCTCTTTTAATGTAATCTTATTATATTTGGGAATTTTAGTCACCATATCTAAATATGATCGAGAGTCAAGTTCTAGATCCGAGTAGAGTGGAAAGAAATTTCTCCAGCCATTCTTTATATCGCTTTCTGTCACTTCACTCCAGGCTTCGTTTATAAAATAAATACATTTAAGTATATCAAATGACTTCAACAGTCTCGGAATTTCTTTGGCACTTTCTGCTGTAAGCATTACTCTTAGAAGTTTTTTCTTGTATACTTTTTTCAATTTTTCAATAATTCCTTGATTCATAGGTTGAATAAGGGAAGTCACATCAGGTGGTAAAAAAATCACTCGACATCGTTCATTAATTGAGTTTAAATGTTCTGTAAAGACATGACTACGAGCATTATCAATTAAAAGGAGACATTTCTCATTATTGGATCTATGAACACACTCGATTTCTGGTAAAAAAATTTCTCGATACCATCTTGACATCAGTTTATTATCCATCCATGCGTTTTTTTGTTTCATATAAACGACTGACAGAGATTTTATATTTTTTAAACAATGTGGATTATTTGCTTTTCCTATAATAAATACTGGTAGTTTATGACTTCCTGTCGCATTTGTACACACCATTAATGTAACTCTGCTTTCAGACGATTTTGTTTCAGATAAATGGTATTCACTGTTGAAAATATAATTATTTGGCAGCATCTTCCAATTGAGTCCAGTTTCATCAGCATTATAAATATTATCCAATGGTATTTTATTGTCCGTGATATATTTTACAAATTCCTGATAAAAATGGTCATTTATGTCTTGTTCCGCAGAGAATTTTTCTCCATGATTTGTCAAATATTTAATATTGTATTTTTTCTTAAATTTGTCCATAAAATCATTAATGTCTTCAAAGAAACCTTTGCTACCATTAAATAATTGATTGTACTCTAATGCCTTCCATTTTAGCATCGCTTCTGTCACAGGATCCCCGATGCTTCTTTTTTGGAGAAACCATGTATGCAAAACGGATTCAAGTTTGTCTTCAACGCATTTCTTTTTCAATGTTTTTTCTTCATGTTGAATAATTGATCTTTTTTGTCCTATCAAATATTCTCCAGGTTCTTTTATAAATGTGATTGGTATCTTCGATGTTTTGTCCTCCTGTGTTAAGTCACCAGTTTTCTCTTCATTATCAAGCTGTTCTAAAATTTTATCATGTTCTTCAATACTAAGATATGTTTGTTTAGTATTGATCTGGAAAAAAAGATATTTTTATTTAATTATTATACACCACAAAAATATTAGAATTATTTGAAATAACTTATTGTTAGCAAAATTTTCATATTAATAGAGTTATATATTAAAATTGTTGACAAAGGTTTCACTAAATTTTTTCAATATTATTTCTTGAATATTTCAGTTTAAATAACAGTATAAATACATATGGACATGAACATCAATTTTTATGTTCTATATAAAATCAATAATGTGCAAATTTTCAGTAAATCTATATGAATATTGCTTTGCACATACTGATTATATTTTTATTATACATCTGACATCTAAGCAATTGTTTCAAATTTTTTATAAGAAATTGCATCTAAGCACAATGCCAATGTGAATTTAATATAATCCTCATAGTAACCATACCTCATTTAATGTTAGTGGATCTTCTTCTTCTTCTTCTTCTATATTTTCAATTTTTATCGAATTTCCACATATATAATCCATGCTTTGATCTTCTGTTTGAAATTTGAATAATTGATCAAGGGTTGACATATCCTGCACATCAACCACTAAATTATTATAGGGTAATGATATTTATATTGTTCATTTACTGTATTAGTCTGAAAGAGTTTATGAGACTCAATCACTCATGTATCTTTTTTCCTATTAGTACAGTCAATAGCATTAGTAGTCTTTGTTACATATCTTTTTCTCACACAATAGAGACTACAATTATTCAAAGTAATTAAGCTATCATTGTCAAATGTACAATTACTTCTTGTTGTAAACTTACTAAACTAATATTATAATTTTTATACATATACATATACTCCTGCACAAAATTAATGTATAATTATTTTTTCACTTTTTCTTTAAAATTTTAAATATCAGCTTTTAAAGAAAAAGTGAAAAAATATTATGCATTAATTTTGTCCAGGAGTATATATATTCACTTTGCCAAGATATATAAATCAATTTTTTTTGTAATACTTTTTTTTAAATTTACTTTACTTTGTAAATAAATATCTGATGTAATTATTTATCTATCTATCATTATATTATGCTATTGTTGATCAAGATAATTTTTTTTAGGTGAATGGAAAAAAATGACCCGATTAGAAACATTTCTCCAAAAGTTCTCAATAAAAAAGATAACAATTTAAGTTTATTTATTTATATTTATTTATATTTATATATTTATTTATTCTATTACTATTTATATTACAATGTGAAAAACATCAGGATGAATAGAATATCCATCGGATTAGTGCAGTGTTATATAGAAATGAATTGAGAGAAAATAATAAAGTTAATCAATGCATGTAAAGTATTTTTATTCTATCATATATTTTATATATATATATATATATATATATATATATATATATATTTGAGAAAGAGAAAAGAGAGAGAGTTACTTATTACGCACACACACACACACACATATATATGTAATAAGTAACTCTCTCTCTTATATAGATATATAAATAGCGTTATATTATTATTATTATCATACCTTTTCAGCATGTTTACTGCTATTAATTTCTTGTTCCTTGCTGTTATATGATAATTCTTCCAATGAATAGTTTAGCATTTCTCTCTCATATTTAATCACTTCCTTGTCATCCTCCAACTTCATGAAATGTAGCATATCTATTATTTTGCGATGGATTTCTTTACCCATAAGCTGGGAACGTTTTGAGATGGTATCACGACTATTTTGTAAATCTATAATAATCTGTTCATCTTTTAACCGATCTATACAATATTTCAGTGCATCAGTCAGTTCTTGTTTCCTCTCCTCCAGTTTGAAAGGATCAAAGAACATATAGTTGGTCTCTATTTGAAATTCATCAGAATGATCAGAAATATCTTCATCAACAGTGAGAAATTTGATTGGTTCCATCTTTGTTTTACAATAAAATAATTTTGAAGCATTTACTCTAAACTTAATCCTCTATTTCTTCTTTTTTTTTCTTCATCTATTCATCTGTTAATATTCAATCATAAGTTTTTTGTTATAATAACAAGAGTAATTGGATATTTACCTTTTCAACATCTTGGAATGTTTATTGCGAGATAATATTTTGTTATAAAACAGAATTACATTTTTCCCATGCTTCAGAATTACATTCTTCTTTTGCTTCTCTCGTAAATTTTATTCATACTTACTAATTTCGTTAAAATTTTATTCTTAAAAAAACAAATAACTTTGTTTCGCGTCTGATAAAAAAAGAGAAAATAAGAGGTTACCATGTATAAATTCACTGTGTATGTTTAAAAAACATGTTTACAGAAACATCTTAGTGATATATAATTATAAGAGTCACTTGTGAATGCAATTTTTTTTTAATTTTAGCTGAAGATCAACTAGAATAGAATAGAGATCATACAGTACACAGTACATTCATTCTTACACAAAACAACTGAATATCACAGGTTTCCTGTATTCTGTAACTGATACGTTCCCCCTCTATTCTGAATCTTTCCAATCCCCACTCTCATTTTAATAAAAATGGTATTTTTATTTTCTCTTTACTTTACGTATTACGTGGCAAATGTATATACAGCGCGAGAACAAATAAGATAATTACAAGTTTACAATAACAGTTAACAATATAAGATAATTACAAGTTAAATAAAAGAAATTGATTAAAAGGAAATTCAGAATAAAGGACTTCTTTGGCTAATTCCACGACACCTGGCGACACCTCTTTTCTCATTCGAACATGATCACGTGGCAAATGGATAGGAGAGAAGGAAAAATATATGAGTGGGAGGAGTGGCGAAAAGAATTCTAACAATCGGAGAACTTTTGGAAAAAAATGTTTACTTATTCCGGAAATTATTCCGGAATATTAAGTGGATTACAACGAGATATCAGAATGCATTGATAATGCTATGAGTGTCGCACGTGATTCAAGGAGGATTGCGCATTGTCAGAATCAGCTGTGATGACTTACGTTTATGCAACTCGATGCAGCGAGGAAAAGAAATGATCATTTCGAAATAATGATCGTCTCGATGTGAGAAAAAACGTAAAATGGAGGATGACATTGATATTTATGCAGACTTACCGAGCTTCAATTTCAATCTTGATAAAAATGTGAGAATCATTTACGGTAATATTGATCTCGATTAACACGATTTCCTTCTTAAAAAAAAGTACATGTACACATAAATATTAATTAGTTAATACTTACATTAAAAGAGTAAAATTAATTTTTGATTAAATGTGACTCCAAAAAATTATTCAATTGTTAATAATTATACTGACATAACCTATAACGTTACATTTTTCCCGCCAAGGCTGTATTTGTATTTTAATATCTTAGAATAATTATAGTTATGTTGTTTTTATTGTTCTTATATAATTGCATTTATTATATTCATATAATTGCATTATTTATTATATTCATGTAGTATATCATTTACTGTCATTGTAGTAAAATAGCTTTCTTTTACTACACTTTTACTACATATGGAATCTTATCATTTCATGCCATTTAAGATAGCTTTCTTCATAGTATTGTTATATATAAAGAATATGCATTTTTTAATTTATATAAAATATTTATATAAAATATTTTTAATTTATATAAAAATTCAATACTTATTTCCGAAATCATTATTTTTCACTAAATTGTTTCCTTGAATTAAAGAACAACGATTTGAAAGTAAATAATATTGGAATTATATGTGGTGTTATATCCCGTGCAATTTATGATGATAAATCTTGTGAAAATTAGTTTTGATGTAAAGATGTTCAACAGATTATAGTTAACTATATATTGATTTTCATAGATTTTTATATATGCAATATTTAAAAAAAATTTTTCTAAATCTATATTTTTGTAACTCTATAATCATATTGTAACTCTATAAATTTGTAACTCTATAATCATATTGTTAGAATATTAAAATATGAAAATTGTCTAGAATAATACTATTGCAAATGTAATTTTCATTAAATAAAAAATTAACAAGTTAATACTTTTGAATGTCTATAAAGGATCAGCCTTGTAATTGCGAGAAATTAAAGAAAGAACTTAGTTCACTCAAAAGTGAACTTGAAAATATCCAAAAGATCAAGGAGAACTTAGAAAAAAATATATCCTCCTTATTGAAGACTGCAAGGGGTGAGATTGCACGGAAGGACAAGATGATAAGTGATCTTAGAAAGCGGTACACTGAATGCTGTACAATGAATACTGTAATGTTGCAAAATTTTTTTTAATGTCATTGTAATGATTACAGATTAGATGATGCAACCTTCAGAAGAAACAACAAGGGTGAATCTCGGGATTTTTTTTATAAGTCATCGCATCAGCAGCATACGATAGTTGAAAAATATGAAGATGCTCCTTTAATACATTCACAAGAGGATGAAACTGTATCACATGAAACTGAATTTCACAATGAACATAAAAATGAAAAGCTAGAGTATGACGACCAACAACCGACAGTATTCGCGGAAAGATTGTATAAAAGAATAAAGGATGAGAAAGAAAATACAAAACAGAAAACATTATTGAACTTTGATGTAGAAATTAAAAAAAAGATTGCTGAAGAAAACATTATGGAAAGTGATAAAGAAAATGGGTCTCAATCTAATATAAATAACGGCAATGAATCTAATACTATCACACGACATTCTGATTCAGGTATATATACATACATACACACACACACACACGTGTGTGTGTGTGTGTGTGTGTACTTTATAAGGGGGTTAAATAAAATTGTATAAAACAATTTTTAGAATTTTATGCAATTTATTTATATAATATAAAAAACTTTCAATTTTTCAAAATTAAAATATATATATTATTGTACTTTTTTATCTTTTTTATATCGTTTTTAATATTTGTACCTTAAAAAAGATATTTAAATTTTTAGAAGAGTCTATTTATTCAAATCAAAACAAATCTTTTTATTCTTAAAAATATAATTCAGTAGAATGCAATCTTATTGTTTACAGAAAATCTATGCACAAAGAATTCAGGAAAGAGGATGAATGAAGAAGATTATACGCATGAAAGTAAACGTTTAAAGATCAACGAAGACAAAATTGATTACGATTCCATTGTGCAGTATGAATTGAAAGACGATCTTGCGCAGTATGAAATGAAAGCAAAGTTCGAGGATCGACTAAATGCCGTCCATTCTCTTAAAGAAGAAATTTCACTCGACAAACGTAGAGCTGCTTCGGAACATCAAGACACATCAAAACAGAGTCGAGATTGTATAAATGGTTGGAAAAGAGAAGACAAAAGTAGTTCTCGAATTGCTTCGACATCGAATCACGTCTCAGAAGAGCTTCATAATGGTTACAAGAAGAATGTTTATTCATCGAGATATTCGTCGAGAAGAAGTTATTCTAGAAGCAGAAGTGATTATGAAAGTTCAAGCGACCATCGTCCACGAGAAAGATCAAATAGGACATATAGAAAATACGATGATTATAAATACGACAATCAATATAGAACGAAAGGACGAAGAGACTACAGATTAAAGAGGGATTATGAGAGCATAGAAAATGAGAATAAAACGAGACACAGGAGTAGAGAACGTGGTAATGTGGCATGGATTAAATCCAGACATTCATTAAGCGATGTTGAAGACAAGGAACGAAGTAATTCGTACATGAATAAGAAATACGAGAATCGTAGAATAAAAAAGACAACAGAAAATGTTTCGTGCAACAAAGATGTACAGGAAAAGGACAAAATTGCAATGGAAATTGATTCTCGGGCGTCTTCCAGTAGCACAATTGTAAATAATACAATGAATCACGGTGCCAAAAAAACTACTGAACAAGATAAGATAAAGAATAAATCAAATAGAACAAATCATGTAGATTCAATAGAAAGTACGTCGATATATATCGCGACGAAGGATTCGAGCAATCTAGAGGAAGGCGAAATTGTAGATAGTCCCGAAAAGAAATCTGATTTGACAAAAATCTCCAAAAATCATGAAGTTGAAAATGATACAAAAATTGTTTTAATGGAAGACGTTAAAGATAAAGACGTTCCTATGATTGTATCCGTAACAGAAGACAAATCGACTACTCTTCACGATGATATAATTACCGCAAAGCAATTAAATAATATGACGGATATTAGTACAAAAGAAGTCGAAGCAGAATCATGTCTTGTGCAAACAATAAAGAAGGATCCTGAAGACACAGCGGAATTAAATCCTGACAAAAGTGATGCGATAGTTGACGACGTGCAGAATCGTGACAATGTTGAAGATATATGCAAGTCTCAATGTAACGAGAATTTAACGGATTCAACTACTTGCACCATCGGAATGATTGAACAGGTGTGCGAGTTTCAATGTAATGAGGATTTAACGAATTCGACTACTTATACTACTGGGCCGATTAATCGGATATGCAACAGTAACGTTGACGATGATGATAAAAATCGCGTGAAGAAAGAATCGAAGATTTCTGTCACCGAAACAGCTATTAAAATCGAAGAAATGGCTGATACCAACACCGAAAGTACTGTCGAAGTTAGAAAGATAGACAAGCCTAATGTCGAAAATGCCATTAACAAGGACAAAGGAAATAATTCTAATATCGAAAGTCCTGTTCTAATTGCAGAGACAAACAATAGCGATAATAATATTCGAAAAATTGACGATAAAGAATTAAAAAATTCCACCGCTGAAACAGTTGCTGGAAAAGTCGAGGTTGCGCTTAATTGTGACATCAAGAGTAAAGATGCACCTCAAATACCAAGCAAGATTTCTCGACAGACATCAGGCAAAAGTAGCGAAATGAACCACTTGTGTCTTAGCGATCACAATTACGTTCAGGATCCTTCTCCTGTCAATGCTTCCGAGTCTAACGTTGTCCGAGATTCATCCATGAGTCCACGACATTGCCAAACTGTGCCGGAAGTAGCAACGATAAAAGAAACGAAACCGGAAAAAGAGATAGACGTTTCATTAACGGTCGATATCAAGAAGACAATGTCATCTACGGTGAAGAACAAGAAGAACCAATTCAACAAAAGTGTAGTGATTTCGCGTCGAAGGAGAGCCGTGATGTTGAGCGACAGTAACGCGTCTATGACTGTCCTGATGAACACAAAAACATCCTCTAACGTCATTAGCAATTCTAGCAACGAGTCAATCTTGAAGCCGCGGGCCTGTAAAGCGTCGCGCGCATGTAAATAATCATAATTGTAAGATTCCTGTACTTATACAGGGTGTTAATAAAACCTCCAATATTTATATCAATATAAATCTCGAGTAGAATCACGCAAGAAGGAACAGTATGACATTTTTCAGAATAGCTTCTATCTTTAATCTTCTAGTTGTAAGCTTTCTTGGCGCGAGATGCAAAGAAGATTCATGCAATTTGACGAGATGGGATAACAGATCGTGGATAAAAGTGAAGCTGATGCTTGGGCCTCCCTGTGAATAAATCTCTCGTTTTCATTACGAGACACATCTGTTACTTGGGACCCCGCAAGGTGGAGGAGATTAACAATTCAGCGTAACACGAGTCGCCCCTGCGAAGTTCACCGAGCCGTTGTGGACAACGGTGAGAGAAGAAGAAGGGAGCATCCTATATATCGATTAGGGGAAGAGAAGCAGCGGCGGCGGCGTCCGTGTATCGATCAGAAAATAGCCGGCGCGGTGACGCCGATGTACGCGCGCGTCGGCCGTTGACGTCATCGCCGGGGGGCGTCCGCGGCGTCAGCCACAGAGGACGTCGGGACGACCCGCGCCATGGATGTCGCCGTCGCCGTCGTCGTCGTCACCGTCGCCTGCTAACAAACGATTCCGAGAGGAACGCGCTTCATTTCTCGCGGGCATGTGCTCCTAGACTGTATTCTCTCCCGCGCTCTCTCTGTCTGTCTCTCTCTTTCTCTCTCTTTCTCTCTCTTTCTCTCTCTCCCTCCGCCTCGACGACGAGGTGCGATCTCGCGGGGACGAGATCCGTGCTTAATCACGGCCGCCCGCGCCACGCTCGCTTCCGGTAATCGATCGGCAGCACTCGCGTACACATCGGGCCCGTCAAGATGGGCTCTATAGTGCTCAAGTCGCTCTCGGTGCTGCTCGGAATATTTTTCGTCTTCGTCGGCACCATGAAGCTCACGTCACACATCAGCAAGGACCTGCACAAGGACCTGGTAAGTCGTCCGAAGATCGTTCCTTCTCGCTCGCCAGACGTTCCGAAATAAAACGTACCATGCGACGAACAATGTGGCCATTGTTTTGATAATTCAAAAATCGATAAAAACTGCATCGTTTATTATTAAAATTCCTATTAGCGCATCTTTATAGTTCGAGCTAGTGAAATTAATCGAATTTCAATAACGTGATACGTGAGATTGATAAGATCATGTTTGCTATGATTCCTTAAAATTAATAATTAATTAAATGATGTTATAATATTATATTAAATGATGTTACATTTAATATAAAACTGATGAAAATAAAAATTGATGGATAATAAACAATTGCTGAAACAGAAATAATGAATAACTTCAAATATAATGATATCAATTACTCTGTTTTATAGGTGTTAAATTAATAATTTAATTAGTATATAAATAGCGAATTTGACAGAATTAATCAGTCATACTCTCGAATATCCATTTGATGACCTGTAACTGTCAAATTGTCAACAACAGAGTTTGATTTATTTTGCAAGGTGCACAAATGTAAGACTCAATTATATTATTAGGTAATTATTAACATTAATTAAAGTAATTATATATTTATATGTACAAATATATAAAAATAATATTTAATTATATAAATAAAAAAAGATTTTGTAACTATATCAGATTGACAGACTGGACGCCATTTGTCACTTGTACATATTCCCCGTCTCGCCTTCGCTTATGTAATTTCGCGGGACGTCAGTACGAAAGTGGATATGTCGCGTGTGTGCGCACATCTATATCTCGTCTGTCACACAGAGAGCTCAGCTTAATGTTATGTAACGTTACGTGCTTATGGCAACGGCGTTTTCCTCTCGCCAACTGAAAGCAACCCACGTTTCCACGATGTCCATTTTCATGTTTTTTTTAACGAAGATAAAAAAATGCGACGACGATGAATGTGGCGTTTGAGCGGGAGAGAAGATCATCATAATCTTTTCATAATAGATTTCATTATAATATAAATGTCGGTGTTTCAGTATGTAAAACTTTAATTGGCAAATTATTCTTTGATATTTTGCAAGCACATGAAACATCATTTATTTTATATCTTACAAGAATTTTGTCCCACAAATTAGAATAATTTATTTTAATTAATATATTTTTTTAGAGAGAGAGTTATCGAAGCTAGTATATTAATATACGTATATATTTTTTAGAGAGAGTTATCGAAGCTAGTATATTTCGATTTAGCAAGAATTCATTTTAATTAGATGATATTAATAGTAAGCACGTGCATGCGCAGTGCTTTTGAATTTCTCAATCTTAATCTTGCTACACACATTCCTATTAAAATTTAAATAGATTATCTATATCTTTCTTTTTTTAGTAAAATACATTCTTGTTTCCTGTTATAGAGAAATATGAATATTAATGATAAAAATATATAAAATTAAAAAAAGATAGAATTATAGAATTTAAAGATATTGAAAACAATAATTTTTATAAATATCATATTTAAAATATAAAAATAAATTTATAACTGAAACTAAATTTGTAAATGATATAACAGAATTCAGATGTTTTAAAAATAATTTTTGCCATGAACGAAAAAACTTAAAGGTGTCAATATTAAGATAATCTCGGATTTTATCTCGGAAACTATATCGATAATTAACATGTAATCGAGATTTACTTTAACTAGCATTGTATCTTTTTTATTTAATATCTTGAATTTTTTAATTTAATATCTTAATTTTTAGAAAAAAATAAGAAAGTGTTTGCTAAATCTATAATCGACATTCTATAGATTGACTTATTGAACTTATTGCATTCTGATTTCGCATCTGACGTTTCACATTTTATTAATAACTATTTTATCAATATATTTTTCTAAAACATAATTGTGACAAAACCGAAAAGACATTAATTAAAATTTAATTTTGTTAAAATAAAACGAGGGAAAATATATATACGATATTTTCGCGTACGATTAAATGTAACATACAAGTTAATGCAATGCCAAATACTTGATTGTGGCATTAGCCAACTATGACAGTCGCAATGAGAGGGTCTCAAGGCTATCAGAAAAAATATAATTTCTGAAACCTCACCGATTGTAAGACGCGCATGTCGTTTATTGTTAGCTTATTATAGATGATGTAAAAATACACGCACGTTCAATATCGATATATAGTGCATACTGGAATACATGTATGCGATTAAAGACAGCGCACTTTCATCTCTCGCAAATTATAAAATATTTAAACGATATATTGTAAAATATATACGTGTGGTTATTGTGTGATAAACACAATGTATTACACTTAATTATTGTTAAAATTTCGATTCTCTAAAAGTTACGATGTTTTATCATCTTTTATTATATTATGTCATCTTCTGAACAATTTTAAATTAAGTAAAGTATAGTGTAAAATGTTTTAATGTAAAAGACAGATCGTTTGGTGTATCATTCCACTATTTTGGTAACTCTGACATTACCCAACGAAAGTGATATTAAGGTAAACACTCGTACAGATTGCTTGGTCAAACGCCAGTAAGCTTGCTGACTTGCTGGCGTGAATGATATTTATATACTTCGCGTATTAGAACAAGTCGCATTTTCTTCAGATCCTCGTCGAATTGTCTGAGACTGCCAAGATGGGCAGTCTCAGATCTCTTGATTATTTTACTATTACATATATGATATATTTATACTTAAATATACAATATACGGTAATAGCAACATTAGACGAACAATGAGATGTTTTATTTGAATATTTTTTTCTTTTGACAAATTTTAATTATATTTATATAAAATATAAAAAAATATATAAAAATATATTTTTTTTTATATTTTATATAAAATTCTTGTTTCCTATTATATAGAAATATGTATATTAAGTATAAAAATATACAAAATTAAAAAAAGAAAGAATTATAAAATTTAAAGGTGAAAACAATAATTTTTATAAATATCGCATTTAGAAAATAATAATAAATTTAAATAGTGTAAGAGAATTCAGATGTTTTAAAAATAATTTAAAATTTAAATTAATTTTAAAATGTTTATAATTAAATATTTATACTATATTTACACTATATTTTATATTTTTTATAATTAAATATTTAAAAAAAAGAGAAAGAGAGTATGCTTGAGAATCTGTTAAAGTTTTGTCTAATTGTAAGTTAAAGGATATTGTAAGTTAAAGGATATTAAGTTAAAGGATACGATTTTTTACTTATTTACGTTTCCAAAGGACAGTTCATCACATTTCGGTTTTCTTACAAGAAAAATTATTTGAGCTTTCAGTAGAAAATATCACGACGATTAAATTAGATTGCCCGAACACTCTGTGTAATCCTGAGTGTAACTACTATTTTGATATATATAAAATATATTTTATTTATATATTTTCACAATCGATGATCGCTGAGTTTTAATTCCTTCCTTTTCTTATTTCACAGAGAAAGGAGTATGTCAAGTACGCAAAAGTGTTCCCGCTCTCGGGGACGTTCGACTTCAAAGTGCCCAGCAAGTGGTATCGAAGAGTCGTGGGCTCGCTGGAGATTATCTGCGGCCTCGCCATGGCAATTATTCCAAGTCGTAGGTGCAAAGAATCAACCACTCCATTCTTCGACCCTAATATTCTCCCTTTGCAGACGCTCGTCCCGCCAGATTATCCTTTTCGTGGAGATTTTATTTTTGTATCGTCAATTCTTGAATTTGATATCACATACATACATTTATTACCGCTAATCTTTCTTTTAATCGGCGCGGATCACTGATCACACGAACCGTTGAATTTACTGGATGCCAACTTTTTTTTACGGAGACTCAGATTCACATAAATTTTCGTTTCTGTGAATTCTCTCTTGCTTCTCTCGCTTTACTACACGGATTTTTCATTCCGTAGGTATTTTTCATATTTTACAAACAAAACTGGGGATCCATGATTAGAGAATTAATCTCGTGTAAATTATATTTTTCAGACAAAGTTAAGAACTTGTCGAACACAGTGCTGCTGCTTCTAATGCTGATGGCTGTGTACTCTCATTACATGGTCAATGATAAGTTCGAGAGGATTGCCCCGGCACTGGTGAGTAATCTGTTGAGTTTCAAGAATCATAAACTGATAAAAAGCGAAATGTGGTTTCAGGTATTCTTCTTTATGCTGACGGGGCGATTAGTGATTGATTGGCAGCTGAGACGAGGGGATATGCAATCGGTGACGGCAAACGGCGTCGATGACAAAGCTAAGAAGCAAGACTGAACGGAATTATGATTGAGAACGCATCGTTTTCACGTTAACCCACGAGATTCTACGATTTAATTTCTGAAACACTGTAAAATTAATGTTTATTTATTTCAAATGTCTCTCTTTCGCTTACATTTTTTCTAAAAATGAGTCTCTTTTAAAAGACTCAAAGCATCGTTTACTCAATATCTCTTTTTAAAATTTTTTTTCCTAATGTGTGTAAACTCGGGAGATACTCGCAACAAGAAACTATATAATATTTAGAAAGAAAAAGAGAAATGTGGTACTTTGGGATCATGTGGGTTAAATGAATAAAAAGTATAAACTTTCGAAAGAAGAAGCGAGATGGGAAACAAGTGATTTATGGTAATTACTTTTAATGCGAATATTAAATTTTCATTGCACTCTATATCTACTTTGCACACAATATTGCAATATGATTTACAAAATAAAAAGCAAGCATCATTAAATTTATAGATGCGATAAAATTCACAATTAATTGCGAAATTATGAAAAAGAAAGTAATAATAATTTCTTACCTTTTATGCCTCTTTCTTATTTCATGATGTAAATTATTTGACACGAATTAATTTCGATATATGAACGTAATTTAGTGATTAATTAAAATCTGTAATGCAAAATTTGATTGTTAAAATTAATAGTAATCGCAATCCAATCAGAGATCGGTAAATGTTGTTTTCGCTAATCGATGTGATAGTGTTTCATCCCGCGACAATTTGATTCATTAAGACAAGATACTATTGCACCAATGTCAATTGTTGCGCTGGCCATGATTCAAAAAATTATCTCTCTCTGTTTATACTACAGTTTTATACTACAGTTAAGACAATGATATGAAAAAAAACAAAGATTCTCCAATGCAAATAATTATTATCAATAATAATTTTAAGATTATGATTAACTTATTCTGATTAATTCGTTGTCTCTTTTCATCTCTTTTATAATTACATGATTAATCGTATTAAATACACACACATACAAATGCACAATATACATAACACTGTAATATAAGCAGATATATAATATAAATAAACTAAATATATATAGACATGATATATGTAAAAACAAGTATAAAGAAAATTATATGATGCTAGCTGTGGTGTAAACAGAGAAAGAAAATTTGCCGCGCGTAATACTGATTGACATTGATGCGATTCGGTCCTCGGTGACTTTAGCTTAAGTATGAGGTACTAACTGCCATTTGAATGATTGTGTCCTTATATATGTTGTGCGAGGATGCGTGTATGGACATATCGAGAAAATGTTTCTAGTAATCGAGACATACACAAGCGCGTATATATTAGCGTTAATTTATTTCGTAAAAACTTCACGTGCAAATAAGGAGTGTGATCGGACAATTTGATAAATAAAAACTAAAATTTTAAAAGTGAGAAATCAGTGGATAGACTTTCCTATAAGCACCATTTGATACCTATGATCGTATTTTTATGCGAGACAATACTTTAAGTTACGATAATGATTTGTGGAATGTTTATGCACTTGAATATAAAATTAATATCTTTGTCCCTCTATGAAAATTTCATAATAATTCTCATAAATTATTAATTTGCTTTGGATTTTGAAAAGATATTTGTATGCTATATCTTTGTTTAAAGCATGATTATATTAATGTTTAAATTTTCCTTTTTGTATATAAAATTGTAATGAAAGATACATAATTACATCATTTAAATGTTGTACCGAGAAAGTATTATCGTTTAATTATTAAAATTTTTCGATATAATCACATTTTTATATCATGTAATGTTTAATAAAAACCAGGAAATATTGAGAAGATCGATATTCATATGTATATGTACATTTTCACTTATTTATTTATCTCTCTTGGGTATTAAGTATATATAAAAAAATATATTATGTACAAGAGAGATGTATTAAATATATACATCTCGCGACACGAAATATAATAAATCCATTTTGCTTACGGAAAATTACTAAATTCTAAAGTATAATACTGTTCCTCAAAAATCATATATTGAGTCATCTATTTTAAAACAATTTTGATTAATTTTTGTAATATTTATGTTTTAACATTTAAAAATTTTTATTTATATGAAGATAATAGCTTTTAAATATCCAGTTTGTTTAGATTATTAGCAAATTAATAATTTTCTTTCTATAAAAGTCTCTATTGATAACATTATTAAAAAATTATTTGAGGAACAGAATAGTGATGTTGTAGAGTTTTTATTAGAGAACAGATTAAAGTTCTCAGGACAATTTAGCTCTAATAAATATGATGATATTACAATTCTATCTTATTTCGAACAATAGCTAAAATCTAGAAACTTACACCTGTAACAATTTTTATTTTAATTATATAAGTGCAACATATTCAAGGCCAATTTGACTAGTTATTGTAATCTTGTCTCTATTTTCGCTTTCTATTATCTGTATTTAAAAGTTGCACATGTATAAAAATGGTAAAATGTTAATAAGATATTTTTTTTACTGACCATTACAGGAAACAGGCGACAAGTTTAACGCAGTTAATTGCAAGTAAGCTGTTACCAAATGCATTATCTATGCGCTTCCTTCGTTTATGCAGGCTCCTGCCCGGTCGTTAAAAGATGTATAGCCTTCCGAAGATTTGTTACAGAAGTAGATATATCGTCATAATCTAATGCACTACTCGCCCATTTTATAAACTTTTGGGCCTTACTAACTTGTTCTACTGATAGTTTAACTCCACCTATAAGATTATATTTGATTCAGAAGTGAAATAATTATCTCATATTAAATTATTGCATATCTTTGAAGATTTGATTTAATTATTTTTTTTCTTTTGTAAATATACTAATATATAAATATATATACCTTTGTATATATATTTATATATTATTAGACTTACTATCTGTCTTATATGCAGTGTTGTCCTCTGCTTCAAGTGATTCAGTTCTTGTAGTTGGTGGACTTGCAGGAATAGACGGAATACTTTGCGGAATATTGTCTTTGGGACTTTCAGCAGGAGCTACATTCAAATTGAAATTTTTAACTAATGATAAAAAATTCTTTATAATAACTTGAAAAAAAAAAAGATAAATAGTCAATTTACCATCATTATTCAATGCCTCCTCAAAATCATTGTCTTCATTCTGTTCTTTCGGCCCTGGTACCGGAGTTTCCCCATTCATTAAACAGTTGTGGATATAAGATGCTTTCCACTGCGCATACTTTCGATTCTGCGCTGCTTCTACGCTCAGTTCTCCAAACAATGTCAATACATTGTACAATGCCTGAGCAGTATAAAAGCTTTGCACTACATTGTTAGAAAAATTTGCAGCTCTATCGTTCTTATCGGCATACAAAAAGAGCTTTAAGGCCCAATTTTCCAAGTGCGCTTGAGCAGCAACATCATTAGAAATGGCTTCATTGTCATGTAATTCCTTTTTTGTTATCTCTAACCAGTCCATTAACTTTAGTAAAAAGTTGGTCTCCTCTGATGTCTTTGTAGATAGCTTTAATCCAGTTTGAAGAGCATAAAGGCGGCCTGTTTTTATTAGAAATTTTTTTAATGTTTATCATATTAAAGGAGGCAAGAAATGTTAAAATCTCCAATAAAATATATATTTTCCAGTAAAAAAAGATTAAAAAGCGCTGAAAATATTCTAAGATATTGAGAAATATTTTCATACTAGTTAAGAGATGAAAATGTTATTATACATACACCAATAGCTGACGACACAGTCTCGTTGATCGTGCTTCGTTGCGATCGTTAAATATTGCTGTATACTTTTCAAAGGAGTCGGAATTTTTGGCAAATCGGGTCCTGTCAATGCCATGGCGTATGAGACGTCAAAGATATGCGTTAAAGTTTAATTTCCTCTTGAGATTGCTTCTTGAGAATATTTTAACGAATTTTAATCATCAAGATCCTTTTAATACTTGATTAAAGATGAGTTATTATCTCGCTTCAGAATAATCAATCGTATAATGTGGTATGTATGTACAATATGCGTCGCTCTTTGATATGTCATAGTTCATAGCTGCATCCTCACATCAGCGACGCGGTCAGTAAAATTAAAGTACGATTCACAAAGCAAGGAAGGAAGGATCTATCTAGAGAAATCATCTAGTTTTATGATATAATGTAGAAAGAGATAAAGATCCCACCAAAAGTATATCTGTTTCCTTCTAATTCTAGCCTTTCGATTCATATCAGCTGATCAGCTGTTTAATCATATGGCAAGAAGGAGACATGTCATGGAGACGTGATATGTGAATGTCTTGATTTAATGCGATGTAGAAAATTAGTTTGCCATATGTGGTGATGAATGCGGAGAATATATAAATATTATCGCGTTATATTAAATTGATATTATTTTTTATATTGTTTTATAATTTAAATGTTACACCGAACGGCCTAAATGTAATTTTATTTTCTTACTTTTTCTTTTTATATAATATTCTTCGTTGCTCATTCTTCAAGATAACATCGAAAATTGTGATGATGCTTTTGTGATGCGTTTAATTAATAATGGAAATCGTTGGTGACCTGGAGCAATTTCTTGCCGATACTTGGCACGATATTGCGAATCTCGTACGGGAATCCGCAGTTTACATAGATCATGCAGCGACAGAGTGTCTGCATTGGCATACCGGTGGCAGGATATATTCCTTCCTTAAGGATGCTGGTGCAGTATCCGTTTACGAACTGGCCATGTACAATTTTCGTGTACGTGAAAATACAATATTCTTGTCTCATACTTGTAGGATTTGTGAATTTATTTACCTGCCTTGTTACAGTACGTGAAGGTGCAGAATTGCAAGAAGGCTACTATTATTTCAACCTCCACAAATCCAGCATTTTATCAGCGTACTGTCAAGATGATAATGGAGAAGAATGCATTTGATTGTTGTACAATTGTCACTGCTGCACATCCAACTGTACTGAGTTACGAAGACACAGTTCCATTAGAGGATAGAGTGGATTATATCAAATTAAAAAGAGATGTGAAAAGCTGGATGCGCTCCAATCAACAGTCACAAGTAAGTAGCTGTCCCATATTTATGTTTAATAGTAATGTTTAATCATAGAGAATTTGATTTTATAAATTTTGAATGTATTGTGTGTCTAAAATTGATTTCATTATTATTAATTTACAGGACTGTTTAGTGACAATACTATTTCGACCTATTTTTATTAGTCCAATTGACAATGGTTTATTTGTGACACCACCCTTTGTTGATCTATTGTCACCTTTAAATAGCGAATTAATAAAGAATTCAGAGTGCGCGGTTGATCATCTCGTAAGCTTATTTAACAGTTTGTTCGCATACTTAAACTTGAAAGAAGACATTTACTCGATGGGAAAGTTCAGCGAATATGTTGCTGAAAAATTAGAAACGTTACCAGCAGCTGTTAATCGTAGAAATGTAAATATTTTGTTGTAAAAGCATAATTATAATAATCATAATTAAATAAGAAAGATAAAGATGTATATTAAATGTTTTATTTTATATTTTATTTTATATTAGAATTTAATTGGTGCAAAGAAAAAAGGAGTATCTTTAATCTTTGTCGACAGAGCATTAGATCTTTGTACTCCTACTAGTAATAACACTGAATCATTGTTAGCCAGGATACTATGCACTTTACCACATTTGTCTCATCACTGCAACGACGTCGCCATAAACATGTCTTCTCTATTTTGTGGTTCACAGGTACAATAACTCATAAAAAATTAACATGATATATATTTCATGCAAGTATAATACTATAAATAATATCGTAGAATATTATAAAATTATTATTATTATGGAAATTATAAGTTTTCATCTTTCAAGGAACTTATCGAAATACCAGGATGCTTAGCCAATAAGGACAAAAGTTTGATGAATATATTAATTACGAAAAAACAAAAAGAGGTGCTAATTGCTACAAATAAAATGCTCATCGACATTTTGTCGACAAAAGAAAATCTAAAACCAAAACTAGCAACAAGGATTACTGCGCACAGTCTAGAAAAACTTGTAAATAAAGTCAAAGATAAAGATAATCTTCATGCTATAACAGAATCAAGCAAAAAGCTTCAAGTATGTGTTTCAATGAAATATCATTGTAGATATTTTCTTATCATATATATATAAAATTTAGAAAATTACACAAATACTATTGAACATATATAAATACTATATTATTGCAGGTGATACTGGGAATTGTACAAGCATTAACATCGGAGAAAACTTCCCAATTAGATCTGCTGATTAGTCTTGAGAAACTAGTATTGCAAAATATAGCTGTAAGTCGTGACTCTACGAACGTGCTTGGGCAAGTAATTATCGAATTTTAGCAGTTTTAGCATTTCTCGATTATATCTTATTTCATCATGATTATATATACGCTCTTCTTTTGAAATATTTTTAGTTTAGCAATATAATACGAACTCGCGAGAAACGAGGTCTGGATACAGATAATATCTTGGCCCTTTTGATGCATATTTATGCGCTTGCTGGAACTGAAATACAATTTTCTTCTCAACAAGAGCAGCAGCTAAAGGAAGCCATCGCCGATGCTTTATTTGAAGATGTTACAAAATTAAATGAGAATCCAGTTAATAATAAGATGTCAGTGTATCAACAAACTTTATTACTCTTTGGTTCGTAAAATATTATATATTACAAGATACAGAGAAATAACAAACAATCAAGAATATCAAAAGATTCTGTTATTTGTGAAAAATATTGCAATAACATAAAAAATCTATCAAAAAAGATTTGTATTTAATCGAATAATAAATAAATTTATTTTTTAGATATATATAAAGAAGTATAACTAAATTAAAATAAATTGTCTCCAAAAGAAAGCTTTCTTAAATGTATAACAATTTATTCAAAATATTAATTTAAATTATCTGGTTGATTTTCTTTGCTCTCAACAATATATAAAATTATGTAAATTTATTATACAAAAATATAGATTGTATCTAATTAAATTAATCTAATTTAATTAATATCTGACTAATCTTTAATTAAATTAATATCTAATTACATTGAAGTACATAAAGCACAAATAATAATAAAAATATTTGCAATTACTAATCTAATGTATTTAAATTAGCTGTTGCTGATGATCAATCTCTGAAAGAAACATCTGTGAAAGTAGCAGAACGCTTCATGAATGTTTTACATGAAATAGCACTGCAACGTGCATTTCTACACAATTACACGTATGAAACTATTTATATTACATTTCAAATTTATTTAAACAATTTAAATAGATAATAAACAAAAATCAAATATATATAATGCTTCTAATTCTTATAATACAGAATTTTTTTAGTTTCCAAATATTTTTAGTTTTCAATATTCATGTTTTACATTTGCTAAAATATAATGCGATGGCTCATTTATATCTTTTACAGCTCCTTAATGTCCAAATCAAATTCTCAAGAAATTGTTCAACGAGTTGGCATTTTGCAACAATTACTGAAAGACATATTCCATCCAAACAGATATGAAATTCCTGATTTACATCAGAGATCGCCTTCATTGTTTTCAGCTGGATTCAAGTAAGTTGAAGTTCAATACATTATTTTATTATATCACCATATTTTAAGCGTTTATTTTTAAAATTTTCTAAAAAAATTTTGTAGACTAATTTGATATTTAATTTACAGTTTATTTTCCAAAGGAAAAGTGAAACATCCGCGTAACAATGATTGGATTATTATTTATATTATTGGAGGCGTGACACCGGAAGAAGTAAGAGAAACTAAAGAAAATATATCTTTATTTAATCCAAATTGCCAAATAACATTAGCAGGCTCGAGATTATTAAATCCGTTAGACATAGTGGACAAATTTCTCCTCTCATCAATTGATTATTAATAAAAAATATGATTTCATTTCTGATATATTATCAAAGAATCCATTTTATACCAGAATCAGAGATTGTATAATGAATCTGTTTTATATCATCTTTAGATTGTACATGACATGTAAATTCACGAATCACAGAATTTTTACAAAGTTGCAGCCTGTAATTTACACCTGTTTCCTCCAATAGATTGGTGTGTTTAGGACTATTTAAGCTAGTTACAGGTGATTCATATTGGGGCACCGATTCCCATCTTGTGTAAACTGTCATACTGCAAAACCGAGATATCCGAGCTCGAATAATTCTTACCAAGCTTCTTGCATACTGATCCATACTAAGTATACCTTTCTCCCTCCTCACCTGCCAATAGTATGCCAATATATTATCTATAGCTAACAGAGCAATCCTTTCATTGCTGAGGAGTTCGTCCTCAAGCGCTTGCAGAGACAGCTGTAACTGATCATTGTTGCAACAATTGATCACTGTCAAGTTTTCCAGAGACTTATTTACAATTAGATTTACTGTCTCGATTGGTAGCTGTATACCAGCGATTTTGCACGCAGTAAGGGTCATAACAGTCATAAGTTCAGCTAGCTTACTCATTTGAACTTGACCATATGTATCGATCAGTATTGCACAAGAATCGCATCCATCAATTTTGATCCCTTTATACCTTGCGGGCAATATGCATTTTGCTATAAATTGGCATAATAACAGGGTCTTTCCGGTGGCTGAGGCTCCGACAATCTCTATGATATTTTGGTCACCGATGTCGCTGGCGAATAGAGTCTCGTCGAGGTTAATCGAACGCCGGTTCTCTCTGAATCTCGATAACAGTTCTAGTCCACCTTCGGAGTGAAACTGCATCTTGTTAACGATTAATGATGCACATTTGTCCGTTTTCTCTCGTCACTATCGAATAATATCAATTAATACGTGATATATTTTAATTTTCGTTAATTGTTATTGTTGACATTTAGAGAATCAAAATAAAATTTGTTCTTGTAGCAGTCATTTTTGTTTCCATGATCTCTCACTAGAGTGCAACAGGCAAGAGTATCGAATTTATCGCGCATCTCGATTTTATTTGATATCATTTTCGCAATATTATGAATAATTTCATGTATCAAATAAATTATTAATTCAGTAGTGATTTTAAATTTACATTTTCTTTATTCGTTTTCACTTTTTCTCTCTCGAAATTTTTGTTTTTATAATTTTTCTCCTATCTTCATATCATGACTTTATATACTTATGTTCTGCATTTATGAACCGTTTTATATTAATTTTATATTTATAAGATTTTATTGTTATTTTTATAAGATTTTTTAAAATATTGTATTTTAATTATATTCTTTTTTTCAATATACTGCAATATGAAATGAATTTTTTCATAGCGCAAATTCTGATCGCTTATTAATTGTGGGACATATTTTAATATCGATTTCAAGTTGAAGTAAATTTTCTATGCAAATTTTTTGAATTTTTTCTACTTACAGGAAACATACATTTTTATTATTTATTATCATTTAACATTTAATAATCTTTTCGAAATCCTTTATTACAATTTCTTTATTAATTACGTATTAATAAATGTTATATAGGTAATAATATTCAGTTATACGTTTAATTAAAAAGAATTAATAATACTTTTAGTTTTATATAATATAAACTTGTGTGTGCGAGAGAAACGCGAAATTATATATGTACATATTAATACGTTACCAGATCAAAATATAATTTTTTTATCATCAGAAGCAACAACCAAAAAGGAAATTATCGCGTATATGTGTATGTATGTATGTTTATCATATTTATGTACCAGCCGAAATGCTGATGAATGAATCATATCATAAAATTGCATTCCATTTGCCTGCTATATATATAGTATGAGATAATTATTGAGGAATCAGAATACATTTACATACATGTACAAAATATATCAATATATGTAGTATATGTATCAGAATAGATTCCACGTATAAAATTATAAATAGAATTCTGTCTCTGCCGCGAATTATATAGATCGATTAAAATGGATTTAATGCGACGTTTAAATCATAAAAGTAATAATTGAAGAAGTTGTAATCTCAAAATTAAAGACTAAAATAACGCTGAGAAAATATCTGAGATGGTTTTCAATAGATTCCTGATATTGAGATTAGATATTGAGATTATTCAAGATATTAAATATTGAAAGAATTTTTTATTTAATCAGGCCATGAGATGTCATTGATAATTATTCTCAAACAGATCAGTCTTATAGATCAATTACTCCAATTTTTAAGAACGCGTTCTTCGAAATCAATCGAGAAAAAATAAGAAGAATCGCAACATTCTACATTTCGATTCGCCGAATGAATTCGCTTCCTTTTCCTCGGCAGCAAAATTAAGTTTTGCCGCGTCAAGTATAAACTGGAAGCCGAACAAGTCAGAGATCGGCGAGCAACGTCAGCTCGACTCAACTTGCCCCTCTTACGAAGACAGCCTCTACATTCGCTACCTACGTATATCGCTAGTCGCGAGCGAACTCTCCCAGTTTAGGCCGGTTCAGGCCAAGTGCGGTCGCCTTGCGTTTCACCGCTATCTTTCATCGCGTATCAGTCCGCACGAGTTGCCCGGCGCGGGAAGGTTGACAAGAGACCTACGATTTCTACGTACCTGCCTGCCTGTCTACCTGTCGACCAAAGAACAACCGATAGCGGTCGTCGTGATGAGTGTACGCGGCAAGCAAGTGCAAAATGGTACTTACGAGTTCGATTATATGCGAGTACCTGATACCAGAACGCGCTGGCAGGCATTTCGCGATGGCCTTTACAATAAAGAAGACGGAACCTGCTGCGGTCACCCACCGAAGAAATGGGGTAAGTCGTTCAGTGTAATTTCAAGTACCTCGATATGAATATTAATTGAACATCGAAGGAGGAACTTCAAAATACTGTCCTTTTTTAGCTACCGTTTAAAAAAATTATTAATATTAATATTAATATAGAGGGAAAGAAGAGAAATTGTGAAATTAAAATAATTTTTTTTTGTAACTCTTGACAATTGTATTTTTAATGATCTTTAATATTTGTTTTCTCGCAGTTCCAATACTTCTGAATCGCTCTGAATCAATTATTTTACAAAATAGAAATTTTTTTTAATCTTTAAAACTTGCATTATTATTATTAATATGTATGATTGTTTATCTTAAAAATGATTTTAACATCAAAATCTTATTAAAATAGACACATTAAATAATAAATGCGAGAAACAAACAGTTTACATTCAAGAGACGGGAAAATGGTTCTTTACTTCATATGACATTTTGATTATTATTAAGTTTCATTTTACGCAAATGCAATTTATATCACAATACATTTTCATACATATAAAATTCAAAATAAAATTTTTATCAGTGATATTTTTCTCTTCTTGCGTAACTGTACGCAATTAATATTATTAGTTATGATATTTTCGTGTCAAAATTCAAAAATTTAAAGCTTAAAATATTTTAATATTGATAACAAAAAAGTTTTATTAATTAAATGTGACGGTACTTTAATATCTGGACAAGTTTAGATTACCGTAAATTGTGTGAAGATAAAATTAATATTAATATTCCTATTATATTTCGTAACATGCAGATTATTAATATATGATATTCTGTTTTTATATTCATTCAATGAACATAAAACGCGCAGAATAATTTTCTTCTTCCTAAATTGGTTTTTTCGAAACATTTATGACGCGAATGATTGATTAAATGTCTACACGCATTCGCACAAACACACGTACAACTATTTCGTAAACCGCTTTCTTGTATTAAGTTTCCTTGACATGAAAACTGAATAATGTCAATGTGAGATAAAAAAATATAGATTTAACGAATGATTTATTTGACTACGGAAATACTAAAAACAATTTATTATTCATATAAAATCACGTGGCTATTATGTCTATACACTTAAAAAATATAATATTGTATTCTTTTCTGTATTTACATATATCAATTTCTATATTATCTTAATAAATTCAACCATTCGCAAATAATAGTTTCTAAAATTTATTCAATTTTTTAATCAACATTTATTATAGGTATCATTTTCATATAAGTTTCTAATGTGTGGAAATCCTTTCGATTCTCGAAACCAATATAAAATCGAAAAGATTAAAAAAATAAATATTCAGAATAATCAATGTACTATCATATCACGGCGTTATCGTTATCACAAAAAAATTGATGTTAGAGCGAGTGATCGAGAAATATTCCAATTTGCTTTTTCACATAGAAGTTAATATTTTGAATTGAGAGAGACAAAGAGAGAGAGAGAGAGAGAGAGAGAGAGAGAGAGAGAGAGAGAGAGAGAGAGAGAGAGAGAGACAGAGATATGAGAAAGAAGAGAAAGTTCAGTCATAATCAATATTCTTATATTCTTATATTAGATTAAAAGTAAATACACTTAATGATTAATTAGAAAATTTAACAAATGATCGGTAATTAATTTCGATCGGTAATCAATATTGACCGGTCGCATATAATCGATTTTTATTCGGCAAATGTAACGAATTAAAAGAAGCAATTCAACATTAATCGATATACACGTGTGATGCGTGTCGAGAGAGGATGTCTTACGTAGACTTCTTGGCGGCTGTTTAGAAACAGCCGACCCTGAGCCTCGCGTTTTGGCAGCGGCTGGCACGAGAGAGAGAAAGAAAGCGCCGGAAATAAGTATCGGTGATGGTAATAGTAACACAACGAAGGGGATACTTCTGGTACCGTCCTGACGCGTCGCCTTTCCTCCAAATCTTCGAGACGGGATCGTCAATAGCGTTATTATGAGGATAGAACATGTGCAAGCATATCGCGTGCGAATCGATGTTGGCAGATGTCGAAGATATACGTTTCTTTTCTCTTTTTTTATATGAGTAGAATTTTTACGTAACGAGATTGAAAGGAATTTATTTACTTGAGAACGCAGATTTTTTGGACGTACGTATGTTAACTTATCTTGTTTTGCCGAGAGACTTTTCCTGCCAATTATCGATTTTTCCTTATATTTTTATTATTAACGTCACACAGATCCATGATATATGATATAAATTGTCAAACAATTCAAATTCACGTCTCATGATTCATCTCCAGATCCACTATTTCTTTTTAACATTCTCGTAAGATCTTTCTGCATTTCACTGTCAAGAATATAATTAATCGAGAAATTTTCTTTTCGATTTTTCTCCTTTTTAATTTTGACACAAAATGTGCAATCCATCGTTTTGAGTTTCTTCGGTAATTGTTCTTCATTTCTCAAATTAGAATTTTATTGAAAGGAAAACAATCAAAACGTAAAATTTGATTAATAGATCAAAACGTAAAATTTGATTAATAGACAAAAAGTCAATGACAATTATTAAATTAAAAATAGAATAATTCGAGAAAGATAATTAGTTGCATATGACTCTATATCGATGAAAATGACACTTGGATATAAAATAACGTTTGAAAAACATTAAAATGATTTAGAGATGTTAACAGGATCGTCCTCATTAGGGCAACGTTTCAAATGCGAAAATGTTATTGCAAACATGCCAATTCCTAAAAATAGTGTATCCAAAGGCGTCCAGATACATTTGAGTAAATTGTTTTCGATGATACGCTAATGAATTGTAGATTCTCTCAGCAGTCTTTCAAAAGATGTAATCCAAAATATATGATATGAAAAGATTTAATATACCATTTTTTTAAATGTTACTCTTATATTATTTTGCTCTACTGAATTTATTATTTTGAGTTAAATTTATTATTTTGAGTTACTAAAAGTTTTTATCTTAATCAGATTTTTTTATCAGATATGAATACCATCTCATTTAATATTTAATACAGAACTACATCATATTAGTTATAATAAATGAATATCGTAATTTTTTGTGTTACATAAGAATATTTTCTAATCTATGATTTTTTTATTATTTTACTCGAAGAAGAAATCAGTTCTGTTGATTTCAAGTAAATGGCCTTGAAAATCTTGCAATTCTCGAGCGTCTAATATTGATTCCAAACATGTTTTCTTTAGCAATGTTATGCAATAGGACACATTAGGTCGGTGAAACCGCGAATGTAAAAGCGTTTTGGCATTCTATAAAGCAATCAAGCCGAAAAATGTTTACTAATATTATTCGCGTTCCATTATTTATCCGCATTGAATTGATTTTGAATAATCATAATGATGTTGAGTAATGTGACTCATGTAGCATGCTTAATTAATCTTGCAGTAAAAACCGAATCTTTTTCATGAAAAACATAAACTTTTTTGAATAATTTTACGCGAAATTGGACAGCAGTTTTTCGATTCTGTTTTGGATTTGTGTCAAATGTTTTTTTTTATATTTTATGGAGGATATATTGAGACATTAATTTACCTTAAAATTCATAATTGTAATGTTCCTCGAAATATCAAATTTTACATTTTCTTCTATAAATTGCGAGATATCAAATTTTACATTTTCTTCTATAATTTAAAACGGCATAAGATAAAAAACAATCAATCATTTTAAAATATATTTTATAATTTGGTAAGTCACATTCATAAAAATATAAATTTTTTCTATGTCTAAAAAACTAACTATATTTGAAAATATGAAGTTTTTACAAAGAAGCGACATTTTATTCTTTCAACAAAAAGAAACAGGTGATAATAAATAGATAATAATAATAATATAATACTATTTATAATTTGCAAGATATGTGCGCGGTGACATCGTTAATGTCAGCAAGCTTAGGAAAATATCATTTTCCAAAGATCGTGATAAGATATTCGTGATAAAGTAATTCGAACATTATCACGAATATCTTTTTTTTTTTATCGAACTGACGTCATCACGCGCACGATATTAAATTTATTCTTTTCCTGCTGCAGGAAAGCCAGTCGTGAGCAGCTGTAGTTCACGAGAAATACACGTGTTTTCTTATATGTGACTGAATACGTAACCAACTGGTCGTATTATCGATAACTATCGGTTTTTTATTTAGTATACGAGTTTGTGATATTCCTTCTTTATAACGCAAGATATCTTTTACCATTTTGGACTTGTCGAATAAGCAAATTTCGATACGAATATAATCGAGCTTTCAATCGCTTTCCATAATTCTGATTATGGCGTCAATGACCGGCAACGGATATGGATTATGAAATTGTTGATCAACATCTTGAGACGGAAATTCGAAAGTTATTGAATGTAAAACGAATATAGAAATTTTTACTATTTTTCTTTTTAATAAAAGAAATATTAAATACATTGAGCAATATAATAATTAATTAATAGCAATTTACATTTAATTATTCACGAAGGATCTTGGTTACGTGACATAAATTACACAATTCTATAAATATATTTCAGTCCATAAATGTGTTTGGTTTTTATATACAATATTTCTTTACAATTTACGTGACGTGCATATGCGACAAGCTATGAATTACGTGCCTCTCAATTTATAGTCATATCGTTTCGCGTGCGAATTTTCACGCTAATCAAATCAATTCTCACGCGGCTTCAATGTCGCTAAATTCCTGTGCAACCAATGAGAACTGAGCGAGGCTTTTATAGAAAAGAAGAAAAAAAAGGAATGACATTTTTGCTGAAATAACTTGATGCGTGATGCGACAGAAACCATGGCGTGGCATAATAAATCACTGGTGTAACGGGATAGAATTAAGAAAAAAAATAAGAAAAAAACATCTTTAAATTCAAAGAGCGATTCATTTGCGCGTGTGAATATTTTCTATTCCGTGAAGACTTCATGCTCGATCTATCTCAGCGAGTGCGAAACTGAACTAACGGAATAATTTAAATCACAATTTTTCATTTTCCCTATTTTGTTTTTTGTCGTCGATAATTGTCCAACTTAAATCTTTTTTATTGCGTACTGCAAACGCAGTAAAATTTGTCTACGAAACAGAATTAAGTATCTATAGAATCTTTGAGGAGAGATTTCATTACCACAGCGCGTAAAAATAAAGTTTAAGAGATTTCTATTCTCTCACTGTTTTATTGAATTAAAAAATATCGTACATAACTTTTTCGATACATTAATAAAATTCTACTTTTATCGAGTTTTTGTCTCACAATTTTAAAATAATAATTAAAAATTCTATTTTTTCCTATTTTTTCATGTATTATTTAATATAATTCCTCTTTGACTTCTCAGCGAAAGTGGATTAAGATTTACAGTTATTTATTAATTGATGAGAGGAAAGAGTTTTCGATATGTTCAATTTCAAACTTGTACGATATGTAAAAATGATTAAGTTTCTTCTATGTGTAATGGAAAGAATTGCATGGAAAGAATTTATTAAGAATTTACTCAATTATAATATTTAAAAATTTATGCAATGAAGCGTAAAAAAACAAAAATGGAAGGGACTTTCTTTGTTTCGTTTTTTCGATTGTTATAGCAAGAATGTTATTTGTTCAGTTAACGCTCCCAAAATTCTGATATCAGTCGTCGACTCTTTTCAAGCGCTCCAATGTCTGCCATGTAATTTCCTAGTGCTCACAAATCATTGCGAGAATGAGAATGCGATTCATCGGCGAGTAGATCAACAACCGAGTAGTGATAAGACTCGATGGATCATATGCGGCGCATTATCATGCATGTAAATTCATCTGTGACTTCTCTCGACATTATCGCGCGAGTGTGTACTGTGTTTCAAGATATGTTCTCGATGCTACATACAAGCGATCATTTTACTATCCCCCCACAATTTGATATCTTGGGTGATCTTAGAGAGACGATATATCATCCTGATGAATAGAAGGTTCACATTCACTTCGCGTGTCTTTAAAACCGATCCGCTTTACAGAATCGACGAGTGTTCGTTGAGAAAACAATAAAGGTCATGATTCGTTTATGACAAATTACAGAGAAAAAAGAGCTTATATAGGTCTTGAGATAGATTTGTGTTCAAATCTTTTTTTATTCGACAAGCATTACTTATTTTATAAAGCATCTATATTAAATAAAGCATTTTTAAATATTTAATTTAGCGTTATTTAAAAAAAAACAGCTCATCTAAAAATCTCATCTAAAAATAAAACTCTTTAAAAAATAAGTAATTTTAAAATCCTTTAAAAAAATAAGTCGGAAGACTTAAAAATCTTTTTGTCAAAGATTTCATCATTGTGAACAATTAAATTAAAAATACGATCTAATAAATATTTGATTCAAAATTTATTATGTGTATTGTAATTTTTACATCATATGTATTATAATTTTGATGCCAAATTAAATCTCTCTCAATGTGTTATACAAAAATATTTGATTGTATCTTATATAGTTATATTGTATCTTATATAGTTTGAAATATTTAGGAATCTATAGTTAGAAAATTATTAAATTATATAGAAAATAAATAATAGAAAATTATAACAATTGAGGAAACGAACGAATGATACTTCTATCTTTATATTGCAGCAATACTCAATTCTGACGTCACTTTAAAGTATCTTATTACTTATCGTTACCTTTTACGAAAAGATAAGCAATCGAGATATGTTTTATAAATTATATAACAAAACTGTTCGATTGTTATATAATTTAATTATTAAATCGCTCTCACTCCCATGTATTATATCGTGCTGCTTGTTTATAATGCTGATGAAAATAATTACGTGATATAAAACAAAGAAAAATTACCACGAACGATCGAAAGAAATCTAAACCAAAGTGCTTTAGTCAACACTTTGAAGAATATGATAAGAGAATGGCCAGATACTGTCTGTTTGCGAAAGCTGCTCCAATTCGCAGCCATAATGATAGACACTGTGTCTAAATATTAAATTAATTAAAGAAACATTCTTTTATCCCGTCCGTTTCTCTCGATGAAATTTACAAATAAATTGTATAATTTCTTAATTGTGATTGTTGAGTCAAAGACAAAAGAAGAATAAGCATTATATTTTTCATTCTCGAGGCTCGTTAGCGCGGGATTTTGCAAATCGTTAATGACAAGTGCGAATATCTACAGCATCTTGCATGTTGTACAAATATTTTTTATTATAAATACTTTTTATTATACTTATTTTACTATACTTACTATACTTACTATACTTATTTATTATACTTAGTATACATTAAAATAAAACTCGTGAATTATTACATTAAATCAAAATTTGTGATGAACGGAGTTATTGTGGATTGCATAGCGTCGGTTATTTTAAACGCCCTCGAAAACGCATTCGAATGCGTAATCAAACGAAACCAATGGGTCCATATTTAAATATCTTTGTTCAGCTTCCTTTACGCTGGGTAGATAATTGGGGTGTTTATAGAAGCCATAAAATTCTTACTATTATATTAAAACTCTCAACAAACAGAAGTTACATATTCAGCAATTTTATAATTTTACAAGGAAACGAATGTGTAAAACGGTAGAATTAAAAAAAATTTTTTATTTAAAAAAGTAAATAATTTTTTAAACATTTTGACAAAACGGTTGAATATTTAGGTGCTTCAACAAAATGTTGAACGTATAAAAATATTATCAAAATCTTTGGAATACTCTCTTGTAAAATCAAATTTTCTAATCTTTATATATATATATATATTTTTTTTTAGTTCGATTGTTTTATCAGTCCTTTTTAATCTGGAAATAACTAAATCATGATTCGATTTATAGAGAAATTATAATTTTATCAAAAGCTACAATTAAAGTCGTCAAAAAAAGTTTACTTAAGTCATGATCGAAATTCAAAAAAAGCAAAATATAATCATACATATGAGGAAGAAAATAAAAAGAGGATATATAATCTAATGTTGAAAAAAAAACATATATAAAGTTTGATAATTTTTTACCATATCCTTAAATAGATTTTTTTTAATATATATTTTTTCAAGTAAAAAACAAATTAAACTATCTAATACTAAATAATGAATAAAGCTTCTACGTGATATTCAAGCATTGAAACGTCCAATTCTCCACAAAGGTCCCAATCTTCGGGATTAATATTTGCATTTTTTTCCCCATATTAATAGCAGCATAGCGTGATAGTTTGGCCGCCCATCTTCTTGTGACTCTCGGCGCTTTTGAAAAAGGATCTATATTTAGAGCGTGCGTTGGCAGGGCGCCCTATGCTTTAAATATTTTTCGTACGATCGACGGAACGATGAAAGTTTTCGTGGTTGCATAAGTGGACCGAAGTAGACTGGTGGGCCGATCGACGTCGATGAATGGCAAGAAGAAAAAAAGAAAATTTGAGAAAAGATAATACTCGTGAGGCTCTTTAGGCTCTCCGACGCACGCAATGAATATTTAGATCACAATGACGTCGCGAAAAGTGCGTCAATGGCGAAAATATATAAATAGCAAGAACTCTTCTCCTTCTTCCTCTCTTTCTCCCTTTATCGTGAAATTGCGAAGAAACGACGAAGGATTTCGATGTTAAAGAAGATAGCCCTACATATCGTGTCTAAAAAATATTGTTGAAGAAATTGATAGAAATTTTATTATGATATTGATAGAAATTTTATTTTATTGTCGAGATAAAGTTACTTCAAATTTATTTTACACACTTTTGGATGAAAAAGAATGTAACATACGATTGAGAATTTTTCTTTACAATATGAAAAAGAGATTGACTTTTACCGCGTTTTTTTTTCTTCTTCAGGTATAACTCTTGTCTTCTACATTTGTTTCTATGCCGGATTGGCGGCACTCTTCGCTATTTGCATGAAAGGCATGCTCGCCACGTTGAGCGATGACAGACCTACGTGGATTCTAAGTAGCAGTCTTATAGGCACCTCTCCAGGTAAGATTTTGACTATGCGAAACTATATTCGCTTAATTGTGCATAGAAAGACATTACATGAAGGAATCTGATTATATAATATTGATATTGTTTCTAAAGACACATATATTTAAAACAAATTATTTATTTCTTTCCTATGCTGCGCTGGATAGAATATTATTTTTAGAGACTAACATTTTGTGCAAGGCAAGTAAATATGTATGTGTATATATATATATATATATATATATATATATATAATTTAATTTAATACATTTTTTATTTAAGAAGACATGAACTTGTATAAATATATACACCTAAAAAATATCAGATATTTTTTTATAATAACTAACATACAAATAAACATTGAACTGTACATTTTTCCTAAAGAAGTTTTTATAAAATGAGTTATAGAATGAAATCATATCTTATCGCAACTCTTTATGACAGTATTTCCATGCGATAACGTGCATTACATAAATGTGCTTAACGTCACAAACTTAAACTATGAATAAAATAAAGATTAAATTAATGATAAATAATAATTAACACCTAGGTTAAGAATAAGTTAGTAGTAAAGGTAATTGGTTTTGTGATGAAAGCTGTAGAATATTTTCGGCTAAATTCTGTCACGAAAATAAAGATTACTTATTCATCGGATTTTTTTCTCGATATTATTTACAAGAGATACTTATTTATAATGCACAAATTCAATGAAAATTTACATATTTAACTCGTTGCGATTTTTTGATTGAATTTTATTTACAATCACTAGGCATGGGCTTTCGACCGATTTCGGATAACCCGGATGAGAGATCGCTCATTTGGTACAGCGCGTCGAATGCGACCGAAGTACGAAAGTGGACACAAATCCTAGACAAATTTTTGGAAAGTGAGTAGAAATGGACCTCGCATTTATCATCGATATTAACACTGTCATTAATTCTTCAATGAGTCTTACTAATAACGCAGATGACGAAAATAAATCATCGAGCACCGGTGAGAAGGAGAGCGACACTAACATGTGCACGCTGTCAAAAAAAATTGTCATCGCAAGCATCTGTGTGTCTTAGATGCCGTTAGATCTCAGACTAAAATTCCCAAATTCGAATTACATACTTATTTTAATGGGACATTCTCCTCATATTTATTTGCTAAAAATAAATAGTTTCATATTGCGCTTTCACTCTTATGATTTAAATAGTTTCTTCGTACTCGAAATAAATTAAGTATAATCTAAATCGTGTCTCTCTTTGATTGACAGAATACGTCGATTCAAAACTCTTGCCTAATGGCGGTAGAAACCAGGAAATCTGTAAATACACCTCGCCGGTGAAGGATGGTAAGGTATGCGCGGTCCCCATCAATCAATGGGGACCATGTTCGCCAAGTCAGCAATATGGTTTCAACAACTCGTCACCTTGCATCTTTATCAAGCTTAACAGAGTAAGAATGTCGAATATCGATACAAACTTTTGTTTAAACGCATCCATTTATATATCTCAATTTTCAGAGATATTTTTCTAATCATCGCAAGTTTTCAGAAGCATGTATCATTTCGCTAATTGAATATCTCGAGACAATTAGATATAGAAGCAATTATTTATAATTTTGTATATTTTTTTATTTAAATAATACATATACTAATTTTTGAATTTTTATTTGAATAATACATGCTTTATTTAAGTGTTGCGATATGTTAATCTTTTATTTTTTCACTTTATCGTTTCATTTTGATCGTAAGATTTTTTAAGAGATTTTTCAAAATTTTATTTTTCAGATATACGGATGGATACCCGAGTATTATAACGACACGGAAAATTTGCCGGCCGAAATGCCAGCCGAGCTAGTCGAATATATAAAGACAGTCAACGCTTCATGGGTTAGTTAGTCGGTCAGTCAGTTATATCAGTCGATAAAAATAAAAAAAAGATCTGGATTTGAAAATTCAGAAAGAAACTTGACTATTTAAACTTGCAACGCGTAAAATACTTTTCATCAGCCAAGTCACTTCTTGATTAATTTAATATTGGATTTGGGACGTTTGAAAATTCAGAATTATAAATAGAAGGGGGAAAAAGATTTTATTTAATATTATTTTCTTATTCAATTTAAGTCACAGAGAATATTCAATCAACCAGCAATTCAATAGAATGCGATATTACACATTTTTATCTCTATTCAGTATTTGCTTTCAGAATTAGAATTTTTAATAAGCGCATTATCTATGACCAAACACGGATAAGAATTGTAAACGATACATCTTAATTGCTCTTCGAAGAATTGTAAACAGTACTTCTTAAGTATATATATACTTAAGAAGTACTGTTTACAATATTTTACAATAATTTATATATATATATATATATATATATATATATATATATAAGAAAGAGAGAGAGAATTAGAGATTATGATGAAAATTACTCTTCATTCGATTTTTTGATGATAATAGCCTAATATTGCGCAATATATAGTAGCAACTTGTTTTTAAAATATACTGATACCGAATATTTTCTAAGCTGTAACAGTATGTTTTAAATAAGTGAAAACTTATGCAAATATACATCGACATAAATAATGAACTGTCTCCTGATATACTGAAAGTATAATGAAACGAAAAGAAACAACTTAAAACAGAATTTAATTTTCGCAAAAAAATTTAGGATATATATATATATATATATATATCCAGTAATATATTCAAGTATTGCTGCTAATAATAATTGCGTGTATCATTTTTTACTTATCGCATTTAAAATTTAAATAATGTCTTTCATCTCCAATTTGGAAATTGAGACAAAAAGTTTAATTACATTTTCATTTTAGTATTTCATAAAAGATCATTATCTCTCGCATAACATAAAATTACATTTAGTTTATATTTTTTTTTACATTGTAGTTAAATACCGTATGGGTATCCTGCAAAGGAGATAATCCTCACGATGTAGAGAATCTTGATAACGGACTAAAATATTATCCTGAGGGACATGGTTTTCCAGGATTCTATTATCCATATATAAATACACCCGGATACTTAAGCCCAGTCGTCGCCGTCCAATTTCTTCGACCCACGAGTAAGTTTAACATCGATATCGTTTTACAAATTACATTTTTAAAAAATGATGAAAATAGAAAATGAAAATATTTACGATCGCAAAAGAGAATAATACATAATAATAAAAAAATAAGAACAAAAAAGTTAATAAAAAATAAAAACGCATACTCCCTCCGTCTTTTTGCCAACCTACGGTTGGCAGCAGTCGGGAATAAAAACACAAGAAAACAAAAAAAATATGAAAACTTCCAAACAATACTTTTTTAATAAAATTTTCTTAGATTTATAATAAATAATATATAAATAGATTAATAATAAATAATATATATATATATATATATATATATATATATATATGTTATACAAAAATATTTGTTATATTATATAATATAAAATATAGTTTGTGAATAATTTTATCTTTCTCTCATCCTTCTTTATTTCTCTTCTCAGAACGCAATTAAATGATTGAATTCTCTGCAATGATTTCTTTTTTCACTATATTATTTGTAGCGTTAAAATATCTCTTTAAAAACTTCAAATCACAATTTAAATTTTAGATATCTTTGGCATCGTAGCTTTTTTCTGACATACGAGTATATGTTTAAAATAATATTGATATCAACTTTTTTATCGAGTTCGCTATCCGCCATTTGCCATCCTTGACCGGTTCATATACGACTCGTAAGTAAATGACGCGTTCTCCAGATGAAACCGGTAAAAGCCGGTGTGTTGCAGCATGATATCGGTCGTCGAAAGGTGTCGTCAGTCAGCACACGTTCGTTTAAAACTGCATTTATAGTTTAATTTAATCTATTCTATTTTAATAATTTTTCGTGGATTTTATATTTCCTTTTCAGATATCCTTAAAACAATATAAATGTAAAAAATGTGTTGATAATACGTTACAGATTTTTTATTTGCTATCTGTGTACATAAATTATGTCACAGTGTATTCGTATATAAAGATAATTAATTTAATTGTAATCTTTATTGATTTATACTATGAAGTAATATTTATGAATTATGATCTTTATTATAAAGTAATAGAGCATTTGTATAATATATCGGTTCATTTATCAATTTTTAAAAAAACTGATTTTTTATTTTTTAGCTTTAAATATCTATTATTTTATTTATTTCTATTATCTTAACTTATTTATTTCTATTATCTTATTGTTAGTTATCGTATTTATTTCATAAAATTTCAATAAATGCTAATTGTTTCGTTATGTTTTCTCTTATTTTATAATTCTGAATATTAAAATTTTAAAATATTCTTATATCAATAAAGAAAAAAGAGAATTCGCTCGTTTAAAACTGATAAAATTATCTAAATTGGCTTGTTTTTGCAGGGAATCAAATCATCAACGTCGAGTGTCGGGCATGGGCAAAGAATATCGAATACAGTTCAATTAGAACCGAAAAGAAGGGTGCGGTACATTTTGAACTGATGATCGACGAATGATCGTATATTGCGATTTATCATTTTTAGCGCGCCGTTATTTTATACAGCGTTATTTCGCGATTAGGAAATTTTTCAAGATACACAAAGCAAAAGGATCCGGACATCATTGGAGCACCACGATGTTGGATCTCCGATCATAATGATGGCCGATTGCTTGCGCCTAGAAAAAATTATTAAGTCAAAATAAAAGGTCTGTTCTTTGTAGACTGTTGGAGAAACAGACAAAAAATAAACAGTGCAACTACAGAGAACAAACTGCAAATCATCTTTTTTAGAGATATTGTATAAATATCGGAATTCGAATTTATCTAGCCTTAATTTTAATAAGATTATCGATTGTTCTGACAAAAAAGAAGAGTTGCTTCTTGTTGTAATTTATAAATATATGTACATAAAGAATAATTATGAGAAAGATATATTCGACTTTTGCTCAACAGAAATGTTTAGAACTTTTAACTCTTGCAAAAAAATTTTCAATGTTAAATCCTTGGAAATTTAAAAAAAAAGATAGATTTTTGAAATTCGAAAGTATTCATTATTTTTTTATATAAAAAATAAAAGATTAAAAAATTTAAAAATATATATATATCAAATAAAAGTTTTCAAGGATTTTATAATTTTATTTTATATTTAAATATATATATATATTAAAACAACATTAAAAATCAAGTATATAGGAGAGCACAAAGAATCTCAATATTAGAATCTGCAAAAAAAGAGTTGCAAAAAAATTATATAAAATTATAACACATTTTTTATATTTGTTTAAGAAATAGCTACATCTCAAAATCTGTATATAAAATTAAAATTTTAATAACGGCTTAAGGTCACAAGTGCAAAAAGATTATTGATATAAGAGATTCAGGAATTAAAGAATATAATGTAACTTAAAGATAAATAAATTTAGCAACATCTGTAAAAATGTGAATATATCAAAAAATTCAAGTTTATGCTGATCTAACTATTTTGCGAAATAAATTGGTGATTAAATCTTTAAAAAGAAATTGGATTTTCTGAAAATTATTTAAAAAATTATAAATAATTCTAATTTTCTTATTAAAGTACCACGTTTTGAGAAGATGTTGTGTGACTAAATGTAATTAAAATTATACAATTATTTTTAGGAAATATTCTGTGCATCTCTTATTCTCCTATTGTCTTGAATTATTTATATGTATCTCCAACATAGTCGAACAAAGTATATGTACGCTCGAAAATCAATGTATATGGAACAAATAATTCATTTAAACAAAATGTCATGGTACTTATTAAGGTATAAGTATAATTGTACAGAATGAAATATATCGCGCTTTACATAGTAATTATTTTTTTTAAATAAATGATAATGAAAAAATAGCTTAATAATCATGAAAAAAATAACCCAATATACAAGTACAAACTGTTTTTTTTTAAACAAACAAGAGCGAGCATCATATAATTCTTAATTATTCGTTGCGATTATATATAATTGTGTAAAACTATTCTCCTGCCTCTTCCTCTTTTTCTCTCTTTCCCTTCTCTTTCTGTCTTTAATCTATTCTCTATATTAAAAATCATATAAGTAAATTAAGAATATATAATTCTTAGATATATATCTCTTCTTAGATATACATTTCTCAATATTTTCGTGATATAAATAAATTTACTTAAACTCTAAATATATATGCAATGATCCATTAAGAATATTAGGTACACACACATACACTCTCATATTGTTCTGTATTTTGATGTATCTTTCTGATTGTGGAACTCTTATACATAGAATTTTGAGGATATATCAATGAGCCACAATATGAAAAATTTTTCTTTTTCATGTTTTTTTTTTAGTTTTAATGTTTTTAGATTCTTTAACTTTAACCAAGTATTGATACAGGTTTGCTTTTATCGATATTGTACAATACAATTGTAGTGCATATCGTGATATTTTACTTATTGAATGTTTTGAGAAAGTAGTTTTACGCGAGTATTGCAGCCAAAGGATTTAAAAAATAAGAATGACATAAAAGATAGCATGTATGAAAATGTTTGAATAATCGATATAGTCCACATTTTATCACAAAAAATTGTTATATTCGTACCAGCATGAAGTAAAAAAATCTTACTTAATAGCCTATTGTTATTTTCTGCAATAAATATATAACTCTTTTTACAATTTTGAGAACTTTGTTTTTCGACAAAAATATCTCTTTCTTATAACATCAAATGTAAATTATCTATATTTAACATCAAATGTAAATTATCTATATTTAAGATAATTAATTGAATTAAGTTTTTAGCGAAGTTGTAAAATAAATCGAGAAAAGAATTTAAAAAAACAAGAAAAAATGTAAGATTCTTGTCGAAATAGAAAATTCATTACCGGCTAAAAACTGTGCTCAATAATTATAACTTAATTATGTGTGACTTAATTGTTCTACATAAATTGCCCTATACCATAGATTGCAGCGAAAGAAAATTGAAACTTTTAGCTGCCATTTTTTAAATACTTTTGCATGTGATTTAGCTGACACTTATATGAAAGAAGAAAAATGAAAATGGCATTAATACTTTAATAATTTTATAATTTTATATCAAGTAAAACAACATGTACAACATCGTGTTATTAATTTTAATTGTTAAGCTAACTCAATACATTTTTTTTAGTTTAAGCCGTCATTATTTCTATACATTTTAAACATATAAACACAACATTCATGTTCTCTTTAAGAGAAATTAATATCTTATCTCTAAGATGATTTTTATTAACATTCTAATTTTGAAACTTTATTTAAGAAGATAAAAATGAAATATATTTATATCGCGTTTTAATTCGTACTTTTAATAGCATATAACGTAGACATATAAAAATTTTTAAATCCGCGTAGCATTTGATTTTTCAATAATTATTATTATAAAAAGGCATTATCATAATTGATAAAGTTGCAGTTTTTGCTTCAGATTCTGTATTAATAGAGCTTATTTTTCACTTTGCAGATCTTACTTTCTATTTGATAAGGCTACTGGTGTTTCAGTGAGATAAAAAATATGACATCACCTGAGTACACGTTAATTTCTACTCACTTGAAAGTCACTTGAAATATATTTCTTTAAAAAAAGTCTTCAAAATCACAAGACCGATTATAAAAATCTATCCAGCTAATAATATAAATGTATATATGAGTATTTTAAATGTGTGGTATTCCTCCAAAACAAATGTGTATATGAGATTCTTTTACATTCTATTATAAATTGATCAGTTTTTACATACAAATTGCGCCTACGAGCAAAAAAAGGCACGAGATAAACGGTGTTATTTCTTTGAGATTTCATTTGCGCTCCATTCTTTTTTTCATTCAGTCCCAAAGTTTTTCGCGCCAATTACACAGAGATGATTAACGTCTCGGCTAGAGAGGTCGACCTCGAAAAAATGTTCGCTCGTCTCGCAATTTTGTAATTTTGGAAGATAAAAATTTGCCTAACAGCCATCTCGAGAGCCTCGAAGATTTTGGTTTAGGAGACCGCGCGAGCAGCCGAAGACAGATTTGCAGATTTCGTTAATCTATCATCAGCTCGAAATGAACTGCGCCGATTTTGTCGTTTCGACTGTGCTTGATATTCTTCGCCCAAGCTTTGCACTCTACATTTATCAGTATTCCGGCTGAAAATGAAAAATAAATGTAATGCAATTTTAAATTGTTCTTTTATATTAATACGAGAGCACACTTACTTTGCGGTCTGACAAAGTGCACTGCGACCAATGGACTCAGGTAACCCTCGGAATTTTCATAAGGATAAAAGTAACCGGGGAAACCGCGTCGTGGCAAATAGTTAATCGGACCGATGTTTTCTTGATCGGCAGGATTCTCACCCTCGCAGGACACCCAAATGGTGTTCAGATGGAGGGAATCGTTTACACTCGCGATGTGTTCCTTGAGATCGAGCGGCATTTTTTCCGGCAAGTTTTCAGTATCATTGTAAAAATCTGGTCTCCAGGCATAAATCTGATAAGTAGAAATGTTATGGGAAATGTCATCGATTTCCATATTAAAAATATTTGAAAAATATTTTCTAATAAATATGCAATATTTTGCGCGAGTAACTGAATTAATTCTAGATTAAGATAGACAATACCTTGTTTAATTTAAGGAAAATACAGGGAGCGGACTTGTGATAATTATATTTGTTCTCTTTGGTGCAAGGATGCCAGTTTTTCACATCGACATCGCAAACTTTTCCGGGTGGCGGTGGCTGATTGTAATCGCACTTATTAATGTTAGCACCGAGACCAAGAACAGACCCGGGCGTTATATAATCTGAAATATGACAAGAATTATATTATAATGTAAAGATGCTGGAGCGTTTTAATCTGAAAATTAGAAATTTATTGTAGAAATTCATTCGATATGCGAATACGCACAGGATGAACGGGAAATATTTTTTTCGATATCCGACATTGAGTAATGGATTGTTCCTTATATTGCAGCGGTTACCTTTGAGAAACTCTTGTAATGAATCAACCCAGTGTTTGTAGTTTCCGCTGTCAGTGCCTTTGTACCAGATCAAGGTGCTCTCCACATTTTCTGTCGGTGGCATTGGCCTGAATCCTAATCCTACAAAGCGTAATATTTATCTTCAGATTAACAACATATTTGAAAATATTAATTTTCGACATATTGAAAAATACATGTACGAATTACATTATTATTTTACACATGTATTATGAATATGTTTAAGAAACTCATTCAATTGTTTTATTTAAAAAAAAAAGGGAAATTTTCTAATATTGGAAGATATATTTATGAAGATATATTATGATATTGTGTTTTTAACGCTAATAAAAAATAAGTTACCTGGATTTGTTCCAATAATGGACCTCTCAAGTTGCCACCTTGGTATCCTTGGATCCAGCGTTTGAAAGAATCCCCAGAAACAAATGGCGACGAGTGCTGCCAGGACGCCGTAAAAAACCAAGTAAAAAAGTCCAATTTTACCTGTAAATAAAATCACGTAAAAATCATATTGATGATACGATAGAAAATTTTTATTTAAATATAAATTTCTTCAATTGACATCGTTTCGTCTCGAACATTATAGAGCATGCAGCTTCAGTCATAACGTGTTCTATAAAGAATTTGTAGCTGTGCTGGTTCTTATACACAGCCATCTCATGGGTCAATTGTATTAACCGCAGATTTAATTTAAAAGAAGATCAAAAGTGCCCGGTCGATTGGTGCAATTCAATTATACACGCTGATTCAACGTCTCTTGTGTCATTTGAACAAAGAGTACTATCGAGAATAAAATAAAGGTACGTGAAGACACATGTAATTGAATCTGACATCAGATCTCTACTCTCTAGATATTTAAATGTATGTAAGGTATACTGAGGTAAAGTATGTATTTTTGGGAGGAATAGTAATTATATATTCAGAAGAAAGATAAATTGATAGTACGTGTAACTCTTCTGGAAAAATATTGATAGTAATTATATATTCAAGAGATATAAATTGATATAAATTCTTATAAATTGTCATTGATATAAATTGATATAAATTGTTTAAAAAAATGAAACATATATAAGCATGGATTCAAATCGTAAATGATCTTAGTATTTATCAGATACACATCAATTTAATTTCTTTACTGATTAAATTCTTTTTTAACAAAATAAAGAATTAAAAAAATTAGTTTCCAGAAATCAAAAGTCAATTTCTTTTACAGTCTTAACATTTGCTTCGTGATGAACATCACGAAGTGACATTATCGAAGAAGTTGATCTCTCTCGGCATTATCAATAGAGAAAGAGAGAGAACAAGAAGTTTTACTGATAATACATTATAAAATCTCAAATAATGACACATAAGAAATTACTTGGCGGAATCATTTCGTGACGTCTATCAGTATGTATTACATTAATATTGATGATTCATTTCTTATCGAGAGGATCTCGGCTACTTAACTCGATGTCTTGGAAATGATAATGATAAAACATGGGAATCAGTCTATAAATATTTCTCGATTATTTGAAGCAGCAAATAATGGAAAAAGTGTATCAAATCGTAGATCCAAATAACTCAAGAAAGTTCACATCTTTTCATTTTGAAAGAGAAAATATATTTATTATAAATGTATATAAATATATAACAAATATATATTTTCGTTTATTCTTAAAAAGACCTTGCTATCAAGAATTTTGTTGAAATTTTTATGCTTCCTGAATATAAAATTAACAAATAAAGTATTAAGAAAATAATTTATTAATTTCCTTTTGCTTTTTCTTTTACACATTGATTGTGAGATCAAACATTTTTTAAATAACGATATTGCTATATTTGTTTATTATTTGATAAAAATGTAATTTAAACAAATCTCTTACAGTTCAATAATGTTAGTCAAAATAAACTCAGATATGTTGCAATAATTGAGCGACTTTATTTCATGTATTTGTGTGTACTTTAGCTTTACGAAAAAGCGATTATAAAAATCATATCTGACCATTATAGTTATCATATTACGACAATATTATTGTTACAATTATCTGTCTCGTTTTATCACAGTCAATTTGCAGGAAAACGCGATAAGCGAAATCTTAATACGTTCATATATATAATTGAACTTGCATCATTCCTATTATCATAATGCAACATAATATTGACCTCATCATAGCAATAGTAAATTGGATAATAAGTTGCTTAATTCGCGATCAGTGAAAAATATAAAGGATACAATATTAATTCAATGTACGCTCTCGCAGATCCAATCTTAATTTTTTTCCAATCATTAAAATTTTCTCTCTAAAATAAAAAAATTGGCAGTATAATTAATTCTTTTACGTTAATTCTTGTATAATAATATTCTATGTAAATCACCTACGAAAGAGAAAAGAAGAAAATTTCGAATTCCCCGAATGAGAAAAAACAACGATCGGCAAAAGATTACAAAGTGCATGACAATAAACGAATGACGGATAAAATTATTTACAGCAATTTTGAATTAAGTGCGATTTGATTCGTAGGATTTTTCCAACGGTATAATTAACGGGATCACATTTGGACGATCCCAGGTGATTGTGACTGAACGAAAGACAGCGGTCGCGTGGGTGTACCCTTCGGAATAGCCCTAAGTTACGTAATGCTGTAATGCCGCCGTTTAACGCCAATTGACCTCGTTATACACGTTTGCGCTAAAGGAAGTTTAACAATTGCCATTCAACCGGACAAACCCGTTGTATGCACCGCGAATCAAACGCGCTTCGCGCTTCCGTCTTTTTTTCTTCCCTTATCTATTACACTTCCACCTTCCTTTCTCGCTTACCGCTCTTTTTTTTGTGCTATCGCGGATTTTTCTTTCGCATAATAATTTAAGACTACATTAATAGATATTTAAGATCTAAGATTATATGCAGAGTATGTAAGAGAACCCTGATAAATCTATAGAAAAAAAGATGAAAAGAAATATTAAGATATCTTGAGATAAAAGGAAATATTATATAAGATATCTTATTAAAAAAATGAAAAAAAAATCTGGACCAAGAAATTTTAGAAGAGAGCAAAATGCATAGGAAGAAAAACCATGTCAAGGTTAATTATACATCAAGGGCACATTACTTTAAATATTTTGTTTAGTATTGATACTACATAGGCTTCTGTGAGCCAATTAAATGAAAATAATCTCGCAAATATACATGAAATTGCAAGACTTCATTTTATTGAAACAACACGGAAGAATATGATGGATAAATTTTTTAAATTTACTTATTCGATTGGAAGATATATTGCAAAGATAAAAGTATATCTGTTACTGTAGATATAATGACTATGATAATTAGTGCTTCTTTTCATTCGATAAAACAATTAATTAAGTGTTTTCAACGAAAATAATATGTTGGAAATTATTTTATTTCTTGAATAATTCATGAGTAAGAATAGCTCACTAAATACATTCGATATATGCTCATTTTTGCGTCAAAGTAGATTTACATACGACATTTTATTTTTATTTTACTTCTAAATTTATGTAGCATTATTGGGGGGTATATATATATCGCATGTGTGAATCCTATGAAGAATTCACACATATGCGCATACACATTTATATATCCTAAGGTGCGTAATAACCGTTAGGTCGCCATAGTTACAACCCTTGGTAAACACCAGAATCCACCCAGAATAAAGATAGAAGGAATAACGACATTCGGTGTTGATCGATGGCGCCGATGCTAATTAATTAGAATTCGCAATTTGCTTTGTGCACGAATGGCTTCATCTTCTCGAAATGTTTATTTTTGTCACGCGATTCAGACATTTAAAATTTTTCGTTCGCAATTTACAAGAAAAAATGGCAATAAATAAATATATATAAATAAATATATATATTCGCCTGTTTTTCACAATCTTGAACATATATCACTTTCCTACGCTCTTGACCGAGTTTTTAATTTTAAATATTTAAATAGAGATTTAAATATTCATAATTTCTCGGATTTAAAGATATGAATGCTTTCATGCAACTAACATGAGTAGATACTAATGATACGCGATAGTGTATAAGTATCTTGGTCATTGACACTATCACGTGCTAAGGATAAGCATACAGTAAAACGTAACGATTAATCGTCGACATACCAGCAGCACATGCAACAAAGATTGAACTGTACATGATCGATGTAGACACGACCGTGCCTCCATTTTTTATTTTTTGTTAAATATTTTATGAGCTGTTTTATCAGGCAGAAAAAAATAAAAAAGTAGAGACATAAATAATTAATAGTCGTAGATAATCGTAGTACTCTGAAATAATACTTATTTATTCTACATTCTTCATTTATAATTTTTTGGAAATTTCAATAATAGTTTTTGAATTAATCTTGGAAATTAAAAAATTTATTAATTTATTAATCTTCTAAAATTTAAGATTAAATAAAACACATATTTTATTATTATTATATATTATTATTTTTCTATTATATTTTTGAATCACAGTTTAGATTCTATTTATTCTTTATAACATTTATTGAATGTTACACGATATATGGTATTCTTGGAATATAGTGAATCACCTTGGGCGTAATTTCTTATGCATTATTGCATAATATTACCTTGTATCTTATTTAGAATATTTACTTCGTATTCAATAATTCTTTCAATATATAAACATATTTACAATAATACTCTTGAGAATATATGCGTATTTCACAATAATTATTATATTCTAAAATGTTTTTTTTCTGTTTTATTTTATGTTGATATTATACTCCTCAACGTATATTTTTTAATGTATTTGTTATCGGAACCATATCGAATCGCGGTTGAAACTGATGACATTTCTATTCTTATGGCACGTCATTAATTATTCGTGGAATTAAAATTTCTTATTATGATATGGTGTATGATACATTATATATATATATAATATAAAAGATTGTGTAATTATGTATAAAAATCTAAAAATTCATATAATGATTAATTGTTTTAATCGTAAAAAGAACTTATTTAAAAAAATTCTAAATCTATAAATAATATTATACTTTCCAAAACTTTTTAAGTTAGTTTTTGTTCAGTTTATAACATTTAATATTATTGTACAGCGCTGAATGGTACAATACTTAGAGTTCCACCTTCGCTTATTCAGTAATTATCATGGGCTGACTCAACAAAGCAAGTTAAAGTTTACTGCATACTTGAAGGAAAAGTCATCTGAAACCATCGCATACATTTCTTTGGAGAATAATCGAGAATTTATTTCAATATGGTGTTGAAATGAATTAAATATATATTTGATATAAAATAATTAACTATATTTAATAGAAAATATTTAATAACCATATTAAAATGTCAGGAGTTATTTACACATATATATTATTGTAGTAGAAAATTATTATCAAGTTGTAAATATAATCATATCAATAAATTAAATTCAATAAATTATTAATTAAATAAATTAAAATCAATTTTATAAATTTTTTTTATCGCAATATTGTTTACATAGTTCTGATTTCAGTGTAAAATTCATTCAATAAAACAAAGCTTACATTTTATATGTGCACGTTTCATATTTTTTTCTTATAACACTGACAGTGAAGACAATTACAATTAAAAATGTTGATAAAACATTTTGCAACTAATTTTCAAATTTCTTTTGAAAGCTTCAAAGTTGTAATGATATATGTAATCAAAAATTTATCGAGAAAAGACTCTCAACTTTAAATTCGCTAAAAAATCTATAGAGAAAGTGCGCGACTTTTGACACGCCCTGTATATCGACACAACACTTTCTTCACTATTGAAAGGCTAGATCCGAACCTGTATATCGACACAACACTTTCTTCAATATTGAAAGGCTAGATCCGAACCTGAACTAGAAATACCTGCGATATCTTGATAATATTAAAAGATTGATATTTCTTTCCGATTGTTGAGTACAACGATGTAAATCTATTCAAACAATACTTGATAGAAAATATATTGGAGCAATTAACTCCGATTTTTTTTTTAGACAATATCGAATAATATGCCGATTAAATAATTGATGAATAGTTAGTCGAGGTTTTAACGATAACTTAAACTGGTTTTCGCATAAAAGTTATACTCTAAATTTCCCACATTTATTTATGTAGGTTCTAATGACTCCTCCTTCAGCGAGAATAAAAATATACGTCGACAAGTAAATTTAAAACAAGTCATATCACATATATGTTCTTATTTTAAAGGAGATACAATCTTAGGCGTGTCCATACATTCGAGAGCAAGAAAATGCAGTGGTACCGAATGAATAAAATGAACTCTTATTAAACGACACCCTATAACTCTTCATTGTAATATGTCGCATAATTTCTCTTTTGATATGAAAATTTGACAACTGGCAACGTCGCTTACCCCAACTACTGGCGGTCCTGCCCATAAACGCGCCGGTCTCCCGATTGTACAAAAAGGTCCTCATAGTCTGACCGACCGACATGCTAGGCGGTTTCTCGTACGGGTTCATCAACTCCGCGGTAACAACCATCTTCGGGTCTTTGGCTACCATTCTTGCGCGTTTCACCTGTTACGTTCAAATTCGATTCACTTAGACGCGCGCGTTTCAGCCGCGCGAGAGTGACTCGAACACAGGGGTTTTTCGAAAATTCGAAACACTCGAGAGTCACTGAATTTATATTTCGAATTATCTCCAGCGGAGTCCTGCGTTCGCTCTTCTCTTCCGTTTCTTTCGCGATCCCGACGCTCCCACACAATTCGCAGGCTACTACTTGGTCGCCAACAGTTGGTTCTTCGGCGCCACCAGGTTGACTAACGCTCCTGAATGCGTTACGACCTTCCTCGACCCTCCTCTTTCTCTTGCTCCCACTTCCATACTCTTCTCGCTGCCCCTCTATGACCGCAGGTTCGGACCCAGTCTTCCGAGGGACCTAGGTGTTGGCAGAAATATGCATACAGATCGATCCACGAAAAGTCTCATATTAATTTTTAGGCGAATATTAAAACTGTCACCGTTCTTTTTCTTTAAATATAGTTTCAAAGAATGTCAGAGATGACAGATATAAAAAGATATGCAAAACATACACATAGTGCGTTAGGGGTATACCTAAAATAGATAACGTAATCTAAAAATACCAGAAATAGATAACGTAATCTAAAAATAATAAAATTATAAAATTATACAATAAATTATTATTATAAAATTATACAATACATATGTTTATTTATCTTTTTTATATGTTATACATATGTTTATTTATCTTTTTTTATACGTTAATTTAATATGATACACCACAAATTTTATTTTTATATATTTAATTTTATCTAGAATTTATCTTATATATAATTTATTAAAATTTATATCATTATTTCTCTTATTAAACTATTGTACAACTGTACCTCAATTAATGTTTCACTATTTTCAAAAATAGTAAAGATGCTTTATTCATCTCATTAGACAGAAGCTTCAAGCTATAAATAAAAGAGATTCTAAATATAAAATTTAATATTAAAATTTAATTTACATGCAATTAATTTTATATTAGAGAAAGATATGTCTGAAAATAATATATAAATTACATATTAATTATTTATTTTATCTTTGAAAATTGCAATGTTACTGACGATAAAATTTTTTTTTAACAATAATTTTTTACGCTTTTCAGGTAATCTCGCCTTTTGTTAATCGATGTTTGAAAAGCGTTTGAGCAGCGATAAAATTGTTCGTTTCCTACGATTTCGAAACGAATAGTTCAAATATACTAGATAATGTGCCATCGCTATTACGACGTGGCAGACCATAGGTACAGGTGCGTGCGTGCGTGTCAATGATGATGCATTGAGACTGTGTATCGTATAAAACACACACATATAGTTGAGATCAGTGATGTATTTTTTCTCCGCAGAACCCTTAACCATACCTTGCTCCATCCATCAGTTACAACAGAGTCGGATCAATGGAAAAATTTGATTAATTACATGCATCTGCGAATCATGTCACGTGAATCTTTTATATCAGAGTCTAATTATATATTATATACCTATCTCTCTTCGAATGTCAAAATATTCTACATATTTTTATCCTCAACATCACGTTTAATGCAATCATTTCTTTATATTTATTAACACCTTACATCTTTTCTAATTAATATTTTAATTTAATTTATTTTATTTAATATATTTTATTAATGTCTAATATATTTTATTTTTTAATTTTCTTCTTTAATCTTACAGTCAGTTTCTTTCCTTCGTAACGAAATAAGCACGGAATTTGAAAGAGTTTAGCGTCTCTCATAGCATATTGCTGACAGCACGTTGATGTGAACGTAAGTTGATCTTCCATCCGCGATCCGTTTATCGCGCGTCGCGATTTAGAAAAGCGACGAATACACGATTTCCTCAACTGAATCGTCCCGGACTAATTGGGGGCTAAGGTCAGCCCACGTGTGTGTGACCTTAGCGGCCGCGACGGGACACGCGTGTTGCACCATTCGGTCCACTCCACTCCCTTTATCGTCCACCGGGACCGAGAGCTAGGCGCGTGTAATGTGAGTCACATACGGAGACCGATCTGAATTGACCACATCCTGCCCATCTTCTCGTGTGACATTAATGTCATTGCCGTCCGGCGGAGAATTTCGAGCGAAATTGACGGAAGAATCAGCGTCGGCTCTTTAAGCGCTCCGACCTCGCTTCTTACCGCGAAATCGAAGAAATTCGTAAGCCGTCAACATGTGCTTATTGATCGTGGAATACTACTACCAACGTGTTAGAGCGACTCGCTATTATAATCCAGAGTGCGATCCTCTGGAGAGAATCCTCGCGTGGAAGGACTCTGTAAAAAAAAAATTGAGTCGAGTCTCATTCATCTAATCAAATACATCCACGATTATGTAGATCCGATTTATTCTCCATAACACATATTTCAAGTATAACGACGTGCAATCAACATTTATTCCTCGTGCCTTGTTAACCAATCGTGTTTAAATCTTCCGTCGTCTACAGTAATGTCTGCATTTCGAAACCAAGGTTACAATTAAATATGATCCGGAAAATTTATAGTGAAACAGATGCAAAGCGTCGCTAAAATTCGCATTTTTTTCGCGGAAAAATTAGGGACATCTTTTATATAAAAAGAGATTTCAAATATAAGCCTGCATCGCAATAAATAAAACAATAAAAATAAAATATTCGCGTCTTTGCGATTGTAATATTAAAATAAGAGTGTCTATTAATTCAATTCTTTCTTTTTTTCTCTCATGAATTCATATATCAAATTTATTTTATCTAGCGTATCTAAGTAGCGGAAAAAAATTATCAGCACACTACAGTTGTTGCTTCTGGCTCGCAAATATAATAATTATTACATTGGTAAATGCATATTATTGCAGAACGTTCTTATTTGATTCATGCATAGCAGGATGTTGATTTAGAAAAAAAATCGATGACGGCATTGATCATATAACGTTCAACAAGAATGTTGACGATAATATAATTATAGTAAAGCGATTCTCTCTATAATGAATTAATTGATTAATCATAATCAACAGCGCGATAAACTTGATTCTTAAAATGTCTAAGTTAACGCTAATCTCTGTTTCGCGAGATTTTATCTCATCATTTTATCTATACGAGAAAAGAATAATTTAGTAGTCGTGTATAATCTCATGGATTGGTTACATCCTCGAAAACACTTATTCTTATACTAATGTAAGCGCATATATTCAGCTAATTCAGTATCTGTTTTTTGGATCTTTGTCTCTAAAGATATCTTTTAAGATGCATACTTTGTCGATGTGAATCTCTTTCCCATGTGCAAAAAGTTGTGAAAGAGAATAAAATATATTAGAAAAAGCAGAGCATGAAAATGATCGATCATCAAAATAATAATCTGCAACATTGTATCCTCAACGAGTCTTATTATTAATTAATTTCATACGCAGAGACACCGTCTTACTATAACATATATACACTCGCTTCTTGAATAAAGACTCGCTTCATTAATAACAATGCGATTGATCGCGAAGATAACATGAATCTCTCATTCAACATTCGATTAAGTTTGTAATCGGTAAATGCTAATTAATTACCGCATTATATCATATAACATTAGCTGCTTATCTATAAAATTTAATTACTCAACTTGCGTTTCCTCATATCAAGTAATTTTTATTTGATTTTTATGATATTTCCATCTAGAGATAATTAAATAATATCGCTGTAAATCACATGATGATAATTTCAACGCTCTGTATGAAGCGAGAATAGAGTCTCTAAATCCTATAATTTGTATCCCATACTTATATTCCCATTCAATTAAATTAATTAGAATGTAAGTCTTGTATGAAATAAATCATGAATATTCTCGCTCTAAATATTTTACCGATTATATTTTTACCGAGAAGTCGCGATGTAAATGAGTCTCGTGGAACTATAGTAACATTGTACATTTTCACATACATATCCACCACATATTTGTGAACAAATTTATTCAATATATGTCTATATAAATAATATATTACTATACATACTATATTGCAACATAGGATTTTTAAATTCTGCTTACACTAGAGACGAATTATCAATAATTTAACGACATATAGGATCTTCAACAAGAAAATGCATGCATGTATAATATATCGATCTTTTAAAAATCTTTGCTGACGGTACCTTATCTAATTAAGTATCTAGTGTTATATGTAAGTATGAATATCTCTAGGATGTTGGTACACATAATGAATCATACACAAATTTCTTCTTGGTTTTTCATCCATTTCGCTTTTACGATTTCTTTTAAGCTTTCCTTTACATCCGCTTGAATGATAAATGTGATTTGCCGCTTGCGTTCTATATAATAAACGGGACAAAGAATACTTAGAACAAACACATGTTCGGATTAAAATTACAGAGAGAGAATTTGTTAGCTTTGCTCTTCGATAAAATTCGGTAACTTTGAGCAGACGTCGATCTGAATAGATGACCAAATGTAAACACAATCAGCTTGGACTATGTTATTAAAGGCCGCTCATTATTCTTTTTCATCTCTTTCTCAATTTTATATTTTAACAACACTTACACGTTTATTATTAGACAGATTAATCGCAATGATGAATAATATGCAATCATTCGTGATTTAATTATAATATATAATAACTTTAATAATATATTATTCAACGTTTCGTTTTGTCATCTTTGTCTTTTGTCTCTTCATTCTGTTTCTTTTTACCGCTCAACGGTTCTTCAAGTTTAAAAATGCCCTCGCGGAAGATTATTCAAGAATTTATGAAATTATCAATGCAAGGATCTGTCTATTTGGAAATTTATAATTTATAAATTTTTTTGTGAGTCGAACGATTTAAAAGATGGAGTAGTGTTTTGTAAAGCTCAATGGCCTTTTTTACAGACGTGTCTTATTGAAGAATACTCGTAGGCGCTTCTGTGCGCATGGGCGGGCATTTATTTCAGATGCTTGATATACGGCATCCGCGAGATTATTTCGAGATTTCAATTTTTTGTAAATTTGTGAGCGGATAACTTGAAAATAGGAGAGAAGAGGGAGCAGAATATATATAATATGAAAAAAGTAGGCGTCTCCATTTTATTTATTATTCCCTATTACTGCCAACCGATTGTAAATTATAATTAGATCACGGATGCGTTCGTCTGTTTTATTCAGAGATAGTTGACAATCGGCAATTGCGAACGGATGTTTACAGAAGGAAAAGTCAAAAGTAACAGAAAGGAGAAAGAAAATGTCATCTGACGGTCGATAAAAAATATTGAACAGGCCGCGATCTAATTATAATTCTTTCTAAAGCTTTAGTTTCACCAAACTTTAGGCACGCGATATGCAGAAATTAATATAAGTCGTTACAATAATTATTATAATGACTATAGTAACATCTTTGTTTTTTTTTTTGCATATATAATCTGCGCGAAAAAGATCACATATAATTAAATGCTATAAATGAGATTTTCTCTTTTGGAAAGCCTTAAAGACATTTTCAGAACGGTTCTTCGGAAAATCTTAAAGAAGAACGTCTTGCGGATATTTTTTAAATGGCTGTGTTATTTGCATAATGTTAGATGTTTTATATCTGAAGATACACACGGTTGATATCTACCTCTCGACTTAACAAACAGGCGCTTAACGGCTATTTATACTGTGAATATATTAGACAAAGAACTTAGAAATAATATTCGGGTTCCAGGAGTTATCAAATCAATCGATACATTTTCATATAAATTTGTGAATTGTTCAGTATATGTGGATTTATAACTTGTGCATTTTCGTGGATCGATGGATCTCTGTGAACCTCTGTAGATCCATGGATCTATTTACCTTTCAAGCTGCGATGCTACACATTTGTAGAGGCATAGATCTAAGAAACTAATGACCAGTGAATCTACAGATTAATAGATTTACAGATTTTAAGATCTATATTTTTTTACGTAACCGATGCTTATATCTACTGTAATACATATTATTCGCATAGTAATTAACCTAATAAGACTACATAAAAGAATTAATTACATAAAATTCGATACACCTTCTGTCTCTTCAGTTGCGAGCTCCATCGGGAAGTATCCATGTTTCAAACGATCCAACACAATATTCCCTTCGAGTTTAGCTCTTTAGATGATATCTTCTTTCTATGTGTCAGATCGTAACATCGCGTCGATGCAGAAAAGAAAGCTCTTCCGATTTCTCTTTCTGGCGAAGGAACTTGACGAGTTTAAGAATATAGAATTTGCGTAAAGTAATTGTATATAAATATGTGTTCCATACATCCCATATCGCGTCGCATGACCGATAAAATTCCTCCAAATCTTCAACATAAATCTTCAACTGTGCAATACAATAAATCGAGACTGATTTGCTTATTATCGACAGTTTGATTTAAAATCGATGGAGCCTTTGACTTAAGTACGTACCAACAATCAATCGCATTTAAATTGGATTTAAGTACTTATGGAGGGCTACCACACGATCAGTATTACTATTAATGCGTCAACAATTTTAATATTTTGGCTATCGATATATACGTGTATCATTAATATAACATCTTTACATTATTAGTATTCGATCAATGCATCGAACTTGATGCATTTTTCGTACTATTAACCTATCTTAAAAATATAGTAATTACTGATCGTGCGAGTATACTCTTCTTCTGAAACTTCTTTTAAATCTAGAGATCTTTAATTCTTTTTCATATAGCAGTATATAGCAGTTCTCTCTCTCGGAACTTTGTTCAGTAAGTATACTAGACGCGTGCCACAGAACTTCCGCTATCATGACGTATCTTGTCAACGCGGAGCTGATGGTATCGCAATACTTCACTCTCTCATATGATTGATCGTGAAAATATTTTTAAAACTGCGAATTGAATGTTAAAATCAACACGAAATCAATAGATCCTTGGACTTACAGATTATTGCGTTTGCGAATTTTTGGTATTTCCGTAAGTTTTAAAATTTGGACTCTTTAGATCCGCGACACGCAGATCTTTGGATCTGTATTTATTAGCTCTTTATTTTCTTCTTGTTGATTTTTTTCTTGCTGTTAATTTATATAGATTCCTGAGCGTATAGATTCTTGCCCTCGTGCATCTTCAGATGAGAAGATTTTCAGACCCATAGAGTCTTAGATGCACAAATCGTTGATATCACATAAATCTTTGAATTCATAAATTCTTTAAGTCCATATATCACGATCCGCGTTTCTATATTTCATGCATTTCAAAGTAGATTTATTTTACACATCTTTGTATATTTATTATTACGCACGGACAAACTTGGATCAACAAATTCTTGGATCTTTTTGTGTCATAATGTCATACATCTTTCGTTTTGTGCATCTTCTTAATTGAAAAGTTATTGAATTTTCTCATCTTTGAATTAATAGATTCTCTTAAATTCCAAAACTTAAATTCAAAAATTCAAAAATAAATATTAAAACTATCGATATAAATTTTATAATTTTAACTGTAAATTTTAGTAGAATATAAAAAAAAAATGTTTTACAGATTACAAAACATTTTCAAGTTCTCAAGATTTTTAGGAGTATATAACTCCTTTTCATTATAAAATCTTTTAATTCATGGACTTCTTTTGGACTGACGGATTGAGATTAATAAATTCATTAAAATGCCATATTTTTATACGTATTCATTAAAACGATACAATGTCGCAAAAATGTTACATAAATTCTTAAGTAAATATAGAGCCTAATAATTAATTTGTTTATTAATTAATTTAATTGTACGTTTATAATAATTCGCCATACTTTTCCTATTATTTAAAGACATTAGAATATTACATTTCTTTAATAATCCGACAATTCAAAAGACTTGTCCAAGAATTTGTAGATCCCGTTGTTTACGATCTCAAAAATCGATAGACGCAATAGATTTTTGCGAATCCGAGTGTGTCTTTTCGTAGATTGCAGTATAAAAAATGCATCATATAGAATCATAGATCATCATACACATTCAACATATTACTGATTGAGATAATAACCATCGATCGCTTCCGCTGATCAAAACTCTTAATATCCATTTCTCTGGTAAATACTCTCTCATCAAATACTGTTCATTGCAAAGATTTCAATATAATAACTCTCTTAATTTTAACGCTTAATTAAAAATATCCAAAATAAAGGAATACAAGTAACAATTGTTAACATACAACGCACAAACATAACGTAACACACATATCGCATACAATAGCTCTTACGGTCAAGTGATAGAAATAGAATTCTGATCAATGTTGCGACCTGTGCTACGTTATAAACGTGACATGTCAAAAAGCAACTTGAGCTTTTAATATATATTATTTATTAAAATAAAAATATATTTTCCTTGCCAAAATAGCGTTAATTTCAAATTAACTGAAATACTTTAATGCATTTCGATAAATTTCAACAGGAACGAAAATTGTCAAAAAATTATACATTCATAAATTTTCAATAAAATAAATATATAAATTTTACCTACATTATTATCAATAGAATACCAATAGAATTGAGAAAGTTTCGCACAAAACATGCAATCTCATTTAACATTGCGATAGACATTGACGGTTGACAGCCTTGTATCACTTGCGACTAATTTTATTTGGGGGAACCAAACTTCTTTTCAGCATCAATCAAAATCTTTAATAACGTCACATGCTATGTTTATATTTTTTAATGGCAATTTGATCCAATTGAGCCTACACTTGTACCCCTTTGTGCTGTCTTCCGTTAGAATTCATGGCGAATATCATTTCTCTCTCGTTAAACTGCCCAAAAATTTCGACATACCGAGATGTATCGTAGCGCGTGATGGGCAAAAAATACTAATCTATGATATATTCTACATGGCTGAGAGCTAAGATCATTATCGATCATTCGCAGTGCCGTGAGAAGTCATCGGCCAAGCTCGTCATCGTGAAAAGGAACGTAGTGTGTAACGAAAAAGGCTTAAAAGATCTAAAACCAAAACGGTCTCGGTAGGGACATTTTTTTCAACTAAGGGAGAGAATCTCTCTCGCGCGCATGAAAATCGAATATTGCGAACGATCGACTTAGCCGTCGATGGTCGAGATCACTCCTCGGTGACACAACCCTGGCAGAAATAAGACAAGATACCGCCCGGCATTTGTGCGGGATTGTTCCTTTCACCTTTCTTTCTTTCCGATTCCATTTTTTTGCGCACCTCAATTGATGTAGTCGATCGTTGAGTTTATTTTCTCATAGATGCGATTTTTTTTTCGTCTCTATTGTTTTTTCTCTTTTTCATTTTCTTTTCTCTATCTCTCTCCCTCATTTGACGACAGACGGACAGCGTTTTCGCAGTCGTTGTAAGTACGACGAACGAACGATGAGCTCATGATAAACGATGGCAGATGAAGAAGTAAGGCTGATCCGGGGCGGTATCGTCGGCAGAGAGAAAACCGGATGGTACAGAGTGTGATCGCGGTCGGCCAACGAGGCGGATTAAAAAAAAAGAAATGTCTTCTCTCTGTTCTAATCTCTTGCGGCTTCCTACTTTTTGGACGCGGGTGGTAGCGATGATGATCTGACGATTGGCCGAAGTGACCGGCTTTAGTCTACCATCAGTTCGAAATGCACCGAGCCACGTCTTTCGAATCTGTCGTGGATGATATTGTGCGCCCATGCCTTGCACTCGATATTGATGAGCACGCCGTCTATAAATACAAAACCGATGAATGTTAATTACTTCACTCCTATATACGCTGGATTTTTTTCTCGGAATCGTAATATTATTAGATTTATGAATTGACAATTCCTCGAGTTTTGATAGTTATAACTTTTAGTTGAATTTACAAATATTCATAAGCAAGATCCTTCGATCTTTAATTGGTTCTTAGATTTATTTTTAGAGATTCGTTCTGATTAGTAATTACTATATTTATTAATTGATTACTTTAATTATTAATAAATACCATACTTAATAATTAATTGTGTTCCATTTAGATTAAACAAAGTGTGTAAACATACACTTGGGCTTTTCGAAGAACACAGCTACAAGGGGACTCAGATATCCCGGGGTATTCCTGAATGGGAAATAGAAACCGGGAAAACCGCGGCGCGGAATATATTGAATCGCTCCCATGTTCTCCACATCGGCTGGGTTTTCACCCTCACAGGAAACCCAAACAGTGTCCAGCCTCCCGTTTCCTTCTTCCTGTTTGATATGCTCCTGGAGATCCGCCGGCATTGTAGACGGCAGATTTTTCGTATCGTTATAAAATTGCGGCATCCATCCGAAAATCTAAAATAAATATCAAATACTTATACTATAATTTATACATATCTTTCTATTTTTATTCGTTTCTAAGTATTAAATCTATCCTTAAGAAATATAGGAAAATAGGAAGTAATCTTTGAAATCTCTAAGAATTCATTTTTTATCTAAAAATAAAATAGTCTTAGAAAAATAGAAGAGACCAATAATATAATCATAGAGAAAGTGTGCACACAAACCTTATTCAATTTCAGGAAAATGCAAGGTGCGGATTTGTGGAAGCCATACTTCCTTGCTTTCGTGCACTGTCCCCATTCAGACATATCTACATCGCAAACTTTACCTGGTGGTGCTGGTTTTTTATATTCGCAATGCACTCTCTGTTCGAAGTTATTTGTGCCGCTAGCCGGTTTTTCATATTCTGCATAGTACGAAAAATTATATATCAGAAATACTATATCAATTCAAATTGCTCGTTAATTGATAAATCTAATTTTGAGTAAATGTACATACAACATAGAGATTGTGCTGTTACACTTCTTGCTCACCTTCCAAAAATCTGTCCAGTTCTCTGGTCCAGTGAAGATAATTACCCTCATCGCTGGCTTTATACCAGATCAATGTACTTTCGACGTTGCTTTCAGGAGGCATAGGTCTAAAACCGAGACCTGGGTTGCTACCAATTAGCGAGTTGTCCAGTTGCCACTTGGGTGCATTAGGATCCAGAGTTTGATAGAACACAGCCAGCATCGCGCCGAAAAAGCCGGACAGGACGGCATAAAAAATTACGTAGAACAGCAGAATCTTAGCTGAACATAAAATTAGATACTGAGTCATAACTGTATTCAAAAGAGAATTGTTTCAAAATTTAATCGAATTAATGAATATATGTGTTTCTTTAGCTTAAAACATAATTATAAATATCGTAACATGAAATTTAACATAAATCTTCAACGGATGTGTTTATTTAGCTATTTATTTCATTATTAAACTCATTTCATTATTAAACTCAAAATAAACCTAGTAAAATTATTAATTGCAAAACAACACATTTTGATGTATAATATTAGTATTTTTTTAACAAGATATTTTTATCCTCTTATATCACAAAAAGTTATATATTTGTTTAAGTTATAATTTAATTTTGATGATCAAAATAATATATACACAAATTATTTATCAATTTAAAAATATATTATATGTTAAAAAATTATTTTTATTCCAAATACATAGCAGATATATTACAATACATGCTAAATGGCACGTATTCTTTAAAAATGCACGCTAATTTTTTTCTCTAGAATAATTGTATTACGTAATTCCCATTGAAAGCAATTGGACAACAATTCTGTATAGGGCACGTACTCTTTGTATAAAAAAATATTTTTATTCCTGTTTAAAGCACGAATACTAAAATAATGAAATAAATTCTAAGAATAAGTTTTGAAAATCCAATTAATGGAAATGATGTAGTGAGTTTACTCGACTTTACCAAGTTCTTGTTTCTTATACTGCGTAAAGTGTCTCAAGGCTAATTCTATAAAATCAATCGAATCTACTCGAAATATATGAAAGCCATTTTATTATATAATAAATTGAATTGAATTTAATTATATTTCATATCATACATATTTCATTTATGGCGAATTATTTATAATTTTTTTTATCATGATGTGTGTGTCAATTACTATAAATCTGTTATATAATTTTATTTTCTATAATTTTTAATATAATAAAAGTACAATTTTAAAATTTGTATAAAAAATTAGATAATCGTGTATATTATAAGCAATAGTGGTATATTATAATAAAATAAAAAACTTCTTATGTGTTTTAAATCTTTAAATACGCGTTAAAAATTCAAACAATAATATAACGTTGCTATTTAATAAAAAATTTGATTTTTTAAAATTTTAATATTTGATTTAGAAAGAAAGAGATAAAGAGAAAGTTAATAAGAAATAGAAATATATTTGAGATTTCTATTATAAGCTATATATTTTGGTTTAGGATTAAGATCAAGTTTAATCGATTGTTTTACGAGCATAATTTCTATTGTTGCTACGGTCGAAGGCTGAAGCACTGAGACAATTATGATCTGACGCCTAATTGGCCTGAATTGGTATTGAGTAAGCGATGCCATGCGTTTGTTATACAAAACGTTGACGAATATGCACTTGTGCACGCACAGCAATGTAGCCTTGCAGAAGTCATTCTCCAAATCAAAGATATTGATTGCAGCTACACGATTATAAATTCACATTTTTTTAGAAATGAAATAAATAAATTAGATACCTTCTAAATTTTTTTATCACTGTTTATAGAATTTATTCAAAGTTGAAAAAAAATTTTATAAGCCTATATTATTTAGCAATCATACTCCATTATAATTTTAATTTTCACTTATAGTTAAGTGAATGACAGGTAATCGTTCTTCTTGAAATTTTTAAATAAAATCGCGTTTATCAAATCCAGATACCTATAAAATATAAAATAAAATATAAAATTATTTATATTTCTTTTTTTAATAGTAGAAAATCGAATACAAATTGTAGGAGAGACATTTATGTGAATTTTCCTTCTAAATGATGGATCACTTTCTGGTTGATTTTATCACCCGTAATGTCTTTCCACACATACAATAACATGATGAACGCTCATTTGCTTAATCATATAAAGCTTGTGTCGAGCCATAATCGTATCGTCAAGTTAACGTATTCACGTTACTGTCACGATAATTAAAAACATATGTGTATGTAAGTATTTAAAATATTCCATTTTATTAATTTACATTAGCTAAAAATAGTTACATTAATCAATGCATTTTCTGAAATGAAAAATGTAATAAAAATTCTAAGAAAACATGGAAATAATATTTCTCTGAAATGAAAAATGTAATAAAAATTCTAAGAAAACATGGAAATAATATTTCTCTATTTTGTACAAATTTTATAAACGTTGATTCTCATGGTAGTTATTCCTTCAAATATACATATAAATATTTTGTTAATATACTAATATAAAATTTATAATATTATAATATGAATAATCTCTGCAAATCGTAAATAAAAAAATTAAGCTATTTAGCCTATTTATTATAAATCTTTGAAAATGTAAATTTTTATATTATATGTGTAATTATAGTTGATATCTTTGATTTGGAGCATAATATATGTATATATGTGTGTGTGTTTATAACATAATAATACATAATAATTTAATAATATCGTTTTCTTTATATTTCTCTCTATTATAATCCTCTCTCTCTTACTATATAAATTAATTAAATCGGATTTTGTTTTATTCATACAAAGAAATATTGATTACAGCTATCAAGTTTACTAGGAAAATCTTTCAATTTTGTTTTAAATAATACAATTATTGTTTAAGTAATTAACATATATATGCGCGATATTAAAATGATAAAATTAAGGCTGGAATTAAGTGATCAACTTTTTTATATCAGATTGACTCTTTATATCAGTGGCCGTACGTCATTACAGAGTCACTACGGCAACGTAACATTTCCATGGCTTTTTTCAAGATATCGATCGACGCAGTACCGAATGCGACGACGCAAGGCAGTTATGTTTCTGTTGTCAAGTAGGCCATTAGTATCTTGCTTCAATAGTATAATATCTTTGCTAATGATCTGAGCTAATTTGCAATATATATACATGTATACATGTACATGTCCATATATATTCATGAATCACCTCATTTCTAGAGAAGCTTAATATTATAAAAACTTCTTTTCATATTTTCCGGAAGATCTGCAGGATTGAACGCGTATGTAGGACAGTCAGTGAGAAAAATCGGCTTGCGCAGACGCTAACGCTATCCAGTATAGAAATCAGACCATACCATTTCTCTGTGAGATGGTTACGGAGACGGTTCGTATTGATTTCGGCGGAAGTCGATCGACCTCAACAGAAGAGTGAAGGGAAATAGACAAACAGCGATAAAGCAAATCAGAGAGACAGAGAGAAAGAGAGAGAGTGAAAGAGAGAGAGAGAGAAAGAAAGAGAGCGAGAGAGAGAGAGAGAGAGAGAGAGAGAGAGAGAGAGAGAGACAGAGAGACAGAAAGAGTGAAGAAGAGATATATGACAAGACTATAATATATCTACAGTTATATGATATAAAATTGTTGTAAATAAAAGAATTAAAAGTTTATTATATATAATAAAAAAATAAAATATTGAAAAATTTAGAGAAAATCCCATCTTTCTCTTTTTCTCTCTCTCTCTCTTTCTCTCTCTCTCTCTCTCTCTCTCTCTCTCTCTCTCCTCTCTCTCCAAATTGCAGTATGTCTTATATTCGACAAATAATAAAATTCAAATAATAAAACTCGTCAATTATTTTTATCACCCTATCAAAAATCTCTTGACATTTCTTCCTGCTCCAATCTTAAGCAAATGGACGTAAAAATAGAATAACGGAAGTCCAATGAGTTGAACTCCGAGAGTACGCAAACAAAGGAAACCACAGAATGTGATTTCATTAGGTTCTGTTAAAAAACCAAGATAGTAACTAATAGCAGTGATAAAATATGAATGTATTACTGTTGTGAAAAATTTCATATCACGTATAATTTTTTTATATATATTGTAATATTATAATACATGTAATTAATAATATATTATGTGTGTACATAAAATCATTAAGAATAAAACCATGCAGGAAATTATTAAAAAATGTTTAATTGATCCTATGCAACACAAAGTGTTTTGAATAATTCATTAAATTAAACTAAACTAGATGTCTATATATGTATATCCATGTGTATTAATAGCTTATTTTAAATTACTTGCAGAATACTCGTAGAATTAAAACGTAGTTAAGCATTTATTAAATTAAAATTCCTTTTTTTATTTTAGTTTAGAAAGAAAATAAAGGCAAATAATTTATTTAAAAAAATGATGATAAATGATATTTCATTGCAAATTAAAAACAAATCAACTTTATATTTAATTGATTATGTAAAATAAAAAAATACTATGTGCACAAAACTTCTCATAAAAAATAAGATGCAATAACATCGCAAAAATTGCTAACTTATCAAAGCAGGATATGTCAAAATTAAATACAAACAGATGTACATAACAGATATATCTGCGCTAAATCAGTCTGTTACACATTTATTATACAAGATATTTCTTGTTTATTTTGCTCTCGTATGCTGCGTATATACGCACACAGCATCATTTTTCAATCTATATTAAGATCATCTCCGCCTCGCATATTGACACGTCAATCGAGGAAGATTTATTATTTTAATGAAGATTATTATATTGGAAAAAAATATTTTAGTTTAAATTACTCGGAAATACGAAAAACAAAGACGACGAAAGAAATTTTTTTTCTTCTTTCTCTAATTTCTAAAATTTCTACAAATAATTTACTTAATTATTTAATAATTAATTCAATTATTTAATAATTTACTTAATTAGTAAATAATTTACTTAATTTACTTAATTTCCATAAATAATTTATAATGTAATCAGATAAACGTATAATTATATCTTAATTTCAATTAAAAATTTATATTTCGAATTTTTGCAATTTTTTTGCATCACTGTATATTTCGCGATTAATAAACAGTAATATACACAGTAATATTTCACATTGCAATACAAAACTTTATACATGTATGCATAACTATCGATAGAGGAATTTGTGTCTTACATAACTAGTTGGATAAATTTTATCTATATATGAGTGTCTTGCATAATAACGCGAGATTAAAACTCGCGCAATATTATTCAAAATTGTAAATTAACTTACATTTAAACTAAAAGAGCACATAATGTTGTATAATTTTTGACGATTTAATTTTGGATATTAAATAACACATAAATAAGCGATATAAATTTCAATATTAAATGTTAGAAAGTAATGTAATTTTCAGAAAGTAAAAATCCATAAAAATCAAAGATTAAAAATCTCGTGTCAATTTCAAAAAATAATTTTGACTATGATAAATTTCGATATACACAATTATTACTTATACGTTTTCTCTATATAGAAAATTTCTGTGGACAGATATTTCAATATTATTAGACACGAGAATTAGACATGTATGTGTGATTGAACAGAGAGCGAAAGAGAGAGACAGAGAAAAGGAGAGAACGAGAGAGATGTTAATATGCACGTTAAAATCGGTAAATAATCATAATGACAAATTTTAATCTCAAATTAAATTTGTCATGTTAGTATTGTATGTAATGCATGAATTTAAATTTTTTATGCATATTAAATTATTTTGAACGTCAGTATTTTTACAAAAACAAGTTGATGTAATAATAAACAATGATAATAAAACTTTCAGAATATATAACAGTAACTTTATCATAATAGTTGTATCATCAATATTGGCGTACACAATTATCTTTTATATACATCTCTTATATACGTGTTATTACGTAATAAGAGACTCTCTTAGTCAGATGCTCGTTAATACTCGTATTTTTTGAAATCTCTCTCTCTAAAATTAATATTAATAAAAATATCACTTTATCAACTTTTGTAATAAAAATAAAACATGCAAAAATAAAAAAAGATGTACAATAATAGGGACATATTTTTTAGACTATCGTTTAATAAGTCAAAGTATCACATTTACAATTATACACACACATACACATGTTATCACTTGATTTTTTAAATTCCTAAGTTTATAAAAATTGTATGCATATTGATGTTAATCTTCGTACGATTTTAATTTCAATGTAGGTCAAAGGAAGTGTAATGCTTGAATCAAAGAAAATTAAAATGATTAATAATAATTAATAAAATTATTTATATCTAATTTTCTAAATGTATTCTATCGCTATTTTACTTAAAATTAGACTTTAATGCTAAAAATACACTGTTTGGAATGTTTTATAAAGCGTGCTACTTTTATAAAAAAAGTCAAAAATTTGATGCTAATCTAAAAAAATAATTCGAATGATTTTATTCGCAAACATCCCATAATTAGATCAATATAAACTGTCAAGTACACATCTGTAATCTCGCTTTAACAAATATAAATATAAATTAATAAAAATTAATATAAATTAATGTAAAAAAATAACAAAAAGACGTGACACTCTTTTTAAATTTGTAATTAATTTACTTTTCTCTATTCAATCTACATCCACAGTTTTTAGTAACAGTGTTATCAAATGCAAATGTTTAACCATTTATTATTTATTATCTAATATACTATATTTCCATTGTACTATGTATTCGCCTTCTTACGTCATAGACTTTTTCACGATTCTATATTATCATTACTTTACGATACACGGACAATACAGGAACATTTTAAGTGTCACGCTTAATCGAATTTTAATTATTACAATCAGTAATTCCTCCCTTTCGGAAAATAATTTTGCGAGCAAAGAGAGGGGCGGGTCGAACACACAAAGCTTCAAAAATGTGGAAGGCGAGCTTTGGGACATATATGAAAAATGCTCTGTAAAATGCAAAACACTATTTTTGAAACTCACCCCAACTGGCGCCGGTACGCCCTAAGAACTGTCCCGTCTCGGAGTTCCAGAGGAAGACCCGGAAGCCCTCCCATTTTCCGAGCTTCGGCGGCGGCATGTAAAACTGCTCGACCTTCTTGCCCTCCATGTTGCTCTATACGACGACAATTTCCCGATGGATAATCGCGCGAGAAAGGGTGAGCGATGAGGAAAAAAGGGCGGGATTCTATTCAGGAGACGAACGAGGCAGAAGATACGAGTGCAGAAACTGCCAGCTGCCAGTCCGCGCGCGCGTCCTGTGATTCCCCTCGTAGGCTGAGGACTTCCTTCCTTCGGCGCTCCTCCGGAACGACGCTCGGCGGCCGCGATCGAACAGCTCCGCGGGCGAGGGCGCAAAGGAAGGAATGGTCGATTCGTCGTGCCCCCGTCTCTGGAGGAGTCGCGCTGCTCTCGGGCGGTCCCGTCCGGCGAGGGGTTGAATATTGAGCGATCGAAGCTGGCCCAAGAGAGCTTTTCAGAGCGCGTGCACACCGCTCTCCCTTCTCTCTCTCTCTCTCTTTCTCTCTCCCCTCTCGCGATGGAAAGACCACCTCCCGCGTCACCGCGGTCTCCCGCCCCTCCACGGTGCACCCTTTACGGCGCCGACGTGACCACGCAGACGCGTCAATACGCGATTTCTCCTTAACACCCCTTTGCATCCCTCTTCGCGAATCCACCAAACCAGGTGGCTCCGCTAGCAATGGCGGCCGACCACCGTGATCCACACGCTTCCACCCTTCTTCGATCCTCCCCTCCTACCGACTTTCGCCCTTTCGATCGACCCTGTCCCGTGATATACGCGATTGCTCGCAGAGAAGCTTACGCGACGCGATGCGCAGCGGACTCGCGTATGCGTGCTCAAGTCTCTCGTAAATAGGTGGACGTAGAGAGGAAAGAGAGGGAAAATGTTAAAGATAGAGAGGGATAATAGAGGCAGAGATAACGGGTCACGTGGAGCACGCGATCGCCACGGTAGCCCGAGAGACAATGATTCGCGATAGTCGTGCCTTTTCTGCTCCGATTTTCAGCTGCCGTTGCGGCTATCACATCCGACGATAAAAATTAATATAGCATACGATATCTTTCGACGAATATGTCGATGTAGCGCTTAGTAAGTTTAAAGAATATGCTCGAATGCTGCGCGTGGTATATCTCGCAATATATTGTTATTATTATTAGAACCGTCTTAAAGAATAAATTCGAATTCAATCGTCATTAATTTTAATGATAGTACGATTAATCAATTTTAACGATATATAATTACGAGTAATGTAAACAGTGATTTGAAGAGCTAATAAATTGCGAATTTAATCAAAATGTCAAAATTATATTGCGAATGAATATCCTTGATAGTTCCTTCTAAGGACCGCTAAAAACTAATTAGCTTCATAAATTTTTTCATTACAAGCTGAATGTGAAAAAAGCTACAGATTAGCGGCGATACAACTGTTACATAATATATCCAGCGACATTGAGGTCATTGATAAAATATATAATAATCAGTCGAAAATTGATCGAACAATTCGTGGATTCTTTCATGATAAATAATTGTTCTAGAGAGACAATAGAATTTAATAATTTTAACTTAATTTAATTTAATAATTTTTAAACAATAAGACTTTTGTTCCTCCGAGAAGATATACACATGTCTATATTTTTAACGCAACATCGCTTCATATTAGACTCGTGATGCAAATATACCTATTCATTCGTTATCCGGCATTTCTTCTTACTTTGCAAGAATTCGATGTTACAAAAAATAAATCATTTTTGAAAATCTTAAAATTTTTTTCAGATTTTACATATTTTTACGAAATTAATTTTAAAACCTAACTCTGTCCGACACGAACATGCAGTTAGGTCTGGAATATATTTTTGCAATAACTTTACTTGTCTTTTCGTGTGAAAATTAAATTTGATTTTTTTAAATATAATTTATCGATAATATATATTTTTTTATATTGTATCACAAATTTTTTATAAACATTTAGTTGCTCGTAAAGCCACATTTGAAGCCACATGTTCTAAAAGTAGGAAAAATGTATTTGTATGATATACTTATTATTACTATAAAGTAATGATACGAATTACCAGATTTTCTCACCATATGTTTAACTAACTTTTGTTTTTTTTTCTAGAATGAGAAGATTGTTGGTCTTTTTTAAATCGATAAAAAATTTAAATACGCAAGTTTTCTTTCGCTTTCTATCATCTACATGTCTAATTTCTACATATATCTATTGTTTTAAAGTTTTAGTAAATTCAATGACGTAAAAGAATAAAAAAAGGATTTTAGCGAGCAAAAAGATTATTAGTTGACATATAAAGTACATTTAGATATCCTCAATAATATAATTACGTTTACAGGAATATAATTACATTTAAGTATTCGAAAAAGATTAAATATATGTTAACAATAAGTTATATATGTGTGTATATATATACACATATATACAGTATATTATATGTATACATATATACACACACGCGCTTAAAAGTAAGGCTTTCTTATCTCTTTAAAAGAGTGCGTCCTTAAAATTCTAGATTTTTTTCTTTTTTATTTATATATACTTTTATTATTTTTATTATACACATCTTGTACTCCCTTTACATTCTTGTGACAAATGCATAATCTAATCTAGAGTGAGTTTCTTTTTTCTTTTCTTTTTGATTGATCTTTTCCTATAAATGTTTCTTTTAATTTATCCATATTCACAAGTTATAAACAGTAATATGCATTATTCACAATGACTATACAAATTTTATTCGACACACTTTGTTGATACATATTTAACAACGGACGTAATCACCTGCCTTAACGCTCGAGAAGTCAAAGCGATTATTTTGATCTCTATCAAATTTTTAACCAAAAATCTCGATATTATTTGATAGAGCCTTGTACTCTTTTTTTTATTTCCAGCCATTGTGTTGTGCTCTTACGTTTTGCGGTTCTCGACAGTTTTTAATACTGGAACGCGCGATTTAAATTAATCAAAATGACGATGTCAAAACGACATTATCAAAAAACGCAATATAAATATCAAACTCAATGTCGAAATATTATATTGACTTTGCTTCGATGTTCTAATTATATTTTTTTTTAAATCAAAGAACGCGAAGATCAAGCTCACTTTCTCTCTATCTTTCTAATAACTTGAATGTATATACATATATGACAGCCGTTCTTCTAACATTCTTGTAATTTTTAACAGTAACAGGAACTGCAACATTTAATGCCCAATCTTTAATCCTTTTAAAAAATCTGATGCCAGTTTTAGCAATAGGCATATGTTAGAGCAACGTCTTTCCAGGAACGGCATTTCACGGCTATTTTTCTTTGCAGAGGAATTTACTCAAAATGTGAAGACAAAAAAATGCTGCATGCAAAAACAATAAAAAATGATTAAAGTATATAATGAATGTCTAAGAGTTATCTGGTATCTTTTAATCACAGTTTCTATGATAAGCTAAAAAAAGTGAGAGTGAAAAAGAAATTCTTTCTAATACTACTAATACATGATATGAGATTTTATATTTGACGTTAAACTACTTTGTTTCCATCTTTTTTATAATATTAAATATCTCTCTTGATAATATACCTCAGCTTTGTTCAAATAAATTTATACTTTAAGATTTTATTATCTGTTCACACACACACACACACACATCTTTCTGATTGAATTCGTCAAATACTTTCAACGCAATATTAAAAAATTTTTCATATAATACATTGATTTTTAAACATCGCCATTTTTTCTAATTTAATTTTTGATGTAGAAAAACAACTCTATTGTCTTTCCGAGACATTTAATATCTGAACAATAATTTAAAGAAACAAGGTAGTCAAAAATTTAAAAGTAAATTTGCTAATGTGTTCAGTGATTCTTTTTGTATTTATGATTTTTTGGTGAATGCGAATGATTTATGATCAGTTTTCCGTAAATTGTCGAACGAGTTCTACTTCTGACATGATTGTAACGAAATAAAATGATGTAAACTATCCAAATTTTAACAATCGAGAAAAGAAATATATGGCAATAAAAAATATGTCATCTTCTAAATGGAACTTATAATAATATAGTCGAGTATACAAGATGTTTCATGACTTAATTTTAATAATGGATTTTCTGATCAATTTCTAGTCGACTTTTTCTCAAGAAAAATGTCCAGAGAAAAATTATCATTACACATTTCCTGTAAATTTCCGATTTATCTTTGTAATTAAGTTTCACAAATAAAAATAATATTAAAATAAAGTATATCTAAATTATTAAAGTATGCGATTTTATTAGCTATTGCATTTTTCTTGAAATTTATATCAAAAATTTTTTCTTACAATTTAAAAATTATCGATATTTGGATATTTTTATTAGAAAAAAGTCGATTAATTTGTCAGAGAATCTATCGTTTAAATTAAAGTCACAGAGATCGTACATAAACATAAAATTTCTTTAAAAAAACATTTATCATCTTTAAATTCTATCTTAATTTTCCGTTAAAAGACATTGAATCCTTAATTAGTCAAGCGTCTCTATTTTAGTGTCGCATTTCTAATAAGCAATTTCATTGCAACGTTAAATATAAAGGATTTAATGAAAATACATTTACGATAATAAAAAAGAAATGCGAATTCCGAATCGACTGAAAAAGCTTGTTTGCAGCGTATTTGCAAATCACAAAACCTCGATGGACATTTGATATTAAATATTTTTTATTTTTTTAATGATTCCTTATTTTTCAATTTGTTATACGTAGGAGATCGTAATATAAACATGAAATGACAAAATAACATTATTTCATTATTGTTTGCACAGCTATAGAATAAATGATCTTTTACTGACAATCTATGATGATTAAACAAAATGCATTACTTTAACACACGAAATTTATTTGATTTCTTTCTATCGTTCATGACAGCCGGTGTAGTTTGATTTCATCCTATATAAGACTTGCATAACAAGTTGACGATTTAAAAAATAATTAAATAAAATCTGATTTTATATTTTTCTCAGAAAATGTCCGATATCTTTTTTTGGCTTTTCGTCAACGCTGTATAGTAGCATTTTCATTATTTCCATAATTTTCCCTCTTTCCCCATCTTTCAGATTTCTGCTTATATAACTAATATTTTTCAACTATCTTGAAGTTCGTGCTTATACTTTGTTTTTACTTTTTTTTAACCATTTTTTTAATCACCATTCGTACGAGAAAATATATGATTTTATGAGGCGGAAAAAATTTTCATCAAGTTCCGACTTGACCACATGCAAAGAGTTCGAGCTGTGCATTGCATCGTTGATAAAAGTCAACTTTAATGCCCGATTTCACCAACCGCATTTAACTTTAAACTTAATTTAACTCAATCTTTGTCTCTTTCTAAAGAAACAGTTAGAAAGAGACAAAGAGTGAGTTAAATTAAGATTAAAGTTAAACGCGGTTGGTGAAATCGTGTGTAAATGCATCAGCAACTGTTTGTTAGTTGGCTGCCACGTTTGACTATATGTTAACTTTATTCTGCGCATTTGCTTTCTAAAAAAAAATTCATTGCATCAACCAGTGTGTTGCAGCTTTGGTTAATTAACTCATTTCGTTTTCCGTATTATCAAAACTCGCATAATGTATGTAATCGCAAAGAATTATGTTTTCAAACCTCTATCACAAAGCGCGCAGATGTATTATACACTTCTATATTAACTTAAGAACTAAATGAAAGATCTCATGAGTGTCTTCTTAAGAAAGGATGAAGGAATAAAACTTATGTATTTTTATAGTTTCGAAGTGTAGAATACATTGTACATCTCTCATTGTTAATCCAATTTGAAAAAAAATATCTTGAAATCTGCGTAAGAATCTGTACTTCCTAAGAATCTGCAGTTCTCAAGATGTTAACGGCGCGGAAAAAATCGCTCTTCATTTTCCTGTTTTAAATAATAATTCTATAATATGGACAGAGATACAGAGGAGGGAAAAAGATTGAGATTAACCACGCTTAATCACACTAAAGTTGCTGCAATCAAACGCGTAAAAAAAAAGGTTTCACGCTTGATTCCGCGTTCAGACACCGGTGATCGGTCATAAAAGTCGTATAAAATAGCTTCAAATGCACGTGCAATCGCATGACTACTCGTGTATAAATAATAATAATAATAATAATAATAATAATAATAATAATAATAATAATAATAATAATAATAATAATAATATAATAATAATAATAATAATATGAGAATCGCCGTCTAGCTACAACTATCAGTAAGATAAGAAACGAATTGTGAGCAGCAGAGACATATGTATAATTACGAACTATATATTATATATTACATATACATATTTTTTTTATATATATTCGTAGTATATATATAAAATATATAATATATATTTCGCGCATATCTTTACACATTCACGCACACGTGTACGCGGAACAAACATACATAAGAGCGCAACAGCGGCTCTAGGTGATCGAACACTTTTGGTTTCTTGTTCACTCTTTTCCTGTATTTTTTCTGCCTCTTCTCAGTTTCTCTTCCGTTTAGTTTATATTTTTTCTCTGCCTTTTGCATTCTATCTTTTTCTCACATATACACATAGACATATTCGCACGCGACGTTCACACGCGACATTCGCACGCGACATACGCACACACACACACACACAATATGTCTATCTCACATATATATTATACGCTTTTTCTTTTCACACGTCATAATCAATTCATCGCGCGTGTAAGAATTGAGAAAAATATATGTACATAAAAATGTCGTGGCGCAGTGGCGATAGTAGAAGTAATATAGTTTAATAGTAGTGATAATAACAGCATAGACATAGTAGAAGTAAAAGTATCGATTGCTAAATATAGTCGAATCTGATATAGTTCTCGCTTCCTTACCCCTGTTTGGAGCACAATGTATCCTTTATCCATTCTTCGCATGTTCTCTTACAGTTAATCGTTAAGAGAACAATTTAAGGCTAGGAGAATAAGAGACCACTGCAGAGATTGGGAGTCATAGCGATAAGTAGCTCACAGGTATGTATGTCGCCAGAAGGACGCGAGTCATTATTTAAACCCAAAAACCTTTCAAAATGTCCTACGGTAAAAGAAACACAGACAAGACATTGTGTTCCAGTATGTATGGCGCGATCTTTCGATTATTTCTCGTGTTTTTTTTCGCCTCTGCTCTTCCTTTGTACACAATACATTACTATATCCTATTTTTACATAATATTAAATTACTTTGCGATCACACTATCATACATAAGAACTTGCAAAAGATATACCCGGTACCGTGAATCGCGAAACATTCTCGGTTAGAAAAACTTCGTCGCTGTCGTGCTTGGCATCGGAGTCATTGTCACCGTCATCGTCAGTGTCAGCGTCAATGTCAGCATTAGCATTATCGTTATCGTCATCGTTATCATCCTGATTGCATGATAGGACGTTGAGATAAATTACCGAGAACTGAAATGAGGAACGGTAACGGTTATCATCTCGCAACGTCTTAAATCGGTGCACATTGGTGACATACTGGTGGTAATGATTAGAATGACAGTGATGGTGCTGCTGCTGGTAGTGGTGGCGGTGTTGTTTTTTATGGTGATGATGGTGTTGGTGATGACGATGATGGCAATAGTTGCGGTCATAGTGGCGGTGATCATTGTGACGAGTGGTAGCGGAGTGGTCCGTGGCAGGGGATCACTTGTCGGAACTCGGGCATTCCCCGGGCTGCTTCATTATTGTATAATCCAGTCGGTATTGGGCTGAAATTAAAAGGATTTCGTCTTCTTTCGTGATGACAATTCGTGAACGATTGAAACTTGCATTCAGTACTTATGTGCCATAACAAGTGTGCAATCAACTATGAGAAAATCCTAGCTCAATCCTATTTTTTTGTCAATTTTTAGTAATTTTTTCCTTATTTATAATTTCTTTGTAACTTCGTATAAATTTTTAATTTTGAACGTTAGCTATCTTATACAGTAACTGAATCTTAAATTGAGATTTTGTCAAGATAAAGTTCACTGAATTAATTTGTGAAAAGTAAAATTTTATATTATACATATGAGGCAAAGATCAGAAGCGTAGTTTACGAAAAACCTTTCCTTCACACCTAACACAATCCATTCAATTGTAGGAGGACGTACCTTTCTTCGTGAGGTCCTCCATTGTTTGATCCTTGCAGTCTACCGCGAGATGACTACTACTACCGCAGTTGTAACAAGAGATCTTTGTTGGCGGGATCACCGCCGCCGCCGCGTACGTCACCACCGACGTGGGCGGCATATACGACGCTTGCACGGGCGTCGCGGCAGCCGCCGCGTTTGGTGGCGGCGGCGGCGGCGGAGTACTACCGGACGCGGCAGCGGGATGCCCCGTGTACGAGTACATGATCTCGCCATTCGGTTGGTACGCCGCCGGGTAAGCTGGTCGCGCGGATGGACCATGCAGGAAGTTGGAGTAGATACCGCTGTTACCGGGCCGCAACGCAGCTGGGAAAGCGTGACCGTGTGGTAAATACGCCAGCTGCGAATGCGTCGGCGGCGCCGGGAAGGAGACGCAGTGCGGTAGACTCGGAGGTCCGCCGTTGTTCCCGTTGTTCCCGATGCCATTCAGTATCCCTTGGCTCTTATGTCGCATCGTGCGCGTCGTATTCTTCCTGGTGAGTTGTCTGCTCTCCGGTGGCACCGACGACTGCATCGGCTGTTGGGATGTCGATGCCGACGCGATATGCGAGAGCGGCGCCGTCGCTGTCGAATGCACCGAATTCATGTGATCGGTGACAGGCGGCGCAACGTTATTATTGTCGCTGCCGACCCATGGCGCGGCTGGTGGTGTTTCCGGAGGTGATCTGCTACCGGTGCTATCGGAACTACTGCTCTGAGAACAATGTAGACTGCTCTCGGAGTCGAGCCGCAGCGCTTGCATTCGCGCAAGGCAGTACATGTGCTGAGCATTGCATCTGAAATATATGAGATGTGTGTCTCAGGAAAGTCATCACTATCACACGTGTATCTCCTTTAATTAAAGTTAAAGGTTAAATATGTTTTCCAATTAAGTTTTGCATTGGATTTTAATTAAAGTTTGTATAATACCTTGAAAATCGATTTTGCATTCCAGCTACTGGTACAGTGAGACAAGCGTAACACGATGAATTCTGAGCTGTATACATCTGTGGCGGAGCAGGATACATTTGTATTTGCGCGGGATCTATCGACGGCATGGGATAACGCCGTAAATTTGGAGTAGTTACGTGATTTTGATAATTATGCATCGCTGGATGTTGTTCTTGTTGTAACGGTATCGATTTCCCGCTTGAATTATTGCTATCACCTAAGATCTCCATACTTGGCATAACCTGTATGACAAAATAAATGACACTTAGAAAACTTATAAAACACTTATAAAACATTGAATAGTGTGATGAACGCCATAAATTTACAAATTGTCAGATTCTACAGCTATGTAAATCGCATTTATAATTTTAATCTTTTTAAACAAAAAAATATATTTAAAGCTTGTCAAAATAAAATAAAAGAAAATGCATAAAAACTGGAACTTAATTTGCATAATATTCTCTATTTTCAGTTAAAACTTGAGAACTATAATCTGCTTCTCAACTTTAAGAAAAAATCATAATTCAAATTCTAATCTTTAAAGTAAATTAGCATATATTACAACATATATTTTTTATGAATCTTACATACATGAATCTTATGCACATGAATCTTACTTCGTTCTCGATTGTCTCAGTAACTGGGTGCGCGGTATTGCTAGTATTGTCCAGCTTCTTATCCACTGAAATCTGATTTAAGCCGTTGGTTTGACTCTTGACTATACTTCTCAATTGTCCTACCGCGTTCGATGTCAAGCCGATATCCCTCAAATCTTCGTCACTCAACCTACTGATCTGTAATCCATACATATCGATAATTTAATTTTAAATTGTACACGTGAATTGTACGCGTGAATGTACATAATCTGTGAATTTGACATTTTGTGTGACGACAGCAATAAAAAAAATACAATTTTCCTTACTTCGTCGAGAGAAAAGTTTTGCAGGTTGCTCTTAAAGTTCGGCATCTCCTTGCCCAAAGTCTCCCGGAGAGAATCGCCGGAATTAGATGACCTGAGTCGTGGCGGTGGCGGTTGTTTCGATTGGGTTGCCGGAATCAGGGTGGACGATGGAGCGTTGTCGACAGAGTTATGCCGAGAGAAAGTCGACGTACTCGTAATAGGCAGAGGGACGGGCCGCGACGACGGGAGTAACGGCTGTTGACTAGGAAGACTTCTGCTTGCTCCGAGCGCTGGTAGAAGTGGTAGAGAATTGTTGTTGTTGTTATTGTTGTTGTTACTGCTATTACTACTGTTGTTACTGTTGTTGCTATTGATAGTGTTCGAGCCGGAGATACTCGTTTGACTATTGGAGCCGCTCGACGATGTCGTGAGAGTATTCGAGGTGGACTGAGTCACTTGCGAAGACGAAGTGCGCGGATTGATGTTATTCCTGTTGCGACCCATCGGCGAGTTGCTGCGACTAGGAGATCGTGATTGGGACGGCGAGGACTGGCGGCTGACTAAGGGAGAAGGTGGATAAGCCAACATGTCGCCAGTGTGATACATCAACTGGTTTCCCATCATAACCTGACCTGTCCACGCTGGCGGCATATGGTTCATAGATGGGAAACCGAGATGAACGTATTGGGTACCACCGGATCCCATAGGCATTTGTTCCGGGCCGGGCAGGCATAATCCTGGAGGAGGTATCGTAAGGCCAGGTGGCATTCCAGTGACCATAGCATTTCTCATTGCGATTTCTCCTGTAAGCAATTACATCATCATGTTAATATATATACTGGATCAATTTTAAATTTAAATAACCTTGTAGATTAATGAAATCAATTTATCTTATTGCATTTCAAGTAATTTTTTCTTAGAGATAAAAGAGATAAAGATCTTTATAATATAAAAAGAGATAAAAGAGACAAAGATCTTTATAATATAAAAAAGCTTATCTAGAAATAATAATTAAAAATAGTAAGTCTAAAATAAAAATTATTATAGTGATACTTTTAGTTGCAAAAAGATTAAATTATTTATGATTAATTCTTATTATTACAGTATATATATATATATATATAAATATATATATATATATATATATATATATATATATATATGAAACAGAAAAAAATGCAAACTACTGATACAAAATACTAATATATAACACATTGAATAAAATTACTAATATATAACACATTGACACATCATTGTAACTAATTCTCCTTAATAAATTTAAATTACTGAGATGATTAAGTAAAGATATGTTCAATTTACAAAGTGTGTTAAAAAAAAGTTTTGATCAAAGTTCAATTTACAAAATGTTTTATTTGATTAATCAATTAGAGGAAAGAAATTTTTGCTCTTTTTAATTGATCAATTGTTATTGTCAATGCTCTTTAAATTAAATAAGAAAACAAAAATAATCAAAAAAGAGAAAAAAAAATAGTCTTGGTTGCGCTAAAGTTGCGTTTAGTTCTTATCACTTAGTACGTCTCCTTGCGTCCTATGTGCAAGAGTTCTAATTGTATTTTATTAAATGTATTTCTTCCAAGTTAATAAACATTTAAAATGCACGAAACATAGCATACCATGATAAGACTGCATCGGCGGTGGTGGCATTAAACAGCTACTCGGGATTTCAGGCTCCATTAGCCTCTCATTCGTGCTCATACACGGTGTACAGCCCTAAATTTAAATTATATATTAAATTATGTACATATTATATTTCCATAAGATATATTTCTCAATCATCAATTTCCAATTTTGTCTAAAATTATTATCAAATTAATATATATATATATATATATATATATATATATATATTTTTTTTTTCCTTACATAAAATGTTATAAACTTTTAAATAAATAAATTAACCAAATTAATGATATAATAATTTACAATATTAACTTAAGTATTTTAAGATTATTAAATTCATTAAGAAATTTATAGATTTATAATTATTATCAAAAGTAAGAGAAAAAAACAAATAACATATATGTTTTTTTCTTTCTGTTACACTTGACAATAACTACAAACTAATATATATTAATATATACTAATATATATTACATAATTCTATAAAATTTCAATCATTATTTGCCGAAAATAAAAAATAATGATTTACAAAATACCGAATATACAAAGTAGTGAATGAAAGACAAAATATGTCAATCTGCATAAATATCTAAATAAGCATAAATATTGATGACTATTTTTTTTTCATGAAAAAAGAAAAAAAAAGAAAAGATGGAATATCATACATTACTTGTGTCGGTTTAAAAGAAGAGTTTATCTTTGAAAAATTCAGACGAGCTTCTTCCTCTTGGAGTTTGATGAATATATTGCCAAAGACGCTCTTCTGCTCATACGTGAAGGCCGGATGATTCAGTGCCATCGTATACAGCAGCAGCAACTCTTCCAGAGGTTGATCATCCACGTTAAAGGTGGTTCCATTTATTAGGTTGGTGATCTCTTGATGATCGAGATTCGATAGATTTTTATACAGAATCACCGCGCAAGCGTAATTGCAGGAATGCAATAGCGCCATGTAAAGAGCCAGTTTTCTTCGGGTGCGTTTATCTGTCACGCTGGAGGTTGTCAGTTCGGCCACATCCGAGGTGTTGTTCGCATGGTGCTCCGTGTCGCGCAGGTCATTATAGTCCCGCTTGCCGATCTCCTCGACGCACGTGCCAAGGTATCGTACTTCGAACGGCAAGCACATGTTCAGCAATGTGCACATCACATCGATACGTTTATAACTAAACAAATAAAAATGATATAGATTAGTATAAAATATAATATCATACTTAACAATCTTTATGCTGTTACTTTAAAGTGGCAACTTTAAACATTAACATAAAACATTAACATAATTAACATAATTTTAATTATCTCAATTCTATTTTTGTCCCTCCCTCGAATGAACTCTTTATTGTGTAAGTTTGAGAGACTGTAAATAGAATTATCTATTTTGTATCATCATTAAACATATATTTTCTATAATTATATATATTTTAATTTTAGTATAAAAAATTATTAATAATTATTATTAAATATTAATTAGTTAATTCAGTAGTTCATTTAGAAACTAAGAAATGAGTTATAAAACTTGAATAATGTAGGGGACATTATACTTTTAAACTTGAAAATTTTATGATATTTGTAATTTTCATGATATTTATAGATTTTTATCATCTCAAATATCTTTTGAATATTTTGTTTTTACATTCATTTTGTTCAGGATCTGACCTTTTTGCTCCATTTTACTTTACTTCAAACTATTATAAAAAAAGAAAATAAAAATAAAAACATGTTGTATCTAAAGAGATATTTAAATCTATTCCAAATATACACATATTCCTCTAGGTACAACAATCTCTTTTTCAAAATCTGAAATTTATAAAGAAATCAGAAAAAGAAGATATAATTTTATCAATATATAATAAATAATAATTAAAATTACATAGAATCTAAAAATATGTATGAATTTGTTATGCAGATTTTTTTAAAGACTATAGAAGAGATATATTAACAAAAAAAAATATTCATTAAAAATAAAAGAATTTTGTCTAGATAAAAATCAATATATAACTGGAGCATTTTGTTACACAGATTGCAAACAAATAGTGATTATTAATTTTAAACCTTTTACTATTAATTAAAAAAACAATTAACATACACAATATGTTTCTAGGTACAATAAAAAATATATGTTTCTAGAGTACAATAATGTTCTCTATTTGTAATAATTTAATTTTCTGTCATTTAAAAAATTAACAGTCCCATATATTTTATCTCATATCACGTTCTAATTTACATCTATATATATTGCAATATGGCTGTCTTATGCAATCATTGATAGTTGTAATATCATGCACTAATGCAAATCATTGAAATGCATTCAAAATTAAATATAAATCATTATTCGTATCAAATTGCATTTTGTCAAAGTAGGAAAATGCTGGAGAAGTTGAAAGATTCTCATAAATATATAACTTAACGCATTTTATTTTAATCTTTATCAAAAATTTTCTTAGTTTTTTAAATTTATTTTATTTCAATTTTTACAAGTCTAAATATATAATATGCATAGATAAATGCGACAATAGTATCCAATAAAGGTATATATTTCCTTATTATTTCTTAAAATTTTTCATATTTTACTTTTTATTTTTATAATTAAATTAAAATTATTAATGTATAGCATTAGGAACAATTTGTGCGACAAACTTGTGGTATATGACAAATACCACATTATTGAATTTTATGTTACACATAATATATGTACACATTGATATCTAATAGAAATTATATCGACAAGAATTTACATATTTTAATTAGAAGAAAATATTTAAAGAACAATTTAGAGTTTGGTTAACAAGTGCAGAGATCAATGAAATCAATGTGAAAGGAATAAAAAGTAATTTTTCATGACCAAAATAGTCGCTTCGTACAAAAAAATATAAAACTTACGAGACGACAAGGACGAGAACGAAACAAATGTCCAGTTCGCATCAAGGAACATTAGCCGACAATATAATCTAGCCGGAAGCTTGATACATATTTATACATTTTCGACAATAGCGAAAGAACATTATCTAAGGACTTGTAACGATACACGAGACAAAATGCAATTCGAGAGCGTGATAGGTATTCTGGCGTAACGTGATTTAGGCCAGAGAGCGGATCGTCCTCTGGCGTACCAGGGGAACAAATACACTACAGGGTACGCGGCGCCGAGGCCCTCGACGCCTCGCGGGTCGTGTGACGGCGACGACGCGTCGACGGTTACGCAAAATTACTCCTGAAATATCTCGAGGAGGAAGAATCGTCTCGTTGCGTTGCGTCGCGTCGCGTCGCGTCTCGTCTCGTCTCGCATCATCTCGTCGCGTCGCGTCGCGTCGCCTCGCGTCGCGACGCCTCCTCCCGATGCACGCATTACCTGGACAGATTCCCAAACCATGATACCACGTTCTCCTTACACACCATTGCCAGACAACATTGATACCACTTGGGTGGGAGGAAAGTGTGGAGTGATGGAGCGGACAGTCAGCGGGCGGCCTCTCCTCTCTCTCTTTCTCCTATTCTCTCTCTCTCTCTCTCTCTTTTTCTTTCTCTCTATCTCTTCGCTCTCGTTCTTGCTGACAATCGAGTCGTTTGCGAACGAGAACCGTCTCACGAGCGTGCGATGACACTCGGGGTACGACGGTGATCCACGGCTGGTCTCCCCGAGGGCGCACAGTGGTAGCGATGGCACGTCGCGCCGTCAAGTGTCCACATTCGCGGGAGCAGGCACGTCGTACGTCAGAGTCGGATACGGTGGACTTTGCGCGGCGACTCGACGACGGGACACCGGTCCGAGAAGGGGCCGATCGAAGGAGAGAAGGTCGACGAGCGAGCGCTGGTCGCGATCGCTGTCCGTGCGGGACGGACGGACCAACGGACACGTTCTCGCGTTCTCGCGACGAGGAAACGCGTCAACGGCCGCGCGCGCTCCGGCGTTCCTCCCCCGTTGGCTCTCACCCGTTGGTAGCTTCCCTGCGGCTACCGTATCCTCGACTCTGAGAGCGAATAAACACGTCTTTTGTCTCGCACGATATATGGGATATATATTCGTCGCCGTACACTCTCGCTGCGATAACTAGCGAATTCGCTCTTTCTCTCCCCCTCTCCCTCTGTCTTTCCTTCTCTCCCTCTCTCTCTCGCTCGCTCTTTCGCGAGATGCTACCACGAATAATGCATCGGGCAATCGAGTCGCGAGACCGTTCATATGCTCAGTGTTCGAAAAGACATCGGATCGACGCGAGTAAAGTGACGTTCTCATGTCACGACGACGAACGCGAGTCTAGTAAGTTACTAGAAATTTATTGTAACTGGACAAATCCCTCGAGACGAGATCCCTCTCGTGTGAATGACGTCATGAATCATGTGTCGGCCTCGTGCTCAATTGCTGTAAATATAAGCGTTTGTTGGTGTTCCGAATAAATTATTAATTCTTTTCTTTACATATGATTAATGTTTTTTTTTTAATATATATATAAAGAAGAAACATATGTATTATTCATTTCATAGACTTGTCTCCTATTATTTTTTTTTAAAGAATCTAATGATATTCCTCATATATACGCGATTATTAGAATTGACAGAAAACATCTGATAGAATAATGCTTACATTTGCGCATGCGCGAGTTTTGTCTAATCTAGTAACACTGTTCATATAAATATCCGCGCGTGGCGTGCATAATGATTGTCAGTGTGCTTGTAAACTTTGATAGTTTACGAGAAAACCAGTGCTAAAATCTTTTTGGAAGGATATTTGTATACATAAGGAAAGTGTTTAAAAATCTTATAGAAATTAATATTTCCATGAAAATTAATATTATTTTTCTTTATCAATATCCTTATAAAGATTAATATTATTTCTTTAGTAATAATTCCTGTTTGTTGTCCACAAGAATAAAATAAAGTATACAATAACTGAAAACTTTCAAAAAAACTTAATTTTTATATATGAACTCTTCCAAAATGATTTTATCATTGAGTTAGAATTGTGATTTAGAAATGCTAATCCCTTTTTTTTTATGCAAACATTATTCAAAAGTGGAGCATATTCATTTAAAAAAAAATTATGTGCTAAAAAAACAAATTATTACAATCTTAGATATATAAAGAAGTTACATAACATTATAAAACAAACCTGTTCCATAAATTGCATTTTGGAAATAGGCTTGAAAACAATTCAAAATTTGATCATTTCGAATTATCCATTATCCTAAATTTTTTGTGTTTATTCATTAATATTGTATTATCAAGAGTCCCTGTATTGATTACTTCCAGATTCCTTAATAATTATCACTTTCCTTTTTGTGTTCTTTCTATTTGCATTTCTTACGTAATCACATTGAACATTTTAAAAGTTAGTGAAAAACAAAGTATCTTAGAGCAATAGATCTCGAGCAACTTCCATCCACAATGCTTTGATGGCAAAGACAAGAAAAATATATATTGCTTTTTCTTTCTCATTCATATTGACATTCTCTGAATAATCAGTTTGCATAATTGGATTACTTTCTTTCTCTAGAGAGAGAGAGATACAAAGAGATTTTATATATATATATATATATATATATATATATATATATATATATATATCTTCTTTGTCTTTTCACATTTTGCTTAGATCTTCACGCTCAGTTCTTATATCTATGGAAGATACTATGCTTTGAATACATATTTTTTGTTTCTCTCAATTTGACATGGTGACAAATATGAGTAGTGCAAAAACATCTTTAAAAGGGAAATAATCATTAGAGAATCCGAAAGTAATTAATACAGAGATTCTCTCAATTATATTTATATATATATATATATATATGCGCATGCAGTTAATACAAAGTTAATTAGTGTAAAGTTTCAGTATTTGATCTGCCTATATCAGAGGCAGTTTGATTATCGTCCATCTGTTCCGCTATTACATTGAATTGCTCGCCGTTAACATACTGTCCCTCTGGGTACTGCGAAGGATTATAATCACTATATTGATTATGTTCTTGCTCCGCCATATAAGCATCCATATTTGGATCATTCGTTGTGTAGTCTTCATTATTGCGAGCCGCTTCTTCCTGCTGCTGATACATCTGCTGATCCATAGTTTCCATTTCATTCGGCATAAAGTTGTTGTCTGCAATACATCTTTGATCGCTCGATAAGTCGTACAAGTTGTTCGGCGATTGATCGGTTCCCTTTAGCGCGTTTGCTTCTACTTGTTGACCGCTCGCGATATCGTATTCCTGATGAATCATTCTAGCACCGGCTGGTAATCCCTTCGCATGCGGAGTTACTGAATCCATTGTAGCGTTATAAGAAAAAGCTCCAATATCGTCGTTAGTTTCCATAAGAGTTCCTCCTAGAAAGTAATCGTTGTTATTCAATGTACTGATGCGTTTTAATTATATATAAAGTGTGTGAATTATAAATAAAAATCACTACCTTCATGACTTACAAGACTGCCTTGTATCTTATTTGACAAGTGTTCTATGTTGTTTTGTAGGTCGGCCATTTCTTCCCTGAGATAAACGTGTAAATGGATTAACGAAAAGAGAGAGAGATGAGATATGGGATTAAAAATATTACGTTTAACTATAGCAAGAAATCAAAGTCATCGAGCGTAGTATATGATTCTCATTTCGTTCTAGGATACATGTCGCTATTACTGTGCTGATAGAGTCGTTTTGGAAGTGTCTGACTTCCTTTTCGGAATTACTTTTACTTTTAGATCAACCTTAACGGTACGTTTCTTGCTCGAAGGCGAAGCGGTTTGCCCAACTGTTGTCACGTCTCTCTCAATGATTCCCTCTGTCAACACAGAATAGCCCCAGATATATATCGTGAAAAGTGCTGCATTTCTTATCTACTACTTATTAGCATATATTATTTACACGCGTTTGCGTGTAAGAATAAACATTAATAGGCTACAGATCATCATGTGCTTCTCCATAGAGGTTGTTTTAATTGTTTGCAAAACCAAATAAATTAGACAAATGTTTGACGATTGAAGTTGAAGTGAATTATATATCTTTGAGTTTCGCAAGTCGAACTGAGAATATACTTGTGTTTAAGATTGTTAGCTTCCAAACGTTGTGTGAGAGATTGGCATTCGGCAGTCAGTCTCGAGACGAGCGTGGCTTGACTATTCAGGGCATCTTCTAAGCCCGCTACCGTGGCAGCTGCGAAATTGACGTTGCCTGATCAGCCTGTTGCAATGTTTATTGACTAATCTCAATCTCCGCCTATGCTAGGCATAGTGTCAGCATGCCGATTTCTCACACATATAGAGAGATATCACTTTTAAATCAAAATCATGTCAACACACAGGAACACCCTTCAACAACGGACAATATACCTAACATAGGCATATCTAGGGCGATATCTTACCATGTTTAGTCTCCATATCCATTATCATAGAAGTCAATTCCTTTTCGTTTTCCAATCTAGGCGTAATCTCTTTACGATTATCTTCGGGGCGTACAATCTTATTCATATTGATCTAAAAATAAGGAAAATAAGGAATTGATTTAAGATGTCGTATTTTCTTGAAACTCTTTATAATCAATAATCTTTTACTTTTTTGTTGTTGTTATTGACAACAAAATATTAATCATCTAATCTAAAAAACATATTCACCTCTTTCTCTAAAGATGCTATTTGTTCCGCTAGTCTTAGATTTTCTCGTCTGCAATGTACCAAGTCAGCATCTCCTCTTTCCAGACGTTGCTTGTATGAATTTATCTCTGCTTGTAATCTACTTTGTTCTTGACGAGCTTGTCTTTCGTTTCGTTCAGTTGTCAATTTACTGGTTAAGAGTTCTTGCTCCGCCGCATCTTTCTCGCTTAATGCCTGATTAAGATCGCTCTGCAAGATAGCTGAACAAAGTAAAAATAATTTTTCTTATTATGTAATCTTGTGTAAGTAATTAAATCTTACACATGTAAATATGCAAGATAGTTTCAACATATTTTATTAATTTATTTATAAATCACTGTTATAAAAAACTACATGAACTTACATATCTTATTTTGTAACTCTTTCTTCAAATTATCAATGGTTGCTTGTTTTTGAGATAATTCTCGTTTCAACTCATTAATCTCTCGTCGCTGTTTTTCGGATTCCAATTGTGATTTGTTGGCAGTCTCCCAGTGAGACGCGATATCGGCAGTGAATTGTTCGATTTGCTGATTGTATCGACGCTCTATCTGTTGCCTTTCCTCGGTTATACGTCTATTCGCTTCTTGGGCGGCCTCCCGTAACTTCTCGTGTTGCCTTTCCAGCTCGTCCTTTAATCTTCGAATCTCCATTTCACTCTGACTTCTTTCAAACTCAATCTGTTGTCTGTCATCCATAGAACGCTTTGCTTTTTGCGTCGCTTCAGTCTCTTTGTCTCTCGCGGCTAACAATAATTTCTGTAATTCTTCTAGCTTCATTTCGGCCTCGTATTTCGCGCGTAGAGCCTTGTCTAATTCCACCTTCAATTCAATGCTGCCTTCGTTCGAACTAGTCTCGGACAAACGTTTCAAGTTTGCTTGATTCTCTTCCTGTACCTTTCGTAATTCCAATTTTGCCTGCGTCAACTGCGCCTCCAACTCACTGATTCTCGATTCGAACATTATACTGGGCCCTTCCAAAAATTTTTCTCGTTTGTTTTCCAAGTTATCGATATGATCACTCGTGCTTTGTTTGCGACATTCTTGATCTGACCCGGTACAGTGATCTTTGTGATTCTGTAGAGCGCACTTGGACAATGTAGTTTGATTCCTGTTATGCAATGCCTCGTTTTCAGCTACAACCTATGAGAAATCATCAATTAATTTTATTGCAGTTGTTTCTCTAGCCTATAATTGTATTATGATTCAAAGAAGCTATACCTCACGAACTTTGCTTAGTAAATTGATCAATTCGTCTCTGCAATACTGAGATTCTCGTTCCAGTTGTTCGATATAATCCTCCTGCCTTTCGATAAATGACGTTAACTCTGGAGGAATAGATTGAAGATCGGCTTTTGACAATGCTATATTACTATACGCCTTCGCTGATTGAATAGTCTTCGAAAGAGGAGGAAAAGTATTTGAAATCGCATTTCCACGGAGATTCTTCTTCGGAAAACTATCGCTGATCATGCTTTGATCATCCGTGTCTTCTCCAGATTCACTAATTCGCGGATTACTGCTTTTGTATATGCTCCGAGTACTTTGCGGCTTTCTGTAGAAAAATTATTTCTTTATCATATTCTCTTATTTATGTAATTACAAATTTTATATATATAGATGCATAAAAAATTGTAGTGTAAATTTAAAGATTTTTGATATATATATATATATATATATATATATATATATATATTAAATAACGTATAATAAATCTATTACTCTATTATATATCTATTAAATAATACAGCGCTTATTATTAGTTATTAACTACTAATTACTAATTATTAATTAAAATCGATATAAATTTATAACAGATTCCTCAAATTTATAAAGTATGTTTAAATATTTACATAAATATAAATGTCATATAAATGATTGATTATTACAATCTCATTCTCGAAATGTTATTTCATGTGAAAATATAATATACACAAATTTATTACTTTTTTATTCAATTTTATTTGCGACATTGATTATGTATAATTATTTAATTTTGCTAACTAATATTTTCTTCATCAACTCACATTGCGGATATTCCTGACGGCGCGTAAGATTCAGCCAACAGATACTTCAATTTCGAGATAGCTTCTCTATATGCAAACTCCATATAATCTGCTGGCTTTCTCTTGTTTAGATCCATCTTTGAAGCTCCATTTGTTTTTCTAAAATATAATCGTTTCTATCGTTCAACTGATCAAACATAGAAATAATTTTGAACAAAATAAATTTCAAAAAAAAGATAATTAATTAAGAATAAAAGATAATTAATCAGAATTTTAAATCGAAATAACATTAAGTTAAATTTCAATTCAGTGAGAAAAATCTAGTAATTGTCTCGATTTCGATTTTTTCAACATAAAAAAAATCAGCACCATTTAAATTATTTTTTTTGATGACGGTTTTTTTTCAGAACTATCTCTTTCTATTTTTCTTATTTTATATATAAAATTCACATTTGTAAATATTCTTCTTTCATGTATAGAAAATTATTATTTTTACATAATTTACTCATTTCTTCTCTTTACTAAAAAATAAAGAAAAATATCACACATGTACACAGAGATGTTCTTCAATCAATAATGAATAAAAATAAATGAAAAGATTCTAATTTCACCTATTCTTTAATCGCTTCATCCGTGCGACGCTCGCCGGATCCGCGTAGTTGCTTATGTCGGGTGACGTCTTCAACTTGGTGATGATCCTCGGGAAGAATTTCGGGCGCGTTGTACCCGGATTGGCAAAGGTCGCGATGCTCGTCGAACTGCCGACTACGAAGGGATGATGTTCACGGCGACCGTAAGCAGTGTTCGCTGCTAGCATTCTGAGCGCGTTCCACCTCGAGGCACTTTCGGCTCCTCACTTCAAGAACGCTCGCCAATCGATGGTACCGCACCTCCCGGGAGAAGGAAATCGAATCGGAGGGCTTGCATGTAGTAACTGGAAGAGCCTGGCGGTGGCTCGCGTGCGATGGTACCATTCGACCTTCGGGAGAGGGGCAAGGTGATACCGTACCGTCACGGTACCACCACCGATATGTACGTTTCGTGACTTATATTATTAGCCAGAAGCGCATACCTTTGACGATAAGGCATACCTTCGGTAGACAAGAAGAGCGAACGCTGGCGCGATCGCCTCCTGACATTTTTCATGTCTCATTGTAGAATTCCTATGGAAACAGAATAATCAACAGTGCGCAACGACCGCAACGACCACGACGTGATGGTGATGGTGTACAAAATCAAATTTTCATATAGAAACCACATTTAAAATAAAACGATTTTCTAAAGCTTAAAAAATTAACAAACAAATGTTTAAACATTTAAACCGAAGATTGCTATCTATCAGATTATATCGCAGTTTTACAAATTTATTTTTCTCTTAAAATAAAAATAACGCAGTCTTTTTTTAAAAGTAAACAAAAATGAGATTGGCGTGCAAAACATATTTATAGAAAAAATTAAAAACAAAACAGATACAGTAAAGATATGAAAAATGCTGCGATAACTTTATCTTCAATAAGTATCTAATCCCAGATTTGCCTGTGATTATCTAAGCAACTAAAAAAATCACACACGATGATAATACATTCCTGCAGTTACATTCCTGACTAGAATAATGGAGGCACTGCAGATTTATTTAACGAGAAGTCTTTATTTCTTGTTTCTTCATTGACTTTCTTTTTGTTCTCTTTGTTAATGAGCTTTATGACTGCCCGTTCCAGGCCGCAAAAGGGTCTAAATTCCAATCTTTTTAAAACCTCCAGCGATGTATCTCCAAAATAAACAACAAAGCGATTCTTGACATCTCTGCTTTCGTTACCAGGAAAAAAGATCCAATCATCGGTGACTAGGCCCTCGTTCTGTCTTTCAAGGAAGAATAAAAGATCCTTAGTAATCGCAAAGTCACTCACATATATTATAGCACGATGATACTTGGAAAGCTTATCAATATCCAGAACGCGCAATTGAACTCCATCGTCTAGAGTTAATTTTAAATTACTTAGCCATTCGCTAGTCTCTTTATTGGCGCAATTAAAAATAATTACGCCATGCCATTCGGTGTTACCATAAAAGCAGGGAAATCTTGCACATGTTTCCATAGATATGCTAAGTATATGTTTCCTCACCAATCTTCTTATAACGGATATTTCATTACTGTTTAGTTTTCTTTCGGGATATTCCATCGGTGCAATGGCCATCTTGAAGAAATCGGATGTAAGTGGAGGATTTAAGTTTGACGTTTCATTGACCTCGGATTCTTTGCACAAACGGTCCATAGACGGATTGAGTGTATCATCTAATCTAGAACATTTAGATATTCTGGATGGACCAGCTTCGGATGTAGCTTGAGTATTTGAGCTTGAAGTTTGATTATTAACCTCAGATTCTTTGCACAAGTAGTCTACAGGCGGGTTGAATGTGTTATCGTTCAGTCCAGAGTATTTAGACATCCTAAATAGACCAGCCTCGGATGTAGCTTGAGCATTTGAGCTTGAAGTTTCTTGATTATTAACCTCAGATTCTTTGCACAAATGGCTCATAGACGGGTTGAATGTGTTATCATCCAGTCCAGGGTATTTAGATATCCTAAACGAATCAGCTTCGGATACAACTTGAATATTTAGATCAGAAGTTTTTTGACCACTGACTGCAAATTCTTCGCATAAATGATCCATAGACGGATTGAATGCGTTATCGTCTAATTCAGAGTATTCCGACATCCTAAACGGATCATCCTCGGATATAACTTGAATAGTTTGATCAGAAGTTTCTTGACCACTGACAAATTCTTCGCACAAATAGTCCATGGATGAATTGAGTGTGTTATCGTTCAACCTAGAGTATGTAGACACTCTGGATAGACAAATCTCCTCATCCTCGTTTCTCTTTTTATATTCGTCAATCAAATTTAAAGTAACAGATTGGTTTTCCATCATCTTCTTCTTCTTTTTGCGTCGAGCAGCTCCGCTTTTGCGACTTTTCTTAACTCCTTGGAGATGATTCTCTGTTGCCAGCTTGTTTATCTTTGGTTTACCGGTTGAAGTAGTCGTATCTTGAGAGAGTTTGTTATTGAATTTATTGTTATTTAAAAAATATCTTAAGTCCATCTTGATCCCACGAATACCACGGTCATGCGGTATCACCTGGGCAGAGCCGTGAATGCCCAGGGCTTGGCTAAATACTCCTGAAGGTCACCTGGTATTCAGGAGGCACCGTTCGCGACGCAACTTCCCTTGCGCCACGCAGCCTTCGGCACGGTTGCTAACACCTTGGCTTGGGGAGAGTTTCTCTTAGATTAGTCGTCAGAAGTTCATCTCTGAGCAGACATGAACTTCTGGATGTAACCGTAAGCTTCTCCATCACACTAAGATGGAAATGCTTTCGGAAGGGAAAATTGACAGCAGATTTCGAGCAGAAAATGCAGCACATTCATTGAACATCGCATTAAGCTCGTGATTTTGCTGATGGGCTTGGATGGCAGAAATTAATCGCGAAATCGATTAAACGTAGATTGTGCTCAATTTTTGTCGTGTCAGTATGTGTCGCATGTTTCTTATCTCTCTCTTATATTTTGTCGATAAACTATACTATATTTTTATAAGTTGATCAATATTTGCATTAAATCTGACAATTCTCCTGCATATAAGTTTTGTTTTGTAGACAAACGTTTTACTAAGGATTTCTTTCTTAACAAATTTAGTTAACAGGTTTGAAACATTGTAACTTATTATTTTATTTCTCTTATCATTTTTGAGTTGTACAATATAATACTGATCTTTTTCATAGTAAAACTAAAAGAACATTGTGATATGAAATGAAATCAAATAAAAAATATACAAAAGACAAAAGAGAAATGAAAAAACGAGAGAGATAATTTCAGATTGAAGTAAGCAGTAAAATAATAATACATTTACAATTACATTTACATATAAATGTAAAAGCATGCAGAAATAATCCCAAGTATTATTTTATTGATTATCTCAATCTGACACACACACGCGCGCGCGCGCACACACACACACATCTGATATGTGTGTATATATACGTGTGTGTGTGTGTGCGCGCGCGCGCGCGCGTGTGTGCGTGTGTGCGTGCGTGCGCGCGCGCGTGTAATATATGTAAATAACAAGTGTGCACAACTTTTAAATGTAGTATGTATGCATAGATGACAACTGCATTAGAGTTGCGAAAATAATACTAATATTATCCATACATATATATGTATATATTATGATTTCCCACAAAATATAATATACTTGAATTAAAAATCGAAAATATTTAATTTAAAGAATCGTCTACATTAATCGCGCACGCATAAATGTACTAAAATGGAACAATAAAAATAAATATTACAATAACATCGTTAAAATATATTAAATTGTATTAATATAGGAATGCTATCGATTGCAGATCTCAAATAAAAAAAATAATAGTTCATCTAATACATATCACATAGCGCGCATAGCACATATATTGCTTTTTTTTTCTTAAAATAAGTATCAATATATCTTTTTATGTATTTTACGCATTTTGTGCTAAAATATTTGCAAACTATATCGGCATACATTATGTATTAGTTTGCGGTTGTTGGTCTGAGTTTCCGTTGATCGGATTTGGAGTTTCTACAAAACCTTCGTCCTCATCATTGTGTAAAGTATCAAAGACTAAAATAATTTTTCAAATTTACATATCGAAATATTAAAAATTTCTAATTATCATTATTATGTGATGCAGTATGCGCATCTTGAACGTACCCGTAACACGCGAAAAAGGTTTGATATATAGAATCATCAGCATAGCGGAGGCCGCGGACACGCCGCAAACATATGTCAGAATATTTCTATAATAATAACTGGCATAACCAGACGACAAGTGTCTGAAAGACAAACGTAATTGATACTTCTTTCAATTTGTCATCATTTGTTATCATTGAATGATAAAATCGAGAAGAAGAAAGAATTTGAAATATATTCTCTCTCGAGTTTTATATGTATTAAACATTCTTACTTACTTCACCAAATACTGGATGAGCATAACTACCAAACCATTACTCAGCTTATCTGTAAAACTCATAATTCCATAGGCAAAGGCACCGCTTTCGGTATTTTTCCCTATCAAATCCGCAGTGATACCGAGACTAGTCACCAACATTATTGCACCAGCAGAACCTAGAACACATGATGACGAATTAAATTAGCAAATTACTTCAATGTTACTTAAACTTTGAGACTTAATGTCACATTATGTATAGATCAAGCTTGTGCTTTATTTACCTAACAATATAGCAACAACATAGATCTGATATTTGATATATGTATCGTCATTGCCAAACTGTATCCATATGCAAGCCCATATTGCGAGCAAAGCACCAATAGAATACGCTATTTTTCGACCCCATTTCGTGTTAAGTCTCTCAATGATTAAAGATGTCAAGAAGCTACTCAGATACATGGTCAATGGTATATAAGCCAGAGAAGTGGCAGGCATATTCAATGATTCATGTAAATACAAAGGCATATAAATCTGGCACAAATTGATAAATAGTCGTGTAAGCATGTAGACAAAAGCTATTTGATATAATCTGAAGTCTCGCAAAAGCACTAATGCTGTTCTACCGTTTCTATGTAAAAAACTACCTAAAAATTTCAATATTGTTACAAGAATATATTGAAAGTTTTTGATAATTATCAAATAATATACACATCACAAAATGAAAAGGTTTAATTGCATTATATTACCATTAGCATCACCATTAGCACCTTCCTTAACAACAGCATGAAATATAATAGATGCTATGACTCCAATTATTGTTCCAATTAGAACAACTTTTTGAAATTTATGAATGTCATTAGGTCCAATCTGAGAATTATATTCATTGCTCGTTACATGTAGCACACCCCACATAATGCAATAAACGAGAACATTGGAGAAGACAGTAAACGTGAATCTATGTAAAATTACAATAGAAATAAGAGCTTTATTTATATATGCATATTTTTAAAGTTTCTTCAACGATTGATTATTCCACATATCTCATTTCTTTGATGATTCTTTTGCAATTACCTTATAGCTATGAGTTCAGTCCTCTCATGTTCAGAAGGTGTTAGCTCTGGGACTAAGGCCAAGTGCGATATCTGTACTGCTGCCCAACCAAATTGGAAGATCACTACAAAAGCAGCATAATAAACTAACTGTGCGTACTGATGCGCGTATTCACAGCCGATGCATTGCGAAAATATAAACGGGAATCCTAATAGTACGCAAATAGTGCCTGCAAATCAAACTGACTATTATAATGTTGCAAAGCAGAAGCATGGGATATTAATAAAGATGTGAATTATACCTATTAAGTGCCAAGTTTTCCTCCTGCCATATCGGCACAACCAGAAATTGTCGTTTCTATCGGACTGAAAGCCGACAAATGGAGTGACCAGGGCATCCGCTACTTGACCTATGAGTAACACAACACCGGCCAGAGTCGGATCGAATCCAAGAACCAAATGAAAGAACACCAGCAGATAGGTGAACCACATGGAAGCACAGATATCATTTAGTACATGACCCGTGCCGTAGGCTAATTTCAAGTAAACGGGAAGCTTTCGTATTATCTCTGTATAATCATCCGTCTGGCTGCTTGTAGGGTCCATTGCGAAAGATCGTTGCTAGGCATAAAGTCCTGGCTTGCCTGTAATAAAAGATAATTTATGTTATTTATACAAATATGAAAGAATGGTATGACTCACATCGGTGATTCAAACGTAAACGCCGATCATTTTACAAAAAGCACGTGATGACAAACGTCAAACTGTCATACGTTGTTTCGTTATTTTGGCAAATGTATAATTTGACAGGCTAAACTCAATTAAGTATTGATAAAAATATACTCGTTCAGTATCATTATATCAAAAGAAATATTCAAACTTAAGTTTTAACCTATCAGTCTATCAACCGCTCCTTCACGATACGTGTCGCGTTGTATATACTCGCTGTTACGCGACCTCGTTTGTATTCACATAGGTACGCTGTCACGTGACGCTCATGTTGACATCCGACGCGCCTTTTATCGCCGTCGATAAGAGCGATAATATAATCAAAAGTATATGCATATTGAATTCTCTTCTAGTTTATTTAGAAAGTCTTTTACTCCTAACTCTATTAAGAATGAAATAAGTTCATTTTTTCCCTTTAAAGAGAGAAAAAGATGAGAAAACAAAATATAAAAAGATGCAATAAAAACAGAGACCTCTCAGGTGTTTCAAAATAATCACAAATACTGCGAATGTAAACACATGTTTTCAATATTATTTTCTCAGGAAAAGCAAAAAATTGTAAGCAAACATTTGCCCCATAGATGTATAGCTGAAAGGTTTCACAGAAATATTGCTGTTAACCATCGAACAATTTATTAAATATATTATTATATTAATAACGTATGTACTATAAATAAAATTAAAATTCAATAATTGGAATATATTACTTCTGTATGATGCAAAACAAATGATGAAACTCTTATGAATTGCATAATTTGTCTTCCATTTGGGTTATATTGATATATGATATTGTATATAATTATATTTATATGTCACTCTGAATTAGATTTAATAACATCCATAATTCAAAGATTAGCCAATCATAGGCATTCCATTCTTCAGAGGAATAGCTATGATTGGCCAAATCTAATAGTCTATGATATCTAGAAATGCTGCTAGTATACATGTATGATAAATATATCTCCTTATCGTTCCTTTAAAAACACTCAAGACCCATACATTTTGCCACGGGCACATGTTGTGTTTGAATTACAACTCAATTCTATCGCTGTACAGTGTAATGACGATTAATGCATCTATAATTAAATCTTTGATGTACTTGTTTCTCAGCTGTACAGAATTACAAATTGGACACTCCGCAGCATCCTCAAACATCCACTAGGTATTCGCTTATACGCTAAGGGACGATCTGGAATTGAGGTAGAACTGATGGCCCGAGAAAAGGAAAGTGAGGACATAGATGCATGCGGCGATCCAGCAGTTGTACGCATTCTGCGTGTAACCGCGATCCACCACGTCGTAAAAATTCTCCAGCGTGGTAAAATTCCCCTCGCCTAGAGGGAGATCCTCCACCAGCGCTACGCTCCGAACGTAGAAGAAGACTCCCATGAGAAGCTGAAAACGAAGAGACAGAATTTACTTCAGACTGTTCAAGAGGTTTACTCTGTGCAAAGGAAGAGTATGACTGTACAATCTCTCTTACCAATTGGAATATGCCCCAAACGGACAGTATCAGACCGCACAAAGCGTACTTAGGCCCGCAAATCTTCATCCTTACAAGCTCGCCCGTGCAGAATAATCCAATTCAATCTAACCGCAATGCATCCGCTTCTCACGCTAATGTTCGAAAATTCGTTAAATACACGATCTTTGAGCGATCTCGTTCGTAACGATCCGTCACAGCGACGAGGGTTTGTAATCATGTGACGTTCGAGCGGTAACGATATTGATAGAATCGCGTTTTATTTCGAGCGATATCGATAGATCGTCTTCCGGGCCATAGATGCAATAAAGATACGATGGACACGCAGGTTTGCTTGCGTTCGAAAATTTGCACTGATAAAGTGAAACTCGATCTGACCAATCGGAGCACAAGGGGCAGAGATCTCTGCGTTCTGTGATTGGTCGATCAGCCGCTACATCATCTGATACGTAGATTTCTGAACACAATCCAGTTCTAAGGCCCGTTCTACAATGGGTGCTTTCCATTTAGCAACACAAGTCGACACAAGTGTCATTCTATCTTTGTTTATTGTTATTCATTGAAAAAAGATAGAATGACGCTTGTGTCGACTTATGTCGCTAAATGGAAAGCACCAAATGAATCGTAAGTCATCAAAAATAATTTTTGAAATAATCAACCATGATTGGTCAATTTGCCTACGGCTTACGACTTATTGTAGAATGGGCCTGAGGCCGAGTCTACAATAGACAATTTAAGATCTAAGGCCCGATTCCACAACTCGAGTTAGGCTGATGGCAGAGAACTAGATGTCTGTCGTAGTCGTGGACATAAAGTAAGACAGAGAAAAACGTATGTCGTACAAGGCCATTGTGACAATGGCCTTGTGCGACATACGTTTTTCTCTGTCTTATTTTACGTCCACGACTACGACAGACATAAGCGCTCACGTCTAGTTCTCTACCATCAGCCTTAATCGGAGTTTAACGTATTAAACTCGGATTAACTCGAATTGTGGAACCGCTGCCTTAAGAAATTGACCAATCACAGTCGAATATGAAGAGACTATTCGACTGTGATTGGTCAATTTCTTAAGGCTTAGGGCTTAAATTATCTATTGTATTGACCCGGCCTTAGACGACCGCTCTCTTGTATATTTCTTTCTTGGTACACGAGATACGAGCTGATAAACTCTTTCCGCCTATCAGACGATTCTCTCTCAAGTTCTCGATAAGCGTGAATCGCGGATAAACTGTGCAACTTGAAGACATGTACGTGATTCATATTTCCTGCTGTTGTCAGCCCTGATTCAGAGGATCATGGTCGACCGATTGGGTTAGTTCGTGCTCCGCATATTAGCATTTAATTAATATCGCGTATTTTACAAAAAAAAGACGAAATCGCCGCGGCCGCGAACGACCTGTGGAAGGATTGCGTGTTCCTCGACGAGTCCTCTTTCGTTTTTCTCTATCTCTCGTCCTCTCCGTCTAACGTTCGCGCAATTCGGAGATAACGGTTCCACGAGCTGTCGTCAAAGTGGGCCGTGTGTGTTTTGACAGCTCCGACCAGCGTTGACGATTACTTCGCTCTGTTAGCCACGCTCTCTCTTTCGCGTTTCTTTTCCCACGTATCTGATGCAGGAGAGACGCATGTATGCATTTCAAGTGCGTTGCTCGCGAAAGAAAACCTTAAAAAGAATATACGAGCGTTGCTGAAAAGAACGGAGTTGACGCTAGGACGATTTATAAAACCAATACATATATATATATATATCTATTTTGTCGAGAGATTGTGGGTGTGTTCGATATTTATGTTCACCTCCCCCCTTCTTGATTTGATATGTTTCAGTAAACAGCGAGGCCAATGCCAGGCGTATCGCGATGGTCGAAAACTGCTTCGGCAGTTCGGGTCAGGTGAGAGAAATCGATAGATCTCATAATTCATAAATCATATAATACTTAATTATTTAAATAAACCAGTAATTTGCACTAGTTAAAGTTAGCTGTCGTTATGACTCACTTATGAATATTCTTCTTCTCTTGATAGCCACTCGCGGTACCTGGCCGAGTTTTGGTGGGAGAAGGTGTCCTGACGAAAATGTGCAGGAAGAAGCCCAAACCCAGACAATTTTTTCTGTTCAACGACATACTGGTCTATGGAAATATCGTGATTAATAAAAAAAAAGTATGTATCCTACAACAGAGAGTATAAAATAAGTTATGTATGTAATGATTATTATAAAATAATGGCAATAATGTTAACAGTAATAATAATTTGTTCACAGTATAACAAGCAACATATAATACCATTGGAGGAGGTAAAATTAGAGTCTTTAGCTGATGAGGGTCGTAAGTACATTATCATTATTTAATATATTTGTAATAAAATTTTTATTTTTGTCACAGAATACTTCAAATATGTTTCTAAGATATTTCGAAAGTATGTGCAAAAATCTGTATTATATATATAATGTGTACATATATTCATATGATTTTTTAACAATTTTATTATCATATAAATTGAAATTTTGCAATAAATACAAGTTTCTTTTATATAAAATATGAAAAAATGTGATCAAGTTCTATAAAATTTCAGTTTCATATGTAATTTGTAAATTGCTTGAAATTTATCTTTTTAGAAACTGAAATATTAATATCTTAAGTGAATACGATTTTTACAATAAATTAAAGTTTTGTGTAAAACTTTTAATGTTTTCATAAATACGGGTTAAGGAAAGAATTCAAGAATTTGTTTAATTTCCTCAAAAACTAAGTGATTTTATAATTTATATAAAAAGAATTAATAATACATAACAAGTTCATCAAACTATATATAAACATGTTATGTATATAAATATGTTGTATAAATATGACACATAGACAAAATCTCAAAATCACTCATCTAAAAAAAATCTATTCTATATTTATTTATATTTTGTTTTCATAATTTTTATTTGTTACCAAAAAGTATATTTTGTATATATAGAATTGTCTAATTACATTCTTATCATAGATATATTTGTTTCCTATTTGTTTCCCTATGCATTCTAAAAAGCGATAGTCAAATATTATGTTTTATACAGTATATGGATCAATAATCAAATGAGGTCATTCTTAGAAAATGTCAGTATAGTATTGGATCATTATTTATAGAATATCGTAATGGGTGGCTCATTAAAACAGTAACAAAGTCATTTGCTGTTTATGCTGCTACTGCAACAGAGAAGCAAGAATGGATGGCACATATCACAAAATGTATTGAAGATTTATTAAGAAAAAGTAAGTAAAAGCTAAATTATTACAACGATGTGTTTTGCAACCCAAATCTCTCGTAATTCCATAGATCTGCACAATTGATTTAGACTTTAATCCTTTCTTTATTTCTCTATATCCTTATAGGCGGCAAAAAGCCTGTCGAGATTCACGCAGCAGTCTGGGTACCAGATAATGAAGCTACAATTTGCATGCACTGCAATAAGACACAGTTTACAGTATTAAATAGACGGGTAATTGCGAGACTTGTATTAATTTCACCAATTTAAACAAAATGAAAATATACTAAAATAATTGCATTTTTTATTTCAGCATCACTGTAGGCAATGCGGAGCAGTAGTTTGCGGTCCCTGCAGTAATAAAAAATTATTATTACCTGGACAGGGGAACGGGAAGGCCGTCAGAGTTTGTTTACAATGTTACGATGCCGCTAGTAAAATCAAAGCTATACCCACAACTGCTGTGAATAGCTTAAATAACAAAGATCAGCAACGTAATTCTGCCGATAGTTCAGGAGGAGATAGTTCTGGAGACGACGATGAGGGAAATAAGGAAGAGAATCATGATGAGGTAATTACTAATTGGGTTCCTCCTTAGTTTTAATAAAAATTGATATCTTTTCATAATATGTGCATCACTTATCTGAAAATTAAAAATGATTAATTATTTTTTCGTCTCTGCTGTTTTATAATTTTTTTTTGTATTATTTATATATTGTGCATCTGTCATTATTATAAATAATGTTAGTTTTTTTTAGTATATTCCACAAAACCAATATATTATATGTAATAAAATATTTTTCTTCTCTTGTAGCCTAAATTTTATTCAACGCTTGGGCGATGAAGATGATGTACATCACACCAAACAATATCACAGAAAAATATAAAAATTTTACAAAAATATATTTTTTAAAAAAGCTGATGTTATTAAACTATTATATAGTTCAAAAAAAAGAAAAAAAAAGAATCAAGGGAAAAGATAATCATTCTTTATAATTTTTATGCATACATAATATGATTTTATAAATGCTCTATTGCATTACAATTTTAATTAATTTAAGATCAAAATTGTAAAAAAAATTTAGCAGTTTTAACATTAGATCTGTATTTAGTAAATTGAGAGAACTGAGATTTAAATAAATAATTGAGAAATGTTTGATAAAGTGTTTATGATTCTTAAAATAGCATGATGTATAACTTTACTATAATAAGACTCAATATTTATAATCATAAATATCTTACTAACCCTTGCAACAAATTTCTCTTGATCACAAACTTCTAATATAATTAATTCTAATAAAATAAATTTTTTGTAACATGTACTATTGTAACACAGTAAAATATATCAAAAAAAGTTTCTCTTCTCAAAATGTGAATCTCAAATCTTTCAAAATTGTAATATAATAGAGCATTTTGAAAATTATAATCAGTCTAAAGACTATAGGAATAGTTACTTTCTCTTTGAATTAAAAAAAAAAATTTTTTTTTATCAAATCATGTTATTGAAAATAAAAGTTTACAAAAATATTTCTATAAATATTTCTAAACAAAATATGAAAAACACGGAAAGGAAATAATTATGTATAAATATGATGAATTTATGCTAAATTTCTTAAAACATATTTTACTGAATACATATATTTGATTCATTTATGAATCTTTGCAGTTTTTATTAATAGAAAATATTGCACAATTTATATTGATAAAGAATAAGAAATACTAAATATGTATAAATAATTGCAAAAACATAAAAAGTATCATAAAAAGTAAACATAAAAGTATCAATACTTTTCTAAAATGCCGAAAATGCACCTTTAAAATCAGCAAAAATTTGTAATTAGTCAATACTATTATATTGATCAAATTGAATAACGATTGTAATTAAATTTTTTTTCTCTCATTGTTGTATGTATATTAAGAATATATGCCACATTGTGCCTTTTTATAATATTGATTAATATCAAATTAATATTCAGAAGTATGAATAGGTGACATAACACCTGTTGCAATATGCAGAATGTATTTTTAAGCAATGCAATGTCTAATTTTTATTGTATAGATTTTTACTTATCATTGCAAATACATTATAACTAAATACAGTGCATATATACACAGCAATCTAAAGTACATAGTAATTGTGAATAAAATGTTATTACAAATTTAAGTGTTATAAAGTATTAAACTAAATGATTATTTTTTCATGGCACTAATAATAAAAAGAAATTATATACATAGTTTATCTCATACATGCCAAGAATCTCAATAAATACAATTAATTTAATGTATACATAAATAATAGGTAAAATTGAAAAAAAAAGCACATTTTTCTAACTTTATGAATAAAACAAATCCATTCTTTATGTAAATCATATTGAAAAGGATGTCAGATAATTGAAAAAGTCGATGCGATTATATTATGTACAAAAAATATATATTTTTTTTTCTTAAATTTTATATAGCAAAATTACTTTGTAACAATAATTTTAATCTGTAACAAAATAATATAGTGTAGTATTTGCTTTGTGACTCCTATATATAATGTCTATATAACAATATAAATACATACATATAATGTATGATATAAAAAATATTTTATAAATATGTTATATAAACTCTACTACATGGAATAGAAAATATTAGTATTATGTGTTTACTCTACTTAAGGTTCCTAATTCCTCACATTCATGAATTGTAAGAAGGAATCATATGAATTTTTTTCTGCACTGTACTTCAAGATTAAATGCATGTATAATTCAATCTGCATATTTTACATTTTCAAGAAAAATAGGTCTTGTGGCAATCAATTTTAATTAACACTTAATTAACATAATTTTAACATTTTTTATTAATCCATAAATAAAAGGAATCTTTTTCTCTTCTTTGGTATATTTTACTACTAAAGTCTACTATGCTACCAAATACAAATGGCAATATATAAAAAAAAATTACTTTTATTTCAAAATATATTTTCGCTTTCAATAATTAAATTTATTATTCATGAATTATAACTCGGTGTATAGCAAAGAAATAGGAAATAGGAACTTTAAGGAATCAGAGTTTATTTACCTAAATAAACTTTTTAATTTTTTTTAATGTAAGCTTTTTATCATAGTTAAAAAAAGTTAATTAATAACATACTGTCCCTTATCAACTACACTTTGCTTTATAAAAGCAATATAAAACTATATTTAAAAATCAATGACCTGCCACATATTTTTAAACAAATAAATCGAATTATTTATCTATACAAAACACTGTATACCAAATGTAAAATCTTGTCGTTATTCGTGGATTTTAATGGGTAACTAATAAATTAAGCAAACTCTTTTTTAACTATTATATTCTGTCTCTATTATATTTTTTATTAATAAAAATTTCCCGATTCGATTTATTGCAAAAGATTTCTAGAACTTCGATTTATACATATGTAAGATTATTAATAAATTTTTTATTTTAATACCTTTGTTTCTCTGTTTTTCCTTCGTTATTCAACTTCTTATTCTTTGCATTTATCTTGAAACTTTATCATAGTAGAATTGCTGACCTCCAGCAATTTCTTATAACGTTCCACCAAGTCACTAATAGACTGTCTTCTTGAACTATTTTCATGCTTTACAACTGTGCCTTTATTCTCATCACTCACAAATTGTACTTCCGTAAAGTCATTTAACTCCAATTTATTTACTTTAAACTCGTGATCAAACTTGTCTGTCGTTCGTTCTTGGGACATATCTCTCGAGGTATTCTGTTTTATTGGAGTAAACTGTGCAGATGTAGATATACAAGAAATTGTAGAATTTATGAGAGACTCTTCATTCAGATTAAAATAACCCTTTGCTATAGTATCCAAATTAAAATCCGAAATATTAGGCATTTCTCCTATTGTATTTGCAATGGCAGAAGAATTGGCTTGTGCTGTAGATGGTAGAGATATCATGCTGGAATTGGCTGTTTAAATTTTAATTTAATTGAAATATAATTTGAATTTTATATGTATATATTTCTTTTAATATAAATATTGCAAAATAGTATTTGTATACAATTTTCAGAAAAGATTGTTACAAACCTTTTATATTTTTATCCATGTGTGATGAAAATAATCGGCAATATTTTCCTGTTACTTTCTTGGACAATTTATTCATTTTAGGTGTTACAAAACGCAAATTCAAACTTTGTTTGTCATTATTGTCTAACGACATAGCACTATCGATATTAATACGTGATACAAATAAATTCGTTCTTAAATCTGGTGTATGAATCCGCTTATATCGCACATATCTCGAAAATAACGATTTATGCGCAACTGAAAAGAATAAATATTGTAGTAGTAGTAAATTCTTTTATGAAAAATTGCAATGTATAACTTTCTAATTGTAAGTCCGTAAACTTACTTTCACCTGGAGTAAGTTGCAATAATTTCTGTAAATCATTCGTTTCATCTACACAATTAGTATTAATTTTGATAAGAGGCGATGGCATAAGAAGCACGCTATTTACAAAGGGTAACACATATTCTCCAGTTGTATAGTCCATATTTCTTTTACAGAAGAAACTTTGTGTCTCGACTATAGAATTTTTCATATTTGTCAAAATAGTTTTAAATATATTGTACATAGACTTCATATCTTCTACACTCGCTTCCATTTGCAACAGGCATTGCTTTAAGTCTACTAATTCATCTTTCCTCAAACATTGATACACTTGATGAAGTATCAAAGTGTGCAGGTAAATAAAATTGTGATATACCAATTGATTATCATTATATAAATGACAAAGATAATGCTGAAAGAGAACAATTGATTAAACTATAATATATAATATTAAGTAGTGTAGATATGAATAATTGTTTATTATATATACAGTAATATATAATTGCAAGAAAAAGATGATGTGCAACTATTTATTTAAAACAATATTAATACTCACCTGAATGTCAGGTGGAAATGGTAATTCCGATATCAGAGAACAATTGATTTTTTCCAACTGTTTGCCATCTAGTACTTTTGCATTGCCTAATAGATTCATTATTATGCCACTTATATTTTCGCATATTTTTTCCAGATTTTTCAAAACTGTGTTCTGTTTTTGTATGTAATGTATATTTTTGTCTAAACTATTTTTCCACACTAAAAAAAACATATATATTTATTAGTTTTGTATATGTGACATAAACTGATTCTCAATATATAAAAAATATATGGTAAAAATAAACATATTTCTGACTTTGTATGATTTCTGCATCCTCGACATTTTTCAAACGTTCTTTTATACAGATAGCAACAGGTGCAATACTTATGCAATTTGTCACAGATTGTTTCTTGTCAAATAATTCTGTTTTAATCTTAGCCAATTGTTCTTTCTCTTCTCTAAAATGAAAGAAGAAATGAACTTTAAAAGCTTTTTATACAAATGTTTTATACAAATGTCTGTTTTAGCAAAACATGGACAACAATAAGGAATAAAAATGTACATAAAAAAATATATATAAGAAATAAAAAAATATATGAAATAATATAAGAAATGTATATAAGAAACAAAATGTATAAAAGAAATAAAAAATTACGCCAATGTAAAATTCACTGCTTTCTCCATTTGTGTGCAATTTCTACGGTGACTCAATGTATCACTAGCAACACTCGCCTTAGATTGTTGTAAATATGTTTTAATTAGATCAATTGCAGGACCTGGTTTTGGTGCAGATATAACTTCATATTCAACTGAAACAAATGATAATTAAATATTATAAAATCTTAATCATATTAAATTTTTTATATATCTGAGATTAATATATATTTACACACACATATATACATGTGTGTACATGCATACATATATAGAAAATTATCAAAAACAAAGTTGATTTTCTTTTAAAATAGAATTACCTACCATTATGCATGAGGTACCTCTTTAGTGCAAGTTGAGATAATTTCCACATTATAAGCATAAACTTAGTACCACTCGCGTGATGCAGATATGTAGTAACTATATGTGGAAATCCCATGTCAGGATTCTCTGCAGCAATAACATTTAAGTAGTCTCTGACATCATTACGATATTTTGCTTCCGTTTTTTTACATAATATTGGCCATTCAACCAGTTTTCTGAAACGCTCAGCATCACATATCATTAATAGATAATGAGAGACTTGTATGAATCCCGCAAAATTCGGTTTATCAAACATTCCCTGTAAAATATATCTATGATTTGTTATCGATAAAACTGGTAAAGTTAACACATATATAAAAGAAAAATATACTTAAGAATGAATCACCATAAAATAAAGAAAAGTAAAATTCTTACCTCCCGAAAAACCTTTTTGAAATCTTCACTTGGCGGAATCAATTGATTTAATAAAAAGACATTCCGATGAAAAGACGCGCTGACAGCCATTCTGTGATGCTACAACTATATGTTGTGTGATAAATAAATTATGAATCTAATCTCATCTAGTTAAGATAATCGTCTAATTAATATGAAGTTTTCCCGCTTATAGCGAAAATATTATGTATGTACAATTTATATTGTACGATTGATTAATATTAATATAATTTATAATGTGTTAATAACGTACAACACGATGTAAATACTCGATACTATTATACAACTTGTAGTTTATCAATCATATACAACGCATTTGCTTTTTCGATCGATCTTCGATGGAAATTTAAAGGTAGAAAAGAAGGCACCGCGAAATGAGAACTTAAAAAACACACAAAAAGTACATAAAAAACACGTACTTAGTTAATAAACATTTGAATTTTCTAAAATCACCAGTTGTGTGCGTCTCGCTCGAATCGAGATGGGAAACTTTAAGGTTATATTTCGATTGACATAAGAGTTTTGACGAAGGCTTGGTTATTATCGCACGTTTCCAAAAGCCTCTAGAAATTCTCTATTCGATAGCCAATAGATATGTTTGACAAACTTTTTCTAATATAATCACTGATATATATACGATATAAATACACGGATTGAATGAACGCTACTATCGCGTCCTCAATCGAACATGGCGTCCGCCATCTTACGAGGGAAATTTTTACGCATGCGCGTTAATGGGTCTGTTCTTTTCAGCTGCACTGCTGTACTAATGCAATTAGTTAGAGTGAAAGAAAGTATGTTTGTCTCTTGCTAACTTATTGTACTAGTGCAGCAGTACAGCTGAAAAGAACAGACCCAATATCTGAGCGATACTTCAAATGATTTATAAAATAGAATCATGTAATGTATGTAGAAGTAAAAACAAGAAATAAATTTAATAATTCTGATATTTAATTATAACTAAAATATTAATGAGAATAATTAAATTTTACTTCATAAAAATAGTATTTTTCATAATTTCTTTATTTTTAATTTTGTAAACTTTGATTATATAATAAACTAAGTTTAATTATTAAATAAACTAAAAATCACTTTAAATATTTCAATAATCAAGTTAATAATTTAAGAACTGTAAAAAGAGTGATATTATATGTTTAAATTTCCCTCTAACATGGCGGATCTCCTGAGGACGGAAGTTGAGCGAATATCAAAATCCATATTTTATATATATATATATATATATAAATTGTGTTTATATAAAATATTATATTTTATATGTACGTTTTTGCTTGAGATAAATATATGAAATGTTGAAGAGAGAGAGAGAGAGAGAGAGAGAGAGAGAGAAGGAGAGAGAGAGAGGAGAGAGAGAGAGAGAGGAAGAGTGAGAGAGGAAGAGAGGAGAGAGAGAGAGAGAGAGAGAGAGAGAGAGAGGAAGAGTGAGAGAGGAAGAGAGAAGGAGAGGGGAAAGCGAGGAATCCGAGTGTAGAAAGTGCAGACAAAAACGGGCAACCTACTGAGTGTAGAAAGTGCAGGTATGATTAGAACTATTACGTGCACTGGGGATGAACGTCGTGCTGGTCCGGCGACCATTTTTGCGATCGGCGTTCCAGGTCATCCTCGGCGAGGACGTTTCCCGTGGCGAATCGTAGGATTTCATCGCCGATAATCGGGATAATTTCGCGATTACGTGAACCCGGGAAGGAAACCACTCTCGTCGGGATCGACGAGACGCGTAGTACGCGAGTTACGACATGTCGTCGATGATACGCAGGATCGCACCGTCGCGCGAAGAACGTTCGACGGGGCAGCGTTAATTCGTCTCGTGTCTGAGAAAAAAAGAGTGACGTCCGTGAATTCCTGGCATTCGAGTGCATGTAATCGCGAAAACGGGGTTTGTTTTCGCGTGTCATACTTTATTATGCGGGAGCTTGATCGAGCCTATACCGTCTCTTTCTGCCTCTCCTTCTCTCTCTTTCTCTCGGTGTCCCTCGCAATATATTAATTGATAATTGACGAAGGAAGAGAAGTTATCGTTTCGCTCTCGGACTCTAATCGGAACTGCAGAATATACGTAATACACAATGGCTGCAACCTTCGATCAGTACGACAAATCGAGGTGAGTGTGACAGAAAATTCCCATGTTTTGATTCATCAAGCAATCATCAATGTCATGTATATATATGCGGCACTTGAAATTGCGGCTGCAATTTGTATCGTGTCGACGTGCAGTCGTTTCACGCCTCTTATTCCAATCTCACGATATCATTTTTTTTCATCTCGATATGATTTTATCGTCTTCTTGAGCACTGGATAAATCATCCTTAGTCCGTGCGACGTGAAGAATTATAATTATTTGTTTCTCAAAGTATCGTCCCATAGATGAAGCACGAGAGACTGCAATTTTTTACACATTTTTTAAATGTCCATCAAATTTACATAGACGTTTGTTTTTCATGGACTATTTTCACAAACAGTTAATTGAGGTTTTATTCGTCTTCCTTATGTTTTCATTTTAGAAAAGAAAAATTAATTTCTTATAAATAAGAAAGAAAAAATATTTATATTTACTAGCAAATAAATTTCCAAATTTTATGCTACTTAATTGAATTAAATGACATTTTACTATCCTTACATTTTATATTCTTTCCATTTTTTTCATTTTAATTATTGCTATTTCTGTAATTATATATGACTAATTATATATGATTACTTTTATTCATAATATTTGTGGATTGTTATATGAATTTATTCTAAAAAAATTTTATTTTCTATCTAAATAAGTGAATAAATAGATATAGGATCAGTTAAAACTTTGTTAGCTTAGATTTAAATGTATGTAAATATAAATGTATGACAAATTTCTTGCATATTTTTCTACTTATTTTAAGAAAAATTTCTTATCTTTTGTAGCAGTTTTATGTGAAATATATGCAACTATTTATAAAAGATTTAATTTATATATATTTATGATTTGATTCTCTTTTAGCTGGTACTTTGGTGCTATGTCACGGCAGGATGCTTCCGACCTACTAATGGGTGAGAAAGAAGGTGGTGTATTTTTAGTACGAGATAGCACTTCTATACATGGTGATTTTGTACTATGCGTAAGAGAGGACAGTAAAGTTAGCCACTATATCATCAATAAAATTCAACAAGGAGATCAAATTCGATATCGGATTGGAGATCAGATGTTTCCTGATATTCCTAGTCTTCTAGCGTTTTACAAACTGCATTATTTGGATACCACACCATTAATTAGGCCTGCTCCGAAGAAAACACAGAGGGTAATTGCAAAGTACGATTTTGATGGCAATGATTCTGATGATTTACCCTTTAGAAAAGGTATAGTTGATTTTTTTAATTTCACACACATACATAATTTATACAAATTTGATAAAGTTATTTTAATGAAATGAAATTTGTAATAACAGGTGATATACTCACTGTAATATCAAAGGATGAAGAACAATGGTGGACAGCTAGAAATAGCGTTGGCCAAACTGGTTCAATACCAGTTCCATATGTTCAGAAATATGATGAGGATAATCACATGATAATAGAAAATAATTCGCGGCCTGAAAGCGGGGGCAGTTCCGGCTCGAACTCCAATTCCGGACCTACAACACAGGTATCTCAAGCAGAAATAACGGGACAAGCGACTGTAACGCGAAGATCGAACATTCAGAGAACGTTACCGGCCTTTGCAAAAGTGAAACAGGCAAGGGTGCCGAACGCGTACGATAAAACTGCATTAAAATTAGAAGTAGGTGATATGATAAAAGTGACAAAGACTAATATCAATGGACAGTGGGAGGGCGAGTTACACGGCAAAGTCGGACATTTTCCATTTACGCACGTGGAATTTGTAGATAACGAGACTGGTGAAGACAATCAGGAGATTTAACAAAAATTCTCCGAGTGCGATGCATCACATGTGTGACAATGGAAAGAGAGAGAGAGAGAGACTCCTATATTATCAAAATTTAGATTACTAATAACATCTATTATATGTACCATTGCATAGATGTGCTTATATACATTCAAGTCTGAACAGTTACACTTACATTCGATTGTGCCGCGTGTTATGTGCTATACAAGAAGAAACCCCAGATTTTTGTGCAATACGTTGAAATGAAATGTTCAAAGATTTGTGTTAATATGTCTACTGTGTGTTAATATTTTAGTCACATGTGCATCCATAATCTTTTTTGTAATACATTGCTAATTATCCAAAGCACAAGCATAATTTTATAAAGTTATTAGATTTAGATATGTAAAATACAACTTTACATATATATATATATACATATATATATACATATATATTAGAATAAGACTATTATTTCATTAAAAAGAAATTAAAACCATATTTCAATGAAATAATAAAACGACCTATAAAAGATACAATATTTATAAGATATATCCTAACAGTTCTTACGTAGGATATATCTTCATGGTTCTAATTTATAATTATTTATATATACAGCTAATCAAGCTCATTTCATTTTTCTCTTACATAGATGTTAATATAATGCACTAGTTTAAACATTCACGTAAATATAATATTTTGTTTATTCTAAGAATCTATTGATGTTTTAAAATGAATGATTCAGCACAAGGTTCTTGACTCGCGTTCAACGAGTGTCTGTCATGGATTTGTTGATTTTATAAAAGATTATGTTAATGATACATGTTATTATCACATACATAAAACATATATGTTATCATTTTTATTTATCAATATTACAATAAGTAATATTCATGAAATGTGCTTCTCTCCTAAAAAGTAACTTCTACAAAGTTGGAATGGTATATTCTCTTCTGAGTGTATAGTAATATTTTCTAGTCATGCAGTGACTATGATAAAAATATGTATATTCTACTGCATTCTTCTTCATCTGAAATATTAAAATAGAAATAAAGAGTGCATACTGTTCTACAGATTATAAAATCTATCTTTGTCATGGTACATATAATATCTGTTAGCCATATAGAGGTTGTGCCACACGATTGGAGCAACTTGCATTGTGCTAGAAATTTGTATTTATATATAATGATGTGTAGAAAAAGGTTAATTGTATCAAACATACATATATAATATATATATATATATATATATATATATATATATATATATATATACATGTATGTATATATGTAGCAGTATACTACTGATCATATCTATTATTTTGTATTTTCATAATGCAATTTTTTAAATCAGAAATTATGTTGAATGTGTGTGTATATATATATATGTATACATACACATACACACTCAGCATACTATATATCGCTACTTGATTTTTTAATTTATCATATGCATTTGACATTTCCATCATTATATTAGTATCAAATTGTGTAAGTTCTCCATAATCTTCCTAAAATTATGCACAGTATTAAGATAGATAAAATGTGGAAGTATTCCATATCAATAAACCTCGTGTCTAGGCAAGATTCTCTTCCGCTTAATATTTAAGAAAAAAAATATTCAGAAATGGTCCAATTTGTATTTTTTACATCCATTTTGATATTCAGTGTACGAAACAAGACAAACTGGATAACGGGCAGTTTTTTGGCAGCATTACCAGAATCGAGCCGAATCGAATGTTTGTATAAAATGAGATGAGATGTGTGGAATGTGCCATTATGTACATTTTATGTACATTTCTTTAATTGTCGATTAATTTCAATAATAAAATGGTGCTTAAATTTTCAGCATATAATTGAGTTTGAAACATATCAATTTGATATCAGCGAAAATGTTTAAATAATTTCAATAATTTTTGCATATAATAGTTGTTTAATTAACATGTGTATCGATTAAAGAAATTTCTACTGTAAATTTAATAATCAATCATAGCAATCGTAATATAATGAAAGAAATCATGGTTATATAAATTACTTCCATCATTTCACCATGTGTTAATCCTTTATCCAAAATAATTTTATTTATATCCATAACATATATGTGAGATAAATTTAAATACGTCAAGGATATAAATGTATATTTTTCTAAGCATATGCACACATATACTTGGTTTTTCTAATATGAACCAATTTTATAGATATACAATATGATAGAATTAATAATCATTTAGATAAATATATATATATATATATATATATATATATATATTTTTGTGTTGTAATTTATAATAAATTGTAATAATGTAACAATTATAGCATTTAATAATAAATGATAGATAATATATAGATATTGCACTGTTTATTAATTTTTGTAATATTAAATGCGTTTGGTGCAACGCTATTTTCATTTCAAAATACAAGATTCTTAGATCTAATTGAGCTACCAAATATTTCGAGGCAAAAATAGCGTCAAACGGAGTGTATCCAATGCGTTAGAAATATATATATTTCTTGCACATAATTATATATTTTTATTTTTTTAAATATTAAAATATAATTTGAAAAATATATATTAATTTGCAAATTACAGGGCAAAACTTACAATTTATTTTACAGCAGTCTGCATTTATTTCATACTATACACCATTAAAAGCACAAGATGTAATAGAATTTTATCTTCAAAAAACATGCACGTTATCGCGCCAATTGTGTAATTAATGCTGCACACATTTCGAAAAATTCCATTGTATGATGACCCGTTGCTTGCGGAGGTGGCAATGTTGGATCTAAAAGTATGCATATATATTTTTGTACACATAAAACATAAATTATGCTTATGCAATCGTAATAATTTTGTATTGGATAACTTACCTCGTCCAATGTCATCCTCTTCCGTCGATAAGGACTTAAAATCTAATAAATAACTCTTGTAATCAACTTGATACAATTGTAATGACATTTTGCTATATCTGTCAGTCAAGTTGTTCTTATGTCGTACTCTAACACTGTATGCATTTATAATCTTCCATTCCTGAAAAACCAATTCGTATGTTGTCGCATGTAAGCAAATAATTGTTGCTACGCAATTCAGTATGATGAATCTTACAAAGTTAAGCGCTTTCATGGCACGGTAAACTTCATTCATAATGTCATTTGGCTTGGACTGCGATCTGATACCTAAATGCCACTTTGCTCTCTTCACAGGCGTACCGCGATTGCCTTGTGTCTGTCCGGATGTACTACTTTGTGAACCTTGACGTTCACGGTATGCTACAACATTACCATTATACAATTATTGCCAGAGAGAGTCAGTTAAAATATATCCTTCATTTTCACAGATTTAATTTTATACAAAATAATAATAAATTGTCCAAAGCAAAATATTTGGTAACATTTAATGCATCTGACAATTTTTGCAATACTTACTGTTTAATTACTGTTTGAACTTTATAAAAATCTTAAATTAAGTGATGGACAACACGAATGAATTTGTTTCATTCATATGTTTCACATACGTGCAATTCTTTCCGGATGAGGCCTCAAGGGACTACTGCTCGCGTCGTTTGGGCTAAACGCTACCGGCGGTGGGCTAGACGCCACATAAAAGTCTTTTAATTCAGCTTTAGCGGCTTCATCCGCGATTCTTTTATTATCAATGATTAAATGATAGGCAATCGCCAACTGATCATGCGGATCACCGCCCAATAACGCGGAGTGTACTTCTGGTTCTTTGACATTAAACTTCTCACATACTTCATTCACGGCGTCTATGTCGATAACGGATGAATCTTGTTCGACAGGTGATGGAAACAAATACGACGGTAAATCCTTCTGGAACCACTCGTGTTTTCTGAAGTTGTATATTAGATATAATAATAGTTATACTCTTAATTAAAATGGATTCATGTATTATTTAACATACTTAATGTCTTCAATAGTTGCCCTTTTCATCGGGTCGACTTGTAACATATGGCATAAGAGACTAACAACAGTCTTGTTCAAATATTCCGGAATAGGAAAAACACCAGCTAAAATCAAAGGTGAATTATATAATATCTATTATATAATATCTATTATAATATTTAAAATGCAATGAAGAAAATATTTATCTGCGTACATTCTCGTCGAGAGAAAAACTTACATTTAATTTTGCGAAAGAGTGTAGGAACATGTTCATCGTCAAATGGTAAGGTACCACAGAGTAGTGCGTATAATATAACACCACAGGACCAAATATCTACTTCGGGACCGGCGTACAATTTGCCAGATATTACTTCTGGCGCGGCATAATTTGGAGAACCGCACGAAGTACGTAAGAACTCACCATCCATCATCATATTCGATAAACCTGTAAATTTTTGAAAAATAATAATGCTTATATTATATAATAGGAATGTCAATGTGTGTCAATTATATCCATATACCAAAATCTGCGATCTTCACATGAAGATTGTGATCTAACAGAAGATTTTCCGGTTTTAAATCACGATGGACTATCATATGTCGATGACAATAATCGACGCCCGATATAATTTGTTGGAAAAATCGTCGCGCTTCATACTCCTTAAGTTTACCATGCTTAACGATATAATCAAACAGCTCTCCACCTGAGACATATTCCATTATCATGAATATGTCTGTAGGAGTACTTATGACCTGATATCTGTGTACATGAAATATATATTAAGGCTAGCACTATTATAGGAATTGTTTATTTAAAAGTTAGTATCTGGCAAAAGTTATTAAATAGCAAAAATTTTATTTTCAAACTAAAGTTTCAAACTCAATTATATTTTTTATGAAATTAATTTTGTTTCCAAAAGATTAGAGTTTCCTCTGTTATTTATATATGAAATCTATATATAAATATCATTAAAATTTTTAAATGATTAATTAATACTTACAATTTGATAATATGAGGATGCCTGAAGAGTTTAAGATTTTGTATTTCCCTGCGAATTTTCCCTACAACATCTAGGCTTTTAATTTTTTGTCGATTCAGAATCTTCACAGCAACCTTATGTTTTGTTAAAACGTGTTCTCCAACTAATAAAAAGGAATACATAGTATAAAAAATATTTATATATCATATAAATCATATATGTATATATATGGATACATACTTTTTACTTTACCAAATGTACCAACACCTAAAGTCTGGCCTAATGTATAATGGCCTATCTTGACAATGGGTTGTGGTTGACTTGCAAGTTTTTCAGACATTTTGTTGCTGTACAAGATAAAATTCCTTATACAATATGATATACAATGTATAATACAATTTATTATTGAGTTCAAGATTATATTTAGTATTGTTATAACAATACTATCTTTCATACACATAATTGTGAAATTATAAGCTAGAGAACTCTCTATATTAAATATTTTAAGGATATTTGAAACAATTTGAAGTATACAAAACATCTGTATTGTCTTTTTGTTTTGTGTATCTTCTGATTACAATTTTACAAAACTAACAACATAACTGATATAAACATAACTAAAGAAATAAAAAAATTTCAGTTACAATATTATTATTCTAAGTTAGAAGATTCTAAGTTTATCAAATAAAATATCAATTTCGATTAAAATGTACATATTACAAATGTATAATTTTTACATATCAATCTATCTGATTTTAAATAATTTCTTCTTAGCTATGTATATACATCAGATTAAAAAGAAATAAAAATTGTTAACTATTATTACCTTTAATTCAATTAGTTATTATCCTCGCAGAATTACTTCGAATAAGTAGATATTAACAGGTATAAATTCACTCGTTGTGCATAATGCATAACAGCACGTTATTCATTTATACCTGTAAATAATTCATGCGAGATGAACCTGCAATGAAATCCTGCAGTTGAATGATAAAGACATAAAAATTCCGTTGAAAGAAAAATGTGCAGCCAAAATGGCACAAATAGCTTCAATCACCTGACACGATTTACATGTTGAATTTCTTATCATGCAGGTATTGTGCGTACGATCAATTTTATCGGATTTGTGTCATCGCTTGAATAGTAATGTCAGAATAGGACATACTTTCTTACATCAAACAGCTATGTTGGCACTGAAAAATAATTACACGCTGCTGGCTCAAGATTGTTCGATTTATAAATTTGATAAAATCATGTCTTATAATTATATAAAATATACATGATGTCTATAATGTATGATCCTATCAGAGAGAAAACTGAGAGATGTCATGGTCTGCTTTTAAGTGATCCCTGAAAGCGATACTCCCTCTATGGACATTGAAAACGTGGACATAAACTATAAAGCCAATGTCCATGAATGTTCTCAGAGAGTATCATGTGCACAATTCTGGTTTCGTTCCGTGCTATGTGCACGAAATGCCGGTAGCACCAGAGTATAACAAATAGCCAACTTCTGACTGACAATGAGTATCATGATTAAATGACAACGTGACATATGTCAACCTCTAATACACGAGTCAGAAGTTGGCTATATCGCAAGGCCGAAAATGAAATGTTGGACGTCGCCCGCGATATTTCAAGCCGGAAAATCTCGTATAATATGTAAAATATTTACATTAAATCATACATCGTTATATTCGTTTCAAACAGCGCTACAACTTTTATTATATCAAAATATCTACATTATTATAAAAAAATTATACATATTTCTCCGTTCTTTAATACAGATAAATTTTGTAATCAACCACTATACTCACAATAAAGTTCAGTTAAAGCCATTTAATTTCATATATATTTGTTATGGTCTATCTCTTTTAGTTAAAAAGATAAAAGGGGGTGGCCACTTTTAGGTGGAACACTCTGTATATATATATATATATATATATATATATATATATATATATATATATATATATATACATATTTCTAAACATAACGCAGATATTTCAGAATAAAGTTGTAGCGTCATACTATATATCCATATATATATTATATGTGTGTGTTTGTATGTGTAGAGAGAGAGAGAGAGAGAGAGAGAGAGAGAGAGAGAGAGGGAGGGAGGGGGAGAGAGAGGACCACAAAATTTTTTTAAAAAATTAAAATTAAAAATTTATTTATATTTATATACATATATTATTTATATACATTATAGGCATTTTGTGTACATAGGCATTTCGTGTACTACAGACATTTTTTACATAGCACGAAACAGAATCAGAAATTGTGCACATGTATACGTTACCCTCTGAGAACTTTCGTGAACTTTGGCTTTGTAGTTCGTGTCCACGTTTTTTAAATTAACAGAGGGTGTATCACTTTCCGGGATCACCTAAAAGCGGGCCATGACCATGACACCTCTCAGGCTGATATTCATAGTCCGATCTTATATTTAAGATCGTCTTAAGTCTGGTCCGAGGTTGACTTAAGACCTCCTTCAACCAATCAAATAGCTGCGTAGCATTTCAAGCTCGAACTTAAGACGATCTCAAATATAAGATCGAACTATGAATGGCGGCCTCAGTCTTCTCTCTGCAATCGATGATCTCTGGTATTATTTATTAGAGATAAGAAAACAACTAGTGAGACAACGGGCGTTAAAGCATGGATGTTTTTAAATGGCGACGTAGCAAACCGATTGGTTGCCACATGTTGTTACTTGTCAAAATAAAATGTGACGTTTCTGAAGTAAAATCAAATTTATTCATCTCTTGCTAGCATTTTGTACACTCAGATTCTCTCTTTCTCTTTCTCTCTTTTTGATGCTCTATTTCTTTAATATTTCTTTATATTTCTTTAAATTTCTTGTATTTCTTTATTTAATTTTCTTTATTTAATTTCTCTATTTAATTCTTAATTCTTTAACTCTTAATTTATTTCTTTATTTGATTAATTCTCTTTTTATGCTTGCATTTTACATTATTTCACATTTATTATATGGACACATTTATTTTTTTTCCTTTAAAATGGCAAGAAAACAATGGAAGAGTAAAAAAATAACAAAAATTTAATTTTATAGATATAATATAAAAAAAAATTTTATTTAATAAAAAATGATCATAAATATATCGTTTTTATAACTTGTTTTATTTTAAAATATCTAGTCGCTGTTGAAAGAGTGAAAAAGAAAGAGAAAAATAAACTATACTTCTATACTTCTATTTATAGACATTCTCATATATACTCATGTATATATCCATGAATTCTACGTTTATCGAATGTTTACAGTCTATCTCTATTTTTGCATGTGATGACGTTTGCAGGAAATTAAACGTCAAATAAAAATATAAGTCGATATCCATAATCCATTCTTATATTCAAGAGATCGTCTCAATAATTTTAAGATGTTACAATGACAGAGCTCATTAACGTTTTAAAGTCTTATTTAAGAGTTAAGTCTTGAAATAAGGAAATAGTTGATAGAAATGTGCAATTTTTTATTTTTAAAGAAAATTTTTCAATACAATGACAAAATTTTTTAAGCTTTTGATTACTCTTAAAAGTGTTAGTTTCTAAATTTCAGAAAACTTTTTATTTTATTTTATTTTATTTTATTCATTTTTAACATATTAATGCACCTTGTACATATTACTTGAAATTTATTTTTAAGTTTTGGAGTTTTAATATATATAGTAAAATATATTTACAAAAATATGATTTAATATACAAGATTTAAATCATAATAGCTACTGAATATGTAAAATAAGATTATATTTTTTTGTTATAAGTCAGAATAGAATTTTATTTATAATGTTTTTGTAAAAATGTTAGAAAAACTGTTTTGACAATTGGTTCTAAATTGCAATATATCGATTTTTAACAATGATATGGGTATTAAAAATAAATTTCAATTTTGTTTTCTAGGAAAGACAAAAACAGGAAGACTTATCTCTAAGACGATTCTCGTGTGCAAGAGCTATCTATTGAACAAATTAATGCTTGCTTTTACGAAGCTTACGAGATTAAAGTACATAATTATTTATACTTATCTGGTGGATTGTGACATTATATAATTTGCAAGTCATATGTAAAACTGCAGTACATGGATTTTTTTGTATCTTGTCTAATCTATATAGAAAACATATTTAATAAATTGAACAAATATAAAATAATAAAATTTTAACAAGAGTTGTCAAGAAACTATTAATCAATTTTATTGTTCTAATCATAAGTTCCTGTTTTATCAACTTTTTTTCTTTGATTTTTTTTGTTTTATAAATATTCCACTGCTATATACACACATATACACTTCATATTTTTTATTTAAAATAATGTCTATAAATAACATTGATAAAAGTCTCAATTTTTTAAATAAAGAATAATAATGAGAAGATGAGAGAAGAGGAAAAGAAGAGAGAAAACCATCCATTTTCTAGAAGTAACTATTCGTAAACAAGATTGTAGTTCAGTTTGAAATAAATATACGGTATATGTGCACACTCAAATGATATTTCCGGTGTGCAAGAGATTACATGATTGCACACATATTTGCAGTAACGATAAATACATCGGAAATAAATGCAAAGACGGCCATAAATTAAGAAGACTTATATAGAATTGTTAAAAAAATTGATTTTTCTTTTACACATATATATATTTTTTTAAATTATTTAAATATTCTGGAAAAAGCTTATCAGAGAAATAATTAACGAGTTGAATATTTACTATACAGGTTGAATATTATATTTATTTTCATCAAAACGTAATAAAAATTTTTAAAAATTCATCAATTTTGGACGTTTTTCATAAAAATTTCACGAGCAAAATAAATATTTGAAACAAAAAGTTATTTTAACAAGAACAGTTTTAATGCAACAATTTAGCAAAATAATCTGTTATATAAATACATGCTTATTAAATGTTATGATAAGATATTAAAAACATTGAGATAGAGATTTTAGAAACATTGAACATTGATATCATGAAAATGTTAGTATTGGCAGAAATTCTTCTACAAATATATTACTAAGAAGTCAAGAAATATTAAATTTATTAAATTACAAGTGCAAAATGCGATATGCAAAACAGGAATCTATAGCAAAATATATTCAAAGAGCGAAGGCTAATGATGTTTGTAAAAAAAACATGCTCAGAAAATATATTAGTTAGAAATAAATTGAAAAAAAATTTCAAAAAGACTCTCCAAGACAAATATTATAGATTTATGATAATTCAATTTACGATAATAAAAGCTAAAAAAAGAATCTGATGTATTTAATTTGTTGTGTAATAACGTAATTATTTCATAAAATAAGTTTAATATTATTTTTTTCTAATTAAATTTAGTGTCTTTAGAATTTCTTTACAAAAGATCTTCCTTTAATATAGAAAATAGCACAAACTAATTAAAAAACTTTAATTACGTTTTTACAAAACTGCGTATTTGTAAAATAATGAAACATGAATTATGTATCTTCCGAGAAGAGATAAAATTCATGAGCACGCGCGGTTTATCCTCCTTATCCGGTACATTAAATCATGATCGGACGAATTGATATGAAACTTTTAGCATTTGTTATACTTTAAAATCACAGATTTTCGTGTAGCACATCTTATCGTATTTTCGTAAATCCATCGATTATTTCAAATAACGTTAGTCACGTAGCGAATTGCTAAGCTATTCGTATTAAATCGTTTGCTTCAAGTAATCGAAATCTTTTTTTAGAAAGGAAATATCGTTTAACGCATATGTTATTTCTAAGAGCAAACAATGACAATTCATTCTTTGATTACTCATTGCTTGTCAGAAAGACTAAAGTGGATTAGATAATAGAAAAAATATATATATGTATACATATACTTTATCTAAGTCATTCGATAATGCCAAAATGTAATTGCCTGAATTAGAGATAGTGTCTAATAATATCTATATAATGTTTAAGATTATAAACTGTTATACAAAATAAATTACTGCTAATTGTTTTTAACTTATCAATTTTTTATAATAATTTAGTTCTTTAATCATCATAAAAGCTACAATATTATAGATAAAAGTAAGGCGGAATATTTTATAATTTATCGATAATTTCAAAGTTTGATGGCATTTATTTTAAAAATGAAAGATATTATTACGTAATTTTTTCACGACTAAAAATTAGAAAAGTTATAGAAAATAAACTCGTTTTAATTATTTTAATCCATTTATTTTTTAAGAACAATTAATTTTTTTATTATATTTATTATTGTTATTTTTGAGTGATTTACTTTAAAAATAAAAATCCAAGTTTGGAACAATGAGATGCGAGCGAGTGCAAATTAAACGGAATATATATATCAGAAATATTAACATGATTTATATGAAAGTCGAATTTTTATGTAATTTCATCGATTATAATTTATTATATATCTTTATGTCGCATGTATATCAATGACATTATAATTTCAAATATGCCAATTACACGAGTTAATCAAATAATATTTGACATGTACTTCTACATAAAAATCGAGAAGAATATTCTCAAGTATTTTCTTCTAATAGAAGAAAGTTCAAGTTGCTGTCCTTGGATAAGAAAATTAGACGTGTTAGCATTCGTGTCCTTTGTTCACACTGTATTTTTTGTGCATTTCTTTCCAAGAGAGTCACTTTTCCTTATCCTGAAATTAATACAGCATCAATTGGCATGTACATTGTACATACATATACAGATAACAGAAAGAACCGTCATCTCTTTTCTTATATTATTCTCTCTCTCTCTCTCTCTCTCTCTCTCTCTCTCTCTCTCTCTATGAGAACTTCCTAGTAAAAAAACGCAAGTAAACACATGATTGGCTATCGAGTAGAAAATTTTTCAGGACTCTAAAAATTTCCTATTCGACAGTCAATTGCACGATCACGTTGCCTGTCTGTGTTTCTTTGCCGGAAGGCTTTTTGTATCTCCCGCGTGCTCCATGCTCGATAAGTCGATCGAGCGCCGCCGAATGGCGCTGCGAGCGAGCTCGATGACGGAGCTCTACGCCATTACGCGCTGTGGTGGCAGTTGCGGTTGAGACGGCGGTTCGAGTGGTCGTTGTTTTGCACGGTGCGCGAATCACGAACATCCTCGGGGAGCAGAGATTGCGCGCGAGTGCAAACGGGATACGATATTCATCGTGGCGTTTCACGGCGATAATCATTTCGTGATTGACGTTCTATCGCTCGTTCAGCGGAAAGTCGAGCCGCCCGAAGGTTAGAAGGCGGCAGTATCCGATAACGATTAACGTACGCGTAGAAGGAAACGAATTCCGGGCGTGACGCATCTCGCGGTTAGTGTTAATCGCCGCGCGCGATGCACAGGACTAGTGTAACGGCCGTGAATTGCCTTCGTCGTCGGACTTTGACAGGTGCGGTCGTGACCATGTACGACAGCGGTGTACTCTGGCCTCTGTTGCTGCTACTGTTGACCTTGTCTAGCTTCGCGAGTCCGGTGAGCGATAATAATGTATACATACATATATACATGCATATGTAGGCTACGGGCCGATATACCTGCGCCGCGTCCTTTTTGCGACGCTCAAGTTCTACGTGTTCCGCGCGTGCGTCAAATCTCCTCTCATTTCCTCCCTCGCCCCTTCTCAGACGATATGTATCTTCTCTTCTCTTCGTATCTTTCATTGCACGCGTACACATATACCACGTACACATGTACACACGTGTAACAAGCGTGCCTATGTATCTGTTTGTTGTATTTGTGCGTACGTTGCATTGTTCATACCCTGGCAATAGGGAGAATTTAGGTGCGCGAGCGCGCCGCGTGACGTCACGTCGGCTGATCGCCGTGAAAGCCAGTCGTCGTCCTGTTATGTATGTCCGTAGGATTTATTAAATTTAATTATGCTGCTTTCGCGGCGGCGAGAGATTTGCCGTCTTGATGATACACACGAATTGTTTATTGGGTCAAGGACTGCGAAAAATATTTTTTTTTAATTTTTTTATCGACTCGTAAATCCCTCGATATCGATAAGCGATGATTACTCGGTTGCGAGACGTCATCTGGCCTCGCGTCTAAATTCTTGCCTTGGGGCGATGCGAAAAATATGTAATTCTTGGAACACCTTGGTCCAATTATCATCAAGTCGCAATGTCGTTTTACACTCACATACGTTTTTTGCTGTCTTTCGTCTCAGATCCATGATTAATGTAGGTAATCGTAACGCGAAAAAAAGAGCAACATTGAATCAGTCGCGAGTGATTAAGCGCTAGACGACGTGAGCGATGATTGATCGTTTCATGTCAAGAAAGAGCGCGACTTAATGCGACATAAAGCGCCGCTTATTCAATAACTTTATTATTCTCTGCTGCAATTTGTCTAAATTTTCAATAATATAAAATAGAAATATATATTTATTTTTTTTAATTAAAAAGAAAATTTTTTCAAATTCATGTAGATAAAAGAATATATATATATATTTTTTTTATTTATTATTATTTTTTATTTATTTTTAAAATAAATCTTTTTAATGTATTTCAAATAAATATGAGAGAGCTTTGGATTAAATATTTTACACTTTATTAAAAAAAAGTAAAATAAACTTTTTTTCTTAAATATATTCTTAAGTACATAAAATGAAATTAAAATTCCATGAGAATGAGTATATTTTTATAAAGTTCTATATATCTTAGGAATTTGATTCTCTCCACGAGGCATGATATGACTACTTATCAATATTTAATTAACATGTCTATTATGAAATATCATTCATTCATGTCATTCCGTTATATTCATCTGATTTCATTGAATAATTATTTTCGTATTATAATGTAAAATAAAGAAAGGAAAATAGACAAGCATAGGATCAAGAATAATGTTAATCAAGAATTATGTTAATATTGTTATTATCAACAATATATATTCTGCTCAGATATTTTCTTTGAGATAAAAAGCACATTTATGTGTATCATCAGTACATTCATTAAGACTTATCCAAACGCATTCTTACACTGTCGTGTAATGAATGTGAAAATGATCGATAAATGATTGGTAAACACATACATTACGTGCAATTATGCAAGCCAAATCCGACGCAAAAAAGGGAAACTTCAGATAATAAATTTCTCTCATTTCGAATGATAAAATGTAAATTATGCGATTTTTTTGTACGTATTATCACGTGCAAACGATTCGAGAATGTTTATAAAGACGGTTAGCAACGCTTTCTTAGCTTCGTGCCGCTCATAATACAAAGTATAAACGCCCATTGCGTGACTTATATGATTCCTTATAAACGCATGACTCATTCGAAGCTGATATGGGGTGTCATTTTATCATGTAATACGAGATACGATAAATGCCATTTTTTAAATACTTTTTTTAATACTTTTATATATTTATACAAGCTTTTTCCTCCTTCCTCTAAACTTAAATAAGCGTCTAATAGATAAAATATAATAATTATATATATATATATATATATATATATATATAAATTGATATATAAATCAGTTATTATTTATACAAAAGTTATGGGAAATGTCATTATAAAATGATTATTACAAATTTTGCTCCGAAAGTAAGATAAATGGCTTTTTTCTGAGCAAATTTTTTTAAAAATCAATAATTTTACAAAAAAATATTTGCGAAATATTAAACAAATTTAATTTCTTTATGTTTAAGTGTTATAATAAATTTTGTTAAATATATATTTATTTTGCTACACAAATATATAAATAATATACTTTTTCTCTTCTTAGAAAACTTAGTTTTTCAATTTTTCTTTTCTATTAACTAGAATATATTTATTATAAATAAAATTAAAATAATTATATACATATATATATATATATATATATATATATATATAACTTAGAAAAAACAAACCATCTTGCTTTTGGAGCAATATTTGTAATAATAATTTATAATATTTTATAATATTTCTCAATTTCTCTTTTGTATAAATAATAACTAATTATATATTAATTTTTATTTTAATATATCTATATAATTATATTTTATCTATTTTATTTATCTATTACATTATTTCATAACCTGAAACAGACGTTTATGTGAATTAGATTATATTTAGATTTGAATTATATTTAGAAAAAGAAGAAAAATAAGTTTATATATATATATATATATATATATATATATATATATTGTTTCAATTAAATAAAGTTAATTAAATATGTTATCATGTTATATCATATAATTTTAAATTATAAATTAGATAAAGCAGTATTAATATTACATAATCGTCATTAATTATATATGTTTGTGTAAGAATATCTCGTGTAAAACACGAAATGTTATTTCTCTTTGTAGAGTTCTTCATACGATGCTCTGCTTTAAATTAAGTGAATTAAATCATTAATTCAGCTCATTGCTTCAAATAAATCCCATATATAAGCTTTAATAGTCACAGGTCATGAAGAACTCAATTAGGAAACATTTCGTGCAATATTTTATATCTTTATATGCGCCTTGTATAAGCGCAGTTATACATCAAGTGACGTATATAATATTAATATTTAGTAACAAATCTTATAAGATGAATTTTAGAACATTATTTTTTTTAATATATATTTTTTAATATATGCTTAAAAATGAAAGTTTAAAAATATTTTTTATTTCCAAACAGGTCGCCAGTGATAATAGTAGTCATTGTATATGGTATGGAGAATGTTATAAGGATGCAGCTCAGCACAAAAAGAATTGTTTTTATAATGGCACGGCGAAACCATTGGATTCCGAGGGACAGAAATTATTGGCTAAGCATTGTCCACATTTGTTGGTGGATGATGGCACGGGAATTAATACTTGCTGCGACACGAATCAACTTACAACATTGGATGCAAATATCAAGCTTGCATCCAACTTTTTAAAAAGATGCCCTAGTTGCTTAGATAATTTAGCAAAGCACTTTTGCGATTTCACATGCGCTACTAACCAAAGCAAATTTATCAATGTTACGGAGAAAGGCGAAGCAAGCGGTAATTATATGCATATATTGATATTTTGTTTCATTAATTTGACACTTGAAATAGAATATTTTCTACCAACACTGCTCAATATGCGATTTTATGATTTTGATTTCCTTTTTCCAGGTAAAGAATATGTTAATGGGATAGATGTATTCATAACAAATAAGTATCTTGAAGGAACGTTTAACTCGTGCAATAAAGTATCAGTGCCGAGCACAGGCCAGTTAGCACTAGATCTAATGTGTGGAGAATGGGGTGCAAGTAGATGCACTCCTTTAAAATGGTTCCACTATATGGGCGATGCGGAGAATAATATCTATGTACCTTTCCAAATTACATATAAAAATACTGATGAACCTGTTGGCTCCTTTATACCATTAGATCCTCTAATCACGCCATGCAGTAAGGCGCTAAACGTTAGTATTATTTTTAGAGAGATATGCAATATATTTTTTAAAAATTATACGGAATACACACACACTACACACACACACACACTATATATATATATATATATATATATATATATATATATATATTTCAAATGTTCTCTTTTGAGCTTGTTAGATTTATTAACGCTGTAAAGATCTAAATATGCTAATAAGCAAGGTGGTTACTACATTCCTTTTGTAAAGACTTTTTTAACTAGAGCAATGAGTCACTTTCTTATTAGTATCACACAATCAAGTTCTTTAAATAATTATTATATTTCATGTTATACAAATGCAAGTAAGAAAATAAGCAGCAATTATTGAAATATACATTCTAAAAAAGATAGGAATCATTTAATTGGATTGATTTTGTTAAGTAACAGATGTTTTTATCTTGTTCGACAGATTTTTATTATTATCTTGTTCGACATTGGAAGAATAATAATTTAATTGTATATTCATATAATAGTTAAGAAGAAAACAAGTTGGTCTAGTTGTTAATTTAATGACATACATTTTTAATGTATATTTTTTAATGAAGTGCATAAAAATTAAGTATTATTACATTTTTCATAATCGAAAAATAAGAATATTTGAATTATTTTTCTGTATTTGATAAATAATATATAAAAATCTTATAAACAATTTATAGAATTTTAAGAGAATTAAATATGCAGAAAGAATTTTTTTTCAAGATTATTATTTTCAGAATGTTTAAACATGTAATTTTCTAACATAGAAAAATATGTTGCTGTATTTTTTTATATTTGATAATTAACACATCTAATATATTACTTAATTTTTATTTATATAAATATGTTAAAACACTAAAAAATATTCAAATTATTTGTATTTCTATACATTATTAATAGAAAGAGAAAGAGAGAAAGCAGAAATTTATAAAAATTAATTTAAATAATATTTGAATATTTTATTTTTAGTGCATTTTATTTCATTATGTTGTTATTATTTGTGCATTAAAACACATAAAGACATTTGAAACGCATAATAACATGATTAACTAAACCATTTTTTATAAGACATGAATAAAATGTACAAAAGATAAATATGAAATAATGAGAAATATGTATTTAATTTTTTTTGTAGAAAAATACTCCAGCTTGCAGTTGTGTTGATTGTGAACAAAGTTGTCCAACACCACCACCGGTGCCTCCACTTCCAAAACCATTCTCAATATTCGGTTACGATGGTTACCAAGTTATAATGACAATTATTTTTGTATGTGGCACTTGCCTTTTCCTCCTATTAGTAATGTGTTTCAGCCATAGAAAACGTATAGGTAAGTTTTACTTCGTTTTATGCATATTAAGAAAATATATATCTTGACTTTATGTATATATATATATATATATATATATATATATATATAAAAAGATTATTAGATTTTGTTGCAACATAAGCTATGTAAATGAAAAATGGAGTGTGCCTTTATTCAATTTTGAATTTTTTTACCTATATTTTGCATATATTATTTATTTTTGATAATTTATTGAATTTATGTAGTTAATTATTAATTAACTAATGTTATATTTTTGATTATTGATCACATTTCTAAATAAATACATGAAGGGATAATAAAAGAGACGCGCGCGAAATCATAGAGTTCATTGTGTGATTAACTTTTTTGTAATAATTATATTTAGATATATCTTCTATTGTTGCTATTTATCTTTTAATTGTGGGTTTTTTCTCTGTATTTGTTTAACATGTTTTATTTGTCTTATTATTTAAATCTGAGGAAAAAGCATGTATAATACCTCATTAATTTCTTGTTTTTTCTTCATCTTTTTCCTTTTTCTTTTTTATAAAAAACGAATATTACTTTTGTGAGAAACGTTAGGACAATTCAGAATTGTAGTGATTACTCTCCTATACATTTGTAATCGTGCAAACGCATTTATGAATTATTGCAGTAATAATTATTTTCAATGCTATATAAAATATTTATATATTTATATAAAATATTTAAAGAAGAGGTATTATATATCAATTGAAACTTGCCTGCAAAAAATCAAATTTTGTTTACGTTCTTATAACGAATTATTTATTATTATAACGAAATTTTTTTTTGTCTCATTCAATATTTGATGTATTTGTAAATCATAACACATGAGAATTCTTTCTGCAAATGTTGATGTTAACGTTTGATACTAACTCTAATTATTTGTTTACTCTATTCTTTGAACTAATATATATTTAATAATTCAATCATTTAGATTCTAAGTGATTTATCAAATATTTATGTGCGAATGGAATATTTTTTGTATACTGACTAGTTAATGCGCGTAAATGATACTTATGTATATGAGAGAAAAATATTTGACAAGTTGTGTATGTATGGTGTGCGCGTATGTATAGTTGCACGAGGGGAGGAGGTAGGAAGACAGGTGGGTAGACGGCTAGCTGCCGGATTACACCCAGGAGATGGTGCTCGTATTGCCCTTGCCGCTGACCAAGAAGACAGCCCACTTCAGTCTAAGCGTTCCAGTAGGTTTTTTCGATTCTAAAATCTTCGATGTTCGCAATTGTAATCGTTTATTACGTTCTTGTTTCGTATTTTTCTTCTTGTTTTTTTTTGCTTTTATCGCTTCGTTTATTTCTTTGTTTCTTTCGCTTTTTTTGTTTCTAGCGCTGCAGATTATTCCTGCCACTGGATGTCATTTGTGCATTAAATAATTTTTCTTCAAGAACATTTGCACTTTTAGATTTATCAAACTTAGTTTTAGCTATAGCATTAAGTTCTTTAACTTGTGTATCTCTTTTCACTGTAACAATATGCAAGATTACATATTCACACGCATGCGTTGTAGCGAATTTTTATTTGTTAACTGCACAATTGCATTAAAGATTCAAAAGCTTAAGAACAAAATAAATATTTGAACAAGTTTGAAGCATGGTTGGCAAAAATTGTAGAAAAAGCATGCAATGAGATTGTTGTATTAATATTGTATTACATTGCATGAAAATATTTTATTAAAATTTGAGGCAAAATCGATGCTTGTTTTCATAAAAAAAATTTTTATCGAGAATATTTTTAAACTTCAAAAACAAAAAAGAAAGAGAAGATGTATATAAAATTTTTTTAACACTTGATTAGAAATATTTATATAAATACTCTCTTACTCACAAAAATTGTGTTGTGCAAGTATTTTGTATTTGTATTTCTTTTATATTAAATTAAGTCGTTTTTACAAGTCTTAGTATTGCATGTGTATAATAGGGCGATAAATATTGCTTTTAATGAATTAGTGAAATATGTCGTTTAATTAAATGAACTTAATATAGAAAGATTTTCCTACGACAGCATTGGAAAATGATTTTAAGAAAAGTGAATTAGCAAAATAAATAGAAATTACTTAATTTCGATATGCGAATTTAACAAAAATAAAAGATACTGTCTCTAAAATAATGAAAAGCATGTTGCAAGTATGTTGTACAGAATTGTTTTATTTATTTTCTATTTTTTACAAAGTTATAATAAAATTTAATCTATCTCTAATGTTGTTAAGGAGATCTTAAACTTACTCTTTAACACTTAGTTATAGCAAAAATTCTGTATAACTCTATATTAGTTTTGATAAGAGCTATTTTATAATTATACATAATTTAACATTAGAGACATTAATTCTAATAATTAAAAAATACTAATTCTTTATATTTTTAAATTAATTTTAATTAAATCCTTCTTATCTTAAATAATTTTATCTTTTTCTTATATATATGTGTAATACAATAAAATATTATTCCAGTGCTGTTTATTATAATTATATTTAAGACATTTTATTGTCAATCTTATATATGTATATTATTTATTTTAGGAATCGGTATTTTTCTTTATTCTTTGCTGTTTTATGAAGCTGATTATTTGCAATATTATTGTATTAATTATAAATTATGAAATACTAGATATTTAGTAACATACTCAAGATTGAAACAAAATGCTTAATCAAATGTTTATTTATAAATAGGAATTTGTTGCATTTGATATGTATGTTTATAGGCGTCATATCAACCGACGAATTACCAAGTGGATTTGACGAAGAACAATCCACTTTCATTGAGAAGCTTGGAGCAGGTACTGACAAATTTTTGCAAGAATTCTTCTGCAAATGGGGAACGTGTAAGTAAAATATTGTTTTTATATTCTACATTTTATGTAGAATAATTTTTAGAATAGTCTTAGTTATATGCACAAAGCTTTTTTTACATTATGATATTGTATTAATGACTAATGGTTTTGTTACAGTTTGCGCTTCTCGGCCTTGGTTAATACTTTTCCTTGGCTTCCTATTGATCGTTGCTTTAGGACATGGCATAAAATATATGCAAGTTACTACAGATCCTGTAGAACTGTGGGCATCTCCGCATTCCCGATCACGTGTCGAAAAGGAATATTTCGATAAACACTTTGAGCCCTTTTATCGAAACGAACAAATTATTATCACTTCTGTCGGCTTACCGAATGTATGTACTATTGAAATACATTAAGTTGTTACATGTTATGTTTATATTTTTGCTAGTTATATAAATCAATATAAAATGATTTATATTGATTTATATAACTGTATGTATTTTTCCAAATAAAGATAAACTACTGTGTAATTATTACTTATCATAAGACAGGAATAAATTATAGCTTTGATTTGATATGTATAATTATTTAATGTTAATTACAGATTGTGCACAACACTTCTAACGGACCAATCGTATTTGGACCTGTGTTTAATGATACTTTCCTAAAAACAGTCTTAGAATTGCAAGAAGGAATTAAGAATATAATTACTGCTAACAACTATACATTAGCGGATATATGTTTCGCTCCTTTAACTGGACCATTTACCGGACCGACAACAGTATCGCAATGTACTATTCAAAGTATTTGGGGTTATTGGCAAGATAGTTTAGAAAAGTTTGAGACTTCGGATGACGATAACAATTATACAGTCAACTATTTGGACCATTTCAGAGTTTGTTCGCAGTAAGTGATGACAAAAGAAAGCGCGCAATAATATTTACTTATTTATTTTGTTAGTCTATGTGATATGAAAAAATCCTTTAGCGATGTTATTAGCACCTTTTGTAGATCCTTCAGCACAAGTAAAAATTATTAATTAAGAAGCGCTAGAGTAACATATTACTAGTATTAATAGTATATAAAATATAGAACGTAATAGAACAGATAATAGAATATAGAATATAGTAATGAAATATATAATAAATTGTAACAATATATATATATAATTATTACAAGATAAAGATTAAGCTGGATTTAAAATTATTAGGATTTTATAAAGTGTTTAAATTTTTATATAAAGAAAAAATTAGTATTATTATTTGGAAAAACAAGTTATATTACTTGATTTACAAAATAAATTTATCTTAAATCAGTAACAATGAAAAAATTGAATATTGTAAAAAACAGTTTAGATTAGAATTGAGATAATTTAAAGAATATACAAGATAAAACAATTGATGTAACCATTAATGAAAAATATGCTTAAGAGGCAGATTGAATGTTTCTTAGATATATGTAAAACAGTATTTTATATATATATATATATATATATATATATATATATATATATAATGTACGTTTTATATTTATATTTTTGTACATCTTTCAGGAATGCATACAATCCTGAGTGTCTCGCGCCTTACGGCGGGCCTATAGAACCGGCAATCGCAGTAGGCGGATTTTTGTCTCCAGGACATGATCTTCATAATTCACCATATGAAAAGGCAACCGCTATAATCCTTACTTTTCTTGTAAACAATTATCACAATAAAGCCAAATTGCTTCCTGCTATGGAATGGGAAGAAAGGTAGACTTGCATTCGCAAAATTATTAAATTCGAGTCAGATTATATCATTCATATATCGTTCTTTCAATTTCAGTTTTATTAACTTTATGAAAAATTGGACTGCAACGAAAAAACCGGCATTTATGAACATTGCATTCACATCAGAACGATCTATCGAGGATGAACTGAATCGTGAATCAAAATCGGACATTGTAACTATTTTGGTATCATATGTCATCATGTTTGGATACATCGCAGTATCACTCGGCCAAATTAGATCATGCACTCGTCTTTTGGTGAGAATCTACATCATGTGATTGCTATGCCATTTTTGTTTTTTCGTCTTGCACAATTTTATATATAATCGATATTTGCTATATGATTTCAGTACGATTCCAAGATTACTCTTGGGCTTGGAGGTGTGCTCATAGTGCTGTTGTCTGTGATTTGCTCAGTCGGACTGTTTGGCTTCATTGGTGTACCAGCTACACTGATTATCATCGAGGTCATTCCGTTCTTGGTACTAGCGGTCGGAGTAGATAATATTTTTATTCTCGTTCAAACTCATCAGAGAGAGGGCAGACGCCCGAATGAATCGATTCAGGAACATATCGGACGTACACTGGGTCAAGTCGGTCCTAGTATGTTGCTTACTAGTGTATCGGAAAGCTGTTGCTTCTTTCTAGGTAAGTCGGTATGAAATATAGTGAAACTTGTACATATATTGAAAAATAAGAAAATGAGATTGTTTTCATAAATACGGATAAGTTATAATTTATTCTTTCTCTATTGATTTATAGGCAGCCTCTCTGATATGCCTGCTGTAAAAGCATTTGCTCTTTATGCTGGAATGGCTTTATTAGTGGACTTTATATTGCAAATTACATGTTTCGTCAGTCTCTTAGCTCTTGACACAATTCGGCATACGGTATGTATTTAAAATGGAAGAAATTTATTTTAAAAATTAAATTTGTTTTAAATTTATTAAAAATTTTTATATAATCATATATTTAACATTTCTTGTATACATTTTATGGAATAATATAATAGAGATATAGAATAAAATTTAATAGAATATTTTGTATATTTAATAGAAGTTCTCTTGTAAAAATTTAATTTTTATTACAACGAATTTTTGTTAATTATATATTCTATACAATTGTTACGTTTAATACATAAAGCGCATTTTTATCATTTTAGAACAACAGACTGGATGTATGTTGCTTTATACACTCCAAGCGTGATGATGGAGAAGAAGTAGTAGATGGAATATTGTATAAAATTTTCAAAGTTGCATATGTTCCGTTATTATTGCAAAAGTGGGTTCGCACGGCTGTGATGATTGTGTTTTTCGGTTGGCTTTGCAGCAGTATCGCTGTAATACCACACATCGAAATTGGCCTAGATCAAGAGCTCTCTATGCCTGAAGATAGTTTTGTGCTTAAATATTTCAAAGTACGAATAATTTAAAGCATCAATATTCGCGCTAGACATAAATTATAAAAAATACTAAATTTTACACTTCTTTTGCAGTTCTTAAATAATTATTTATCTATTGGACCACCGATGTATTTCGTTGTTAAAGATGGCCTAAATTATTCGGATACTAAAATGCAAAATCTTATTTGCGGTGGACAATATTGTAACAGTGATTCAGTATCAACTCAAATATTTACAGCATCCAAACAATCAAATAGGTATAATGCAAAAGTTTCATATATGAATTTACAACGTCTTTTTTGTTTTTGGATTTTATATAAAAATGTTCTTTTTTTTAGAACTTATATAGCTAAGCCTGCTTCGTCTTGGATGGATGATTATATCGATTGGTCTGGATTACCCGGTTGTTGCAGATATTTTCCTACGAATAATTCATTCTGTCCACATACTGGTACGTATTTTTGTATAAAAATGTTTTATATATTCGCGTATATACTTTACTTCATGTACTTTTGAATCGTAGATCGACAATGTCGTAGTTGCAATATCACTTTGAACAAATACAACAGACCGATGCCTATGGATTTCGACAAATATGTATCGTTCTTCCTGCAAGATAATCCCGATGAAACTTGCGCTAAAGGAGGTCATGCGGCTTACGGACATGGTGTAAATTACATGACCGATCCTAACACAGGGATGTCAACTGTTGGCGCTTCGTATTTTATGGCTTATCACACTATCCTCAAAACTTCAGCCGATTATTACGAATCGATGAGAGCAGCCAGAGTCGTAGCAGCTAATATTACAGATATGCTCAACTGTAACCTGCAACGTAAAAACACCACTGTGGAAGTTTTTCCATATAGTGTTTTCTATGTATTTTACGAGCAGTATTTGACCATGTGGCCTGATACATTGCAAAGTATAGGAATCTCATTGCTCGCTATATTTGTCGTTACTTTCTTGCTGATGGGTTTGGATATTTTCTCATCGCTAGTTGTTCTAATTACGATCACAATGATCGTCGTCAATATTGGCGGTTTGATGTATTGGTGGCATATAACTCTAAATGCGGTATCTCTAGTAAATCTTGTTATGGTAAGTTAATTGTTATAGAACAGCAAATATCTATTTGTGGTGTTATTAGTATTGGGACATTTTTTCATAATTTTGCATTTTACACACAATTCGAGTTTTTAAAATAATATATAAATGGAATACAATATATTTACATATCATAAATCAGTTGATAATTTTTTTCCTTTTACTTTCAATTATTTATTATCATCACATTTTTATAATAAATAATTTGCTTTTATTAGTATATTGGATAACGAAAAAAATTATTTATTAAAAATCGATAAATCGGTAATCGATATTGATGTTTGTTGCAGGCAGTTGGTATAGCTGTCGAATTTTGCAGTCATTTAGTGCATTCCTTTTCGGTATCAGTTCAAGCTACTAGAGTAGAAAGAGTTGCAGATGCGTTGACGAATATGGGAAGCTCAGTATTTAGCGGTATCACATTGACAAAGTTTGGTGGTATCATAGTCCTGGGATTTGCAAAAAGCCAAATTTTCCAGGTTTGTTTATTGTTTATTTGTTTTTTCGATAAAATAGAACATTAATTATTGAAATCATATCAAGTCTATTATAAAAAAAATTTGCATTCGGTATGAGCACGATTAAGTTATAATTCATTTTTCATATTCCCTCTTAACTTGTTTCAAATAATTTCTTCAGTTTTCACAAATTTTTTCAAAAATTTCACTTATCACAAATTAATCATAAATAGCAAGCGCATTTGATTATTTTATTTATGTTGTTTTATATATTTTATATAAAATTGCAGCATTATTTAACTAAAAAATATTTGCAGGTCTTTTACTTCAGAATGTATCTAGGTATTGTGTTATTTGGAGCAGCCCATGGTCTCATCTTTTTGCCAGTATTATTAAGTTATATAGGTAAGAAAACGCTTATAATTATGGCAGTCATTTTATATCTAATTTTTTTATGCGTGTATATATATGTGCGTGTGTGTGTGTATATGTATGTGTGTGTATGTACACACGCGCGCGCGCGCATGCAGAAAAAGTTTTAGGTTACATCTCCGGTAATCCAAATCTTCTCTGATTTTACATTTATCATTTCCGCTTTTATCTTATCTTACACTTGTAACTTTGTATGTGTAATGATAGGGAAAAATGACACTGCAGAAAAACTAGATGAGACATTTCAGCTGATTTAGGATTATGTATTTTTAATTGTTATATTCAATTATTTTATGTTTATGTTGTTTATACACACAAAATATGCTGTCATTGCTTATACATTGTATAAAACATATCTTATGCAAATTTGAAGTTCACTGCTAAATAGTGGACATATGTCTGATAGCACAATGATTGTACTCTTTCAGATTTTTTGTGAGCATGTTAGTGCTTGGGGGGGAGAGATAACAAATAATCTTTGTTTTTGTTTATGGGCACACCAGTTTTAAAAATCTTATTTTCATATCCCTATATGCATAATAATGCGAATGCAGCAAGATCTCTTGTGTTCGATATGAGTAGCTTTGCAAATTCGACAGAGATTGTACGTACAGTTAGTAGGAAATTACACTGTGATATGTTTACTTCAAATATTTTTATATTAATAATGCCTGAGCTTAGTTTTATTTACTGAGAAGAATCAATTCTTTAATTTTGAGTAACAAGATAATTCTGAATAATATCGACTGGTGTCATGGCTCCTGGTGGTTCTAGGCTCACCCATGAATAGGGAGAAGTTGGCCAATCACAAAAGAGCGATGCATGGGAATTTGGACAACGTGCAAGAGACATCTTTGACTCATCGTGTAAGCAAACACAATTCTCCTTCTACACCCACAACAACCACACCTACGTTCAAAGTCGTATACGAGAGATAGGTATGCAGAGTTGGGTATCTGAGTTAAAAAAAAATAAATAAATAAAAGGAAAAAACATCTGCACTGTGATACATGATAAGTTTTTTGACAATTTTTTCTTATTTTTAAAATGCGTCGCACATGTTTTTTATATGTTGCTTATTCTACACAATGTAGATAGAATTATTTTTGAGATACTATTCAATATTATTAATTCATCTTATATTTTTAATTAATTATCCTTATATTCTTAATAATCTTATATTTTTAATATAATCCAGCAGGTGCAATTTTCTGTATATAAAAGCAAATCTTTCACATCTTTTGTTTTATTTTTTGTTTAAATTTAATTAAATTGGAATAACTGATAATCTTTTATATTTTAAGCTTACATGACTATATATATTCTTTTTAATATTATATATTTAATTTATTATACACTATTATCTATTTCCAAATGGTAAGAAACTCGCAAACATATTATTTCTTCATTAAAGTTATTAAATGATCTATGCTGTAGTTCTAAATATTATTTAATTCATTATGTTCTTCCTTTTTCTTCTTTGATTTATCTCTATATAAAAAACATAAATATTTAGTTTTTTAATTTAGAGAATTAAATTTTAAAGAGTTTAAAGTTTAAAATCGCAATATATAAAATTTATTAAGGAAACTTAGCTTTGATGCATATCTATGGAAAAAAATATATACTACTTTATGATAAAAAATTATATATATGCAATATCTCTTGTGTGTAATTGTATAAAAGTTAATGCATAACCTGACTAATTATATCATAAGATATATTATTTTAAATTTCAATCAGTAATTAAGAAATAGAATTGTTATATATTAATATATTAATATATAATATATATATATATATATATATATATATATATATTATACATTAATATAATATTTATAATTATACATTAATATAATTATTAATAATCTTTATACTTAACAATGCACACAGACATATAATGTGTGTATGTATGTATATATATACAGGGTAAGCCATTTTAATTTATCCACCCCAATAACTTTTTTATATTTGAATGTACAACAAAATGTTTCAAATAAAAGTTGCTTGACTTCGAAGGGGACAGAAGATGGGTAGCAAAAATTTGACCTTGGATAGTCATTTGAAAGTCACATAAAGGTTACCTTTAATTTCTTAAATGGAACACCCTATTTTTCATTGCATATTCTTGTAGCTTATCTCGAGAGCTTTCCAAAACACTATAATTAAGTACCTTTTCATTAAGTACTTTTTGAGTTATAAGGCTTGAAATAATTTCTTAATTTTACATAAACCATAAAATATCTAGTAAACCATTCATTTTTCGATTATCTTACCCTCATACTTTTATGTACAAAATAATGAGAGGAATCAATTGGTGTAAAGAAAACACATAGTTGTTTCTAAGAAAAAATATGTAATTTGCAATTAACAATTCCACATTTTTTCTTAAAAACAACTGTATGTTTTCTTTACACCAATTGATTCCTCTCATTATTTTATATATAAAAGTATGAAGGTAAGATAATCGAAAAATGAATGGTTTACTAGATATTTTATGGTTTATGTAAAATTAAGAAATTATTTCAAGCCTTATAACTCAAAAAGTACTTAATGAAAAGGTACTTAATTATAGTGTTTTGGAAAGCTCTCGAGATAAGCTACAAGAATATGCAATGAAAAATAGGGGGTTCCATTTAAGAAATTGAAGGTAACCTTTATGTGACTTTCAAATGACTATCCAAGGTCAAATTTTTGCTACCCATCTTCTGTCCCCCTTGAAGTCAAGCAACTTTTATTTGAAACATTTTGTTGTACATTCAAATATAAAAAAGTTACTGGGGTGGACAAATTAAATTGGCTTACCCTGTATATATGTGTATATATATATATATATATATATATATATATATAATATATATATATATATATATATATATATATATATGTATGTATATATGTATGTATGTATGTATGTATGTATGTATGTATGTATGTATGTAGCTATGTATCTATGTATCTATGTACATGTATTACACATATCACATTAGATGTGCATTTTAGCTTTTATTTTAATAATATATGTATATATATAATTTCTTTAATATTTTTTTAATGATTAAAAATTTATACTCGATTTTTTTTATTATTTTGATGAATTATTGAAAGAGAGAAAAGCTTTTTAAAAATATGTACATATATGTAAAAATATGTATATATTTTATATTCTAATTTTCTATTTTATGATGATTATTTCTTTTTATATGTGATTTATATATAATTTATATATTATTTATTTATATTTATACTTTTGTGCATCGCATTTTTGTATGCAATTCCTGTCACTAATTGATAGATATATTTAACTATATTTAACACGTTTTTCACAGCTTGTATGCATATACTTTTTGTATTGCGAGATATAAAACGTTTCCCAAATTACGTATTATGATCAAACAGCTCTTTGTCGAATCTTATGATTAAATTTATAGATTGACTAGATGCTGATAAAATTGTTTATTGTAACAGGGATATGGAAATGCATAGAAGTTATTACTGGTGAAGAGAAACATAGATAAACATTTCATATGCTACTCATATTGCATTCATCTTTTATATTTTCTTTATGATATTGTGCATGCAAGATGTTTTTAAAATTTATATTTTTTTATATATCTCTCTTTAGAATTTTAAGATTATCATGATATGAGTTTTCTATACAAGATCAGTTGTTTAATTTAAATGTATAATATTTGCCAATATATGCACCTATAATAATATGTAAAATAATAAGGATAATATGATATTAATGAGATCTTTTCTAGATTTTGCTTCAATAAAAATTGCACAATAAATTAAACAAATAATTACGTATCAATTCATATAATTAATATAATTGTGTCATATTCTCTCTCTCTCTCTCTCTCTCCCTCTCACACACACACACACACACACACACACACACAATAATAATATAGTTATAAAAAAATTTCCCATATTTTATCGTTCATTTGCACGTATAAATTGCATATAAAAAAATAAGCTTCTTTAATTTTACAATTTAAAATTAAATAATGAACGATAGTAATAGACAAAGATATATGGAAAACTTTTTTTATAACTATATTCTTAAAAGAATTTTCTTATGGCAAACATCCCAGCAAGTAAAATGCGCGCAGTATGCCAACAAATTAACAGATTTATTCAGAAGTTGCTAACAAATTGGCATCAACTGTATCCGCATTAGGCTTGTGCTTTTGCCGGCAGAGCCTGTTCACAGAACTTGATAGCAAATTGCAACTGTAACCTAACAAGAGCTGTGAATGACTAAATTTTATTCTATTTCTATTGCATCTATTCTATTTCATCTGCTTTCAAATTATGTTAGTAGGCTCTGTCACAATCTGATATAATTGAAATTAACAGACTCTGTACTAAATTTGTAGTCTTTCTGCTGAAAACTATTTGTAACATGCTTGGCAAAATCTGTTCAACTTGGCTGACTGGGATATTATTGTGCGCGATCCATTTCATATTGGCAAATAAAATGTGTATCTTGATTGTAAATCTCAAAATAGCTGTCGCTATCGCATTATCACGCTGCATTTCATTGCTTTTGTTGCTTAAAAAAAATATTTGGAAAAAATGAATTTTTTATATAATGATGAAATGCTTGACATTGCATGAAAATTATGTTTAATTTAGCTTATGAATTGCTTTTCATGTATAGAAACAGAAATGCTATACAGACACGAAAAAATAATCGTACAAAATAGGAACAGTTCTTTTTTCTTTGATATCTAATTATTACTTATTTAAAAAAAAATTTGTTATGGGGTGTGATAAAAGAATATTTAGAATATTTAATGCATCCATATTTAATCCATTCTTTGTTTTTGTGTTTTTTTAGGCGTGATGTCGCGCCGAGGGCGTAGAAAAGACCGCGAACTCGCGAGCGAAAGTGAAACTAGACGTCACCAACGTGACCAATCAGACTCTCCTCTACTCCAAAACGACAACCATCAAAGCGCGACCACTTCCTACGCCAGTATGAACCCCACTGATGTGATCACCATGTAACGTTCTAACATTCAAATCAATCCTCGCCGATTTAATCGAATATAATTTTTGTACTTAGAAGGACATAAAGAATAATCTACTTAGTGGATTCACTAGGTAAGGTCAATGATGTCCTTCAATTTGACCTGACTTGCGAGCCGAGAAAGAGATACAAAGAGTCGCACGAGCTCTTCTTTTCTCTGAATTATGGAAAATTTAATGCGAATCATTCTCAATGAAATTCCTTGTAACTGGTGAATATATCCATCTACGTTCATATCTGGCATTCTTAGCGACAAATAAATTTGTATAGCTCTAGGTTTTTGTCATTTTTATTTATTTTTTTGGGCAAAGCTTTTTTTTATGTCGTAATATACTATTGTCACAGAGACTGTATTCTAAATTTAAAAAAATATGTATCTTGCAATTGCAAACGATCGATCGTATGATCGATTTTAGGTAAAATAATTTATCTAGAATGATGAGAATTTATTTCCTTATTACATATTCGTCGTTAAGTAAATTTAGTGAGAATAATAATAAATTTAACGGATATAAAATGCATTTTCTTTTTTTTAACGCGAATGCATTTCTCAATTGTGAGATGAATCCTTTTTTCTCTGATATTGATATCCAATTATTACTTATATAAAAAAAAAAGTTGCATCAAAATATTGATAATTAAATGAACAATTAATCGAAACATTATTGATTTCTTCGATACGTAAATTATTTAAGAAATTAATAAAATATATATGTAGAAAAGAAAGTATTTCTCTCTCAAGTAATACAGTCAATTTCCTTTATTCTAAAGTTATCGGGAACATTTCTTCTCTGTCCTTCTATCCTCTCAATTTTTGTAATGCATATAAAAATATATTTTTCATATAGTTTCTCACTCTATTATACATAGAGTAAATGATGAATCGAAAGAAAAATTCTAGTTTGCCAAAACACAACTGAACCATAAAATTTAGAATAAAGAAACGCTAGAAAAAAGGACATCGATTGTATAAAAAAAATATCTTATTTATATTATATTTAGAGATTTCACGTATGATATGCACTTGGAATTCGTGCAAATAAATTTAATTATTTTTACTTATGCCGTCCACATCTGAGATGTAATACAAAAAATGTGATGTATATGAAACAAAATAGAATCGAAGATAATGATCGAGATTTAATTATACGATGATTGAAGTTTATATATTTGCGCAAGTAAAAATGATATCTATATCAGGATTCAAGTTTTCGAATTACTCACATTAACCCACAAGTTCTGTGGTATGGGATCGTATAGAATCGTATAGAATAGTGCGATCTTAGGTCTAACCATTCTCAATATTATTAGATATATTATTCGTTTTATTTTTATATATACTTCGCTAAATACGTTATATAAATGCAGCTGAAATTGCTTAAAATTTTTTTTATATAATTAACTTTGGATGCAAGAACAACGTAGGAATTCTGTTAATGAATGCTCGATAAAAAGAAATTGAAACCTCGTTATAGTATCGATTGGCAAAGTTGTATCTTACAATTTAATATTACAAATTTTCACCATGATTCTTAAGTATCAAAAATTTCCATCGCGAAATACATAAAAAATATCAGTATTGTCAATTAGATGTATGCTTTGTCTATTTTTTAAGTAAACTTTGTCTTAAAAATTACGAATTTATATTTTTCAACTTATAATTAATTATTAAGGCCAGACAAAGTAATGATTCGTTCTTTTATTGCTGACTTACTATGGATCAACGAGGAACATTACATTTGTGAGATTCAAATATTCTCATTATTTTTTTATATCGAAATCATTTTTCAAAAGTGTACAATCTACAGCCCAGGTAGCAGAGTGACGACAAATGACATCTTAATAACGTTTTAATGACATCATTGTACGTCATTAAGACGTCTGGAGACGTCATCTTGCTACCTGGGAGATTGTGTAATATCTAATTTCTTCTTTTAAACATTCTTATAAATCAGACACAAATGTCTGAGAGATGCGTAAGAATGCTTAAAGTACGCGCTAGATTTTTAAAATGTTCCTTTAAATAATTCCTTTAAAATGTTTCTTTTAAATAATTGTTTGAGCTTTTTGATTAGAGAAAATTGTTATTTGAATAGTTTTTCGGAATATATTAGAATCCTGTCATTCTGGATTGAGCATTCTTTTACTATTTTTTAAAATCTCTTAGAATTTTTATTTCATTCTAACGATGTCTATGCATAGAATTAAAAAAGAATAACTCATCCAGAATGATGGGATTCTAGCTGCTCTTCTATTACTTTTAAAACACTAATTATAATGCAGAGAGCTAAGACTTAGAATAGTCAAAATTAACACTTAATGAAAATTCAAAATTATAAGTAGTAAGTACATATATTGTTTTCTAATTTTAACATAAACGTGATAGTTGAGTTAAACACAAGTTGGATAAGAATTATTATGCAGCACATAAATATTAGGACTTAGAATCTCATGTAAGCACGATTCATGAAGTAATTTAGAGAGAATATCTTTATATACATACACACTGTACATGTATTTCTACATGCGCATTTTTATAAGAAATTAGAAGCACCAATTACTTTATTTTTATAGATTCGATATTACTCTCAAATCTTATATGTAAATTAATGAACAAGTGCAAGAATGTGACTTTGCGATCCTTAGTAAGTAAAAACTCCAAAAAAGGATAGGGTTTTTTCCCTTGTGAAACTCTAATTAATCAGTTCAAAGAATACTTATCATATTAAATTTAAATAACTAAATAATAAATTGGACTTGCAAGAGATAACAAATTTCAGTACATTTTTTCTTGAAATGAAAAGTTTTGCGATCTCGCACGAAGAACTCAAACAGATATTTTCTATATGATGAATAATGAAATCTTTTATCGTCGGTAACTGTTCGCATGTGAATTTCTTACGATCTGGCCGAAAGTATTTAGATAAGATCACTTACAATTGTTAATCAAGAACGGGGTAGTTTATATTATATTTAATTATATTTAGTTTATATTATATTTAATTACTAGGTTCCTTCAGTATGATAGAGGTTCGTCAATTTTATGTACTCGTGCGCTTTGTCGCTGTGAGAGTTCTCTGTGAAAAGTACGTTTCTGCTGTATGTATGTGTATAATAAATTTAAAATTCTTTTATTTTGATGCATGATTAACACAGAAATCAATTTCTAAGACTTCGCGTTTGATACTTATTTCCCGATTTAAGGGAATTTATTCGTTATTGGATTTGAACATAAACATTTTTTATGGGAATATAATTTTTATACATTTGTCAAAGAGCAATGCGCAAAGATTATAAAAAGAGAGAAACAACGCTAGATCAGATTGTTAATATTCCGGTTGTTGTTCCGCGATGTACTTGTGTGCAGATGAATGTTTTAGAGATGAAGAGGAGAGAGATGAGTGCGTTCAATGTTATAAACTATAAAAGTATATCGTGTAAAATGTATAAGTTCCGTATGTACATGTATGTATGTATATATGTGTGTGTGTATATATATATATATATTATATATAATATATATATATATATATATATATATATATATATATATATATATGGCGGAAATGTATGTATGTTGCACGTATGAAGTACGCGATATTTTTTGTTAAATTTAATAACGCGTTATACTGATCCATTTAAAGGGTAATAATAGTGATTGATCTTTTTCGATTTATACTGCACCGTGTATATGGCGAATTGCATATCAATAGAAGTTTCGGATATAAATATGAAGTGTGAATTGAAAAGTGTAATCATCAAATTAATGATTCAATGTAAAATGACAAAACAGATAAAACGTAAACAAACATAAAAAGAAGAAACTCAGAGAAGCATCCGAAATAACATGCAAAGCGTACTGTGTGTTGTCACGTAAATATGAATAAATTTTCTGCTGTTTGTACTATACAATTGCGCTACATGTGTTATTTCATTTAATTATATATTTTAAAAAGTTGATGTCAATAGTACATGTGTATATGTATATATATATATATATATATATATATATATATATATATATATATATATATACATACATATACACACAGGGTGTCCCAGTTATCTTCCATCATCTTTCAAAGACAGATTCTTGGGATCATTTGAAGACGATTTTTCCTCAGCGAAAATGTCAATGAAGGCTATCATTTTTTGCATGTTCTCGATTTTTGTCATCATCTTTGCAATTAAGTCTTAAATTAAAACTCAACTAAAGTAAACTCTATTTAAAATTAATCAAAGAATGTGGTGTTGTTAATATTTTATTTCTACAAATCTTAGTTTACGAAAAACCCCTTATTTCCAATCTTATAATTCGAAAATTATTAGTGCCTTGACATTTTCGTTGAGAAAAAATCGTCTTCAGATGATCCCAGGAATCTGTCTTTAAAAGATGACAGAAGATAACTGGGACACCCTGTATATATATGTGATAAAAATTTGCATGTTTATATCACATATATTTATATATATGTTTCGCTTTACATGATTTAAAAATTTATCTTTATATAATTAATATACCAATTGATGGGGATATTTGTAAAAAAAGGAAATGAATTTAAAAAAAGCTATTTATTTTTAATTATTATTTTATTAAAAATTATCAACTCTAACAAGATGAAATTGAAATATTTATTAATTTATTGAAGTTTTTTTTAAAACTTATCTCCTGACACTCTTTTTTTGTTTTAAGACAATCTCATTGTTTCATACACAAATATAGCCACAAGAGAAAGAAAATATATCCCTAACAACACACATGTCCAAAAGATGTTCAGAGGTCATCGAGAGGACATCCAGAGGACATAAAATATCCTTTGGCTATCCTCTAGATATTCTATGGACGTCTTTTGGACATGTGTGTTGTTAGGGATGTGTCTCTACGCAGTTATAAAAAATTGTTTATAAAAAAAATTTATAAAATAAATTATTAATTATAAATAATTGTAATAAGTTTATAAAAAATTTAGTATTATAAGTAAATATATCTTTTAAAATATATACGTATAATATATAAATATATACGATATGAACTTTCTTATTAGAAAAAAAGATATTGAAAATGATACCAGATGTCACTATCTCCAATGGATCGTATTTGAAACATCAGAGCTCCTTCTATAAAGTTTAATATTCATGACATCAGCGCGTGCAAATAAAACTCGAAAATTTGTCGAAGAAGCAATATAATCTTTTCTTTTGGATGTCCTCCCTCTATGAGGTATTATATTTTTTCCAAATCTTTTTCTAAAATCACGCAATTAATTTTCGCAAGAGCAAAAAATTGATACACTATCGGTTCATTTTTTGCCGCGCTTTTTCCAGTGCGCATCCTATCTGCGCATGAACCACATCTCTGTCGGCTCATCGATATTCATATCAAACTGTGCGTATAAAATTTAAAATTCAGTCACTCATCTTCTCATTCGACTAATTAGCTGGAGAAAATCATAGTTCTTAGAAATAATAAACTAAATAAAGTGTTGAAATTTCAATGACCGGAAAATATTGCGTGAGAAAACGAATATTGTACGTATTTCTGAAATATTTTCTTCTGTTACCTCAGGTATGTAATCGAAAAAATTTTCCCATTAACCTTTATTAAGAAAAATGAATAAATATTTATTATATGATTTATAAATCAAGAAATTTAGTGTTCTTTTATTTGTGATGTAAATACTCATTGTAATATGATTGTTATAAATTTTGAATCACTTCCAGTAGTTTAACAAAAAAATTATAAACAAAAATTAATAGCTCCTTTTCATTTTTCGGTAACAAATTTTATTAACATAAGTTTGAAAAGTACTAATTTCTCAATAAAATTGCAAGATTAATTTTAGTTTTTCAAATAGAAACACAATTAATAATTATTGTCAAATATGATATAATGAAAATTAAAAATAAATATTAAAATTATATTTTTAATATGCATATACTGTAAAAAATATCAAAAATTACAATTTATATTAGGATGATAATATTATTATGTAAATATATAGAGTAGAATAGTAATAATTTAATTACACATATAATTGTTTTATAATAACTACTTTTAATTTATTTTTTTCATTTATTCTAATTTATTTTTAATTATAAAAGAAATTCGACTCATTTGTTTTTTCTCTCAAAAATTTATTAGCCTTATATTTTTATATAGCCTTATATTGTATATACATATATTTAAAATGATTAATTATAAATATTTTATTACATATTTTCAATATTTTAAAAATCAAATTTAAATTTTTTTTGCGCATTTTTTATCGTAAATATCTTTTATACTCGCGCATTATATCAATTATATAAAATTAATCATCACGAAGAGACAAGCAATTAAATTAACAAATAAACAATAAATTAATAAAATTATAAGTTACTCACTTGTTACACTGCTATTGTACGATGTCTCTTCGATTCTCCTCTTCTTTCTCTTTATTTATATATAATATATAATTTATATATAAATATAAATTATGCATATATGTATATGTATATATACAGGGTGTCCCAGTTATCTTCCGTCATCTTTCAAAGACAGATCATCTTGGGATCATCTCAAGACGATTTTTCGTCAACGAAAATGTCGAGGCACTAACAATTTTCGAATTATAAGTGATTGGAAATAAGGGGTTTTTCGTAAACTAAGCTTTGTAGAAATAAAATATTAACAAAACCATATTCTTCGATTAATTTTAAATAGAGTTTACTTTAGTTGAGTTTTAATTTAAGACTTAATTGCAAAGATATATGATGACAAAAATCTGGAACATGCAAAAAATGATGGCCTTCATTAACATTTTCGCTGAGGAAAAATCGTCTTCAAATGATCTCAGGAATCTGTCTTTGAAAGATGACGGAAGATAACTGGGACACCCTGTATATATATATATATATATATATATATATGTATATATGTATATATATATATATATATATATATATATAATTTAAGTTTTTAAAATATATTTATTGTAAGCAACAGGGACAAGATAAATTATTATTTCATTGATTTCTACAGACAATTATTAAATAAATTTGTTATAAATAGTTAAGTATTTTTTATCACGCGCTTCGCCGATTTAAATATAATATTTGAATTATTTTTCAGAGAGATTGAAAGATATAATATATTTCAATACAGTAATATATGTACATACATAGAATCACAGTATTGTGTGATTGAAATTTAATGCGAAAAGCTGTGATACATCCTTTATTAATAATTCAAAATTTAAAGAATAGCTCATTTTCATATATAAGTTTGTTTTGTAACGCTATATTGTTTTATTACGTTAAATATTTCGTGATATCAAAATATCCATACGACCTTGGTTTTTCACGGCGAATAATAGCGCGTTATGTTTACATGTCGTGGCCTTGGCGGCTCATTCATGTCGCGAGAGTCGAGTGAGAAAGTTGTAGCGTAAAACACTCCAGCATATTATCTCTCGAAATGCATTTATTTCCTACAATTGTTACGATTAATAAATATCAATCTCAATTAATTAATTTTTACATTTTCAGAGAGAGATAGTATTATGTGAATTCGATCGCGCAATTTTTCACTTTTTCAGTGCGTTTCATTCTTCCATGTAATTGTATTTAATTTTCGTATTCTTTTCGATCATAATATAAAATAAAATACGTGTTATATGTAATTAACTGTCGATTAATATGCGTGATTAATTACGCATATTAATTTTTGTGAGTTAATATTGTTTCGCGAGTGAGTGCCACGAAGATAAATGTGACAGCGAGTGCGACAGAAAACAAACAAAAAAGAACAATCATTGTACCCTCCATACAAGTGAGTTTTAAATTATTTTGTATCTTAATCTCTTTCACGCGATAATAAACTTGCGAATATATCAAGCATGCATCTATAAATTTAAACTTGCACAGCAGTTAAGTGTTTTGATAACAGTTAAATTTCAGTTAAATTATTTATTCTTGTAAATTGCTTAAGAAATGTACACAAGATATTTCATAATTCACGAAAAAAAAAAAAAATAAATAAAGTTTTCGATAAATATATAATAATTGAGATTTTTAATTTCAAACAGTTTTAAAATATAAAGTGATCAATCATATAGACTGTATTTAGATGATCGTCTGTCTATAAATTATGTATATGATCGCATATTTCAAATACTTATTACTGTTAGATAAAAAATTGTATTTTCCGCATGAAATATAATTACAAATTAATATTGCTAATAAGTAATATACAAAGAAAATCATTAATAAAATATCAAAATATCTTTAAAAGATTGTAAAAAAATTATTCAAATTATAATTTATGTTAGAAGATAATATAAATATTATTTAATATAATTTGAATAATTATAATTTAATCACACATACATTAAATGTCAGATTTAATTACATACGATCTTTTTCAATAATAATTTTAATATTTTCTAATCTATTAATTTATTTTTCGACTTGATTTTATTCTTCAACTTTAGTTCAAAAAATTCGTGTAAACTATTTTTTTTATCACTATTGTTCATTGTTAAAAATTCTAAATTTTTTATATTTATAATTTTTGTTTTCAAATTTTATTAGAAATGGTTTTAAAATTGTAGCAATTTTTACACTATATATTAATTAGGTATTTTCGAAAATATATGTTTAACAACATTTGATTCAAATGTCGAATTATGATAAAGTTCACGATAGAAAATAATAACTTATAATATCATTGAATATGTGGGATTTTTATAAATATCATATTGAAATATTAAAATATGTAAAAATTTTCTGTTATTTATGATAAAATATCTGATTTATTATAATAATTTTTACAAATTTTTCACAATAGAGTTTTTAGAATTAATATAGCCTTAATATGCCTTAAATATATTTTGTGCAAATGTGTCTTTTTGTACATATAAATATGTGAGGATTTATACTCCTCTGAAAAATGACGCGTCAAGTTATGATTTTTAACCTATCGGTCCAAAGAGGTAGATTGCCGGGATATTATCGTCAGGACTACCGAGAAATTGAGCATATAATTCCTGATAACGTGATAAAGTCAATCCACCGCGTTTTCTGTCATCATCCTGTTAATATAACGATTAAAGTAATTATTTTTGACATGATATTTAAAGTAATTATTTTTTATAAGAGATGCTTATATTTTGTAGAAATATGCGAGATTTTTCTTGAATAAATTTACTAAATTTTTTAAAAAATTACAATAAACTACAATAAAGTTACATTAGATAAAATAAATTAGATAAAATAAAAATTAATTTGATTGATTTTGTAAGCCATAACATTAAATTACTTAAATTGCTTACGTTTAGAAGATTCTGAAAAGCTTTATCAAGAACTTCTATGTTATCCACTGCAATTCTTGAAACGCAGTCATACCGAAATTCTTCGGCACCAATTACGCCATCCTCTAAAACAAGTATTATAAAATTTAATAACTTTTTTTTTCGATTATATAAGTAGAATGTACGAGTATCTCTTTTACTAGAGAACAAATTGTTTTTTTCAAAATTCTATTAATTAAATCTCTTATAATTATAGAAATTATATAATCTCTTATAATTATAGTAATTATATAAATTATATACTATTCAAGATATACTTTATCTTCGCGTAAATAGATTTGTTACATAAAAATTTTGTTAGGAACAGTTTTTAAAAAGACAATCTGTTGAATATTTTTATTATTAAAACATTAATAATACATTTGAAGATAAACTGCTTTATGAATCTGATATTTTATAATTATTTCTTATCTCTAGTTAAAATTAAAGTTGAAAATAAGACATGTGTTTTGATGACATTAAACAAATTACGATTCTTTTTTAAGGCTATTTCTAAGAAAATTTTTAAAAAAGACTTCAATTATTTAATATGTTTAAAATAACTATATAAAACATTAATATAATATTTAATTAATAGATAAATTGTAAATTTGTACAGAAAAAAGTTCAATTGTGTAAAATCAATTACTTATTTTGAAGATGAAAAATTACATATTTATTTCAGAAAATAATGTCCTATTTTGAGATTTTTAAAAATTATTTTTTTATTTTTACGAGAATAAATTATAATTTATTCATCACCTTTCGCAATATATTTGTTGTTCGTGTGTATATGAATGTTATACGATACCATTTATGTCAAGTATCTTGAAATGGGTATCGATGAACATTTTCATGGCTTGGGGAAAATCATTATAAGAACGACCAACGCAGCTACTCTGAACGGCTTTTTTAAATTCTTCTGTCGTTACAAGGCCATCCTAGAAAAAAAATAAACAGATTACACACACACGCACACGCACACACACACACACACGCGCGCGCGCGCGCGCGCGCACATACGCACGCATACATACACAAATACTATTATTAGCATTTTATTAGCATACTGAATAGTATAGAATAATTAATATTTTAGCATTATTCCATATATTATTATTGCATATCCAAAAGATGTCCAGAAGGTATCCAGAAGATATCTTTGAGCGATTAGATATCTTCAGGATGTCCTGTTAATATCTTTTGGACACAGGATGCTATATGAAATTATATTTAACATTAGCATATAGAATAATTATTACTTAGCATTTTATTAGCATATATATTAATTAATTTAATATAACAATTAAAATATATGAGGAAAATTTATAATTAATTATTATAAGTTAATGAAACAAGTTTTTAAATATGATTTTGAAATCGAAATTTTTTACTCTTAACTGCTATCAACAGATTGGCAAAATAGAGGAAGTATGCATTTCGACGATCTCGAAATTGATTCTGACCTTAATTAATACACTTAATTAATACACTTCTCGATTATCATTTCCTATTTTAAGAATGCAGATTTATTTCTTTGCGGAATAAAAAAATTTATTTTTAATTTTAGCTTTGAATTTTAAAGTTTTTAATGATATACTTGTTTAATCGGCGTAGAATATATATTTTAGAATTTATGGATAATGTTTTATTGTGTATATGTATATTGTATATATGTGTTTTATTGTATGTTGTATATTGTATATATGTATATATGAAAGAACAGAATTATTAAATATAATAAAATTTTCGAAAATTATTGTATGTGTACGCATATATATGCGTACACATACAATAATTTTCATATATATATATATATATATATATATATATATATATTCTATATGTATATATGTATAAATTTTATTATAATAAAATATTTATATGATCAAAAGATAATCAAACTATGCTTTAGTTATCGAGAACGATAATCGATTAAGGTAAGAATCGATCTGAGATCAGAGAAATGCATACTTCCTCCATTTATTATATATATATATATATATATATATATATATATATATATATATATATATATACAGAACAGTTTTTTTATTAAAAGCGTTTGACTTAAACTTGTATTAAAATTGTTTTATTAATATAGAATAATTATTTACAAAGTTTTCTTAGATACTTTTTCTTTCTTTAGAATTTTTTCATATTAAATTAAATTTATTTTATAAATAGGATTAAATTAAATCAAATATTTATGTAGATATTTAGATTTACAAAAGATTTAAAACTTTCCATTCATTAATTTTTAAAATAATTTTTAACAAAAATTGAATTTAATTGGCTAGTTAATGAAAAATAAGACACATAACATGTATTTGTCAAGGAAATGCTCGCCAAAAAGTCGAGAACAATATTCTGTATTGTCAAAGAAATAACAGATTGCTATAGATAATTGTTTTAAAACACGTGAGAAAGATTACAACAAATATGTGTATATGTGTGTATGTGTGTATCACAAATGATCTCGAGTTACAGTCTCGAGAGCTAAAATATTTGAAGAATTTGAAACCGGTGCAAGATTTAAATTGTGCCAGGAGAGATGGCTATCTGATATGTAGAAACAATATCTCGTAAGCGTACCTTATCAAAGTCTGCCAGGTTAGCTATCTCTTCCCATAAGGAGATCATGACGTGGAGGTTTTCTTGATACCGATTATAATTAAATTCGCCTTTGCCTTCGAGCAGTGTCATTCTCAATGCCATGCATTCGAAATCGTGCTTATCCAAATATCCATTGTTATCTATGTCTGCAGTTATAAGATGTTCTTCACTAAATGCACTTTCTTTGAATTGTGAGTTATTTTGGGATAATTTTGAATCGAGCTTTTCTTTACAAGATCGTTGAGGCACTAATATCTTTTAAGTTTTAAATAATTAAAAATGAAGGAATTTTTTTTAAATTAAATTTTTTAAAAAACTAAATATAGATAAATAAATATAGATAAATAAATATAGATAAATAAATAAATATAATAAGATCATAGGAAGAAATAATCATATATTCTTTAGTTGATTTTAGATAGATTTTTATTTTAATAGGAAATTTTAATTTTAATGTTTAATTATAATTATAAAGAATATATAATCGAAAGATATTATAATCGAAAAATATTATGCTAAAAATAATTTTTCTTGACATTTTCGTTAAATAAAAATTGATTTCAAATTAATAAAACATTCTACAATTCAAAGAAAATATATTAATAAACATCCTGCATATTCGATTTCTCTCTTGTTTTGCATCCTTGAGATACTATAATATAATGAAGAGATTAAGCGAAAGAAAATGGTACAAAGTGTTAGATATATTTTGAAAAATATTGAATAATTGTGATATATGATCTTTCCAACTATTGTTCCAATAAAGTTATTTATTATATCATTTGTTGCATCACAGTGCAATAATATAAATATAATATAAATCAGTTCTTTTTCCGAATAGAAAATATTGCAAAAGTAAATTCCAAACTTTTTTCGAGATTTCTTAAATGTTTTAATTATTTTAAAAAGAAAAGTTAAACATATCTTTCCTTACGAAAAAATAATAAAAAAAAGTTTACATTTTTGAAACTCACATTATTTGCTTTGATTTTTGAGTGGTCTATAAATCTTTTACCATAAATTTACATTTTCTTTCTTTCTTTCTTTCTGATTTCAAATTTCTTTTCTACTCTTTTAGATCTTTTAAATTTAAATTCCAACTATATTATTGACTTGCTTTATGAACAATCATAAAAGATAGTTCACTTTCCGTCAATTAGAAATTCATCGAATCGAATTTTTTAGTTGATATAGACGATCATTGGTCTATTAAGTTCTAATATTGCTTTACAATGTTTTATTCAAGTAATTTAATTGATTTATTTTTATATTTAAATATTAGTTTTAATATAGTTTCTACTTTAGTATTTTTTTGCGCTATGATTCAAATTATATTTTCAACTAGTACAACTATATATAATAATTTCTAAACACAGTAGAAAATAAAATATAAAATATTTCTTTATTATATTAATAAGGAAATAATGAAAAATATAACGAAAAAAATATTCTTAACTTTGCAAAATTAATTGAAAATTATTTTATATTTTTAAATAAAGATATACATGATTTTTTAAAGTACTGATTAATTTTTTAGTATTAGTGTGTAAAAATATGTAAATAATTTGCTTTATTTTTATATGGAATATGTAGTATTTTCATTGATATTCATTATTTATATCTCTTTCATTGTGTACATAACTTATGAAATTAACTTATGATAAAAAATCATGTATTCTTATTTATAAATATATAAAATTTTATATTTAAAAAATTAAAAGAAATGTTTTTTTTAATTATTACTAGATCCTATTAAAAATATTATATATTATTGAGAAAAATCTCGTTATGTGTTTCTACCGTTTAACACTTATTTTATATGGCAACTTATGTACGTGCGTGAAATAATCTGTATATTATCAAATCGCCATGATATTGTCATACCACGTGGTCCACATATACACATATGAAAAACACATGAGAAATATAAGATACTGCAAGATGTATTTACACAAATGCATATAAATTAGAAGAAAATATTTGCTTGTTTCATAAATTAAAATTATACTTAATAATATATAAATAATACACACTGTGTGTGCCTGAATATTGTAGATATAAATTTTATAGTCTGCTTTATGTCAATAATCATAAATCAAAATCAATTTTCATTTGACACTGTTTTGATTTATATTTATATAAAATATCTATTTTATATCTATTTTCTAATTTTGTACTCATCAATTTCATGATTTTGGTAAACACAGTTTGTAAACATATATATATTATGTTTCATACAATCACACCGTCTTTCTAATTGAAAGTTGTCGTAGATCTATATCGATTCTTGCAATATCTTTCACATCTACTAACCATATAGAAACTTCACTATGAAATTAACGCGGTTATCCCAGCTATATGTCATCGTGATCGTGTTTCCTTATGTTTTTGTTTCCTCTCGAAAAATTGTCAGGTGCGAAATATCGAATATATTTTCCGGATCGCGACGAGCCTTTTGCTCGGATCGAAACGCGACGTCCACGCGAAAAGCACGTCCAGTGTGAAGAAAGTGATTCGAGAGGATGGTGGTTTCGCACTGAACTCGACCGAAGTATCACCGGGTCTAAACTTAGGCTATCCCCTCTGAGCGAGGGATACAAAGAGTGTTGTACCGGGGAAGGAACTCGAATGGTGGTGGAGGTGGTGTTGGCGATAACAGCGGTGGAGATGTCATCGTGCGCGTCCGCGTTTACATCAAACTTATCCCTCTCCGCGAAACCTTAAATCCACTTAACGATTTCATCCCTTCCTTACGAAAATTCCCATTTATCCGAGCATGATTTGATACTATTGAAAGATTTATAGCATTTTTCAATAATTTTTCTATAAAATTCTCTTCTAAACCTTGAAAACAATATGCTTATGAAAAAAAAAAGAAATTCTCAACAATTTGCACTGTTAATCTTCTAAAACATTTTTATTATCTGATATTTATATATTTTATAAAGTATACTTTCATAAAATTTCATAGAATTTATTTTTCTCTCTCTATATCATTGTTTATATCTTTATCTTGAAGTTATTTAAATGGTAATCTCGAAAATTCATTCAAAATTATCAACAAAAAAAAATGTTATTATTACATCACTATTATTATTTATTTTTTCCAACGCGAGTGAAAATACGATTATCACCAAATTAAAAAAAATCAAGAGCATTTGATGTGCTAATAGTAATTTTTCTGGAAGTAAGTCTTGGAAGTAAGCATAAGTCGCATAACGCAGGAAGTTATCAGGAAATTATCTGCTTACATTTGTGCAGATCATGCGGAACGAGATATTTAGAATCCCCATTTCCGCCTTTCTAATTCCCGTTGACGGGAACAGATCTAAATTCTAATTGAGCCGGCTTACGTTGAAACAGATCGGAGCAGTCCGAATTTAACTGAGACCCCGCTGAAATCAGACTCTCGACCGAGAACTTTTCTTGTGTTGTGTCCCGCGCGACGCGTGACGTACTCGGGGAGGTCGAACGTACGTTTTCTCGTTGCTTGGAAATTATTTCCGTGACGACCTCGAGCAAAAAAATACCACATGAAAAATATTTTCAAAAGGAAAGAGACAGATATATATTAATCAAAAACGAAATCTTCATTTAAAGATAAAAAAAATATGTAAAATTGTATCGCTTTTTGAATATTTCGTAAATAATTTGAATCTAAATCGAAATAAGGGTGAACATCGTAAACGTTAATATTTTTTCATGCTGTCGTATGTGTATCAGAATATATAAGGGATTTCAAGAAAAAGTCGTATCAAGAAGCTGATATATTTATGATATGTATATTACTTTGAATTTAATGTTATTATAATTTCGAATCAATGGAGCATGAACGTACATAATTTAATTATGATTATAATTTAATCAATGTTTAATTAGAATTAAAATTAATTTAATGAAACATGAAAATATAAAAGATAAAGTGCATAATCAAACATCTATATTATAAATTTATATAAATTTCTTCCTATTCAGAAACAAATATTTTTCAGCCAAAAATATAATTTCTATTTATTGACACTTAAACAAATAATTATTAACTCATAAATTTTTACGAAAATGTCCCATATACGCCGGCCGTTTTTCTCTTTGCAGCATTATTCTAATTTGAACGGAGGTCACGTTCGAAGCAACGACTGTGCCTCCCGTGGCTACCTCGATTTATCTTCTTGCTCCACGTAAATGTATTTTCGTACATGGTCTCTGTCCTCGGTGGACACGGTGGACTGTCACGAGACACGCGTGATCACACTCTTTGTTGTTGATGATGCGGAAATGGGCTCGTATTTAATAAATTATAAGTATTTGTCTACTTCGATGACAGTTTCAAGCATCTTCAATCCACAGCAAGAAACATATCGCGTAGCTCGTAAACTCTATATTCGTCACCAAAACTGAAACAGATGTGGCAAGGTCGGATAGATAGAAATTACGCGAATGGAATCTTAAATTATTCAAATTCAGGTGATGCATTTTCCGATGTTTAATTTAACATATTCTTTTTAACATAATATATATATATATATATATATATATATATATATATATATATTTACAAAAGAAATCCCATAATTGTTCTTCTCAGAGTCTCTCGGATGCTTTCCAAATTTTACTGTTATTTGGATTTTATATTACATGTACACACACGTGTGCATTTTGATCGTGTTTTAGTTTGCTGAAACATTCAAGAATGATTGACGGTATGCTCGCGTAATAGCTAGAAAAGCAAAGTAATCTTTGGCAAATAAACAAATATCTACAATGAAAATGTGTTGTTTCATTCTTTATTCTTATGTCACTTTATTATTTATATTATACGGCATACACGGGAAAAGAGAACGAAAAGTAGATTTATAATTTTGAGTTTACATATGGATATTATGATGAATTCAAAATCATTTTTTTTTCTCACTGAAAATTTAATTAGATCTTTGTGAAAATATTTAGTTTAATGTTAACTCTTTATAATATTTTATTACTTAACATTAGATATTTAAATAAACAGCTAAATTCTAATTAAAATATTATTCTATTAAAATATTCAATTAAAATATTCAATTAAAATATTAAAATATTATATTAATATTATTAATATGTAGCGTTGTATAATTAGTGAAGTATGTTTTTTTGACAAAAATATAGATTTTTAATATCTATTTGTGAAATGCTAAAAAAAAATTCTTACAAATTATGCATAAAAATTCGGATATTTAGTATCGTGAGATTTTATCTCTAAATGTCGTTTCTAAATTAATGATTAACAAAATGTTATTTGCTCATCTGAAACTTAATTTTGCGATATTCTCTTAATTTTAAGTAATTAAGAAATTTTGCCTAGTATAAAGCTTTTGTCAAGCGAAATTGAATTTTTTTTTACCAAGGAAAAAATATTATTTTTGTCACAATTATCGAATTCTTTGATAAGAAAAAGAAAGAGACAGACTTCATTCTTTCATAGCCGTGACATAAATAATTTAGAAAAATAGCGGTATAATTGGGATTATTTCGCACAGCAAATTAGAGCTAGTTGTCGAATTGAACATTACCGTGATAGATTCTCTGCGATTATACACAAACTTATGGTTATTTGGCCGAATGCCCAAGCCGCTAATAATCACTGCGAGATCATACGAAATTGCTTCCAACTGTGTAAACGGCGGGAATGATTGATGCGCGATTTATCTCACAGAGAGATAATTAATTAGCACGAGTAAATCGTCGCCTTTCTCGAAAATGTCACACGATGCAACGTGATTTAAGTCTTTATCCCCGAAATTCGAACAAAAATTATGCAAAATTCCCCTTTGTAAGAGATTCGGGTAGAGTCGAAAGACTACAATCTTGGTCACTATCCATCAGTTAAATAAGCGAACTATTGTTATTTACACGTCATAGCCTGACACTGCTTTTACGAGTCTAGGAGCTAACAATCGTCCAAAAATAATGTTTAGCCTGTTTCGCTGGGATAAATTATACACCTTAGTTTTCAACATTATTCATCTTTATATAACTAACAAATCTGAATTATAAATTGCTATCAAAGTCTATAATTTATTGAAGATTTTATTTTATCTTCTTATTTATTTGAATCTCTTTAATAATATTAATTTTAAAAAATCTTTATATTTAATCATTTATAATTTTAAATTTACAAAAGCCTTTGCAACATTTCGAATTTTGGCAAAAAAATATTTTAAATTAATTAAGAGGAATTCGTCTGAAGAACTTAAAAAAAGTATATTTTTAGAGCGAAGGATTCATCGTCTCTAAACTAAATGAATAAGACACTTTGTTTGTTCATCCCTTTGTGTGAAAAATCTCTTAGACTTTGTTTGTTCATCCCTTTGTGTGAAAAATCTCTTTTTAATAATTTATTAAGTTTTAATTAAATTAATTTATTAAGTTTCAATTAAATTAATTTATTAAGTTTCAATTAAAAAATTAACTTAAGCTTTCAATATAAAACTTTCGTCAAACAAAAATTGAACCTGCATTTAAAGGAACGATACATATTTTTATGATTTTTCAATTTTCTCATTAATTATTGAATAATTATTTGTATTCATATCGATACTTATTTGATATTATTAATTAATATCATGATATTAATGATATTAATTAAGATCAATATAATTTTAAAGGAAAGAAAAGCTAATTTATAGGATTTAGTCACTTTATAGGTATCATTCAATAAATGCAAAAATATTTCTTTGATTTAAAGACAAATTATGCAAGCATAATTTTAGATGTAATTTTTGAATATAATTAATGGTTAAAAATAAAAAATATTTTCCCAACAAAAATTTTAGCGATAATAAACATAATAAAACAAATTCTTAATAAATTAATTCTAAATAAATTAATAAATAATTAAAATAAATTCTTAATAATATTTTACTCGTCTCTAGTAATTGCAATATCGGTATTTCGAATACTGCTTAATAGCACGCTTTTTGGCTAATTTAAGATTTATTTTTCCTTTTTACAAGAAGATGCTAGTCATCATCTTTTGCGATTTACTATTCTTTAATATATCTTTGTAATGAAATTTTAAAATTCTCTATATAGACATCTCTATGTAGAAGTATAATTGAAATTAATTGAAAAATTTGTCTTTAATTTCTATTTAAGTAATTACCATTTAAGTAATTGAAGATAAATTTTCAATTAGTTTCATATAAACTTTACTTGTACATAGAGATTCCAATTTTGAAACTTAATTACAAAGATATACTGAAGAGTAACACAAATCGCAAGAAATGATGACTAGCACAATTTTCTTGTCAAAAGGAAAAATAAATTCTAAATTAGCCAAAGAGATTGCCATTAAGCGGTATTCGAAGTACCGGTATTGCAATTACCAGAGACGAGTGAAATAGTCAGCTTGGAGATCGTAGAGATCGATTAAGTGGAGTATACCCGTCATATAAGGCGTGCTTTCGTAAGGCGCCGTCAGTTTGAAAGTGCGAGCTGTCGCGCATGGAACCCGCGTAAAAGATCCGCGCGCGAAAGATCGACATGAGGTCGAGGAACCGTTTCGTGCTGATCGCATTGCTTGCCGTTTCCGGTGAGTTCACAATTCGCAAAATATTCGCGAGTGCGC